TTATGAAATTATTGCTAGCCAGTTAAATATCAATACTCTTCTACAATTCCTGCAGTTAGATTTTCGAGCATTACAAAAGGTTTGACTTTGTCGATGATATTTTCTTTGGAAATCTGTTACAAATCAATATTAAAAATTCTTAGATGTGTGTCTGAAAATTTACTATCTCAAAATTTTCAGCGATGCATTGGGCAAATGACTGCGGAAAATAAAAGAAATCATCTTATAAATCAAGTGTCAGATTTTCTCCCACAATAAGAATAACCTTCATCGCAAAGCTGAAATTTTCAATGGTCCCGTTTAGAAGTTTCAGTAATTTGGCTTTTGAAAATAACAAGTTTGATTATATGTCAAGTGAATTTAAAAATTTATAAATACATTTCGTGAATCTGCTAAGCACCATACATTCATTAAATTTTTCCATCATATCTGAAGTTGGAATTCTCCGCTGTTTACAAAAAATTGAAAAATAATTTTTCTATCAGCCTAATTATATTCTCGTATACCTCACAAACGAAGAACTTTTTTTCGTCGCAGTCCCCGTAGTTCAACTTTGGGTCACCCAAAAATCGACCGTTATAAACCGTGTGTATGTAAATGCATGAATTGCCAATATCGGTCAGCTTTTCCTCCCATGTCAAATTCGGCGAAACAAAGCCGTTGACGATTCTCGAACACCAACGAGACTTTTTGGAACAGGCATTGAATTTCCTTCCTGACGTCCAGAGTTGTGATGTTGAAGTTATCAGGTCGACTAAATCAAATTCAGTGTGACGGTAAAATTACTATTTTTTCAAAAAAATTTCCAAGGCACTTAAAATGTCTTGCACGCAATTGAGCTTTTCGACGCTTCTTATGGAAACGAGGTCCATGCCTAACGCGCAGCAAAGTTTCTTCGCCTCTGCCCAAGGCAACTTTGAATTAAAAAAAATGCTCATATACAACTATGGCCTAATATCAAAAAATACTTTATAGTTGGAAATTAATGTAAGCATTCCGCAAGCTTCTGTCCAGGAGCCGTACGATATTGGGTCTGAATTCAATAAAAGTTGTATTAAAAATGTTATAAAATTACTGTTCAATAGCAGTGAAATTAAAACATCAATTTAATGATTGGTCAAAGAACCCCTTCGAGTGATATATTTTTATTTTAGAATTCATAAGCAGAAGAACAATAATGAATGGTATTTTAATAGGAAAATTTGCACTACTAACTTAGGGATGAAAAAGGGTTTTGAAGAGTGTTCACCTTTTTCCGCTTAAATTTTTGGAGGAAAAGTTTGACATTCGATAAACCTAAAGACATGCGAATTTTCTGATCGCAATGAACTTTGATATTATTCAAAGGGAATTTTGTTTTCTATTGAATTCAAGAATAAAAAACATTACTTGAAAGGTTCTTCAAAAATAATATTGAAAAGCTGTTACCATAAATTTCCTTATTCCCTGTTTCGGTGAAAACCATTATATCGTTCTAAAAATTTTCAAATACAATACTTCTGCATATAATTATATAAAATAATGTTTCATTGGCTCACGTTGATTTCGCATTTGTCATACTCGAAACAACTTGGCGAGTCACATTTGTCGGTTTGCTCACTCAGAGAATCATTCTTTCCAGGACAATCGTCATTAAATGCGATTATTGTTGCAAGTTGCAAACGAAATTATAATCTTACGGTGCTAGATTTAGAGACGAAGGTGAATTCTGTGCCTCCCTGGCAGGCCAACTGGTACTTGGAGGAGCATTGATCCGACCTGGCCGTCCAATTGAAGCCGTCCAGCCTGGTGATCAGGACGCACGAGCCGTCGCCCCCGTTTCCCAAAACTTCCATTCCGAATGTGCTGTTTGTGTGGAAACACGCGGTGTATTGGCCTGAGCAGCCGCTTTTTGTTCCCGAAGTCCAAAAAACTCCGGAAAGGGCGAATTTCTCTTCAGTAGCTTCACAAAATAATTTAAAATATATATTTAAGCATTTTGTTGTTAAAATGTGTTTTACTCTCAAATTTGCTATAATAAATGCTATCCGGGTTCAGGTCGAATGACAAAGGCTTCATTCCGAGCTCACAGCAGGTTTGCCAATTCTCGCTCCACTTCACCTTTTTTAAAGAATGATTTCGTTACAAAATATTGTTTCTTAATATCATTTCATTTTCATCCAACCGGACTCTCAGGGTCACCAAAAAGAAAAACTTGATCCTTAAAATGAATAACTGTTCCGAGTTTGTTGAAATCTAAACAATCAAAATTAAAAATAAATAATATATTTAAATCATTTCATCATTGAACCTTCTGAAGCGGCTGATTTTTTATTCTTTTGCTGCATAAAAATTTAAATTTCACCTGGAAATATATTTTCAACGCATTTTTTTACCGATTTTGCGCAGAAATTTGAGTCTGGGCAAATTGCCTCCTGGCATTTAAACTGTTTTCCCAATTAATTAATTTGCAATTTTTTTAAACATTAAAACAAAACCTCGCAGAAAAAGAAATATTTTGAATTGCAATCTTTTTTGATGAGTTCTCCTGTGTCCTTATTTGCAACGATGCAAGTAGCCTTTTTCGAATATCGTTCTGCAAAGTTTGAGCCCAATTGCGAAACGGTATTTGTGGAGCACCAAGTGACGTCAGAGCATAGTGCGCTGCTCCATCTGGTCGCCTCGCTGCAAGAAGTTGCACTGGTCCACACAAATTTGTCATCGTCAGGATCATCTATTAGACAAAATCATTACAGACGAACGAGAAAAATAAACATCATTTCTAGTTTTGTTAAATATTTAAAATTATTTAAAATACCGTTTTCCTCTCTGACGTTTTTTTCGACAACTGCAGCGTAAGAAAATTGTTTCCTCCAAAATTTCGCGGTTCGTTCTGTGTTGTTTTCAAAAGACAAAAGCTCCATTTTTCGCACTAAACAACTCTCCAGTGCATCTTTGTAGTTGCTCTTTTTAATAATAAATTAAATCACAAACAATCTGCTACATTTTCACTACTCAAACCTTTATCGAACTTTCAAAGTAAATCCTTCCCTGGTACTGAAATCTTCTGCCGTCAGCAACTTTCTTTGGTGCAAACAGTAGCTGCAGGGGATCTGAACAAAATAATTTTTCAAAACACAAATATTCAAATAGATAATATGTTTAAATTTTATAATGACAATAACTCAAAACACTCACTACTGTCATCGTAAGATTGCTCTAAAAATTGGCAAATTTTAAGTAATCGTTGTCATTGTTTCATTTAAAAAGAAAACCTGATCTAGAGCTCTCGGAAAATTGCTGTTTTAAATTAAATTTTATAACAATTTCAGATTTCAAAAGCAATGAACCTCCTTGAGTTTGATGTAATAAGCACACAGGTTTGGTTTCTGTGTGGTTGTCTTTGCGTTCCTCGTCACGGGTTTTTGGGTGCTAGTTTTTGTGGTTTGGGACATAGCGAGACCCTGGTAAAACAATGTACAAATTTCCCATAATTATGTAATATTACAAATTTTTCACCGTTAAAATTATTGCAGCGCTAAAAACGCTCCATAGAAAATTCATCTTCTCGTGTCCCGATGAAATTTAAAACTTCACTGTTTGATATTTGTGAAAATCTGTTCAGGATGTCAGTTGCTACGTGGTCATGAATTCAACGGCAAATTTTGACTTTTATAAACCATTATTTCAAACCACTGTGAGCATCGTGTCCTGTTTGTTTTTCCCGTGCGTCATTCAATGTTGTAGGTTTTCAATACAAAAAATTATGCAGGCAACAAAAGAGATGAAATAATAATTTTATTCGCAACAAAAATTACATAAACAACATATTTCACTTACATTGGTTATTTCAATTAGAGTACCATTATAGATAATTCATTTCATATTTTTAAGATCGTAGTAAAATAATTTTGAATAAAACCAGCTAAATTGATGATAAAAAGCCTGCTAAATGAAAAACTTGAGTAATATCTAATTTTTAAGGGCGTGATTGTGTGCACATTTTTGGAGCATCAATCATTGCTTGCAAAAAGAGAGATTTTATTAAAAGAAAAAAATGTAATAGAAAAATTAGATCATGGTTACAAATGGGAAATTTCTGATTTTGGTTTCTGTTTTCATATCTGGATTTAATATGAATTTTTCTGAAATCTTTCCCTAAAACAACGCTCGGCTTTGATCAATTTTTACTTGACATAAGCTTTTTATTTCGTTTTTCTGCGGAGTGAAAATTTGCGCGTGCACGTTTGCCTACATTGAGGTAAGATTTTTGCATATTGACGAGACAAATTTTTAATAATTCAAACAATTTTCATTTAAACATCGAGCGCAGCAGGGAGGCCCAATCTCTCGGCTTCACGGCCCGAAACATGCGCGGCTTCAACCCCGCCTTAAAATAATTTCGAACCTCTCTTATGTTTAGCCAAATGTGACTTACGAATTTATTGCGTGGCACCCTTTCCTCTTTTTTTCCAACTTTTAAAGGTTTTATAGACCAAAGAGAAAAAAAAATTATCATTAAACAATCCAATCTTAATCAACATGAGTTCCTTAAACATTTCCGTCTCTAAATCTTCCCCTCAGCTTTGACAAAATTCCTTCCTGATGTAGAAAAAGCACGCTCCAGTGTTCATTACACTTGCGGCCACAGGACTTACAGGAGTGTTGTGTTGAATAAAAGAAACTTTAAATGGGGCAGCTAGACTTCATTTTATAAGTATTCAATTTCCAAAGCAGAGAATGCAAAACGATTTTATTATGTTTCCATTACTGTTTTAACAAAATACGGAAATTTAAAAAAAAAAATCCAACGAAAATATCAAATTATAATTTTTGTAAACACGCTATAAAAAAAAAGAATTTCGGTTAGTGGTTAAATTTTCATAAATTTATTAAAAATTATATCTCATAAACACTAGAAATATGTATAATATTATTTTAAAACCAATTTTTGTGCCCATTGAAATTCAATATTTCCAGACAAAACTTTCCAATTAATGGTTTGAAGTTTTCTGTGTAGCTCAATCGGTATAGTCAGGCCAAAGCAGCTTCGCGTATTGGTCATAAAGGCTCGACATCCCAGAAGGTGGCGCTTGGTAGCCGGGAATAGAAAGTCCTACTGCCATTTGCCTTAAATTCATCCACATATTCATCCCGTATTCCTGCAATTTATCCATGATTTTTGTGATGTTGCAATCGTTGCTCCTCGTCCCCTCATCAAAAATGCAGGCGATCATTGGGCTGCTGACATTGAGGCTTCTAGCGTTGAACACCGAAACAACCTTCAGGTTGACCTTTGAACCGGGTTTGGAGACGAGCAGGAAAGGACCGTCGGCGTCGCCCTCGACCTTGTACGGCACTGTGGTGACTTTTCCAGGGCACTCTGCGCAACACCACTTGAACTCGCCGTTCTCTTTGAAAGAAGGACTCCACACGATCGGGAATTGATTTGCTGAAATGGGAAGTTTAATTTCTTTTGCATTTTTCTACAAAATAATCGAGAATTCATAAGCGAATGATAGAAAATTTGACTTATTTTGTTTATTTCATGTTGATTTTCATTATGGCTCTCAATCTTTATATTTTTATCAATTTATTTTTATCAATAATTCTTAGCTATTGCAAGTTCCCTATATATATTTTAATTTTATTTTTATGATATGAGAATTCCTTAGAAGCTAAATGAATAACTAATTTTATTTTCTCGTAGAATTTCCACATCCAGGTTTGCCTCATGGTGAATGGCATTTTAAGTTTTGAGCCGGTTTTTCCAAATTTTTTATTTACTACTTTTTCTTTTTCCAAATTAATTATCAATGTGCGCTATAGTTTTTAGTTGAAACATGTAGAGCAGGATGTTATTTCCTATATGCATCAAAAACGCATCGTGAAAAACTTTAAATTTAAATCACCAAAAACGGTAGAAAATTTTTTACTTTTGTCAGCTTTTAGTCAATCAGCTTTTAAATAATTATAAAAAATTTTGATTGCTAATTGTTAACTGAACCCCCATATTTTCTGCAAAACATACAGCTTGAAAGCTCTTCTTTTTTAAATTATAATACTGTGGACTGATTTTATATTACTTGTAAAGGCTGGTTGGGACATCGTGCCAAAAACAGCTTCAAATTCACTGGCATTTCTGGCATACGGAAGGTGAGCTCCATGATATTCACAAAATCTGTACATCCTATCAAAGTGGCCATGTAATGGACCCTGTAAGTGGACGGCAGCATAATAATCAATAGTTCGAATTTAAAATCGTGAAATTTAACCTACAGCCATTTCGATTTTTTTGGCCAAATCATACGCATAGGCGCCACCTAATGCCTCTGCCGAAATAAATAACATTGGCATTTTTCTTTATTAAAACCAAATCTTTCTCACCCGCACAGTTCATTCTAATCCTTTTGGTGTTGTATAATGTAGAACATCGATTGGGACTTGGCGTTCCTTGCACTATTTTCGGATAACGTTGTTTTATCTGTCAAAAAGAGCAGAGTTTTAAAAAGTTGACAACTTTTAAACAAACTTCTAGTGCATTTTCGTCAACGTCATCGGTAGCTAATTTGCTGTTATTCATAATATCAAGCTTTGTGAATTGTCGCAGCAAAATGTCCGAGTTTTCGCCAGCGAGACAAACGAAAAAATCAAACGCAACAGTTGGTTTCATTCGACCACCTTGAAAGGTTTCTTTTTAAAATCGTTCTTTCGTTGAAATGAAATTATTCAAACTGGTTTTCTTTTTGCAAACGTTGATGCGTGTTTTTAGTCCTGCCACGATATCGAAATCTTGAATTTTTCTATCCTGGAAAGAACTGAGTTTCTTATTTTCTGTGTGAACCGCGAGTCTCCTGCCTCCGAGTCGAAGCAGCATCGACGCCATCGTCTCGTCATCCATTGGAGCAACAAAATCCTCTGCAATAATTTTGGCCGTCCTGCAAACAACAGTGAATTGAGATGTTTTGTAACCTGGTTTATTACTCTTCTATGATTTTTGATGAAAGTTGTTCGAGCATTGCAAAGGTTTTGACTTCATCGATGACGTTTCCGTTGGAGATCTTTAACATAAAAATCAATGTTCAAACTTCTGATGAGCGTATTTAGCTGAAAATTCACTATTTCAAAATTTTCAGCGAGGCATTGGGTGAACGACTGGAAATTAAAATAAATTAATTCAAATATATGGAGTGTCTGAGTTTCATTTATAATCAAACAAAAACCTTCATGGCAAAGCTGAAATTTTCAATGGTCCCGTTTAGAAGTCTCAGTAGTTTGGCTTTAGGATATAATAAGTAGAAATTATAGTGAATTTCATTTCAAACATTTTTTAAATACATTTCGTGAATCTGTTAATCGCCATACATTCATAAAACTTTTCTTTCATTTCTGATTGTGGAATTCTCCGCTATTGGAAAAAAAATTAATTTTGCAATCAGTGTAAAAATATATTACAAACCTCACAAACAAAGAACTTCTTTTCACCGCAGTCCCCGTAGTTCAACTTTGGGTCACCCAAAAAATATCCGTTGTGAATTGTGTTCATGTAAATGCACGAGTTTCCGATATCGTTCACGTTTTCCTCCCACGGCAACTTCGGCGAAACAAAGTCACTGGCGATTTTCGAACACCAACGAGACGCTTTGGGACATGCCGTGAATTTCCTTCCCGACGTCCAGAGTTGCGAAGTTGAAATAATTGCGTCGACTAAATGAAATAAAGGGTAACCAAATTACAATTTCAATTAAATAAAAACCAACTTAGAACGTTTTGCACACAGTTGAGCTTTTCTACGCTTCTTATGGAAACGAGCTCCATGCCTAAAGCACAGCAAATTTTCTTCGCCTCTGCCCAAGGCACCTTTTAATTAAAAATAGTTAAAAGTAACTTTTTACTATGAATACAAATTAAATACTGCATAGTTAGAAACTAAAGTAATCATTCCACAAGCTTGTGTCCAGGAGCCGTACGAAAGTGGGTCTGATGTAAAGATTCATTTTGAGTATATCTGAATGATCGATGTTAATTTTTACCGTATATTTCCTTTTTCCCCGTTTCAGTGAAAACCATTGTATCGTTCTACAAAAGTTAAAATATATCGCTATTGCAAATACGTTTTAAAATTTTCATTGGCTCACGTTGATTTCGCATGTTTCATACTGGAAACAACTTGGCGAGTCACATTTGTCGGTTTCAACTCTCACATTCTTTTCAGGATTATTCTCATCAAATTAATGCGATTAGTTGCAAACCAAATTATTTTCTTACAGTACTAGATTGAGAGACAAGGGCGAAATTCGCTCCTCCTTGGCAGGCCAACTGGTATTTGGAGGAGCATTGATCCGACCTGGCTGCCCAATTATAGCCGTCCAGCCTGGTGATGAGGACGCACGACCCGTCGCCCCCGTTTCCCAAAACTTCCATTCCGAATGTGCTGTTTGTGTGGAAACACGCGGTGTATTGGCCTGAGCAGCCGCTTTTTGTTCCCGAAGTCCAAAACACTCCGGAAAGGGCGAATTTCTCTTCAGTAGCTTTACAAAATAATATTTTATTAAATAAATTAAAACATGTTCAGTTTTTAAAGTATTTATTACTCTCAAATTTGCCATAGTAAATGCCATCTGGGTTCAGGTCGAGGGACAAAGGCTTCATTCCGAGCTCACAGCAGGTTTTCCAATTTTCACTCCACGTCACCTTTTTAAAGAATAATTGTGTTAAAAACAGTTTTTTTTTAATATTTTAATTTTCATCAAACCGGGCTCTGAGGGTCTCCAAAAAGATAAACTTGATTCTTAAATTCAATAACTTTTCCGAGTTTGTTCAGATCTAAAAAAAAAATGATTTTAAAAATCAAAATATATTTTTTTTTTAATAATTCAAATACTGAACCTTCCGAGTCTGCCGAGTTTTTATTTTTTTGCTGGTTAAAAATTGTAATTTCAACTGAAATATATTTTCAAGGAATTTTGTTTTACCAATTTTGAGCAGAAATTTGGGTTTGGGCAAATTGCCTCCTGGCATTTAAACTGTTTTTTACAAGTAAGTAATTTGAATTTTATACAAATATAAAACAAGACCTCGCAGAAAAAGAAATATTTTGAATTGCAATCTTTTTTGACGAGTTCTCCTGTGTCCTTATTTGCAACGATGCAAGTAGCCTTTTTCGAATATCGTTCTGCAAAGTTTGAGCCCAATTGCGAAACGGTATTTGTGGAGCACCAAGTGACGTCAGAGCATAGTGCGCTGCTCCATCTGGTCGCCTCGCTGCAAGAAGTTGCACTGGTCCACACAAATTTGTCATCGTCAGGATCATCTATTCGCCAAAAACAGTACAGAGGAATGAGGAATGATAAAATAAAATTTTTCCAAATATTTAATTTAAAAAATATTTAATTTACCGTTTTCCTCCCTGGCATTCTTTTCGACAACTGCAGCGTAAGAAAAAGGTTTCCTCCAAAATTTTGCTGTTCGTTCCATGTTGTTTTCAAAAGACAAAAGTTCCATTTTTCGCACTAAACAACTCTCCAGTGCATCTTTGTAGTTGCTCTTTTTAATAATAAATTAAATCACAAACAATCTGCTACATTTTCACTACTCAAACCTTTATCGAACTTTCAAAGTAAATCCTTCCCTGGTACTGAAATCTTCTGCCGTCAGCAACTTTCTTTGGTGCAAACAGTAGCTGCAGGGGATCTAAACAAAATACAAATTCGCAACAACTTATAGATTTAAATTCTCACTACTGTCATCGTAAAATTGTTCTAAAAAATTATCAAAAATAATTGGTATTTATTATTTCGGTATTTAAAAAAGCAAACCTGATCTAGAACTCTCGAAAAATTGCTGTGGAGATGGTAATAAAATCATCTTACAAATTAGAATTTGATATTTAAAATTTTAACCTCTTTGAGTTTCGTGTAATGAGCGCACATTTTTGGTGTCTGTGTAGTGGTACTCACAGTACTCACGGGTTTACGGGTGCTTTTGTTTTTGATTTGGGACATAGCGAGACTCTAAAAGGCCGAGTTCATATTAATTTCCTAAATTGACAAATTATTTTACCGTGAAAATTATTGCAGCGCTTAAAACAATCCATCGAATATTCATCTTGTCAATTTCCGATGAAATTCGAAACTTGACTGATGTTCGGTGTTTTCAAAAATCTGTACAGGACGTCCGTTGATATGAGGCCATGATTTTAGCAGAAAAGTTTGAATTTTTTAAACAATGTAACACCAACGTGTCAGGAAAACCGTGTTTCTGTTTTAACAAAATGCGACATTTTGATGTTGTATGATATCAAAAGTTCAGTTTGCAGTAAAATAATTGTGATTAATTATCTGAAAATTAAGTACTTACATTTAAATATCGTCATTGATTAACCATGATAAGCTTTAAACCCATTTAAGGGAATTAAAAACAACAATAAATTGATGAAAAATTGACTCTTAAGTTTTCCTTATATTTTATGGCGGTTAATTTTTTTTATTTAGTATAAAATTAACTATTTTCATCATTTTCCGCTCTACACCTTTCTTGCTTTTTACCATCACTTTCATTTTCAATCTTTCCCTCTACTTTGTATTTTGTAAACTTGAAAGAGAAACCGCGAGAGAGATGCCTTAATTCGCATTATTCTCTTTTGACGGCGTCTGTGCATGAAATTTGCATAGACACCTCGGGCTGCGAGCAAGTGCGATCTTTCCCACGGAACAACGCACGGCTTATCATTTCGCTCAACAGATGCTTTTTGTTTTTCCGCTGCCGAGTGGAAATTGGCGCGTGCACGTTCGCCCGTATTGCGGAAAGAGAGGCTTTTGCGTCCCACATGCTAATGTTAATTAACACTCTCACCATCGCAAGTGTCCTTTTCAGCGCTGCTCTCGTCCGTTTCTCGTTTAAATATTAATTATAATGCTGAAGTTTCGCGTCCGCCAAAGCACTTGAGAGATTTTTGCATCTTGATGAGGCAATTTTAAATCTTGCCGAAATCTCTCAAACGGAATACTTAATTAAGCTCAACTGCGAGCTTGATGAAATTTTTAATTTTGCTTCTCCGTATTTTTGCTCATTAATTTTTATTTTTATTTTGCAATCGGAATCAAAATTTTCCAACCCAACGCAGCAGATTTTCCGCTTGGCACTTCGTGGAAATGTAAAATAAAAAATCAAATTTTAATAAAATCACGAACAGAACATACAGCTAAAATGTTTTTAAGCTCTCCGAAACAAACTAAAACTTTTGTTTTGGCTAAAGACTGAAGTTAAATTAATTCAAAATTAATTGACAAAAAAAGTATAGCTCCAGCTTATTGAATAATATGGTTCAAATATAAAAATTAAAAGTATTTCCAAAGGATTACTTTTTATAGTAGGTCACGTCGAGGTCATAACTATTTTAAGTCGCACTTCTTCAGAATGCTCTCGGTGAATTAAACTTAAAAACAATTGATTTTATTGTTTGGCTTAACGTAATTTTTTTTAAATTAGTGCCCGTCATAAATTTTAGAAGAAGAAAGTAATGTTTTTTTTATTAAACATTGCAAAAAATCGATTTGCAAAAAGACTTTCCTTTACAATTTATTTGTCAACAAAGACTTCACCTTGGACTTTTTCAACGAAAATTAGAGCTGCGCCTCTTTTGAAAAATGAGATTTTTAACCATAAAACACTCTTAAGACTTATTTTATTTATTCTCTCATATTATTTTTTCAGTTAGGTTTTGTAGACTTTGCAGTATCATAAAAAAGCAGCAGTTTTTCAACGCTGAATAATTAAAGCCCCGACCGTGCAAAATAACATCCGAAAATTATTGCCGTGTTTTCTCCTGCGAGAAAAGCTCTCTCGTGCAGCTTTCGCCGAGCAGTAATTGCAGTGCCGCTTCTTAAGCAAAAAAGCCCCATAACATGGCAAAATTACAACCCTTTCGCTTGGGGCGCCGTCGAGACCCTCCTCGTGCCCCAAGAGGCCTGCGATACATTTTCACTGAAAGCAGCAGCATAATTTTAAATTAAGACCGCCTTGTTTAAATAATGGTCCCTAATTTTCGCACACGGAAAAAAGAATTTGCATCAGAGACTCATGATCACATTAAAGCCCACTTCTTGTCACTGGCAACGCACGTAATTGGTCGCATCCGAGCTCTCAAAATGCTTTGCGAAATTTGGTTACAGAGCCATGTTTCCCTTAAAAGCGATCCTATCAACCAAATTCTGTGGAAAAAAAGTAATAAAAGCGACTGAAAAAGTCCTGATCTCAAATATTTGCTCTGCAATAAATTTATTTAATTCTATAACTTTTTTAATTTAAAATTTCTTACATTTTGATCATGATATTTTTAATGCAATTTTATTATTTCTTGATACATTTTTTTACTAGCCTGTTTTGAAAGAATTTATATTCGTATAAATATTCGTGTATAAATATTATTATATATATATATATATATTTTTTTTAGCAGATCTTGTTTTCTGGCTTAGATATTTTTTTATGAACTCTAATTTTTGAAGTAATTTAATCTATCCATGAAAAAGTTTGAATTTTGCAAAGTTATGTATTGCATTATAAAATTATTTAAAATTTAACCCAATTAACTTTTATTTTACTTAAATAATTAAATCTACAATTTGATATTTGCGTTTGAGGATTAAACAAATTAAGAATATAACAAAATACACCAAAATTATCTTTGATACATTTATACATTTTTTTTTTTTTATTCCAAACCAGATTTGAAAAAAAAATCACTCCTGCAAGATTCCAATTACACTTGGCGAGGAAGATGAAGTCATTAATACCTCTGGCGAAGGAAATTCAGTTCACCATTTTTCACATCTCACCGTCAGGCGAGCTGGGCCGAGCGACGGGCGGGCGGATCACCTTTTAAAAATTACAGGCGCCTGCAGAATGACGTCATCGAGGGGTTGGCGCCACACGTGCGAGGGTGGCCGCAGCCGACTTTCTTTCTTTGCCTCGCGCCCCAGACATTTTATTCGACTCCATCAGACGAGAACTAGATGCTATTTTTAACTTTCCAGACAAGAAAATTAAAAGAACTTGTGTTTTTGTAGAACGAATGCGAGGATGATTTACAAGCTACAAAACCTTACAGTAAAACTATATCAATAGTTTTCTAAAAATAAAATTTTACTCGCATCATTTTTATACAGAATTAATCAATTATTTTATGTAAAAAATTTGCTTTGAAACTAAATGAAGTTGAATAACTTCTAAAAATACAAAAATAAGTAAAATTTCAGTGAATGTTGCTTACAATTAGAAAGTAAATGACCGAGTTTTATGCTACATAAATAAAAAAAAACAGTAATAAAGAATCCAACATTTAATATTGACTCGGTTTGGCCAGCGCGTTCAAATAAAGTTCTTTAAAGCGCCAGAAAAATAAAAAATTAGAAAAATTTAGTGGTTTTATGAATAAAATTAAATTTGTGTTTTTCAGACTGAAAGGTTTACAGTACAAACTAGGTGTTATTTGCAAATTGCCAGCTTCATAATCGCTGTTCAAGCGTTAAGCAACAGAACAACAATAAAATTAAGCCTTTTGCATCGCCCTAAAGAGAGCGAGCAAGCGCGACACATGTTCAACGGGCTCTGCTCGGAGTTAACACGCATATGTACGATGTGTGAGGCGAATACATAGTAAATGCGGGTCTGTTTTCACATTTGTCACCGACGAGCGAACCAACGCAGTGTTTTGCAAAACAGCGACGGACACACGGAAAATCGGTTGGAAAATCGACCAAAATTGAGTCACAAAATTAATGTTACACGAAAAACACATTTACTGACGAACAAATTTTGTCAATTTATTTCATTTAAAAATAGGTTTATTTGTTAAAATATAATTAATTTTAAAAACGCAACTACCAATAAAATATTGAGTCATAGATTTTATTCAATAAATTAAAAATTTTCATAATAGTACAAAACTTCATTCTAAAATCTTTGCGCACAAGATTTTCAAAATTAAATAAATTAGATTTATTTTTGATAGATTCAATTTAATTATTAATATTTCATTAAAACTTGAGCGATTACAGATTAAATCAACTTAAAAGATTTGGAAACGTCTTGTAAAATTGTAGAAAACAGAAAATAAATCCTCTTTTATCCTCTCTTCGGGGCCCATTTTCTTCCCTCATAATCAAATTCCAATCCCCATGCTGAGCTTTTCTTCTTCTTCTTTAACGGTGTCGTTTCTCGTTTATGTTCGCAGGCACAAAGGGTTCCTGAAGGACTGTCCGAACGGGCTGCTGACCGAGCAGGGCTTCATCAAAATCTACAAGCAGTTCTTCCCGCAGGGCGACCCCAGCAAATTCGCCACCCTCGTGTTTCGCGTCTTCGACGAGAACAAGGTACTCGATTCTGTTGCCCAATTAATTTGCACTGATGAGAAAACGCGCACGTGTGTTCCGTGCGTATTTACCTGCGATCAAGAGAGCAGGCAAATGCGTAAATTAATATACATGTGCGCGTGCATGAGGCGGCCCGAGATTAATTAAATCGCTGTTTAGGACGGCTCGATCGAGTTCGAGGAGTTCATCAGAGCACTCTCCATCACCTCAAGAGGAAACCTCGACGAGAAATTGCACTGTGAGTGAATAATTAAATTATACAACTCGTCTTCAAAGCTATAGAAACAAACTATTTATTGTCTGCGTAATAATACAGATATGGAAAATATTTGTTAGTAATTTAAAAAAAAAAATGAACTTAAATTTGCCATTATTTTATTCATGAAGCGAAAAAGAATGAGAAGATTTCAAATGAAGAAGTCCTTCAAATATAATGAATAAAATCAACGTCAAAACAAATCTCATTCCTAGTTTGAAAGTGAAATGCATGGGCAGATTATTTCATTTGCGCCTTCTTAGATTTAAAATTATGTAATTTTTATCGCAAAAAATATTTAATTAAATCCTTATTGACAAAATATAAGCCCAACAAACGTTTTAATACTTTTTGGTGTTTGAATTATCATGAATTATGTAGTATTATTTTACAAGGGATATACTTGAAAGATATCAATCAAACTGAATCACAAAAATTTTTAAATTAGGAACTTTTGAATAATTGCCTTTGTCTCGGAACGTAACTCCAGGTAAAGGCGATAAGTCAAAGGTTAATAATTTAATTATTTCCCGTTATGAGTGGTTTCAAAATACAAAAATTATATTAAATTTGAGATTCTTGGTGAAAATCATGAATTTAATTTTTAGAATCTCTATATCTTTATTAAATTTTATTATTCCGGTGCATTACAGGAATTTTAATAAAACGCGCTGGCCGAAATGTTTAAATTCTTGCTTGTTAATTTTTTTTCATGCTTTTCGACACTTTCGCTAGTAAAAAATTTCAAATTTGTGAAAGGCACCAAAACAATGGAAGCGCCGTCAGCTCTCTTCCGCCGCCGTGCTTGTACCTGCTCAATGTAATATCCATGTACGGCGTGTTGTGTTTCAGGGGCATTTAGACTGTATGACGTGGACAATGATGGATACATCACCCGCGAGGAGATGTACAACATCGTGGATGCCATCTATCAAATGGTGGTACGTATCATGTGTGTGCCGACACGTCACAATTCTCAGAACACAGAAAGAAAAACCTTCTTTTTTTGCGTAAAAAAAGTATTTTTTTCCTCGTAGGAAATTTTTTTTCATACAAATAATAAAACGAGAGACGACTGCGTGATTTAATTCCGACTTTCTGAAAAGCGCCTCTCTCGCTTCAATTAAATTTAATTCTGCAGCAAAAAAGGCGGCCAAATTGAATTGCACGTTTTTTTTTCCTCGTACTCCTCTCTTCTGAAAGGATTTCTCTTTTCATCTTGGTCGGGCACGTTTTGCATTAAAAATATTTGTGCTTTTTAGGGTCAGCAACCTCAGCACGAGGATGAAAACACGCCACAGAAGCGGGTGGACAAGATTTTCAACCAAATGGACAAGAACCACGACGACAAGCTCACACTCGAGGAGTTCCGCGAGGGCAGCAAAGCCGACCCGCGCATCGTGCAGGCGCTCTCCCTGGGCGACGTCAACTGATCAACACCTCAAATACCCAAGGTATGCTCAAAACAAATACGATTATTGCATCTATAGTAAATTATGTTTATGTAAATAACAATTTTGATAAAAATGAAAAATAAATTCATTCATACCTCTAATTTCTGTAAATTTATTAAGTTAGCAATTTGACAAAATTGAACAAATTTTCCTCTTTAATATTTACGGAACTGATCCCAACTAATAAAGTTTATTTGATAATTGGCATTGTTCATTTTTATGTGTTGCAGGAAGCAGCGCCGTCATTCTGCAGGCCAGCAGTACAGCAGGGCACGCATCCGCGGCCGTTGCGAATATTGACTCAAGTTTACCTAATATTGTGATTTTCATTCCTTAAATATTGTATAATGCATAATGCGCTCGCATACTGAGATTTTTAATTATAAAGCAAAAAAAAAGAACATTAAATATTAAAATTAATTAAATTATACTATACGCATTGTTGATCAAGATTTAAAAGATTCAAGATTCTCATCTATTTCTCTCTGTATATTTCACGCAAAATAAAACTCACAATCGACAGTTGTTAAATATCACTCACTCACACACGCATCAAAATAAATTTTTATTGATTAAAAAATTAATAATAAAATAATGTACCAAAACACTCGAAGCAATCAGTCCGGTTGATTTATCGCGGCCTATATTAGTTAGAAGGTGGCTGATGAACGGTTATTTAAAAATTTCCATTAAACTGCCATGTTGTAATAACTAAGTTGAGAGTCAAGAGTAGATTGTAAATCCTCTGTGCGAAGAAAAATAGCGGTTTAGGTTCATCAACCAACCACCGAGGAGCGTGTGTGAATTATTTTTTATATATTTTCTTTGCAGCGAAAAGCATCGAAGATTTATAGAGAGTGCGCGCGTTTCAAGTGATCAATCAAGTGTCCAAGAAGTGTGCGAGGACGATTAATTGGGTTTAAAGTATTTAGGAATCGTGTATTTGTTATTGAGAAAGCAAACCGCAAAAATAATTATATATTAACATAAATATGCACAACACTGTCCTTTTGAAGCTCATCATTGGATTGCGATTGTTAATAATCCTCTTAGTGTTTTTAAAATAATTCATTCAGCTTTTTATGAGGAACAAATTTCAACCAATCTGCGCGTAATACCTCTTAATATCACGGAAAATGACTCTTGTAAATATATTCCAGTTTTCAGTGTGATTTTATATCAACGTATGATAAAAAAAAAATACTCGACGATTATCATTATAGCTGTACAACTTTTGGGTTTTAGGTCGTTGGATGAGCTTTATAAATTTTTTTTTAAAGATTTAAAATTTCCCTCCTTGCCTTTTTGTTACTGGAAAAAAATTATGAAAAAATAGCAATCCAATTTCTTTTTTCCGAAAAATCCGAAAACCTGTTCAGCTCATCCAATCACCACTACCCAGGAGGAAAATAAAGAAAAATGTATTGTTTGAATTTGGAGTTGAGTTTGAAGATTCATGGCTGCCGCATGTCTTTCCACGTTAGCGCCACAGTCGAGATGCAATGAGAAATCGAGCATTCGAGACCCTCTTTTAATCGTAATTTTCCACGCGACAGAGTTGATTATTCATTGATTGATAAGTACGCGGAAAATTTTTTGAAAAAATATATAAATAAACACATCTGAGTTTGGAAAAATTGAGCTGGTGAAAAAATAAAATAATTTTCCAATTGTGCAATGTAAAAAATTAAATATTATATTCAGACGCCGTTACGTGTGTGTGCATTTAAAAAAATACCTAAAGTTATTAAGAGAAGAGTTGAAACAAACTGCTTTGAGTGTCGCCTATTCTGCTTTGAAGAAGTTGATTTTTGCTGCACCTACATTGAGCTGAGCGAGTGCCTGCATTGTTAGCGAGTGAATGTAAAGTGCGTGCTAATTTCGATCATTAAAAAGTTGTATGATAATTACAATGAATTCATTCTGAAAAAATTGTTTACAATACAAAAATGCTTCGTAATTTACAGTTAATCCCATCGGTCGTTACCAATTGTTATTTTCATTGATTGAATTTGTTCTGTAAACCATTTTGGAAAAAAAAACTGAAATCATTCTCGAATTTGACAACTCTGATGAAATTAAAAAAAAAAAAAATACATATATAATATGAGTGTGTTCGATGCAAAAAATTGTTTGAGTGCAGTTCCGCAATTTTTTGGTACAAATATTATATCTGAAACGTGATTAAATAATATTTTAATTATTGTAAATACTCAGCAAAATGCACAAATAAAGTTGTGTGTAATTCCGATACAACTTAAATCCTGGCTCTCATTTATTTTCATACCATAAAATGAAACTTTTTAGAATTTTAATTTTTACAGATATCTTCCTCTGACATTTATTTTTTATTTTTCACTTTAGAACGTCATCGCTTGATGCTGCTTTATTAGCTTTTTCAGATTGCGCTGCGCTGGTGGGGCTGAAATATTTCTACATATAAATAAAAGTGCGTATCTTTTTTTAGTTTTGTCTACTGCACAGTTGTGAGATAGTTATTTATTTGCCGATATAATACAATCCAATTACACTTGTTTTATTGACCAGTTCTACTGCACATGAGCGCATAAAATTTGTTCAATCTATATTACAAAATGTGCAATGATATTTTCACCGGTACTTAATTTTTCCGATTCACTCAAGCACACGTCACAGAAACTACTCCAACAGTACGGATTTTTCGTGATTTTTTACAGGATACAGAGCATTATAATTTCGTAAAATCGTCAAACACACTTAATAATATATGCACCATCAAAGTGACGCATATTAATTATTACTTTTTATTATTTTTATTTAACAATTTTGCATGATTGTATAGTCTGCCTTCTATTGAATTTCAAACATGGCACCTTTACCGAGATCTGTGATGACAAGAGAGAGTGTACTAATGATTAGATTTTGAGCATAATATATGCACTTAACGATTTCTTGAGTCGTAAGTATACGCGTGGAATGTAGGAATGCAATGCTCTTTGTGTCAGTAATTATCCCTAGAATAATATACACATCTGCGCGATAACCACAAGATGCAGGTTTAACTAGTTGGTCAGGTCAGAGAGATCATAATTGGAGTATATTTTGGTTAATATATTTTATATTTGTCAACAACTTGATGTATTGAAGAATGTGAAAAATATTCAATAAATATTATTTCCATTTGAATTATTATTAAGGATTAAATTAATGAATATATAGGAAAACGTTTTCTAAATAAATGGATAGGAAAAGTAAAAGGACTCGATGTGTAAAATGCAAACTGCGTAAAAAAACTAAAAAACTTTCCTTGTATAGTCAATAATCTGCTCTTCAGCAAACCGCAGAACTGAATTCACTGCTTGCACCAATGAATTATTGTGACACAGCCATCGACCGGTTTCCTTTTCATTAAACAATAGATTCTCGTAGAGGCTCAAAATCATCATTCGGACTTTGAGAGCCCAAAGGTGAGGGTCACACTGGTGTCACGGGACTGACCGCCTCTATGTCGCCAATGGACCTGACCCTGCGGTGCTGCTGCTGACGGGCAGACCCTGAGGAGGTTGATGACGATGACGCTGGAATGCCATGCAACTGCTCGCCGACAAAGGACGGCGCCTCGGACGTTGGCGAGGCCAACGAACTCTCCGGTGAGGCGGCTTCGTAGTGATGGTACAGCTGGTGGTGCTGCCGCTGCATCTCCTGTTTCACCCGCAAGCCAAGCGCTCTGCTCAGGGATCCCTGCAAGAAGAGAACAAAAATAAAAAATTTTATCTAAGAGGGCCATTAATTTTGTTCTAATTTGTAATAAAATCAATATCATAAGTAATTAATAAAAAGGAAATTTATATTTTAATTTAAATTAATTTGGAATTTTTCTGTTTTTCAAATATATGTATTGCTTTTAAAATTAGTGATTATGAGAGGATAACTTTCATACAGTGACCAAAAAAATAATTAAGCTTACTCGCAAACTATTCCTGGTGCTGCGGTCCTTTTCAGCGGCCGACTCGCCTCCACTAGTCTCGACCATTGCGGCTCCTTCCTGGTGGTGTTGATTCTGCAGACTGCCGGCATACGAGCGTGAGAAACTTCTTCCTAGACTGCCGCCGCTCATGAGTTTCTCGTAACGGCGCCGCTCGAGCTTGCTTAGTTTTACGTTTTGCTCAACAGCAGCTCTTTTTTAGCAAGAAGTGAAGACGGCAACAAAAACAAAAGATAAAAACAAACATGAGGCGCACGCATTTATACAAAAAAGGCAGGATGGGTATTGAAGTTGCAAGATTTCAAGCGAATGAGGTCAGCGTCAAATTGTCAGAAAACGTACCTTGCTGGATGAACAAGCGCCTCCAATTCAGTTGTCAAGTGCCGCCGAATTATGTTCTTTGATTGGGGAATGCCCAAAGCCGAGGCCATTGTTTCTCCATTAAATGAGGGCTCCAGCACCACTAGTGCTCCATGGACACCGCTGTCTGTAATGTTAAAATTCCCTTTAGTTTCTAAATTTGTGGAATAAAATTTATATTAAACGTTCTTATTTTCATTAAAAAAAAAATATTAAATCGCCACAGTGCTTTTTTATCTACCAAATATATATATATATTTTTTAAATCCCTGATTGATAAATAAATCATATAATACCCTTGATATTTTCGGCGTATTCATTCAGATCAATGTTCCTGGCCCACCGGATGAAGCGTTGATTTGTCCACACAATCGGATCAGCGTCAACATTTTCACACTGGTGCCTTCGAACAGCCAGGGCCTAGGAAAATTTGAAAGTTGTACACTCTAGCTTGATGTTTTTTGAACAAATAATACTTGTCTGTCATATCTCATCATTCTGAGCAAATGAATTCCATGAACAATTGAGGCTTGATGGAATTTTCTAGTCACACCGAGGAACTTTTCCAACTCTTTCTTGCTTAGGTGATCCAACATTCTGGCGTCAACCATGTTGGTAGCAAAATTCTCAGAGTACTAAAATTGAAAGGTACATTTTTTAGATTAATTATTAATAACGCAACTTAAAAATAAGACGTTTCATTAATATCATGAATTTGTAAATTTTTTATGGACTCTGATTATATTAAAATTGATTTTACCTGTGAAAGACCCAAATCAGGAAGCCACTCACTGGACACCCATGCATGGCCCAACTGAGCCATGCAAGGATACCGCACCAATGAGGGATGGCGATGCTGCTCAATCGCCAGTCGAAGTTTTTTCCTGTGCATGTGATGCGTGATTCCCAAGCCAACCTCGAGCTCTACGTCACTCAGCTCAAGCAGCACCTGAATAAAAAAAAAAAATATTTACAATTTTTTATTAATAAAAGTCGCCAAGTCAGACTATCCTATGATGAATAGTGCAGTTTAAAAAATTAATATAAATTTTAAAATAATCATTAAATTTCAATTTTTTAATACAGCTTTTTATAAATATTTTTTATATATTTATATTTTGTGTTTTTGAGGTAAAATGTTTTAAATTACATTAATTAAATAACTGTTGAAGTAAGAATAAAGTCTCACCTTGCCGCTTTTCACATTCTCAGAGCACCTGGGTCCATACTGCGGCATCCCCAGGGCAATCTCCAGCCAGGCAAGCACGGTTGGCGCTCTCCACCGCTCCATTGGGATAGATGACGCTTCGCGCAACAGACGAAGCTTTTCAGCATAGCCTTCCTCAGTTAACGGTGACCAACTTCGATATGACGGATCGACAGCTTTGTGAATAGAAACAAAGAAGGGTTTAATAAATAATCTGATCCGATTTAAATTTTTACTTGTTCTTTTGAGTTTGTATTATTTATTTTGTGAATAAAAAAAAGTGGAACCATTTAAATTAAACGCATTTTGCCTTTTTTATGAAATTAAAATTCAATTCCTAAAGGTTTAAAAATTAAAACTGGCCTTACCATTGCCATCGTGACTAGGACTGGTCATCTTTCGGTGCCTGCTTCGCGCAAAAACCCTGGAAATGCTTCCCCACGTGCCGCCCCTGCCCAATCTGCCGGTGCCTTTTCTTCGGCCTGTTATTGGTGGTTCTGATGAATCCTGCAACTGCTCAACAGATCTGCAAGACCCCCGAGACAGCACTCTAATCAATAGACGTGATTGCATTTTATTATATAAATAAGTCAATTACACTTAATTAAGGGTTGCCTTGAACGCATGCATTGAATAATGGCCAATGAAAAGTAAACACCAATTTAATGAATAGAGAACCAGCTCAGCTTAATTACTCAAATTAAATCAAGTATGGAGAAATTTGGAATTTTCAATAATTGCAAAAAACACAAACTTTTCTGAGCCCCTGCAATGCATTTTTGTTACATTTTAACTTACCTGGACAGAATCGAGTTGTCCTGAATCAATGCCGCAAATGGATTTGCGTTCATTGGTGATAAAGTAGGACTCTCTTTAGGAGAAGCTGCAGCTAAAACAGAAAAATGAAATCGCAGTTTTTAGTCGAATAAATTTTTTGCACGGAACAAAATTAATATTGATAAATTGAATAGACTTAAGACTTACAGTGGTAGGTGTGTTGTCCGATGATGGACGACACAACCGATATTGAGTCCATGTCGATGTTTCCACCCCCTCCCGTCTCCACAGTGATTGTCGGAGTGCCTGTGAGGCCAAGAGACCATGAGGTGACTACAAAGAGGATGACACACCACGCACAATAAATATTTAGTACTCACCGTCTGTATTTGAGTCTGAAAGATTTCCACCTCCTGCCGACGTAGCACCGCTTTCTCTGTCCGAGCTGCCTCGGACTCCGGAATCGGCACTGCTGCCCCGATCGCCGGGCAACCCTGTGCCCACTAAGCTGGTGACGCCAACACTGCTCAAAAGGCCGCTGCTGGTCGGTGTCCTCAAACCATTCACCAGGCAGTCTTGTTCAGTCATGTAGCCAGTAGCTTTTTTGATCTGGAAAATCATAATTTAGTATGCATTTAAAATTTCATTGAAGTTAAAAGCGGTTAAAAGTAACAATTAAAAAAAAATGAGAAATAAATTATAATTAGGGGTTTTTGCAGCGCTGAGAGAAATGGAGGCTAAAAAAATGAGCTTCTTCTTCGGCGCCGAGAAAGTTTGCGCTGAACCCCTAAGACCCAGTTTTACGTAAGCCAAAAATTTAGGAAAATAAATAATAATTATTATATTTAGCGGTAGAATAAAATTACATGGGAAAATTAACTCAAATTTAAAAGTGTATTAAATTAATTACTTTTTACATTAAATGTTAACTCTGACCTCTAGGATATGTTCCTGCAGCTGTTGAATTTGAGTCTCCCTGGCGGTCAGTTGAGCTGCCAAAGCCAGGCTTCTCTCTGCCTCGTCCCTGGCATGCCTAAGAAGTGTCCACCGCTCTCGTTCTCGCTCCTCTCTCTCGGCAGCCAGCTGCTGTGTCGAAACCTCTGTGTCCCTCATCTGAACCAACCAGTCAAGTTAATTCAATTTTTATAGTAATTTTCACATTTTAAAATTTTTTCAAAGCAGTCTTTCTGAATTTTTACCTGCTCATAATTTCTAATGAAATCGCGCAGCTCCGTCTCCTTGTCATCGAGAGTGCTGTAAAGTTGTTTCATTTGGTTCAGCAGGTCAAATTTCTCAGACTTTAGTTTCTTCCTTTCGGCTTTCACAGCTACCAAGGAGCAAAAGAAAAATGGGCCAGTGTAATTAGCATTCATGTTATTTACTCTATTACTAACCAGCAAGCGCGTCCCTTGTACTTTCCAGCTCAGCGCTGAGTGCCAGAGCCTCAGGCCCGAGCAAACATTTCAGCTCAGCGATTTCGCGTTTAAGACGATCATTTTCTGCTTGCAATTCACTTTCATTGCCACAAATGCTGCTTCCCTCTCCAGGGTCTGTCTCTGAAAATATCCAATAAACTTCACTTGTAAATTATAAAATGTAATGAAAAAAAAAATAGGAAAAAAAACATAAAAAAAATCCATCACATCTTACCCCTACTTTAAAATAAGAAAAATAATTAATAAACTTTTAGGCCAGATTTTGGTTTATTTATTTTTCACTGCAATAATTGAGAAAAAATACTCAAAAACTCTGTATAAAAAACGTCAACTCACCCATTGCAGCAGTGGAAGCCGTGCTGCATCCTGCGACCGGTTCCGACTGCTCCTGAACGGCGTTCGCAGCTGCAGTCACCACTGGAACATGCAGTCTTGGCGGAGGACTAGGTGGGATTTTCGGTGGCTGCTGGTTTTCAGCCGAGCCGAGTGAGGAGGAGTCTTCGCTGCTGCTAGGAGCAACGGCCAGATCTTCGAGGCGACGATTTGCATCTGCCAGATCGGCCCGAACCACGTTTGCGTCCTGCTGGGTGGCCTGCAGGGTGCCATCGATGCGCGAGGCAAGTGTCTTGTTTTCATCCACCATCCTGCGGAATTTTGCCTGTGAACGCAAGTGGAAAATTAGATGATTTCAATATATGATTTTAATATTATGCTCTGTCAAAAAATTTGAAATACGTGTTTGAAGGGTTGGACATGATTATTATTTCTTATTTCCCACCAGTAAAATCAAAATTTTGTAACGGTGTGGCGATGACAATATAGCTGCCCACAAAAGCGCAATTCAGCAAAATTTTTATCGCCGGCCGGTGCATTCTCTCCTTCTGTGCTTTTTAATATTAATTTATACTCCAATTCGGCTTGTTTGATCTGAAAAATTAATTCTTGTGCGTCGCACATGCTTAAAACAGAAAAATTACCAATTGAAAGCGACCAAGTAAATTGATAAAACGAGCTAATAAGAGCATCTAAATTACAAGAGTACGCTAATTTTCATAAATGGGCGCGCTCAAATTTTTTGCTCACGCACTTCCGCAATTATTCTCAGCTTTTACAATCTTGCACTCGCGCTCTGCTAGGAGCTAACGTGATATAAAAGAAGGGCCATAAAATTTATAGAGAAAAAGCAAAAGATATTGAATTATTGCTCTTTAATGACTTGTCATCGCGATGTATATGAAATCATTTATTTAAAAATTTTGCAGTGTTTTTAAATTAATTTTTTGAGAGTTGGAAGGAGGTATTCTGAATATTTTCAAAATTTGAGTGAAGTTTATTCTGTCCAAACAAGTGCGAAAAAAACATGTTTTTTTATGCTCAAATCCAGATCAAATTAATAATAAAAAAAAATTTTCACACATTCTAAACAGAAACGCTTTAACGCATATTTCATCTCCATATGTACTATAAAATTATTTAAAACCATTGTTGATACGTTCAGAGTCCAACTATAATTAAGAAATTTTGATGTAGTTTGAGGCGGTTTGTTTGTGTGATTTGTATAGATATCTTGTATTCTTTCTATGTGTGTTTCTCTTTCTCTTCAAATAATAATCATGCTGCTAATGAGTAATTGCATCGTAGTGAGACGGCTCAATTAAGTCAATAAATAGCAATTGTCTGACCTCTAAATTATTAAACATAAATGAAACCAATTTAGTTATTTTATTTTTAATAAAATGAGTCACCAGAGTTTTTTTATGGAAATAAACGCACAGAATTCAAGGAAGGAAGAGGATATTGGGCGATAAAAATGTTAAAATAACAAAAGCAAATAGGTCACCTGTGTTGTCTTTGCACTGTAGAGATTTGTTCAACAGTAAACTGGTTAGTCTCGTCCCACTCCCGTCCAGTCATTTACAGAACGCACTTTTGACCACCCTGGTGTGTTAAGACACAGAAACAAAAAGAACGTAAGCAAAAGTGCCAAAAATAATGCACTGAGAAAAGAGATCTGCAAGAATGAGAAATGATGAGTTAGTAAGAAAGAATTAAAAACGAAATTCACAATTTAATCATATCAAAACAGAATAATTTTGTGATCAGCAGTCAGTTCTGGTGAATTGAATTTGAATACGGCTTTTCCTCGACGGCCTTTTTGAGTTCTTTATTGTTTCGTAGAAATACAATCCTGCTTTAAATTTTAAAAACACGCGTGTTCTTGGATTAAAGTATCAAGTCTATAAAATAAAAACTTGGGTTTCATCAAAAATACGCCAAATTAAAATTATGTATAGAACCAGGCTTGCTATTGAAAATATTTCTCAAAATAAAAATTAGTGCGCAGAATTGCATAATTTATGCCTTTTGTTAGCAAAATATAAAGGCGACAGTGAGAAACGAAAAAACCATTGAGAAAAAACCAACATTAAACTCAATTAGGCATAAATAAGTTTTAAAAGAAAATTTCTTTCCAATTGAGAATTTAGAAGAATAAAAAAAATTCTCTTAAAAAAACTGATAAATAGTATAGACAGTCAATCTACCAGCCAATGCTTTTCTAGAACAATGCAAGCAGCAATGTATTTTTCAAATGCAAATTTTTTCCACTTAATTGTATGAAAAAGCATGCAATTTACGATTTGTATCATATCATTAATTCAAACAATATCCAACAAATTTTGGATTTTTTTAAGTAAAAGTGTTTCTTTCTATTGTTTTATTTGGCACAAAGCAATTTATTTATGATATACCTGTGCGTCTTCGAGCAACCTTCTCATCAGAGCCATGGAGGTGTAGAAGGTCGATTAGTGTCGATCGCCGTCTTTGAACCCATCGTAACAAAGAAAAGGGCTGTTACTGAACGCAGCAGCGGGTATGCCCACCTTCAGGGGCTGCCCTATCTTTTCTCATAGAGGAAGTTCGCAGGAGACGCAACACTGCAAATAAGGAAATAAGTCTGTTTAATCATTAAAAAGAGTCTAGAGAATAATTATATTATATTATCTATATCGATTTTATTTAATTTTTTTATTTTTAGAAAAACGATTTCAAATATTTGAATTCTGTTAGTTTGAAACTGCTTCTTAAAATATGGCCGCTGCAGATGGAGTCTTTTAAATCTCAAAAGTTTGGGAAAAATCTTTGCATTGTAGCACTTTCTATACCTTAAATTGAAGGTTTCGCTCCCGACCTTTAATTTTCTTTCAATGTGTAAACTTTTAACAAACTTCGACAAATTAAGGGAAAAGAATAACTAATAATTAAATATGACGGATACAATCGAAGCGCGCTGCTTTTTTAATATACAGATAGTGTGTATTTCAATATTGAATGGAGAATAAATAAATTAATAATTTTTTCGCTCTAGCTTAAATAAGAATATTACAACTTTTCTTGAGAAATATGCCTAATATTTTTGTTATCAATATATTTTTTAACCGTTGTTAGTTTTTAACTTTTTCACCTTCCTCATTTTCTTCCGATCCAATTTACTACTGAGAGGATAAATTATAATTTCCAACCTTGAACCGCTTATTGTACGGTCAAAAGTGTAAATATATTCTTTGATGGCACACTTGAATATTCATATAAAAAAAAACAAATGCTTTGCTAAAAATATAAATAAATAAAATTGAAGTCCATAAGAACAATGTGATGTGAAGTTACATAAAAAAAAAAATATATATAATATTCACAACGCTAAAATTTTTGAAAATCAAAGAAATTAAAAAAAAATCAGTGTTCAAAATTGTAAAAAGGGCTTTGTTTTTCTTTTCACTTGGCGTTTATTCGACCAGAGAGCGCGGAAAGCTCAAATAATTACTTTGTAAAGAAGTTTAATAACAAGATTGAAGGATTATTGTGAATTTTTGCAGTATTTTGCAATGATAAAGCACTTATTGTAACTAATTTATGAAAGAGTTAAAGAGATTAAGAGAGTACTACGCTGTGTGGTTTTACAATTATTACTGTAAGAATGGGTCACATACAATAATTTAATTTCAAAAGACTTTATAACATTAATTAATTAATTGTAGACGAGAAAGAAATGAGTGTCTCGATCACGTGTTGATTGATATTAATGCAAACACGAAAGAAAAAAAACGAAATATTCAACTACTTTCTTTTACTTTAAAGTAAAACCCTGAAAAAGGCGTTTCAATCTGATATTCATGTTTTCATTATAATTCTGACAACGATATATCTCATAAAAACCGGGATTAACCTTGTTGAAAAAAATAAAGGACAACTGACCCCAAAAGTCAACCTGCGGTCGGCTGTTACTTTTTTCACAAAATCCAACTCGAGTGTTAACTTTCAAGGATATCTCAATCGAGCGTGGTTTAGTTTACATTCATCGATTTTTATTTCGAAAAGGAAAAAAAATATTTTATGTAACTTTACATTATTATTATTTTACAAAATGCTGCTTTTTAATAAGCAGCTGTAATATCCTCCTGATTTTAAATTTCAACTGACATTGGTTCATTTCTGCAAAATCGATAAATTGCCTATTTGGTTTAAACACACATAGTCATTTTGTGCGCGCTCATCTCTTGCATTTCAACAGTTTACAAATTAATGTTTAATTAAAGCAAGTGAGAGAGAAATGAAATTTTCCCATGCAAATAATGTAAAATAAATAATCGCGATTTCCATATGAGACTTATTAATACAAGAGGTGGCCGAAATTCTCAGAGCAGTTTAATAGGGCGGATAAGATTACTTGACCGTGGGGAGAAAAGAGCCGTCGCGCGAAACACTGCGACCGAGAACTATCAATATAATAATAACGATTTTTTTAACCTTTATATATGCATGCAGTTTTTGATTTAAATTACAATGACTAGCGAATACATAGAAAAATAATAGTTTACCTTCGTGCGGATATAGTCGAAGAGCTCGAGGGCCCCCGAAAGCGGCGCTGCAACGAAGAAATCCTCAAGACGATCGTATGTAGGTGCGGTTCTTGAGGCCGAGAGCGATGAATCAGTGCATATTGCCGAGGCAACAACAAAGTATCTGACTAGGGAGGAACACACAATGCAAGAGGGCCAGAATCAATCAAGGCGTTGAGGCGCTGCGGACCCACAGAGAAGCACTCATGCCCGAATTGTCGTCACTAAATCTTCCGATCGGGACTCACCGAGCACTTAAACGCCAGAATTGAACGCCTAGTTTGCGCGAGAACACTCAAAAGTCCACCAGTTCGATTTTGACACTGCGAGTTGACAGTCTCGATCGGACCGAGCGACCGACACCCAGCCGAGGGTTCGTCAGAATTAATAAGTAAGAGAGAGGGGGGCAAACAGGGGAGGTGTGACGTAATGCACCATACACCCCACCACCCTCTAAAAACTTTTGCACCCTAAGGAGAGAACGCAGTAAACGAAATACACATTCGTCCGCCCTTGCCGAGAGAGGAAAAGCCTCCCCCTTATATTTGAAATTAATGTTGCGTGTCGTATATGAATGATCATTTGTATGAATTCTTATACACGCGTGTAGACGTTATAAAGAATACATATGAGAGTAAAAAATATTTTCCATTAAAATATAACGCAGCATAAGCAGAATTATTCATTCGTTAATATACAATTATTTTCCTAGCTCAGTAGATTAAAAGGTGGTCCTCAGTTTTTATAAGTAAACTTTTAAAATCTATTATATATAAACTGCGATTTTTTTCATAACTTCAAAAGTTATATCTTTTGACGTACTGGCGTGGTATTATATAACTACAAACTAATATGTAGTCTTGAGGCGCAAGGTTTTGGCCAACTGGCCGTTTTGCGTTTAGCTTAGTTATCTTAACTAAATTAATAGGAACTTGAACTTAAATTTGATGCTCATAGTCACTCATAGTGAAATAAAAATCAATCTTAAGCTGTGTCTCGTATAAGATTATGGCTGCAGCTATTAACTAAAACTGATTTTTGATAATACGAAAATTTAATGAGGATTAAAACAAGCACTTATTTCAGCAGAATATATAATAAAATAGTGTTATTGTTGATTTTATTTTCATTTTTTTATTTAATAATTTTTATTCAAATATTTGTAAAGATTAATTTATTTTTGTTTGTTATTTAGTAAAACAAATCTATTTTAGTATATAAAACAAGATACTTCATAAGAGAACAAGAACATAATTAGGTTTTCAGATTTAATATAATACAGATTCATATGCAAATATTCTAGTACTTATCTGGAGTGGAGAAGAATTTATCTCGTTTGCCAAGCAGCATCCTGGAAAACAATAAATCAATTGAATTTAATTAAAAACACAATAAAAACTAAAATGTTTGAGTAAAAAGATGCTTTCAATTAATTTATCTATTGATTTACCTGGCTGATCTGGGAGTGTTGGTGAAGAAACCTGGCTTGTTCAACGATGACTGGCGCCTCAACGATGCAGAGGATGGGGTTTGGAACAAAGATTTTGGTGTGGTCAACTGTTCTGACTCTTTGTTCAGGAAGTTTGCCCAGTAGTCGGATGGAATGTTGAGAAGTTCAGTCATCACCTGAATAATATAGGATCATTAAATTGATTTTGAAAGTTTTAAAATTTTGTCTTTACATTTTGCTGCATCCTCGTTTCAGTGACCATTCTCATGGCGTCCATGTCGTCAGTGGAGTAACCAACTATTGTAGGCCCGAAGACCTTAGCCAGGTTCCCGATGGGCATTTTGCATTCCTCCCACCCTGCAACCCTTTGCAGGTGCATGATGAGGAAGGCCAGGGTGTCTCTGTTGGGCTGTGGCAGTTCTGCGATGGCCGTATACATCGCCGCTTTCACTTCAGCAGGATCACGGTGCTCGCAAGCCCTGGTGAAGTCCTTCCACTGTGACTGGGTGACCAAAGGTTCCTTCAGAGAACGAAGGAATTCCTTCAGAGTCCCACAAATGGTGTGGATATCTGTTTGGCTGAGGTCGGGTGCACCTTTGCCTTTCAAGAATCGCTCCTGAAAATTATTATTATTTTAGATATTTTTGTTTAAACTTGTGATTGTGAAATTCTGAACTCGAAAATATCCGTCTCAAAGAAAATTACAAAAAATAAAAGTTAATCCAACTTGACTACCTTTAGAGCTTTCACGTCTCTCTCAGATCCAGGCACTCTGTAAATGCCAATTTCTGTTGATCCTCGTTTTTCGACTTCCTTGATGCAATGAATCACTATTGCAGGCACCATTGGTGGAGTCATGGTTGTAAAGTCCGCAATGCATCCCTTTGAAGGAAAAATATTTTATAAAACTTTTATTAGTGTGAAATAAATTTTACCATTTTCTTCATCGGAGTGACTCCCATTGGCACACAAGGCAGAGGCACATCATCTTTGCAATCAGGGTGGCACACAGCCCTGCACTCTACACACTTCATCACCTTGGCAGCAAACTTGATCTTCTTTTTGCAAGGTCCACATGTTTCTGGCTTGATAATGTTTTTGGTACAAAAAACGTGGTTGCGGGAGTTTATGCGGCCCAAGGTTGATGGCAGGCCAATGATGGCCGGCTGTTCCATCGCATCTCCACCTGGGCCAAATGCACCGCTCGGGCCTGCTTTCTTCCAGAACGAGTCATCAGTTGATGGTGAATCTTCCATGGGAGGTGCAGAAGGAGCAGCAACGGACTCCATCTTCGATCTTGCTTTGACAGAGCCTATTTGAGGGGTTACAGTCACTGTGGTTGTGGCAACCAAGTGCCCACCTGACACCTCCATCTACAGAGAAAAATTTAGGCCATGATCATTTTTAATAAATTTTTCATTATCACCTCAATTGACTTTCTACCCTTGCTCGAACGCCTCCGTTTGGATTGCATAAAAGCAGCATCTTCAGGTATGTACGGACGAGAGGAACGTCTCCTGGTTTTGCCATTCCTAAGGATGGAAACTTCCATCTCATCGTCTGATTGAGAGTAGCCCAGCTCCGACAAAATTGATCCTAGATAAAAACTTATCATTCAATTCTACGGAGACTTTGATGAATGCAAACCAGTTGTTTCGAACTCATTGATGACATCCAAGGGCACATGCCTAACTTCACTCTCGTGTCGGACATGGCCAGAAGATATGTTTCCGAGGAATGCCAACTTTTCTCTAGTCTCATCATTCACTTTGTTGTTCTCGAGCATATCACGCACCAGTGAAATTTGCTTCTCCTGAAATAATATATATATTTTTTTTAAATTTTCCGTCTACATAAATAAGAAAATCCAAGATGAACTTACTAGCGCATCTCTTTCATGTTCGATTTTGCGTCTCTGCCTTTTTTCTTGGTCAAGCAGGTTCCTTGCATGTTCCAGCTTGTTCTCCATTTCAGACAAAGCATGGTTGCTGTCCGCCAGCTTGGCTTGTAAACGTTGACATTCAAAAACAGCTTGAAGCCACTGCTTCCTGCAATCTTCCTGGTTTGTGCAGAACGCCAGAAATTCTAAAAATATTTGGCCTGGTAAGAATTTTTGAACAATTTAAAATTTTTGTACAACCTTCCTCGACGCCTTCAGACAGGCAAGCTCCCAGTCGACACATTTCGTCGAACTGGGCTACGGTGGAGAGCACCATTGCGTCCTTGTACTGAAACGTAACGATTCGTATTTGATTTAAGGCAATGCGTCTGCTATTTTTTTATATAATGTGTTATAATAATTTCATTATGTGCAACTGTGCAAACACGCACTATGTACTATATTTCCAAGATTACAAAAAATAACGTCTCTGTAAACGTAAAGTATGAGTTAATATAATTATGTATATCTTCAAATCACACTCACTTATGTCAGTAAAAATGAATAATTTCCTGAAATTCGCCGGTGCGATGATAAAGTTGCAGTCGAAGATCAACCGGAATAACAACAAAGACCAACGGAAAATTTGAAAAACGACCAATGCCTGTAGCAAAGTAAACCACGTGACGTTTTTAGCCAATGAGAGACGAGAGTTTTGGCTCCGATTGTGTCACAGGGAGGGGTAGGGCAGTATCAAATTTGAGACGCGCATGCGTCATCATCCATAAAAGCACCAACTAGGGAGGGGAGAGAGGAATGATTGCGTTAAACGAACGGCTATTTTTTAGCTCTGAGAACTTGGCCACTCGAGTTAGCCACTCAAAAGAAGTTGGCCACTCGGGAGTGCTGGGCAGATATATATTGATCAGTGTTGCCAACATAATGGAAATTTTATTAATTTTTGTGGCAGTCATTGCAATTAACTCGACGCGGTCTCACGAATACCTGCACTACACAAATACACCTGAAGCTCTGTAAACAAAGTCAAGAAGAAATAAATTCAAACAAGTTATAAGCCATTGTGGGAAAGACAAGCAGGTTGAATAGCAATTTGTTCCTTTAAAAAATATATATTTTTAATATATCTTTTAAAAATGCAAATAAAGTTGAACCCTGGCGACGAAATATTTTTTAAACATTCCTATCAGAGTTTTTTGAAGAATAGCTGCAATTTCGTTGGATGGTTTTAAGATGGAGGGTTAACAATTAAATGGAAATGGTACTAAACTTATTACAAGAGAGATATTACTTCTATTAAAAATTAAACAACATATAACGCCGCGAGATAAATAAACTAAAATTTAAACTAAGTTAAATATCGCCGATCGAGTATTTTATTTCAGTTGGTGAGTGCTGGTGGAGGTTTGGGGAGGGGGGATTTCATCAATGCCCCTTTAGTACAGGGGCTGCTAGAGGTGTAATCCTTCATTCCTGAAAGATTTAGCCCAATCTACCGTTTAGTTAAATTTAAAAAAAATTAAAAGTAATTTTTTTAAAGATTTTCGGGGTATTTTAAAAGTGGCTGAGTCCTGGTGGGGATTTGGAGGGGAGTTCATCAATGCCCTTTTGCACAGGGGTTTCTAAGGGTGTAATCCTTCTTTCCTGAAAGATTTAGCCCAATCTACCGTTTAGTTAAATTTAAAAAAAATTAAAAGTAATTTTTTTAAAGATTTTCGGGGTATTTTAAAAGTGGCTGAGTCCTGGTGGGGATTTGGAGGGGAGTTCATCAATGCCCTTTTGCACAGGGGTTGCTAAGGGTGTAATCCTTCTTTCCTGAAAGATTTAGCCCAATCAACCTTTTAGTTAAATTTAAAAAAAATTAAAAGTAATTTTTTTACAGATTTTCGGGGTATTTTAAAAGTGGCTGAGTCCTGGTGGGGATTTGGAGGGGAGTTCATCAATGCCCTTTTGCACAGGGGTTGCTAAGGGTGTAATCCTTCTTTCCTGAAAGATTTAGCCCAATCTACCTTTTAGTTAAATTTAAAAAAAATTAAAAGTAATTTTTTTAAAGATTTTCGGGGTATTTTAAAAGTGGCTGAGTCCTGGTGGGGATTTGGAGGGGAGTTCATCAATGCCCTTTTGCACAGGGGTTTCTAAGGGTGTAATCCTTCTTTCCTGAAAGATTTAGCCCAATCTACCGTTTAGTTAAATTTAAAAAAAATTAAAAGTAATTTTTTTACAGATTTTCGGGGTATTTTAAAAGTGGCTGAGTCCTGGTGGGGATTTGGAGGGGAGTTCATCAATGCCCTTTTGCACAGGGGTTGCTAAGGGTGTAATCCTTCTTTCCTGAAAGATTTAGCCCAATCTACCGTTTAGTTAAATTTAAAAAAAATTAAAAGTAATTTTTTTACAGATTTTCGGGGTATTTTAAAAGTGGCTGAGTCCTGGTGGGGATTTGGAGTGGAGTTCATCAATGCCCTTTTGCACAGGGGTTGCTAAGGGTGTAATCCTTCTTTCCTGAAAGATTTAGCCCAATCTACCGTTTAGTTAAATTTAAAAAAAATTAAAAGTAATTTTTTTAAAGATTTTCGGGGTATTTTAAAAGTGGCTGAGTCCTGGTGGGGATTTGGAGGGGAGTTCATCAATGCCCTTTTGCACAGGGGTTGCTAAGGGTGTAATCCTTCTTTCCTGAAAGATTTAGCCCAATCTACCGTTTAGTTAAATTTAAAAAAAATTAAAAGTAATTTTTTTACAGATTTTCGGGGTATTTTAAAAGTGGCTGAGTCCTGGTGGGGATTTGGAGGGGAGTTCATCAATGCCCTTTTGCACAGGGGTTGCTAAGGGTGTAATCCTTCTTTCCTGAAAGATTTAGCCCAATCTACCGTTTAGTTAAATTTAAAAAAAATTAAAAGTAATTTTTTTAAAGATTTTCGGGGTATTTAAAAAGTGGCTGAGTCCTGGTGGGGATTTGGAGGGGAGTTCATCAATGCCCTTTTGCACAGGGGTTGCTAAGGGTGTAATCCTTCTTTCCTGAAAGATTTAGCCCAATCGACCGTTTAGTTGATTTAAAAAAAAAAAATTCAAAGTATTTATATTAATGCTTTACAGGTCGAAATAGGTAGTGCATCGAAAATTGGTACTTTACTCGGCAAGCTGAATTTATTGGTGAGGTCAAATTTGACCTAACCTTTTATTTTCATAAAATGTGTGTCAAAAAGTCTATTTTTTACTTACCGGAATAAAATTTAAACAACAGAATTGTGGTTGTCGCCCAATTTTAGGCTAAAAAACTCTTAGTTCCGTTTAATAATCCAAAAACTTTAAAAGTTTTTAAATTAACATTGAAATCGCAAGAGAAATTTTCCGTTCGTGGTTGTGGCTATTTTTCAGTAACAATGCGTTGCAGCAAAGGATGCCCATAGCACCAACAAAACTTCTACAGCTGAACTTTATTCTCCCGCTGAGAAAACTCAAATATCTACATGCGTTCAATTTGTTAGCAAATTTAAAATTTATCGTTGAATTTGGGGCCACCCTGTAATATGGAGATTTAGAGTTCATTTAGGTTTTTGTATTATCATGCTACAAACAATAAAAGAGTTGCAATAAAAATAATCAATATTATTATTATTTCATTATTTCTAACATAAATTTATGTATACTATTTGATTATCAGGTGGAATGAATATGAAAAATAAATGAAATCTTAATATTTTATTCATCGGCTCAATCTCCACTTTCGCCACCGTACTTGAATTAAATAATCCTGCGTCTAGCTGAAGTGAAATCATTTAAGTGCTTTTCAAATAAAATGATCAAATAAAAATCAAATGAATTTAACGGAATTAGATTTGATGTGTAAAATATTTCGAGAGAAGTGAGAAGTGCCTGCACGCACAATATACTGCTCGCTGGCAAACACACACTTCGCACTTTATATCAAATGAGCGCGAACACACTTATCGAATGAAAATGATGAATTGTCGAACACAATAAAAACAATAAAAAGGAAGGGCAGGGTTTTTGGGGGTTGGAAATAAATATAATCCAATTGAAGTCCCAATATACCTTATATTGTGACAAGTAAAACAATTAAATCCGGAAACACTTTTGCTTCAAAATTGGCCTATTGAGTTTTATTAACAAGAAATGGTTTTGAGATGAGACACCCCAATTTTGATGAAATTTCCCCAGTTGCCATTAATGGTGTACAACTTCTACTACCCAATGGTACCCCAGAACGGCCATTAATTTTTTGCCTAATTTTCCTTGTTTAATTTTTGCCATTTAAACTCCATACCATTTGAATTTCATTGGAGAGATCTAAAGTACGCAAAATATATACACAGCGACAGAGGACGCGTGCGCTGTTGTTGCCTACTTTTGATCGTTTTTAACATGCGTTTGAATGGGAAATCTAAATTTTTAATTAAATTTACTGACATTCTTACATTACTTTAAAAAAATTATAAACTGAAAACTCTAGTTGTAAACGCTATTTTGATCACATTTATGTTAGGGTAAAGAGTTTTAAAGGGTGAAAAATGAAAAAAAAAAAAAAAATAATAATAATAATATTTGCAAATACATGGCGTCGCTTACATTGGGACCTTTTTTAAAGAAAAAATATAAAAAAAATCAAATTGTTTGGGGTGAAATAAATTTTAACCACTTGTGCATACAGATATAAATTTTTTTCAATTTTCTAAAAAAGTGTAGGTTTAACGCGTTTAACGTTTAACGCGGCGGCCGAGTCCTTTTCGAAATCGGGCGTTTTAGCATACATCTGCAGGTTGTGAACCTTTTATTCTCTTTTTTTTTCTAATTTATAATTTTTTACAGAAGAATAAATAAAACATAATAATAATAATAATTGAATTAGTATTTATCTTATTGCATTTAAATTTTAAAAGTCTTAATGGTAGAAATAGGCAATTTTGAAATTTATTTATTATTTAAAACGAAAGCAATAAGAAATAATATAATAAGCAACGTATAGTTATGTAATGCAAGAGCGCAGAGCGCGATTGTACAATACTTGAGCGAAACAAACAAATATAATGAAGCAGGAAAAAATCTTGTTTTGAAAAGGGTACACATTTGTAAATGGACCAATGAATCAAGCCTCAAGGCCTATAACTGTAACACTAATTGGCGGCGAGTGCAAATGCACTTATAATTATTACTTTTTACTAAACACCTTTTACGTGGAATTACGTTCCGAGACGCAAGATACTGAGACAAAACCAGTGTATAAAAGTTACAAAATTCTGGATGTGATAATAAAAATTGAGTCGCCGTTATTTGTCCTAAAACCATTTGTCCTAAAACTGAATTCGTCATATGTCCTAAAATCAAAGGTCCTAAAATAAATTGTCCTAAATTTTTCATTTCATTTGTCCTAAAAATAAGTGTCCTTGTTGTGGGTTTACCGCGGCGGCCGTGTCTCTTTTGATGTCGGGCGTTTTAGCAGACATCTGCTAGTTGTAAACCCTTTCTTCTCTTTTTCCAATTTAAAATTTTTTTGTATTGACCGAGAAGAATAAATAATAATAATAAATTTGAAAATCTTAAAAGGGTTTATTGCTGGAAAAATTCAATCTATGCTCTGCAAAGAAAGGCAAAGGAGAGATAAATTGGATAGTTTGTTAACAGGGAGAAAATGCCAATAAATATGTGATTCATAAAATTAACAAAAAAATTTAGAACCAATTAACTTGAATAAAATTAAAATCCTTGGGATTTAAAATTATTGTTTCTATTCATAATTTTTATTTTATCTTTCTAATGTATTTCCAGCATTGTACATAAATTTCCGACTCCTGATTTTCGGCATTTTTTGTATGCTTGTACTTTTTTATGTCGATGCATGATTCCGCTTTTTTTTGTACAGTGTACTTTTTTTGCGTTGTATGTACTATGAATGGAGAATAAATAAATAAATAAATAAATAAATAATAATCAATTGTTGGCTAAACCAATGAACTGTGAATGAATGTGATCTTAATTTTTTTTTCATTTTTAGATTTTTCAACATTAAAAAATTTTCATTTTCTACTTCAAAACAATTTTGCTGAATATGAGAAATAAATTAAAAGGTGATTCCTTATAACGCTTTTTTTTTTTTAATCCGGCTACATTGCAATCTTATATTAAAAGGAAGACCGAAAATAGTGTGTGGGCTTGTTCACTGACAATAAGTCACGTGCAGCGCCAAAAGTTGCAGTTTGCATCCAGGTTTTAGGACAAATAAATTTTCGGACAAATGCATTTAGGAGAAATGAAAAAGTTTTACGACAAAAAATTGAGAGCGAAAATTTCCCAAAATTAATACATTTTAAAACCACCCCAAACATTCCTCATCGTTTTGTGCTGTACAAAAGGATACGGACAGATTGGGATGGTTTTAAAATGTATTATTTTGGGAAATTTTCCCCCTCAATTAATATATTTTATTATCACAACAGGTATTTTTCTAACTATTTTACACTGGTTTTGTCTCAGTATCTCGCGTCCCGGAACGTAATTTCACCGTAAAAGTACTAATTTAAATTATTTCCCGTTCCGAGTGGTTTCTTTGCGGTTTTTAATTCTTAAGCACACGCACTTCTTTCTCTCTTCTCGGCACCGCGCACTCGACACTTCTCACACGCAGAATAAAATTTTGACAACCAATAAATTTAATAAAATTAATGTGTTTGTGTTTTTGTGTGTTCAAAAGGACAGGATTAATTACGAAAGAAATATTCAGTTTAAAACAATAATTCCAAATCAAAATTCCGAAATATTGTCATATAACTATGGTTTTATACTTAAAAAAGTGAAGATCAGATGATCATGAATTGAAAAATTAAGTGGAAAATTGATGAATTCACCTCCAAATCCCAACCAGGACTCAGCCACTTTAAAAACACACCGAAAAAATAAAAAAATTACTTTTAATTTTTTTTAAATTTAACTAAACGGTAGATTGGGCTAAATCTTTCAGGAAAGAAGGATTACACCCTTAGCAACCCCTGTGCAAAAGGGCATTGATGAACTCCCCTCCAAATCCCCACCAGGACACAACCACTTTTAAAATACCCCGAAAATCTTTAAAAAAATTACTTTTAATTTGTTTTAAATTTAACTAAACGGTAGATTGGGCTAAATCTTTCAGGAAAGAAGGATTACACCCTTAGCAACCCCTGTGCAAAAGGGCATTGATGAACTCCCCTCCAAATCCCCACCAGGACTCAGCCACTTTTAAAATACCCCGAAAATCTTTAAAAAAATTACTTTTAATTTTTTTTAAATTTAACTAAACGGTAGATTGGGCTAAATCTTTCAGGAAAGAAGGATTACACCCTTAGCAACCCCTGTGCAAAAGGGCATTGATGAACTCCCCTCCAAATCCCCACCAGGACTCAGCCACTTTTAAAATACCCCGAAAATCTGTAAAAAAATTACTTTTAATTTTTTTTAAATTTAACTAAACGGTAGATTGGGCTAAATCTTTCAGGAAAGAAGGATTACACCCTTAGCAACCCCTGTGCAAAAGGGCATTGATGAACTCCCCTCCAAATCCCCACCAGGACTCAGCCACTTTTAAAATACCCCGAAAATCTGTAAAAAAATTACTTTTAATTATTTTTAAATTTAACTAAACGGTAGATTGGGCTAAATCTTTCAGGAAAGAAGGATTACACCCTTAGCAACTCCTGTGCAAAAGGGCATTGATGAACTCCCCTCCAAATCCCCACCAGGACTCAGCCACTTTTAAAATACCCCGAAAATCTTTAAAAAAATTACTTTTAATTTTTTTTAAATTTAACTAAACGGTAGATTGGGCTAAATCTTTCAGGAAAGAAGGATTACACCCTTAGCAACCCCTTCGCAAAAGGGCATTGATGAACTCCCCTCCAAATCCCCACCAGGACTCAGCCACTTTTAAAATACCCCGAAAATCTGTAAAAAAATTACTTTTAATTTTTTTTAAATTTAACTAAACGGTAGATTGGGCTAAATCTTTCAGGAAAGAAGGATTACACCCTTAGCAACTCCTGTGCAAAAGGGCATTGATGAACTCCCCTCCAAATCCCCACCAGGACTCAGCCACTTTTAAAATACCCCGAAAATCTTTAAAAAAATTACTTTTAATTTTTTTTTAATTTAACTAAACGGTAGATTGGGCTAAATCTTTCAGGAAAGAAGGATTACACCCTTAGCAACCCCTTCGCAAAAGGGCATTGATGAACTCCCCTCCAAATCCCCACCAGGACTCAGCCACTTTTAAAATACCCCGAAAATCTTTAAAAAAAATTACTTTTAATTTTTTTTTAATTTAACTAAACGGTAGATTGGGCTAAATCTTTCAGGAAAGAAGGATTACACCCTTAGCAACCCCTGTGCAAAAGGGCATTGATGAACCCTAACTCAATTTCACTTCAGGACTTGTCCATACTTTAAAATACATCTATAATAATTTTTTGAAGTTGTCTGTTCAAATTAAATTGACCGTCTCTGTTCCTGAATTTTTAGAAAATTGCACACTCTATTATCAATAAGCCTTTAGTGTATTATACCGCACTATCCATCATGCAAGGCGCGCGGCCTTCCCCAAATGTCCTCTTAGCCCCCTTAGGACTTATTCACTTTTAGAAAACTAGAAACCATTGTAAATCCTTCTTTTGTATTTTTTTTTTAAAATACAAAAACTTTCATTTTCTTACAATTTATTTCATCCATTTATGTAAAGCTTTTCATCGTCGACGTGCAAATGTTATTTCAAATGCAAGATTAAAGCGCCAAACATCTTTTTCTCTAACAGTGTAATTGAATACTAATTTTATTGCTCTAATTTAATTGTTAATATATTTACCATATTTACTTATGTAATGTATTTTCTTTACAAATAATTTTTAACTTGCCCTTTAGCTGCCCTATCAGCTCTTTGTAGCAATAATTAGAAATAATGCGACTCCGGGGAATCGCATTGATAAAAGCGGAAAAAGGTTACAAAATCACATTTAGGTTGGCAACATTGCTTTTTGTGTTTGGCTGTGAAAAGTGGCCAAGTTCTTTCGAGTGGCTATAAAAAGTGGCCAACTTCACACCGGTTATTTTTTGTGTCTTCGCTTGTTTTCTGAAAGAATCTTTGCACATATTATGTGGGCGGAGCTCTGGGCGCATGCTTGCCGGATTTTTGTAAACAAAGAGCGAAAAGATTGTTTTAGAAATCCCATAATTACACCTAGTTGTGTTCAATAAATACTCTATCATAATTAATTTTCTTAATTATTACCGATTTTCACACGAGGTTTTTTATTGAGATCACGAATTTTGTAAATGGATTCTGAAAGCCGTGATTTTTCGTCCGATGAACCACCAGCTACAAAAATACCAAAAATTGAAGACGATGGACATGGAGATGAAGGAAGTGCCACAAGCGGGACTTTGTCAAAATCCCAATTAAAAAAACTGAGGAAAAAAGAATTTTGGGAAAAGAAAAAACTTATTATAAGGTAATTTTTTTGGTAATAAATTGCTCCTTTTCTTGATAACTATAATATAAACATCATAATAAATAATATTATTGTAAAGGATGAACTAGCCAACTTTTTAGAAAAATTAAAATTATTTCTCAATGCAAAATGCTCCGTGTTAAATACATTCAGTTTAAATATTAATATCTAAACATATAAGCTTATATCTTATATCATTAAATTTATAACTTGCAGAGCAAAAGAAAAAGAAGCTGCCAAAGAAAAGAGAAAGAATGATAGAGCTGCTGGAATCGTCTCAACGTCCAGTAGGAAAGATCTTAAAAATAAGACGATGGCTTCGAGCGGCTGTAATGTTTCAGTAGTTATCGACTTATCATTTGACGACAAGATGGACAAGAGAGTATAAATTTTTATCGTATTTTTATAAATTTATTAATGCTTTTCTACTTCAGTCAATCGAAAAATGCATCAAGCAGCTCTTGAGAGTCTACAGTTTAAATAGGAGAGCTGAGAACCCTATGCAGTTATATTTTAATAGCTTGTCAGGCAGTTCGTTGCAAGAGATGAAAAAGCACCAAGGATACCTAAATTGGGATGTAAGTTACAGTTTCAATTTATTTTATGAGCTTAAATTTATTATTTAAAATAAAAATTGCAGGTTAATATCTCGGAAAAGAGTTATATCGACACGTTTGATAAGGAAAAAATAATTTATCTGAGCAGTGAATCGGAAAATATTCTAGATAAGCTTGAAGATGACAAAGTTTATGTGATTGGTGGATTAGTTGATCATAACGCACACAAAGTAAATTACAACTTGTGTGGTTCTTCAATTTAAATTCTAAAAACCTCTTTTATAGGGTTTATGTCACAAATTGGCGGTTGAAAAAGGTATAAAACACGCTCAACTGCCTATAGGAGAGTACTTGACACTGAAAGGCCGTAGAGTTCTCACTATCGACCATGGTGAGAAAAATTTACAAACTGTAAAAGATAAAACATAAACATTTTCAGTGTTCGAAATCCTCTTAAATGTCAGTGGTGGAGCAACTTGGAAAGATGCTTTCCTCAAAATAATTCCAAAGAGGAAAGGCTTAGAAGAGAAAAGTGAAGCAAAAGAAGACGCATCTGATCAACAGTGACAGAATTAAGAGATGAAAAATTCGAAAAATTCAGTCTGTCTTGAAGTCAATGTTGAGCGCTTTTGTTAACAAAAATTTAAAAAGAAAAATAATGTAATTATATCAATACCTAATAAGAACTTTATTGGTAAAAGCACATGAACTTTACACATTAGTAAGTTTTTTTTATTTAAAACGTTTAATTAAACCTAAAAACTAAAATCACAAAATCCACAATCAGTTTGCATTACACTTCCTAGTTATATTACAAATACATTCAGGAAGCAAATTTTGAAAGCTGTACTTAAGAGGGGGGGGGGGTGTATTGTGCAGGTCCAGCTGCACTATGTCAAACACAAAGCTCATTCACAGATGACTAGTTGTCGAATTTTAATTCGAATATTTTTTGCCGAGCATTATACAATTCATTCCTTATTCAGCACACTAACATCGAGGTGTTAATTGTTAAATTTGTATTTTATGAAATTGGCTGTGAATACAGTTGCTCTCTAGCTCCGATTAAAGCAATGCTGTTGAGCTTTTCTAGCAAAGTTACTTTAAAAAATTGTGACCGTAAACTCCAACTCGAGGGCATTTTATTGAGCACGGTGATCGGCTGAAGCAGTATTATTTTAGTTTTCGAATAAAAGTGATAAAATATATAATTTGGATTAACGTTAAAACGGCTGAGAGACAATTACGAGAACTTGGGGAGATCCTCCTGGTTGATGATTTCAAAGTCATCAATTTCTGCATCACTATCTGCTTCTGAAGTCGCGGGTGCCTGAGCTGCAGCCAAGGCTGCGGTGGAGACGACACTGTGGGCCACCGAGGTCATGGCATCCACCAAAGTCTTTGCCACATTTTCCACCGCGGCTCTGGTGATCATTTCACCAAATGGACCAAGTCCTGCAACAGCCGACTCGGGTTCCTGTTGCACAACTGCAGGGCTTGGGGCGTCCGCAAAGGTCAAACCCTTTGAAAAGCTGCCATCGTCAGAGCTGTCGTCGCCATTGAAGTGCTTCGTTTTGAACTTGATATTGTTTTTAGCTTTGCTGGGACTCGGAGGGATCAAGTCAAACGATTCCTCAAGTCTGTCATGGGGTAGATCTGCACAGTCCATGCTGTCTTCATCGTGGGCAGGCATGAAGCTCAGCGAAGGAGTAAGAGCGTGTGCTTTTGAATCTGAAACTGGAAAAAAAAATTATATGAACGATAATCTCAAAGAAAATATTTTGCTGAATATAATTGGATTTTTAAATCTCATGGCCAAAAACAATAATTAAAAGCAAATTAGGGTCTCCCAAATGAATGGAGAAAGAAAAATGAATTAATCTTACAATTTTCAGGAATGACGGAAATTTCTCCAGCTGGTAGAAGTGTTGCTATTTCATCATCATCGTCTTCATTAGCTTCCTCCTGGTAGTGAACATTCAACAGTGACATGTCCTCCGGAGTCACTTCTGGTACCAGTGAGTCCGAGTCAGTCATTGTTGTGTCTGCATAAATTATTATTATAATTTTTTAATTGAATAAATGCAAAAAAATAATTGTACCCATTTCTTCGAACAGCAGGACTGACTTGATGCCTACGAGTTTTTTCTTTACTTCTCCCAACCTGTCCAAGGTGTCCTCGGGCAATAGATGGAGACACACTCCTGGCAGGAGGATAGCGGCCATCAGGGTCAGGTACGCCAGAACAGCACCGGACATTGACCTTCCGATGAAAAGAAGGATGAGCAGGGCACAGGAGGCCACTGCACAAAACTGAAATAAACAGTTCCGCGTTATCAAACGACCGAATAAAAACAACAACATGTGAAGTAACATAAACAAACATTAAACTATAATAATATTACTTTGCCGGGCTGTTCTTGTCTCATTGTTGCTGCGCTGATGTAAATGGAGGAAACAAAGTTCTGCAGTTGGTTTACGTGGCGACTGATTTCAGGAACACTCAGCACTCTGCAAAATATTAAATTTTGAATTAAATTTTTGTAATAAAGCACAACCTGCTCGACTTACCCAGGGTGAAGGGGAGTCCAGCCTTCGCTGTCGGGAGTCTCTTTAGGGGGCAATCGAATCTCCGGCCAGATCTGCTCGACCCACAGGGTGTACACGAAAATGAAGAGCATCACAAGACTGGCCAAGGAATAAAAACGAAACTCCAAGGTCACCACCAGCCTACAATTGAATTGGAATATATAATTAAAATTGACAGTGAAATTAATTTTCATATTTCTATGATTTAATAAACTGGCGCCTCACCAGAAAAGAAGATTGACTGCAAGGACAAAAATGCAACTCATGACCGGATTTTCCCAGATGAGCAGGCTTTGGATGCAGACGACGAACGCTTCGTAGGGTCTCATGGCTCGCGAAATGCGCTCTTGTCCACTGTCGGCCATGGTACTCGGCTCGCCAATATTAGCATTCGCATTCCAAGGCCATAAATTGGAAAGTAATCCCGTCATTCTGTCCATGGCTGCGCGCGCTGTTGAGCAAATTTTAGGACGCTGCTGCATGATCGGTGATTTTGGGACAGATTCGTTCTTTCAATGCCAACGAACTTTACGAACTTGGCACCGAAATAATTGTTGACAACAATCAAAATGAGTTGCCACAGCCGACAACATCCTGGCTTTTGAGAAAATTTGCTTACCTGCGGCCGACCCTGAAATCTCAGTTCTCTGGCACCTCTTAAACGTCGTTCAGGTGTCCGATAAGCAGGGACATCAGCAGACGTCCGCAGGTCACAAGCTAAACAAATAACCCTGGAGTGTGGTTCAGTTGTGTGGTTTGATCTCTTAAAAGCGCGGATAATGCGTCGCGTGACGATGTATTTAGGATTGAAATGCGAAAAAACAAAAGCTCGCGACTTCCTTGGGCTTGCTGTCGCGCCACTGCGCCACTTTCGGGCGCAGCATTTGCGCAGAAAATCAGCTGTGTGAGATGAGAACGACGTCAAAACATCAAACAGATCAACACAAAAATAAACAGAAAAAAACAGACAGAAAGGTTTGCCCGGTTTATTGCCAGTTATTTAATTATTATGTTAATTATTACGTAATGTAGGCATAAAAGAATAAATTTTCTTGAAGGCTGTCAAATTTATCATGCCAGAAAGGAGAGAAATATTTATCATTTTATTGTTGTTTTTGACAACTGCGCGTGTAGATCGATCTTTGGGGCAAAATTACAAAAATGGCAAAATTGTAGTTTTTAATTAATAAGTATCAAGTACAAATTAATTAAATGAAAATGTATTTTTGCTTGTAAATTTTAAATTTATAAAAACTTGAAAAAAGTTTTAAGAGAGCTTAAAATTCCATTTGTTATTAATTTTGTTGGTGACAGCAGCTTCTACACATAATTTGATGAAATTTTAGTATAATAAACAATTAATGCATGACTATTTTTCTAATTTTGAGTTTCCCATTTATTTTCATATTTTTTTTTTAGTTCTAAAAGCAGAAAAAAACAATTAAAGAAAAATAAAAAAAAAATCAAGTTCAGCTATGTAGTTATTGTGGTTGAATTTTTAAATTTAAGCTATGCTATAAAATGGACGAGAGAAGAGAATTTGAAAATCCTTATGAAGATTATGAGACGCTACAAGATAAAGAGAGAAATGACGTCATCAACATTTATCTTGAAAATAAGGTTAGATAAAAGTTTAAGAAAATAATTTAATTGTTCAAAAGCAAGTGTCAGAAAAAATCTCTATTAAATTAAAAATAACATATATGTAATTAAATAAATTTATATAAAATTATTAATTTGTATTCTCCAAACCAGGCACTTTTATTGTTTGTGAAAAAAAATATATTGCATACATGCAAATTTGATATTTTTTAATATATTGAAAATCAATTTTTAGGGGCTTAAAAATTAAATCCATTAAATAACTTTTTTTTCAAAGGTGAATGCGGAATTTTCGACTCAATTGAAAAAATGCGCCGAGAGTTTGCTCGTCATTCTGGACCGCCACTTGCAGTCCACCCACGATCAAGACAGCGATTACTCGGTGTACACGGGCAGTGCTGGTATCGCTCTCATGTACTTCCATATTTCTCAGATACAGAATGCCAAGAAATTTCTCAAAGTAAAAAGTCTTTTGAAATTTTAGATAATTGCCAATTTATATTTTGGCTGTATTAATAGCTGGCCGAGGTTTTGTTGGAGCCGTCGCTGCCAAAGCTGAAGGGTAAAAGACTGAGCTTGATGACCGGAGACGCTGGACCCTTGGCGGTTGCTGCGGCTGTGCACTGGCATTTGGGGAACAAGGAGAAAAGCACAGCAATTTGTCAGAGGTCGATTTGACAACAAAAATTATTTTAATGCATGTCAACTCTGAAATTAGCTTGATCAATCAAAATTTAACTGTGAGAAAATTTTATACAATTTATTTGGTTTAATTTTACTAAAGCAGTATATTAATTAAATCTCCCCAGGCTGACCGATTTGCTGCCTCGGGTTTTAGACCTCAAGTCTGATTTGCCGGACGAGGTTTTGTATGGACGAGCAGGCTACCTATTGGCCTTGCTGTTTGTGAGAAATAATACGACGGAATCAAACGTGGATGTCAGATCTATTCAAAAAGTAGGTTTCTACCAAACTAAGAATTTAATTTATTAAGAAAATTTATCTATTATTATAGGTGGTGTCGGCTACACTTGCGTCAGGAAAAATGTTGGCAGCCTCTGATCCAAATGGTCCCCCTTTAATGTACGAGTGGCACGGCAAAAAATATTTAGGCGCAGCTCACGGAATTGCGGGAATACTTTTCGTATTGATACAGGCAAGCCTCATAAATAAGGTTTAATTGCATTTCCAATTAAACTTGTATTTTTTTACATCAACAGAGCATGGAGTATCTGTCGGAGGAGAAAAAGGACGAATTGGAGCACTTGATTTGTCAAACCCTGGATTTTGTTCTCAACCTCTGTTTCCCATCAGGGAATTTCCCTTCTTCCATCGGGAACAATTCCGACAGATTAGTGCATTGGTGTCATGGAGCTCCAGCGTTTGTCCCCGTCCTATGCTTAGCTTACAAAGTAAGATATTTTGACGCAGTTTTATCTTGAAATTAATAAAAAACTGCCAAAGGTTTTCGCTCAAGAAAGATATCTTCACGCAGCTGAAACATGTGCAAAGGTGATTTGGAAAAGAGGCCTTTTGAAGAAGGGTTACGGTCTGTGTCATGGTGTTTCGGGAAATGGTTATGCACTTCTGCACTTATACCAAACAACGAAGGTGAGAACTTTTATTTGAATAAGATTATTGATTTAAGACTTGGTTTGATTGCAGAATATTAAGTATCTGTATCAGGGACTGCAATTTGCTAGGTGGTGTACAACTTACGACAAAAACCAAACAAGGAAACCTGATCGACCGTATTCGTTATTCGAAGGTCTGGCTGGGACAATTCATTTTTTAGTAGATGCACAAAATCCAGAAGGTGCAAAATTTCCTGCATTTTATGTCTGATTAAAATAAGTTTTTTTTTTAATTCAGCGTAATTTATAGATTTAGAAACATTTGATTAGTGGTCTCTGAAATCACTAATTAATTGTAAGAAGAGAATAATATAAGCTAGCTAGGCTTGGCCTTAGATTCAAGTTATTTTCCTTTCAATTTTTTTATATGAAGTGTTAAGAATATTGTAATTCTTATTTAATGTTTAATTTAACTATGTAAAATACTGTAATAAATCTTGGAAGCAAAAAAGAAAAGTTTCTTGCGTGTTTTCTTGATTAGATGAGCAGAGTGGTCTTATCGTCTCTAAATTTTATATCTGCTCTACTTTATTTCAGACAAAAAGCACTTATATCAATGACTTGCTATTAAAACTTTTTTGTGATTCACTTTACAAAGATAAGTTGACAAGCTACAAATTTAAAAAAAAAAAAATCATTAACATCTGCTGTTTGCTGCTTTTCAAGCCAGAACGTAATAAAATAAATAGTTTCAATAAAGGTTTAAAAATTCTTTGGGTGAAATGGCAATTAAAAGTTGGAGTGTTCATGTTTTAAGAATTAATTTTGTTATTGACATTTTGTACATTGCATGATGAGATCATGTCATGAAGTAAAGCATGGCGACAAATCATTGAAAGTGATCTTGAGGCATACAAATTTTTGCGTGTGATACATCTTTTTAAAAGACAAATGAAAACATGTTCATTGTCATTGAAACAACTGCAATAGTTATGCAACAGTTCAGGCACATTTGAATACATTCACGACATAATACATCCCTGGGATATTTTGGTTCAAATGTCTGTACTCGATTGGTAGTGGTGGTTCCATCCCAAAAAATTGGCAAATCAACATAAACAGAAGTTCAAAACTAATATGTGAACATAATTCTAGGAAAAGGAAAGTGCTTAATAATTCATAGTTAAACAAAGTTTGTATCAGTTAATCTTCTCTAAACTCCAGATGATATGACTTCTGCGCTTTTTTCATTCCATAGGAAATATAGAACAAGTTACAACTGGAGTATGGCACTAAAATGTACTCTGCGCAGAGCATGAGTCAATAAAAATTTGCTTTGTCGAGACTGCTAAAAGTTACTTGCAGCCATTTCTATTTACCCCACCAAAAGTTGACACTTTCTCGGAACATTATGCTTTTCCAAAAGTCGAGACCCATGACTCTCACACGAATATATGCACTATACATGTATTAACACATTACTTAAAATTGTTAGCCATGTCCAGTTGAAGTTTGTTTCATTAATAGTGTGATACCAAATTCACTGCATCTCAAACCGTAATAATAGTGGTCAGACTCCAACTTGACAATCGACAAAAATATTTAACTTTCAAAAAAGAAATTTTATATGAAAGCCAGTCATCACAGCTCTTGAATCGCCGATGTACCAGGTCAGCAACTCACTAACAAACTGCGGAAGTTGGTTTTGGACAACAACAACATTCGAAGAGGGAAGTTTTTGCTCACATTTGCACTACTATTCGACCTTCTGTTGGCAGTAGAGCTCCTTGAGCGACTTGAGTTCGTCAATGAGCGCCTTGTTCTGATTCTCGAGGACAGCTACTCGGTTCTCTAAGCACTTGATGTACTCCTTCTTCTTCCTCCGACATTCCCTTGCGGCCTCCCTGGACACACAGAATAACTCCACATCAGGATAACAATCTCACTCAACAAGCCCTAAACGCAAGCCACAAACATAAACATAAAAGCAAGACAAAGAAAATGGCAGTCTAGCAGTTATATTTGTTGGGGCGAGCCTTCGACTGAATTCGCCAATTGCAAAATGAATAACTTTCCCGGAAAATAATTGAAAACACTAATCAAGGGGATCTCGAGAGTGCTGCGCAAAAGTTAGAGACTTTGCTTTTGAGGCGAATTCAGAATTTACTAGGGAAGGAATGTCTGATTCCCTTTCTTCTCTTGTTAGAACTAATGGAATTTATGCCAACTTGTTGATTGTTATCCTAGTACGTAGTTATAACTGTGAGTGCAGGGAGGTACAGGAGAAGGAAGGGAAATTAGATGGAGTACATTTTTCTCAGAAAATTTATTTCGTTAATATTCATTTTCCTAGAGACCCTGATCACGTCATGAAACCTGGCCAGCTTAACACTTGCAGCTCAAAAAACCAAGTGCAGAACTGTAAACAAACGTTATTCTGATCAAACTGCAACTTGTCGCAGCCGCAAGTCAAAACTGAACACAGAGGTGTCATTAAGTAATCAGAGCCAATAGACAACCACAAAAATAACCTTAAACAAGAAAATTGCATTCCCAATATATGTGAAAAATCCAACACCAGACGATTCTTTGACTTAATTAAGCAATCAACAGTCATACCTGTTTTTCAAAAGCCTCAACTCCCGCTTCCTGGCCGCCTCCTCTGCCATTTGCTGCGCTGACTGCATCGACCCGCTCGAATTTTGAGCCACTACTGCAGGTTTTTATAACTTGTTAATAAAAAGCTTTTTCCACATACCCAACACATTACCAGGAACAAAGAATTGCTGTCCCTCCTGTCCTTGCGCGTACTGAACAATGGCTCCACCTGCTGACGTAGCATTGGTCATAGTAAGGGTGTGCATTCCGTCACCCTGGCCACTAGAAATTTGAATGGCACCGGCGGGAATAACTGCAAATACAAATGTAAATAAAGTCTTGGAAACAATTACAAGCATCACACATACCTGCAATTTCACCACCGCCCAGGTCATTAAGTATTTTGCGATAAGACGGCCTTCTCGAGAGAATGTCCCTCCTCTTTTTGGTAGAACCCTCGTCGTCAGCCGATAGACTGTCGTCAGAGCCCGTTTCCACAACCTGCAGGGTCTGGAGGTTGCCTGAGGCCGTTTGGATGACTGAGTTTGGTTTGCCGACCAGAATGACGTTGCCCTTGGACAGCTGCACAGGCTGAATGTTGGTGGCGGTTTGGATAACTGACTGTTGATTTGGTTGAATGACCGACTGCACCTGCAGGTAGGTTTTCTAAATAAGAAGAATGGCAGAAGAAGATGGTATAGTTAATTGCAAAATTTTGTTCAGTGGGGTTGGAGGAATCGAGGCATGCAGCTCGGGGTTGGATGCTTTAATTTGTTAGAGTGTTTGGGCAACTAACATAAGTAGTCGAGTCTTGTGAGTATGAGTCCTGGTCTCCTACCGAAGTCACAGTTCCGACCTCCTCATTTCCGAGAGGGTCACTTGCGCCAGGGTTTCCATTTTCCTCGACCAACGTCTCCATTCTGATCCGACGACAAGGTCCCTAAAACAAAGAAATAATTCACTCATCAAGAAAGAAAAAAATCATAATTATGTAGAGTAAAAATAATTTTTTCAAGCAAATTTTCCGATAAAATCATTCAGTAAGGAAGATTAAAATCAAATTTGATGCTGAAGGTGTTTAATATTTATTCTAATCAAATTCAAAAGCAAAAATATTTATTCAGTTGAAATAAAAAATATTTACTAACAAGCAAGTCAAAACACCAATTCTGCATAACTATGAGGCTTCATTTAAAATTTTCAAAATGTGTTTTATCAGTTTATATTAACAAAGAATCTCTTTAAATTTGTAGATTTTCAGTACATGACATCGACTGCGGAATCTTATTATACAACCTAGGAATGTAATTTCGGAGCTTGAGCCATAATAAGATATGGTGAGACTGAGGGTTCACAGAGGTCGTTTATTCATTTGCGTTTCAAATATTTAACCTCGTTACTTCTCAGCAAACTTATCTGGGTATTTTCTTGTGAATTTGGCACATTCTAAAACATAAAAGGGAAAAAACGGGAAGAATGCCAAATTCAGAGGCCGACACAACTAGGAGAACTTGGCCCTCCCAATATTATTTCTTTACACTATTCTGCTTCGGTGAAAAAAAAATGCTTCCTAAATACCCACCCGACCTGTGTTCAGCGTTTGCCCTTACAATTTCGGAAACAATTAAATGCAGTATGACATTTTTTAAACATGTTTTTGACAATAATTTTGCATTCGATCTCAAAAATTTAACAATTTAACACATCTCAAAATCATTTTAACATTTTATTTATTAATTTTAAATAAATTGGCAGAACAAAAACGCTAAATAAATTGACTCACAAAGAATTTTCTCTCGCGATCATGACTCACGAGAAGGTGCAGTCGCGCTATGACCGCATCATGCGCTCTTTCCCACCAACCTTCGTAAACAAGTTTTTTTTTACAAATAGCTTTTTTAAATATTACTATGACTCAATTTTGAAGAAGAAGAAAATTGAACTTTGAACCTGATGACATTGCGTTTGCCAAGACAATTACCGCCTAATAACACTACTTGACCTTCACACATTGCACATATTGCTGGTTTACATTTTCTATTTTTTTCTTATCTCCCGCGTTATCAGTTTCAATTCCAGTGTTTGTATCGCGGCAGGACTTCGTTATTCGTTGACGAAGAAAAACTTTGCAAATGAAGAATTAAGAGCCCTAGGAATTAGGATTCTCTTTGCTTTTTTGTCGTGTTAATGCGGTCGCCGTGCGCGTTCCTCTCGCTAGCTCGCGCGGTCGGACAAAAGCAGCTCAAACGCAAACGCTTTTAATGATAAGCGGATTGACGTCAGTTTGAAAAATAAAACATGGAAAGAGAGTAGAGTCTGAATGTGAATTATTATGACATCCGCTTGAAACATCAGTTCTGAAGCAAGGCGGCTGCCATGAAAATCAATTCACAATTTATAACAGATTGTTTTAAAATTTATATTAAAATATAAATTACATTGTCATATATGTTTTATTTTTTTTTTTCGTTCGATGATTATTTTTTAGTATTAAATTAAAAGAAAAAGACGATTATTTGTGAAAAATACAAAGATGGTTCCCGGTGAAGTAAATTAAATTTTCAAACGATGTTTTTGACAATATAAAGATTTTTTGGAATTTAAATAATTTAATTTATTGAAACAATTTTTTATTTTAACATGATAATTTTAATAAAAAAGCGTTTAGCAAATCAAACACGAAAATCCTGTTTCATGGTCAAATTGGCTTGTAATAAAAAAATTTCAGATATTTTTCCTCGTACGTTCATGAAATGAAAATCGATCACATTTATCTAGTACCTAGTAAACAACTTAAAAAAAAAAAATTCAAGAAAACTAGCCATCAAATTTTTCTGTTGATGTTTTTTTTTTATAAAAATAAAAGAGGAAACTGAGCAAAATAAAAACATTCAGGAAACATGCAGGCGCGGTGTGATCGACGGAAAGCAAAGCACGCTGGCCTTGGTACTCTCGGCGTGCAATTAATTTATCCATTATTTAGTACATTCGTCGTCAATTAATGCAGGCAAGTGTGTGTTTTAATTGAACGAGTGTTGCAGGTTGAAATTGCGGCGGCGGCAGCACAGAGAGCAGCGATGGCCAGTTTTCTCAGTTTATTTTTAGCCGATTGCTCGAATGGAGCAGAAACGGCGCACAAACCGACCGACTCATTGTAACACGGCCGAACCAACGACGCAGATTTATCCGCACCTGACCTTTTTTTCATGGCTGCTGCTGGCCGCGCGACTCTGGTGTGCCGGAGATAAGTGATAATATAAATATTAGCTCGCCGCCATTAGTCGGCAGTGGCAGTCGTTTCAGGGGCGCTAAGGACAGCCCAGCGAGTCTCGGGGTTGATTTGAGCGCGAGTGGCGCGTCCAGGGCCATCCAGGACCCACGGAAGCCGCAACTGAGCGCAGACACCACGCTCGGTTGTTATTATTCCTCAGCTGAGTACTTACCAGTTACGTATTCCTCGTCACCAAGTTTGCTGCAATCGGAGTGGGCAAGCAGGCAAGTACGTAGTAGCCACGTCAAAATTCCTGGCCTTCGTCACACGGAATAAAGGGCCGCGACGGCCGCGTCACACAAGCAACGCGTAGCAATACATCCACCGTTGCCGCGCGCTCATTGGTCGCCGCACATCCTGCCAGTGCTTACGTAAGCCCCGCTCTCGATTCGGCCCAATTTTCCTGACGGCGAACGCTGCTCTTGCCTAGCCGAACCAGTCAACGTGTTCATCTCCGTCAGCCGAATCTTAATGAATTAATTTGGGCTGCATTGCTTTTAATCATGTAATATTGCGTCGATTAAAGGCACTACTTTGCAATGCGGATTTGCATTGAAATTTTTCCTTGTTGCCTCCCTCTCCTCACCTCATGAACCGAGCGATCGCGACCGACCCCGAGCGACGTGTGTGGGAAGTTGGAAGGCGAAAGATAAAATACGAGCCACGGATGACGTCAGTAAAAGAACATTACGTAAATTTTAAATATGAAAAAGAAAAATAAGACTAAACGTATAACAAGAATCGAGGAAATTTTTTGATCAAAATAAAATATAAAAAGTCTCAATAGAGACTAGTTAAAATTTAAATGAAACACAATTATTAGAGGCATCAATTATTACAAAATCAATTAATTTTAAAAATAATTAACAAAAAAATTATCAAAATATGAAACAAAAGTCAGCATAAACTATAAATAATTCATAATGATTAAAAACCTGAAATTTCCTAACCGCAGCAAATAAGCATACTTGACTTCCTCTCTAGATTTTTCCCTAATTTTTTCAGGTTCGTTTCCGTCATCATCTGGTTGGAACACCAAAAATAAGGAAATGCCAGCAAAATAAATAAATTATGGTGGAATATTTTAAATAATATTTTTTATGTTTTTTTTTTCAACCCTCTTTGGTTTAATGTTTTTTGGTCTTTAAATAAAAATAAGTAAAATTGTTTCTTTATTTAAAAATTGGTGGTGGTTCTGCGCCTACAATAAAGGGCCCAGGCTGACAAGAGTTTGTCGTGAGTAGTGGCCTGACCCTGAAAATAAATCCGAGAAGTCTATTTAATTAAAATAATTTCATGTTGTTTACTTGGAATATCCTATACTCTTATTTTCAGCTTTTTCCAAAGAATGGCAAAAATTTAACAAATCACTTATCCTTTTTTGTGACGTATTCGTTAATAAATTAGATTGACTGGATATATAATTAAAATCAGCTGTTAATTTAATTGAATGCCAAAATTACAAAATATAATTTATTATTTAATAAATACGCACTACAAAATCTAATATAAAAAGCAGTGAGCATAGATGAGCTTTTGATGAAAGTTAAGAAAAAGATGCCGAGTCTGCAAAGCCTGCAGGTAGAAAGCGGAGAGGAACAATAGTTTTGTGACGACTCAAAGGCGCTGCAACCTATAAACTAGCCAACACGAGGATCCTTGATGGTATGGACTCATTGAGCTTTTAAGAAAATCTCGTATTTATAGCTATTTATAATGAAGCGTTTTGAAAAGCTGTTTTATTACGATGGTATAATATGTAAGAATAAACAACAAAAAAAATTTATTGAATTGGAAATCATAATTGACATTTATATGCTCATGTCCTTTGATTTAAATCAATTTAAATTTCGACAACTTAAGTTTTTATAATGCTAAATAAATAATATTTTTGTATAGTGTAAAATATATAATTTTAAAAGTGTAAAATGGTTTTTAATTTTTTTCTGTATTTATTGTTTTACTTTGTGAAGACAAACAAAAAACATGGAAATTTTTATTTGGTATGAAACAACAATTATATGAGAGAATCAGACAAAAATATTAAATATTTGACGTTTTTCAGCACTGATAACGTGATTTTGAGCCTTTAACATTAATTGTTTTATTTTCGGCGTGCTTACTTCTTCCGCCGAGGCAACGTCTAGAAAAACCAAACGCAGAAAAAATGCTATTAATTGTAAGCTAGTTTTTTATCTTTGTAATAGAATGCTGTACTTCCGTCAATAAATTTTATATTTTCAGACATTTGCCAAGAGCAGGTACAGGAGAGTCGCTAAGTCGGCAATTTTTACTGCAAAGTAATGAGAATTAACCAAACAACGCGGCAAAAAATCCGCAATGCAATCAATTTGTTCACTTTTGTTCTCATGAAACGTTGGAAAGGCACCGAGGCTGGAATATTTTCAACACGCAGCAGGGAAAGCAATCGCGATGCGTTGCCTATGAGCAAAGGGATTTGATTCACAATGGAGTCTGTGGGTACATCAAACTGTCCAGGATTCTCGGAAGTTGATGATCTTGCAAATAGTAAGTTTATACTCAATTATTTATCATCATTTGAAAAACTGAGACTGCAACGAGCCAAAAGCCAAATTGAGGTTTCTAACTCTGTTATGTGGATAAAATTTGAAAAACAAATAACTTTGACACAAGCAAAAATTAAAAAATCATAAATTTATTTTGTTTCTTCAGAATGAGGAATAATAATTCATTAATAATGAATTATAATTTTTCAGCATTCAGAAATTTTTTTAGAATTTTTGTTTTATCGCTGTGGGTCTTTCTTTAAATGAGTTAGAAGTAAAAAAATTACACAATTAGATGAATTATTAATTAAGAATGTTTCATCTCATCGTGACGTGCTTAAAATAAACAAAATAAATATACTGAATGAGAAGTTATTGAAAAATTTCAAATTTACTTTAGATTTCAAATCAAGTTTTTCCCAACAAAATTTCATATTTCAGAGTTTTCTTCATTACAAATTGCAAATTCCTTTTTGAATAGTATGCGAACCAGCACAAGAGTTGGAAGATTCCGAATCTCGCCATGAAACTTACCAGAAATTGTCAAACGTCCAAATCACTCTGATAAGTTTGCTTTCCCTTGTCATGGCTGCCGCATTTGCAGCACTAATTTTTACCGTGCTCAGCGGAATAGGTATTTTCAGTGTTTTCCAACTAAGCCAATTGCATTAATTTTAAAATAAAAACAAAAAGGTTTGAGAGCGCAAATATCCACCCATCCGTCTGCGGTTCCTTGGGGTGTGGATTTTGAGGTTGTCGTCGATTCCGACTCGGGCGAACCAGATTTGCTGACGGATTCATCCTTGATTCTTGGAAGATTCAAACGCAGCAGAGGCGACTTTGAAGATTACGGCAGCGGTGACGGCATCGTCGAAGAAGGCGATCGGCCCAAAAGACAACGGCCCGATTGCGACGAAAAGTACGAGCAGATCAACAAGAAGCTCGAAAAAGTTGTGGCGACCGTCAATAAAATCAACGACCGCCTCAGCGGCTCAAAAGAGTTGCAGCAGCAAAGCTACACCGGCCGATACCCCTTGTGCTTCTTCCAACCCGACCCTTCAGCTGTCCAGACAGACAACCGTGGACAGTATTTCACCAACCACCAAGCCCAGAGAGGGCCAGTGACCTGCGTATTCCTACCCGCACCAATTTCGCAAACTGCGGTCATTCAAGAGCAAGGAAAGAACGACAAAGCACTCGAAACTGCCAATAGAGAGAGGGCAAGTAGGTTGAAGAAATCGCAATCGTTTTTTTTTAAATAGCACTATTATTTATTTAAAAAAATACATAGCCGTTCTCCCATAAGGGAGAGAGGAATTTAAGGAATTTAAAACATAATTATATGACTTTTTGTAATGTGCAAGAATAACACTGTCCAGATAAGAAGTTTTTAAATATTAGAATTAAAAAATGTCATATTTTTAATCAATAATTTAGTTCATTAAAGAGTCAAGTAAAAAATTAATAAAATTGAATTAATTTATCCTTACTAAATTTGAAGCATAATTGGTAACAATTTTTTCCTCAGCAATTGAAAAAAATCCCTCCCTTGATTTCTCTCCAGTTTGCTTGAGCTGTCATTAAAAATAGGTCCCATTTTCAATTTTATAGCGGATATTATTTGCGTGATTATCAAGAAAAACAATGAAAAAATGAGCAAATAAAATAATATTTAAAAAAAAAAATAGCTGGTAATGTAGGGATTTTATAAATTTTATTTAAAAACTTGCCTGCAACTTACTCTTGAACAAACTTTCTTAAATGACCTTCAGTTGCTTTTTTATAAATCGATTGCTAAAGTTGTGAATTTTAACGAAATTAAAAATTCAAAAAAGAAGCAAAATATAGCGAAATTATTTTCAAGGTTCTACTGATCAAGACTCCTGGCCGTCAAAAGGGTTGCCCCTGCCGCATCGAGAAAAAAACGTAACTTCCAGCGCTGTATCGTCGGGAAGAAGTGCGAGCAGAGGTGGAAAATTTTGCAAATTTAAATTTCAGTTTTAATTTTTGAGACAAATTTCAATTAAAATTTAGGGCATTGTGAGGAGGGCCACGTTGCGTGCAGTAACGGCAAATGCATTTCGAGCGGTTTGTGGTGCGATGCGAGCGTGGACTGCGAAGACGCGAGCGACGAGGCGCAATGCAATTGCCGGCACAGGGTGGACGAGGTGCGCTTGTGCGACAACTACATGGACTGTCCCAACGGCGAGGACGAAATTTCATGCCACGGTAAAATAAATCAATTATTTAATTACGCAGTTCTTAATTAGCGCAAAATTTAAAAGGCTGTGCAAAAACCGAGTTCAGCTGCATAAACAAAGGTCCGCACGAAAAAGAGCACAAATGCGTGCCGCTGACGAAAAGGTGTGATGGCGTTGAAGACTGCACGAGTGGTTCGGACGAACACGAGTGTTTTGCGCTGCTGGAAGAGCTGGTCAATTCTGGCCAAGTGGATCTGCAGTCGCACATCTCTGGCTACCTGCACATTAACATTCAAGGTCAATGGTTTCCGACGTGCACCGCTGACCCCGCGGCTGCCCTGCAAGCTTGCAAGGCGGAGGCTGGCCCTGATGTGCGGTGAGAAAGAAGTTTTCAAAAATAGCTTTTTAAAATTGGATTTAATATTAAAAAAATTACAAAATTTCAGTTTTTTTAGATACAAGGCGCGAGATTTTATAGTAAAGCCATAAGACAGAACCCAATTAATTTTTTTTTTTTTTTAAATATTCCAGTTCTGAGGAGATAACGATGAAGATTGAGAGAATCGGCGAATCTGTTAAAGCAATGCTTTACTCAGTGAAGAGCGAAGGTTGCAAAAATCGTGAGGTAGCGTATGTGCAGTGTCCGTTGCCCAAGTGCGGCTCGCGAATTTTGGACGAGGCCCCGATCGAAAGACCAAAGCGCGTGGTCGGCGGAAGAATTGTGGGAGGAAAACAGAGCCAGCCAACAGCTTGGCCTTACCTGGTTGCAATTTTCCGGGACGGCAGGTTTCACTGTGGAGGAAGTTTGATCACAGAAGAATGGGTCCTCTCTGCAGCTCATTGTGTGCACGAGTGAGTTTAAAAAAACTTAACTTAATTTAAATAATAAAAAAATGCGCTCCTGTTTTAACATGAAATAACTAGTAATTTTTTCCCACAGTTTGTTCAATTTTATTAAAATATCGATCATTCTGATGATTTGATTTTCATTTTTGGCAGATACACTAAACATTTCTACGAAATCCAGGCCGGCATGTTGCGGCGCCTTTCCTTCTCGCCGCAAGAGCAAACCAGGGTGGTCACCCACGTCATCGTGCATCGCGATTACAACAGACAAGTGATGACCAACGACTTGTCCCTGCTGAAAATTGACCCGCCCGTCCGCATGTCCCGATGGGCCAGACACGTCTGCCTGCCGCCGCCTGGCTTGATGCTCCCTGAGCCCGGCACCACCTGCATCACAATTGGCTGGGGCGCTACCAAGGAACATGGATCCGATCGTAACTAAATTTATTACAATTGATTGAAATTTGCCTTTATTTGTTCGCTATAGCCGATCAAATCCACGAAGTTGACGTGCCGATCTTGGACAACTGCAAACACATCGAGGATAGAAGGGGGATAGAAATTTGTGCCGGTCTCCCTGAGGGCGGGAAAGATGCCTGTCAAGGCGACAGTGGTGGGCCCCTTTTATGCAGGTGAATAAATTATTTACATAAAAATAAAATAATATAATCTTTTTTTTTGAAGAATTCCTCGTGAACCAGAGAGATGGTACGTAGCCGGTGTGGTGAGCCACGGTGAAGGCTGCGCCCGCCCTAACGAACCTGGAGCGTACACCAGGGTTGGAATTTTCCTCGACTGGATCAACTACTTTGTTGGTAATAATAATTTAAATAAAGAAATATGAGGAAATTCAGTAAGATTGAAACTGCTGAAATCAAGTAATTTTTATCAGAAATTTCCATAGAACCCTTTTATTTGTGCGCAAAATTAGCCCGTAAATAGAAAAATGCACTATTTTTTGTCACGGAAGCTGAACGGAAGAAAAAGAATTTATAATTTATAGTGTCCACTTGTGTTTTCTTATAATAATTATTAGAAAAGCAAGTAATGGTGAAGATGATTTTTTCCTGATTCATTTTCTGACGAAGTATAATTAAACATGTCATTTTTTTGCAATAATTATTACTCAATAGACTGTCCAAATTTTACCTCAAATAAGAGGATCAAATAATGTAAGCTTACTGATTAAATTACAACTTGAATTTAGCCACTTCCTTCCTTGAAATTGTTTGTAATCACGTTTTAACATAATTTTTTATTTTTACAAATTTTTTTTTAAAGAAAACGAGATCCATCTTCCAAAAGAAGTGCCTGTTGCGAAATGTCCCAGCATCGAGTGCAGCAGGGTGGGCGGCCGGTGTCTTTCGGCATCAATGGTGTGCGATAAAATAATCGATTGCCTCAACGCAGAAGATGAGCTCAATTGCAAGAGTTTTCGTGCCAGGGAGGACGCGAATTCCACGTTCCGAGAAGACGAATCCAGCAGACCTACGCCGAATATGAACGAGGACAAGATTTCCAAAATTTACGACGACCAGAGAGTGAAAGGCGCGTTCCAAACGCTGAAGGATGCGGGTTTCCTGAACAACGTCACTGCCGGAATTATGCTGCCGAAATTCTTCTTGTTCAACGTGAAGTCAAATGATTCCAGAGTGTCCAAGGCATTGAAAGACCTGAACGAAACCGGCGTCGCAAATATTGAGAACCCGATCAACGTGACGCGAATTTTGGACAGCCCTCCTCAAGAGAGCAGTCCTGTGAAATTAGGACAGAATTCCACTTCGCCCGGTAAATGAATAAATGAATATTTAATTTAAAATACAAGTTCTTTGATAAATTCTGATAACAATTGATTGAATTGATTTATGAGTCATTGGGCCCAAAAGATGTGCAAAAGTTTTTCATTAATTAAAAAAAAATCAAATTTGAAAATGTTGGAATTGCCACGAAAGAAATTTTAAACCACTTAAACTATTTTAAAAAAAAAATAACCTTTTACGAAAAACAATAACTTCTTGGTTTAAACTTAAGTACCGGACGATAATAAATTACAGGCTATGTTCTGTGGGCTATAAATTTTCAACAGTAATTTTCTATAATTATGTTGAAGGTACCAATGGATCTCCAAGTGCTTCAGAGGCAACCCTTGACTCGTTGGATTCGTCTCCGAACGAAACAACCACCGCGTCCACTGACGAGCCGGAAAATAAAATCGGCGAAATCGAACTACCTGTTGATTCTTCCCCACGTCCGTCTTCCTTGTCGCCGCAAACCGCAGCGTCCTCCACAACTCTAGCACCAAGTCCTTCGCCTTCTACTCCCGTTGAGTCAAAGGGCGGTGACCTAGAATTGAATCAGTTCACTTCGACCGTCAGACCTGCGAGCAATGTTACAGGGATCGACGCGGAAAACAAGCATTTGGTGGAAACAGGGTCGCAACAGGAGAGGTTTTACTGCGGGTGGGTATGCAACCTGCGCGACTCCCAAGTCACGCATGTTGCGCGCGTATTTCATCCTATCTATAGTTTGAACGTTCACTTGCAATCCTAGTGTCTAAAATCATCGTTTTAAATTGAGCAAATTAATATTATTAGAATTAAAAAAATTTAAATATCTCGAGAAACTTCATAGCTATGGGGATACAAAAAATATCATTGTTAACTTATGTTATATTTTTCCCTTTTTGACCAGCTTCAATTTTAATTTAATTAAATTACATGTGCATTATCAAGTAAGATAAATTAATTGATGTCATTATTGCGAAAATATTTCAGGTTTAACCAAGAAATTCCAATAGACAGAAGATGCGATTCAGTGAAAGATTGCGAAGATGGATCTGATGAAAGGGATTGCACGTGCGGAAATTATTTGGCACGCATAACCCCTGCTCTTATTTGCAACGGAGAACTAGACTGTCGGGATCGCTCGGACGAAAGAGGATGCAGTATTTCTTTTTGCTTAAGTTAATTGTACTTTTTAATTGTTCATACTTTTAAAGGCGTATGTAACGAGGACGAATATCTGTGCCCCGTTAGTTATCAGTGCGTCAAGAAGTACCAGATCTGCGATCGTGGCATTGATTGCTTGTACAAGGAGGATGAGCGATACTGCTGTAGGTATTTATAGGGACTCAATTAGTAATGAAAAGCTTCAAATAAACCCCTTTTTAATGTTTTAACAATTTTTTTTTACCACTAATTGAAACATAATTATAACACAATTATACATACAAAAATAATGTTTGAAACACTTCAATTTGCCAGGGGTTAAATTCTCATCAAATTAATTATAATTATTAAAGAGCTTATTATTTCTGGTCAATAATTTTAAGCTAACATTTTTAACATTTAATAGACTGTAATTAATTTAATAATTTTAAATATTTTTAGAATCTCTTTATAAATATTTTTTATTCCTTGAGTAACAATTACTATTCAAAAGTTTCTCTCCGGGGTTTTTAATTACATGTTTACTATCCATTCTTTCCTTTTTGCTTCACACTAAGATAAAATTTTTACGATTTTCATTTTTACTATTTATAGAGGATTTTGCTCTGATAAAATTTGAACGCGAGACGAAATCGCGGAAAATAATGTTAGAAAAAATAAATAAAAGGTCTAAAAATGTTGCCTTTTGCGAGCTCCGTATCTTACCATGCACGCTCATAAAAATTGCAATATTTTTTCTAGTTGCATTGGTTAACGGTCCAAGTGTCCATGTGGACCAAGAAAATCGCGCGGTCCTCAGGCAAGACGGCTTCTTGGTTTACAAGCAGGGCAAAATTTGGTACCCCGTGTGTCAGGATCGCACAGACAAGACGCCCGAAGAACTTGCAGCCGACATTTGTGCAAATCAAGGATTCAGGTATGTCATTTTAAGCCATACCATCAAATAATTAGCAACCACCTTGAAGCTACTACAAAGACGTGAAAGTGCAGCCGGCGAGTTTCATTGCACTGCCCGAGTACCAAGACCAGGAGGATTATTACGAGCAGCCAAATTATGGAATGCTGCAAGAGGGTGCGGAGCCGTGCAGTGGACTTTGGGTGGAGTGCGGCGAACGACTTTTCACTTACCCGCTACCGGATATTCCACCGTGTGGTGACGCGACCTGGTCGTGGTTCGCGGCTATTTTCAAAGAAGGAAAATACCTTTGCGGGGCCACGCTTGTGAATCCCCTGTGGGTCGTCACCTCCAGGTCTTGCACGCAAAAAATCGAGTATGAATAGTTAAAATATTTATATAAAATAGCGCTTTATTTTTACTTATTTCAAAATCTATTTAGTTTGCAGTACCATTACATAGGGGTAATTATGGGTGCGAAACGGTTGTTTGGCTATGAAGGGCCACATGACCAAATGAGACGCGCCGTGGCGATTAAGGACATTGAGGATGTCTCCTTTGTACAACTGGACAAACCTGTCAAAATAACGAGAAACGTGATACCTCTGACCCTGCCTGAGTGGTAAAAAAATTACAATACTAAAAATTAAAATCAATTAAATAAAAAATATAAAAAAGGTAAGAAAAGCGATTCCCATTTTGGCCATTTGCTAAAAATGAATCCTGTACTTTTTACATTTTTTTATTTTTTATTTCAATTTTTTATTTTTAAATTAACTATTTTATTAACTTTATTTTTCAAATTAATTCATTGAAATTTTATCTAAAATATTGAAGTGAATGAAATAAATCAATCTAAAACAAATAAAAATCAGGGCATATGAATCACTGGAATCGATCACATGTATTTGATTTAAAGGTTTGAAAGACCGGACAGTCTGCTTTACTGCATGGCACTGGGCCCAAGCAGCGTCAACGACAGCATCATTTCCATTCAGTTCAAGCCTGTGTACTGCGAGGACAACCTTTTATGTTTAGAACGCGTTTGCTCTCCTTCCCATCACGAGTGTGAAGTGGATAATTTTACAAATTACTAAAGCAATCACTGACGCTATGGCATTTTAAAGGTTCCGTACGCGTCAAAACCAATTTCGTGGTCGGGCGCCGTTGCGTGCCAAAACTCCAGGGGCAGCTGGTTTCCAGTGGCTGTTTTTGACGAACCACTCGGCTCTTGCGGCTTCAAGTCTCCTTTCCCGTTGCGGCGGATCGAACAATATATTGACGAAGCCAGAGAAGTTTTAAGTAAAATTTTATATCATTTTTTAATTTTTTATTAAATTAGTAAATAAATTTTAGAATACCCAAACCCGCCAGTTGCACAACCACTTTGCCAAGGCTGGCGCTGCCCTTTGGGTCTGTGCGTGCCTCAATCTAATCTTTGTGACGGAATGGCCGAGTGCAGAGACAGGTCGGACGAATCCGATCGCTGCCTTTATGTGCAACGAGAAAAATTCTGCCTGGATGCTGAAAATCCATATACTTGCGGTAAATGATAATATTGATAATTTAAATAAAAATGAAAAAAAGATTTTCTATTTTTTTTTAACTCATTAGAAAATAATTTTTTCAAGTATCACGCTTTGATAAAAAAAAAAAAACAGTAGCATGAAAATATGTCTTGACTTTTCTCTGAAGATTGTGCTGTTCAGGAATAGGGTCATTGACCTCATTGACCCCCCTGACCATAAAAATGCTTTTATTGTTAGTTGCATATTATGTTTGTTATTCAATCACTGCCCATATCGAGATTATTCTTTGATATCAAATTGTTGCGCTTTTAGTAAATGATTTTTTTTCTTTTTACACCAATTTGGGTTAAATATTTTTAAGAAAGCGAAATTAAATACTATTTAAAGTGAAACACTAAAAAAAACCTTGAACCAAAATTATCCATCTTTCCAGTTTGCGGCTTGAACAGTGTGCCTTGTCGCAATGGCTATTGCGTGCACAAAAACCAATTCTGCAATGGATACGACGACTGCGGAGACGGCTCGGACGAGCCTGCAGATTGCAAATCATGCGCTGCATACCTTAAAGTGGTGGATCCGTCCAAGATTTGTGACGGAAACCGGAACTGCTACGATAAATCAGACGAATCCTGGACGATTTGCGGCTGCAGTCAAGGCTCCTACAAATGTCAGCATGAGAAGCACTGCATTCCTCCAACCTTTGTGTGCGATGGGGAAAAAGACTGTCCGGGTGGAGATGACGAAAAGAACTGCGTCGCCGTTCGCACCACGCGATCAGACCAGTAAGTTAATAAATGAAAAAAAAAATCAAAAATTGGTTGGTAAACCATGATTAAACAATGTCCCTGTTTGACGTGCTGATTTATTGTTTATTAAACAGGAGGATTTATTTCAGTTTTATTAAATTCATTATACGAAGAACAAATTATTTACAGTACGTTCTATAAACTTGTTTTGAAATTTCAAAGAAGAGTCCCTATTAATTTCACTCATTTGCAATCATAAAAAGTCACCGAAAACTATTTCAGTCGCCAAAATAATTTTTATTTTTAGAGCGGTTGGCGAAGTGCTGATCAACACTTGCGGTCAATGGCACGAATTCTGTGCACCACCAGGCCTGGACACGAAAATTTTCAACGTGGACAGCAGGGACCTGTGCCGGCAAATGGGCTTCGACGGGTCCAACGCGCGCACCGTTCAGGAAGCGACTTTGGCGCCGATGCAGCTGCCAGAAATGGACATGTTTTACGAGGTTCACATCAACAACCAGACATCATTTATCATGAGACCATCCAGCAGACCCCTGGTTCAGTTCAAGTTTTCTCCTTGTCCAACTATTGTTGTACTTGACTGCGGAGCAGCGAATTAAATAAACACTTAGGGTAGAAAAATAAAATTGCCGCGCAATGATTTTTATTTGAAAAAATTCTCTTACGTCACTTGCGGTTTTGATCTGCCTATAAAAAAAAACTATAAAAAATATTGGCTGAAATTATGAAGTTGTATTTTGCAATTACTTTTTTTGATTAAATAGAAAAAGAAACTTCCAAAATTATAAATAAAATGAGATAATTGAATATTTCTGCTATCCTTATTAAATTTTACTTTAAAAAATTAATTACATTCATTTTTCAAACAAAATCAATTGTTAATAATTGAAAAACCAAGAATTTCAACGCTAAAATATTTATAAATTATATTTAATTTCCAGTCGATGGCTATATAATTTTATTAATATCATTTTAAAACGGGCTTGTCCTCATTGAAGTATTTTTTTAATAAATAGCTACACTCATTTTGTAATAGCTGCCGACTCTAATTTGTCAAAGTAAAATCAATGAATTTGCTTATTTTCCTTTGCTCATGAAAAAGTGTCGGAGACCTGTGACGCACAAAGGTAGAGTCGTTTGATTTTGTAATAAAAAACAATTTTTACAACACGAGGACAAACCCGTTTTTTCCCTTTTGCGATCGTCTCCTCACGTACGCATTCTTCTTCTCCCACATTTTTATCATTCGCAAAACAATAAATGGAAAGAAGAAACAGCAAACACTTATCTCTGAAAATCAGGTCGGTTAAACTCTAACAATCGAGCAAGCAGCCGCTTCATACGTTAACTATTTGATAAAATTTTATTTTTTTAGCGCGAGGACAAACTACCATCACCGCTGATCCATTCGCCAAATAAAAATGGTTAGAGTAGCGCTGATTTAATTTGTACTATTTGTACCTGTAGACACGGCCGCTTCGGTTGGTAGCACCCCACTCATTATTATTAATTTAAACTTCTAGGAAGTGCAGTGTGTATTTTGTTTTCTCTCAAAGTTTATTTTTTATTTTTAAAGTCCATCATATATTATCATTGGCCTTTGTAAAAATTTCATTAAGGAAATACGATTCAAACTGTTCATTCTTTCACAACAACAAATTTAATTCTAGAACACTCCTCCAGTTGTTAAAAATAATGCAGAAATCAACAAAGTAAGCAATGACAATGAAATGAGCTTGCGTCTGCAGTGTGAACTGATTAAGCAGCTAGAAAATGTCTTATGACCTGCGCGAATATTTTTTGTGTAAATTACAATGATTGATGTTAATTTCTACTGTGACTTACTCTAAACATCAGAACACATAAATTAAAATTTTTTAACTTGAACTGAAGCAAACAGCTTCTGAAAACTTATTAACCACATCGTCATCGTCAATGTCGTGGAAAATTTTCCAATCTTCCCTTTCTCCCCCCCCCCCCCCCCATTAGAAAATATCGAATATAAATAGTGTTCCAAATTCCGAAATTCTTCATTGCTTTAAAAAAATTAAAAATAATTAGAAAATTTCGTGGGTAAAGGCCCAATTTTAATTTTATTTTAATTAAAAAAAACATGTCTTCTTTTATATGCTGCCAGTTAATTTTTTTTACTCCACTCGATCCAGGAGGATACCAATGCGGATTACAATACGCGCGCTTGATTTTACCAACGTTCAATACGCGGCCCAAAAATACACGATGATCTATAAACTATAAATAATCGCACACACAAAAATATTATTAAAACCAATTATTTTATTGGTCTTGTAATTTGTAATTCAATCAAATAAGTCTCCGCTGGCCGAGGCAGCACACAATTGACAATCTTGCATCGCGGTCAGGTTGCAATTCGTGGTTCGCGCAAAATTTTCTATTAAAATCTATTGACTGAATAGAGTGTGAAGATTCGCCCCATAGATTCCAACACCGGTTTGAAGCCGCCAGAAACTACGTGCTGCGTGCGGCCTATTCTATGGAGTTGCACCATCAGCAGCAGCCCAAGTTCAACCGGACGGCGTCTCCACCAAAAGCACCCAACCATCTCAAAAGACCCGGCGGTGGGGCTACCTGACTATCTGCATGCACAAAAAAAAAACCACCTCTTCCACCTCCTCAAAATTTTTTTCCCTAGTTCTGGAGGTGCAAACATGTCTGCAAGTTATTATCAGTGCAAGTGTCGACCGGACCGTGGGTCTCTTTGATTCCTCTTAAATAAGTTTTCACCGGAAGCGTTTCCCAATTTGCCGATTGGTGAGTCTAATATTTTAAGATTATTTCTCTATTTATAGTTATTTTTCAAAATTTATTTTATATAATCAGGATTATTTTTGAATTAAAATTAATAAGGGTCCTCAGCAACCAGGCTACCGAAAGGGATTCCCATTAGTGGGAATCCCTTTTTGAATCATATGCGGTTCTTAATTAATTTTAAAGTGTGGCACTGAATAATTTATGGATTTTATTTAATATTTTAGCTACATTATTGCAGTTAAATGTGAATTATTATGCATTTATTAATGCTTTTTTTGTCCAGCAAAAATATAAATTTGAAGCAGTAGAAGCCAATGATATTTTTATTATCTCTTATTGGAAGCAATTTTAGTAAATTTTCAATTTATTTGCTGACCTGAATTATGCAAGGTGCGCCAGGCATAAAATGGTGATTGCAAAAGCTGCAAAAAGATAGGTGAGCGTAGCAGCGCTGAAAGTGAGCTGTAAAGAGACATGCAAGTTGGACCAGGCAAATCAAGTTTAGCAACTTCATTTCTTTTGTGCAATCGGCATAAAATGCCCAGATATGCCTTAACGCTTTTCACGTTTATGGACAGGTCCAGTCTGGATATGTTTAATAATTATAGCGTTGCGCATTTTTACTTTTTTCATTCAGTAACTGCTCAATGAGCCATTTTTATCTTGAAACAATTACCAAGCTTTGAAGATTTTTTTTTAATTTTATCAAATTTTTGTGCGTTTCCTTAGTGGGTTTTATGAGAAGTATTGAAAAAATGGAGAAATTATTAAAAACGTTTATAAATGGAATTTTTTTAAATAAAATTTACCAAATTTACGAAAGAATGAACACGACTTCTGGCAGAGGCGAATAATGGTCAAATATCAATAGGTTTTTCCTCATTGAAAATTGTGCCTTTTTATTTATGATTCATATTTTTCATTCTTATAAACAACACAGTTTGAGATTATAATTTATTGATGAAAAACTTGTCATGCCTTCTTAAAATATTTGTGCAGTTTTAGAATTTAAAAATCTTTTTAAAAAGAATTAATTAATTGATAGGTAGTTTCTGTTGCAAAATCTTTGAAAATCTAGGTCTGTGTTGATTGTGTAAAGAAAAGAGCAAAGCTGGCCAGAATTTATAATACGATCAGAGTGTGCGATCATAAAATTATTATGCTACTGAAAGGCAGCAATAAAACTGCTAACGCCCAGAAAATTACTGCCCAATCTTGTTGGAAAAAACTCTCAGAAAAACTTGTTCAAGACCAGTTCAAGATGGTTCAAGATCAACCTCTTTCCATTTTTTTTTACTCTCAAACTTTGGACGTTCAATTTGCTCAGTTTAACTTTTGATATTTTATCAAATATTTTTGTTCATCTAAATAGAGCCACCGTGATTACCCAGAAGTCCATAAAGAGCAATAATTTATAACGCATTATTCTCAACAAGGAAAAGCATATTCATATATTGTTCTCAGAAGTGAGGTGAGTGTTGGGTACTTATCGCCTGTTAAAATAAATAAAAATTCACAACTATGAGGCCAAGCAAGTTCTCATTTAGGCAGACATTCATCTCCGTCAAGTCAAAACATTCAATCGGGGAAATTTGGTTTCGAGAGAATTTTTTTGTATTTATTTGTCAAAATTTGTGCATACAAATTTCGTATACCTTTCAATGAAATTTTTTATAAACCTTTGGTAAAAAAAAAAAAAAAATAGAAAAGTAAAAATGCGTGCCTAAATTTACCTCCCAGCCAATTTTTCATAATTGAATGTTTTGACTTGATGATTGAGAAAGGAAATATATTCAAGAAGGGAAGGAACACATTACAATTGTGCTCGTCTGCAAGCTTTATCTGGTTAAAGATGTGTTTTGTAAAAAACTGCAATTTCGAGAAAATTCCAAGAAAATGCAGGAGGCACTTCTTAACTAATCAGGGAATGTCACGGTCAGCAGATGGCATAAGAGCTGCGCTTAACTGCAGCGCCGGTCCAGCTCGCGTCACAAAACCACTTTTCCTTTTTGGCGTGCACAACTTTATCAGGTCAAACAACACGTGGCCCTAGGGCTGCATCACAAATTTATGCGTGTTATTGGTTCGGCAGGTTTCCCCAGACATAGAAGATTCAGTGGTCGTAAACAGTCTCACGCTAGTTGCTGCTCTAGTTTATGAAATATACTCAATTTCACAATTCAATTAAAACTATTTTTTGCTGTTCATTTAAAAAGACCAAATGTGTTTCCACCTAGAGAGAAATATCATTACCATTAAAGGCCAAATCAATATCTTGTCGAAATAGAGATTTTATTAATAAAAATAAATTTTACTTTGATAATATTATTTTTTTTATTTGGTTACTTATTTTGTAATGAATGAAAAATGTTCAATAAAAAAATATTTGGTCCAGAAAGATTTGATACACCAACGTCGTTTAAATTTTCAATTCGATTCACTTTTTGTGAAGAGGCTTATAAATTGCAGAAATACTTCTTGTAAATCACAGAAAAATTAAAATTAAATTTGAAAGCATTTAACCGCTTTAAGGATTTAAGAAGCGAAAAAACGGGTAAATGAAAAGAGTGGATGAGCGTGAAGTGCTTAAATTGCGATTTCATAATATTTTCATCAAAGCTTAGCATTTTTTCAAGGAAGTCGCGTGCAGGTGAAAAAGGCGTGTCATCATCATTTTTCGCACACCACCTTAGCACGGGGATCACTTTCTCAATGCGCGCCGTGATAATCTTTTGGGATGCGTTAGTGCTTGACCTCGCGCAGTAAACAGGTCACTGCCGACCATCCTGATGCGTGCCGCCGTTCGAAACACGAACCTTTAATTAGTTTGCAAAATATGAAAAAACCTCTAATAAAAATTCAGGAATTACTCGCATTGAATTTTAAATTGAATTCATTCATTCCCTGACGACACGTATAATAAATTTTAACAAATTGAAAATCATTATGAGAGAATCGGCATCCAGATCTTATCTGCTTATCTAGAAAATAATTAATCAAAACCTGCAGAGTAACTAAGATCCTGCATGAGCATTAATTAACATATTTTTTCCTTATAACTAGGTTTACCGTCAAACTGTTAAACCAAAATGAAGAAAAAGGATGAAAACATAATTATGAGGAAAGTGATTGAATCAATTCATGCGATTGCGATGAAATGATAAATAATTATCAATGAAAGGTGCAGAGCAAATAAAATTAACAGTTGCCTAAGTGAAGCAAAATTTCAGTTGTAAGGGCAGGCCAAAATGACAATAATTGTCTTGACTAAAAAGAGGTTGAGTCGGGCCTTGACCGGCAGGACGCGTATGGATAATGCATTTTACGTGTAAACCTTACTGTGACTCGAATTAAAAATTGCTTGTTGAAAATAAAGGCAGCATTTTTCCAATAGAAAGTCTAGAACCATTATCTCAAAAGTAAAAATCCTCTCATTACAATTTAATATATTTTATTTTATGATTTATGTATAAAAAATCAGGAACATCTCTTATTGTTAAAGTTATGGTCATGGCCTGCAAACCAATTTCATGACCAAGAAAAAAAATCGCAATGTAAAACCTCAAAAGCCGCATTTTTCATTACAAAATTATTAAAAAAAAGTTCCGAACACTGTTTGCATGAATGAGTCAACTAAGTAGGAGGGGTGATTTATTAATAAAATTACATTTTCTTGCTTTATTTGCGCACTGGTTGGTAGATAAAAGCGCAAATTGCACAATCCCACTTAACACATAGTTGAATATCATCAAATATAGGACTTGCAAAGAAAAACTCGCATCAATTGCAAAGCGCATAGTGCATTTTGCAGTTTTTGTCGATTATTTGCCCTTATTGTACGTCACAGTTGCATTTTAGCGAAGTCATGATAGGCAAATAATAAAAGAGGAATCAATGGCTAGTGCCAGGTGGTTCAGTTACTTTCTCATGGTGGTGCACACTGCTCATCTGTATGACCCGCAACCCAAGGTATGGAACATTCAAATTCAAAGGCGATTTATCAGAGAAAAAGGAGATTATTACAAAATTTTGTTTCGTCTCTTTTAAACTAACTTGCCAACCATTATTAATTTATGATTATTTGTTATTTGCAGTAAATTCAAAAAATTTAAAATTTAAAAAGAAGACAAATGGTGTCAAAAGATTAGTAATTTTTTTTTAAACGCGTGACAGAAATGAGTTCAAGCGTCGCCATTGGAAGGTACGGGCGACTTGTCTAGATTTTCTGCTACTAATTAACCAAGAGAAAAACCACCCAGGAAAACCTAGAGTGAAGGAATCCAAGGCCAGATTAAAATGCCCAGTTTTTTTTACATGTTATTTTGCATTATATTACTAAACGCATAAAACTCGGCTAAACACAGCCTCATAGTACATAGTTTTCATGGACTGGTCTGTGGGATTCTATCTGTAGTTGTAAAAAGTTTTATTATTGCAATAACTTCCTGCTCTATTCCCCAAATTTTGCGACGAAAGGTACGACACAACTAAACCTTGCCAGTAGAAAATTAAATAATTTAGGAAAGCCAAATGTGACCTCCAGTAGCTTTTATGATAATGAAAGACTTGTGATTTTTATGATTCCCTTCGTGCTAAAAGATCCGCATTATTAAGTATTCGTCTGGAAAAAATATATATAATAAAATGTGCCAACCAAGAAAACTACTTTTTACTAATAATCAGCACCTGTCTGGCAGATCACCTTGTGTACTGCCAAATTACCAAACTTTCATTTTTATTTCTCAGTGCAAGGCTCTGCAGTTGTGTGACGCCAAAAAACCGATCGAAAATGGTCAATGCCAATTTCATCAATCGTATAAATTGCATTGGAAATAAACTTGCTATACAATTTGTACATAATAATGTGATTGGTTCATTCATCATTGCAATGAACATTCACTGTTTTTACCAACATGCCATACTCTCATGCATGAGTTATAATCTATGTTCATAGCTCACATCACAAAAAGTTTCAATTCATATAAACGAAAAACCCAGAAATCATATTACTTTAGCTTGAAAATAACCATTATTAAAAATCACGGAATACAGGGAACCAAATAAATAGATAAATTTAAATCGAACTTTTTATTAGATCTGAATATATATTCAAATTAGCATGAGTAAAGTAAATAAATCTAAAATTTAAAAAAAAAGGAAAAATGTCAATTGGACTAAATTTTGTAACACGTTTTTTTTTATATCCCTCAGTTGTTCGCGGCCGCCATGGCACCCAATCACCAAGTCACCCTCGGCCCGGAAATTTTAGATACTCAAGACGAGGCCGTCGCTCATACTGAAGAATTAATTAAAAGCATCAAAAGCGTCCCGGAGACTTTGACGAAAAGCGCGCCGACGGAAGCACCGGAAGAGGCGACGACGACAGAGGAGCCGCACCTGCCGTTAAAATGGGCAAACATTGTTGGCATCTTCATTTTCCATGCAGTCGCGACGTACGGCTTCTTCGTCACCATCACGCAAGGCTATTGGCTCACAGTTTTTTGGAGTAAGTGTCCATGTAATTATGATTAGCATTCAATAATTACTATTCCATAATTTCCTTGAGGAAGTCAAAATTATATGATTTAAATTAAATTTTAAATAGAATCGACTGGAAACTATTTGTAAATTTCATTGTTATTGTTTTGGATGATTAAATAATTTAAATTAGCATTATTTTTTTTCATCATTTTCGGAACAAATTGGCAACCGTCATTTTTAACACAGAATTATGTCGTAGCCTTGTTGCATTCTCCTTAAATTATGTAGAATATTTCTAGATTTTTCAACTTTTGATGTGATAAACAAGAATATCGTATAAACGTTCTCTAGATTGAAATGTTTATATGATATATCATAAATGAGTAAACATAACAAAAAACATGTTTGCAGTGTACGGAATGGGTCAGCTGGGAGGCATTGGAGTCACTGGCGGCGTGCACAGGCTATGGACCCATCGCGCATACAAGGCCAAGCTTCCCCTTAGGATAATTCTGGCCATGCTTTTTTCACTTTCAGGACAGGTATGCATCATAGTAATACTCAATTTTGATTTAATGTGCTCGTAATTATAGTCATTTCGGCCAAATTCAGTAATTATTCGTGACGGTGTGGTGAGCGTCACCAACCACAACGTTAGTCTGGAAACGCTTATTGTGATTCAGATAATTATTACTGCACAACACTCTTCTTTTAAATTTTTAATGGGAGAATTATGCAAAATACGCATTTTACAATAAGACGCTACAAAAAAAATCATCTTCCCTTTCAACTTGCCCATATTTGACTTTGAATATTTTAATAAATTTGGGACAACCAAACAAATGCGATACACAACAAATTCAAAAAGTTTAAAAATGAGCTTGAAAATCGATTGGTTTCTCACGCCAAGCGAAAGTGAAATTCAATTTTATTGACATGAATTTTTTACAAAGTGCCTCGCGCTACCTTAATTTAACACGTTTAAAAGAAAAATGAATTATTACACTTCTATGTAATAAAGGAGTTTTTTTGACAGAGACGTATATTTTATATTAATGGAAAGTCAAAACTTTGATTTCGAAATCGTTCAGTTCTCTTCTCTCTGTTTGATCTTTGATCCAGAGTAATGTAATTTCAAAAAATTACTGAAAAAGAAATCAAATTTGTCAGTCTTTTGAACATATACAACTGTATGGTCTACAATCTTATTTAATGAATGAATAAATGTAATGTCTTTTTATTTAAGTAGTAAATTTTTATAGCCAAAACATTTTTTACGTGGATATTAACGTAGCCTATTACAAGAATGAAATTTGACGGTCAAGAACCTGTTTTGTGTTTACGCTCAGGCAGCATTAGATGATCTTTATTGGGCAGAAAGGATAATATTAATCACGCCGATGCCTCCCGTGGGCCCAACAGGTTTGTGAGATTTTGCACGTAGACAAAATTCATACGATTTTCAGACTGTCCGATTGAAAAGCTGCTGACAACACAAGTACGTGCTATTTTCCGAGTAGCTCTTGGTGACCTTGCCTCAGACCATCGACCGTCACAAAAGATACTAAAAAAAATGAAATACGAGTGCAGGAAAAATGAATTGACCGCGATGAGCAACTACGTCACAGACTAAGGCAATAAAACGATAATTTTTTTATTTGATGTACAGGAAAATTAAATGCAAAAATACATTATTCCTAAAAAAAATCATTTGCAATTCAATTTACTTCTGTATATTAATTTCTCAATTTTATAATTAATCGGAATCAATAATAAAATAAATTTTTCATATATAAAAGTCAATTAGAGCACCATCTCAAGGTGTAAATACTCAAAGTGAAGGATTTGTAAGAAATTGTATGATTAAATTGCAAGCCGGTCAATGCCGGCGGGTGTGTGGCACGAGATACTGCAGGATCGCGAGCGTGCGGCCACTTTTCGCCTAGCTTGCGACAATACGCAGTGCGTAAGGTCTTTCTCTTTTTCTAATTGAAATATAAACAAAAATATATATTCGTGAACAACCAATTTGTAATATTTTAAATTTTTCCTAGTATTTAGTATGATTTAAGGCAAACTTGCAAAGCAAACACCGATTTGAAATTTACGTTTGGATAAAAAGATTTGCCTCTTTTTGATTTTTGATGCCAACCTTCAGGATTCGATCTATCAAGACACGCATTTTATCTACACGAATTAATGGAAAGCATGTGCCTTGCGCGATATTTGGGTAATGGTAATCATAAAACCATAAAATCTACGCAACTTGCCACTCGGCTGCGCGTGCATTCGCTATACTCAATCTTAATACTTTCAGCCTTGACCGGTCGTCGCGGAACAACTTTTGATTACCGACTGTAACAAATTACAAACTAAATTGACTCAAAACGAATCCAACAGACGTATGAAATATAAAATATTGACGCACCTACACGTTCAAATATAATGGGCAATAGCATTTACATTCCCTTGGTACCTAAAGTGTTCAACCTTACTCAATAGAAAATAATTTGACCAGATTAAAATTCACGTGACCAAGACTCGTGAACGTCGTAGAAGCTCATTATACACATTTCAAAGCTCATTTTGCAGGTTTAGATGAAATTACGAGTTTTGATCAGAATATATTTTTTGTTACTGTTCACGAACTTGTTAATCTAATAGTGAAAAATGAAATTTGATTTGATTAGAAATTTATTTCATGATATTTTTTTGAAACACAAATTTTATAGATTCCCTTCTTTGATTTCAGAATTCAATTTTTGATTGGGTGCGAGACCACCGTGTGCACCACAAATTCAGCGAAACAAACGCCGATCCGCACAATGCCAACAGGGGTTTTTTCTTCGCCCACGTTGGCTGGCTGATGCAGAAAAAGCACCCTGCGGTCATTGAGAATGGTCGCAAGGTGGACATGAGTGATGTTCTCTCAGACCCAGTCGTCCAATTCCACTTAAGGTAGAATTTAAAGTAAATAAGAAGTTAGCTACTAAAAAATTAAACAGGCATTTTTGGACACTGAAAGTTCTGCTGTGTGGCGTCTTGCCCATGGTTGTGCCTGCCCTTTTCTGGGGTGAAACCTGGCGAATCTCGTTTTACAACATGGCAGCGAGGTACATGTTTGGACTGAACTTCACCTGGCTCGTTAACAGTGCTGCCCACATTTGGGGCCACAAACCCTATGACCGGTAAGCAAAATTTAATAATTAAACCTTTTGGGTTTTTATGCTTGATTCACAACGGATTCAAGAAATTTTATATTCCTTCTTTATAGTGCATTATAGTATTATTGTTAACGTAATTTAAGTTCTATAGTTAGATCCTCCTGGCGTTTTGTTTTTTTGTTTTCTAGATTTGTGCAAATGAATAATATAATTTAATTTAATTTTTCAGCTTCATTCAGCCTACTGAAAACCGCATCGTGGCTGTTTTGGCGTTAGGCGAAGGATGGCACAATTACCACCACGTCTTTCCTTGGGACTACAAAACCTCTGAGCACGGCACTTATTCTTTCAACTGGACAACAGCCTTCATCGATTTCTTCGCCTGGATCGGCTGGGCCTACGATTTGAAGCAGGTGACGCCGGCCATCATTGAGCGCCGCTCAAAGAGGACAGGGGATGGCTCAAGGGCGACCCACGGCTCTGTCGGGGGTGTCCACATAAGTGAGGAAGAGGAACCTGAACCGGATGACTTTTTGCTCCCGAGCAGTTCGAAACAAGATTGACGACAATGAATAATCAAGACTCAGCCACGAGTGCCAATTCCCGCAGTGATGCGCACACTTTTGATTAACTGTACATAGTCTGAATTCTAGATTTAAAGTGAGAATATGGAGGATAAATTTATATTAAATGAATGGCACGAATTATTGGTAGAGGCCTTTGAAAACTGAAAAATTATGCTTCTGGTCTACATTTTAGGACCAATTAATTGAAAGCGCCGAGATAATGCAGATCGCTTCTATTTAAGATTATCAGATACAATTGAAGTGAAAGTCTTTTTATGCCTGGTTACGAAAAATATTATAAAAAAAAGAAAAAAATGAGAGACTTTAGAACTTATGCAGGGATCTTTCATGAAGATCGATTCTTTGGATATTTCAATCTGGCCCACAAGCTTATTTTTTCTTGGAATTTAAAAAAATCGTTTCTTTTTTTCATTGCTCTTTATAAACTCTGTACTACAGGATATAAAACGCAGAGTCAACCATCCTAAAAAAGTGACATTTTAAATTCTGCAAAGAAAACACGATAAATTCTTAAGAACCGATTATCTTATCTAACAATAAGTCCTCTGAAGTCCCTGCGATGTCTGGCGTCTCTTATTTCCGCTCACAGCATGTAGTTCCATTATATGCTAGACCGAGTGCATTCAATATTAAGAAAATTTTGACACTCAAATTGATGTATTGGTAAATTTGATAAAAATTGCTCAGAAACTTTAAAATCTCTGTTTTAAGATTTGCTAAATCGGGATGTTTCCTGTGAAATTCAATTTCTCATTTTATTTTCAATATGTATTGTGGATTTCTTAATTTTTTGACGTATGAATTTTGTAACAAATGGAAAAAAAATATAAGGCTTATTTCAAGTTTCAAGAAACGGAGTTTGAAATATGTCCCAATAAATATACTGAAACTAGAAATTTTTTTTATTATTTTCGTCATTAAATATTTCATGAAAATTAAAATTTTCAAAGCAAGTATGCGTTGATATTAAATTTATAGAAGTAATAATTTCTAATTTGCGATAAAAATTAAAAATGAATATTTCATCCCCTATTTTTCATATTTCTCTAACTTTCCAACTATCAAGTACTCAAAAAAAGTCGATCGTGAGTACTTTTTTTAAGTTGTTTGGCATTCTGCAAGTCAGTTTTAAACATTGTTGTTGTTATTTTTTCCAAGCGATTAAGTTGAAGGTGTCGGCAGCTCGCGGCGGGGGTTGATAATATACGCATTTTTTGTAAGCAGGTGGTTGGAGTTGCTGATAGTGAGTCACTCTCACCAGCAGGAACGCACTCCAAGTTGCACTTGCGTGTCCCAGGCTGGACACACATACGGCCCGGGCTAAATCCCGTTCGGTTTCGCCTTAGCCGAAGGCGCTAGATATACCTGGTAGAATCCTCAAATTAAGGCTAATTGCCAGAAAAGCACACCGGGACAGGGTATTTATAAATAATGTCATCATTAAAAAAATTAATATATAAAATCATGGAAAATCAGAGGCTGGTCTTTTTTGCGTGGTTGCTTCATCAATTTCCGTGCAAAGCCGGCAGGAGGCACCAAAATACGGACTCCCAATTAAATGCGAGGTAAAATTCTCGACCATGAAAAAGGTTGGAGGCTGTCGCGCATAATTATACCACAGCTCCGTTGCAATCCGTGTTGGCACGAGGGAATTAAATTTGTTCTCTCTCCAAAAAATTGGCAAATTTCATCTTCAGCAATTCTTTCTTGCGTGCTTACGTTTCAAAGACACCAAGTAGCTATTAGGTCTGTGTGCGTGTTGGAATAATTGCACTGGGTAATAGCCGAGTACTTTTTATATGGTACAATTTGGATCAAATTAAATCAAACATTTTTTATTGAATTTCCTGATTCAGGTTGAAATCATTTTTACAATCCAAAAGAGTTATCAAGATGTTCACTTGAATTTTACAAATTTTTGCATAAAAATAAATCAAGCATGTTGTTAATTTATTTAATGCAACAACTCTCTTTAAATTTTAATGTTCATCTTTTTGTCATTGTTAATGTTAATTGAATTAAAAATGGCCTGTTCTCAATCAATTTATAAAATAATTTTATAAATATGAAAATTTTCCACACAATATTTAAGTATCATCTTAAAAAGTAGATAAAATTATCGAAAAATGCAAATAATATGTACTAATTTCTATAATCAGAGGAAATTGGTTTTCTCATGACTTCTATTTTTCTGATTTATATCCTGATGCTAATAGACTGTATTTTACTTGATACCAAATGTTCCCAATTCAGTCATCACGTTTTGTATTTATTAATAATTTCTTAATTTTTCCAAAACACACAAAAATTTTAATTTAAAATAAAAATAACTTGAAACCGGCCTGGTAACAATGAATAAAATTGGTATATCAATGTGCGCATGTATACAATGGGTGGTGATGTGGAGGTGCGTTGGAAGGCGAACAAGAGGTAATTCGCGCAAGTTATTCCCCTTCGCGCATCTTCCACGGCTGCAGCCGGTTTGGTCCCCATGGACGTGGTGCGAGTCCTTTTCGCCAATGAGTGCCTCCGGAGGGCCATCACGTGATGCCGTCAGCTGAGAATCAACTCCACGAATACCATCCAGGGTTTTTTTTTCAACTCGCGTGTTTCTGCGCTGCTTGCCTGCATTCGCTCGTTGCTGTGCAGTTTTTACGCCGCGCAGCCCGAGCATACACCGAAGGCAATGAGCGGCCGGCATTGCTGCAACAATTATTATTTTAATTGCTGCTTCTTTCTGGTTTACTCCGACTGAAATTTTTCAATTTTCTAGTCTTCAGTACACTTTCAGAGGAAATCATGACCAGCATCGAAGATCTGCAGAAGTTATGCAACAAGGTTGAAAGGTGAGTCTCATTTTATTCATTTTTAATTCCAACTTATTTATATATTTAAAGTTTTAAATTTATTTTTATATAAAATTAATTTACGAGACGGCAAAAAAAAATTTATTAAAAGCCGGTTTGAAAATAAAATTTAAAAAAATTGAAACAAAAAGGGAAGAGGAGTCGAGCAAGAGCTCCCGCAAAAAAAGTGTTAAAAGGGGGGTGGGGGCTTGAGAGAGGTCAAGGACAAGGTTGAGTGCAAATGACTTCATCTCGCTGCGGTGTGTTTAATGTGATAATAATTTTAATAACCAACATACCTTCATCCCATAATTTTTTTCATTGATATAGCAAGGCTAATGTTTTCTAATTTTTTCACTAGATTATTAATTTTTATATTCTTAATTGCTTCAAACATAAAAGCACGTTGAAGAGGAATATTCTTTTGCAATATTTTCTTGAATCAAAACTTAGTAGGTTTGTAAAAATCTGCAATATAAAATCCATGTTGCTTATTTGTCAAATGGTTTTGCCGGTCGAGCTGAATAACTTGATTTGATATATTTTTTACGGCGTTTTAAGTTTTTCTAGATAAGATTTTTTTTAGATGCATTTAATTGAATAGAAAAATTATAAAAAATAAACCAAATGGACCAAAATTTCTTTCCGCATTAAAAAAAAAAATAAAGGAAAATGCAGTCCAAATAAATTTTTGAAGTTTTACAAGATCAAAAATTTTAAGAAATTCCTGTTGTGAAATTGATATTCATAATATTATTATTGATAATTGTTGATACATACTCAAAGCTTCAATATTTTTTTGCAAATATTTAATACTATTTCCAAAGAAATTAAATCATAAAATAGTATATAATTATGTGGTAAAAAATAATTATTATTTCTTTCCACCAATTTAAAAAAATACCGTTTGAAGTTCTGTACTTTGTAAAATCAAGATTAAAATTTGAAAAAATTATTTTTCCCACCCCCTCCCCAATTGATAGGGTGGATTTTAACAAACAATTTCCTGGAATATTTCCCTTTAAATTTATTTATATTCTGAAGAAAAAAATTTAAAAATTACATTTCATAAAATATGTCCTTGAGACAAAACGCCAAATTAGAAATTGCAAATTGAATTTTAGCGTGATCGCTTCCCTGGGCCCAGACACGATCACCCCGCGCCCTGCAACCGAGCCTGATGGACCTACCGGCGTGCTTTACGAGGACGAAGACCAGGACATGGTGTCCGCGCTCAACATCAAAATCTCAAATGAGGCCAACGCTGTCCCCTCAAAAAGTGTGGTGACCAAAACTCCATACCGCCTCAAGATTCGCTGGCGCAATGTTTTCCTCCTGTCGTATTTGCACTTGGCTGCTCTTTACGGGCTCTACTTGCTCTGTACCTCAGCAAAATTCATCACTATGATATATAGTAAAACTTAAATCATTGATTACTATCTGAAAATTAATAATCCACATCTTTTTTTATCAGCATTCCTTCTATACCAAGCTGGCGGTCTTGGCATTACGGCTGGAGCGCACAGACTTTGGGCGCACCGCGGCTACAAAGCAAAGTGGCCTCTTAAAATAATCCTCATGATTTTCAATACTCTCGCTTTCCAGGTTAGCGAAAAATTAAGTTAGAAATTCAACCATTGCTAATAAAAACGACTCATTTCAGAATCACATTTATGAGTGGGTGCGCGACCACCGTGTGCACCACAAGTACAGTGAGACGGACGCCGATCCGCACAATGCCAAGCGTGGATTTTTCTTTTCACACATCGGCTGGCTTTTGTGTCGCAAACATCCCATGGTAATTGAAAAAGGCAGCGGCATCAGCTTGAAAGACCTTGAGGAGGACAAAATTGTCATGTTCCAAAAGAAGTGAGTACAATACATACACCCTTGCATTGTTGGTCTATAAAAATATGACAGCTTAACATAACCAACAACAATAGTGAAATAACAATAATAAAATTGTTGTTGTTGTCACCGAGCCATTTAAGGAATGTTGCCATTCGGTGCTAATAACACTTCATTCATTTGACTGCGATAAATTTCTGCTGACAAATTTTGGCAATATTTTTTTTAATTGCGTTAATTTCTCTAAAAAAAAACTAGTTTAATAATTTAATATCAAACGAATAATTTTTTTTCCTGTTTTAGATACTATTTGTATTTGATGCCATTTATCTGCTTTATTGTACCAACTGTGGTCCCCGTTTTCATCTGGAATGAATCCTGGTCCACTGCGTGGTTCGGAGCCACCCTGTTCCGTTACACTTTCACCCTGAATGTGACCTGGATGGTCAACAGCTTTGCCCACATGTGGGGCAACAAGCCATACGACACGTGAGAATATATTTATTTTTTTTGAATAATTTTGTGATTAAGCGGTTTTATTTTAAACAGGAGCATTAATCCTGCCGAGAACTATTCTGTGGCCGTTTTGGCGCTCGGCGAGGGTTGGCACAACTACCACCACGTCTTCCCTTGGGATTATAAAACTGCCGAGCTCGGAAATTACAGAATGAACATCACCACAGCGTTCATCGATTTCTTCGGCAAGATTGGGTGGGCTTACGACATGAAGACTGTGCCAAAAGATGTGGTTATGAAGCGCGCGATTAGAACCGGCGATGGCACCCATTTGTTGTGGGGATGGGGCGACAAGGACATGACTGAGGAGCACCGAAAAGCCACCACCGAGTTAAACAGCAAAGACAAATAATCAAATGGAAACTTTTCATCAAAAAAAATATCATCTTATAAGTATTAATGAAATTATTATTGCTCTTTACTTGAGAGCAGTCATCTTGACGTAATAATTAATCGTTGCAATATGCGCCCCATTTGCAACATATATAGTATGTATAATACATTTTTTCAATCAAAAGAATTTTGTATGTTTACATTAAGCGGATGATGTTTACTATAACGAACAAAAATTTGCCAAAATCTACAATTTGATTTTTTTTTTTTTTTTTTTAATATTTTGATGTATTTATTTTGCGTAAAATGTTTTGAGTGTATGAATGGAGAGTAAATAAATTATTAAATAAAATTCAGAACGGACAACAACCTGAAATTACTGAACGACAGACAAACCTAAAGAAAAGGCAGCGGCGCCTTTTGACGAAAGAGGCCCTGCGCGTGGTCTCTTGTGCGCCAATACAAAATTTTGCAAATTTATGCAATTGAATTTTTAAAACTTGTTAAAGGAGCGAGAATATCCTTGCTAGAAACGATGAATAGTCACCGGCGGCAACTAAAATTTCAGGGGAGGCGAAAACTTTTAAAGCTACAAAAATTTTAAAAAGGAAAAAAGCAGAAACACTTACATTAAAATTGTTGGGCGTCGGGCAAGAGTTAGGTCACGCACCTTCAGCTGGTCCTCCAGCCTGGCGGAACAGAATAAAGGAATCAGATGAGAACCAGGGGAGAACTTTGCTGGAGAAAAGGGAATAACCTGCGTCTGATGTCTTTTTCTTTTTCGCCTTGAAGAACTGCTGCGTTTTCACCTCCAAGATGTTCACTGGCAGGACCGGCTGCCCTATGCTTTTGAGTTTAGAGTCAGTTGTCTAACTCCACCCTCCGTCCTTCAGAAGGCGAGGGCAACAGGTTGATTCCGATTATGTTAAAATCGCGTCAACAGACTCGCAAAAACTCCCATCTGCTGTCAACATACTTTTTACTGTGCCAACAAAACATAAATAACTAAAGAGAAAAATTCTCTGATTGTTAACAAAAGAGTGATCAAAGAGGCCAAACTCTGCTTTAATTCATTTTATTAGTTCAAAATAATTTTGTGAAATTTTATAATAAAGAAATCATGAGGGCTCTTTAGGACATCACAAGAGGAAACTCATTCACGTTAGGTTTGCATCTTTGCAAACAGATTTTGAAAAAAGGCGGTAACGGAACGAGGAAAGGTTTAAGTGCTGCTCCGGCAGCGCACGTTGTTATGCAAAGGCGTCATGGACCTAATGATTTTTATTATCTAGTAAATCAATGAAAGGCGTGCAATTAGTGTAGTATTATTGGTATTCCAAAAAACCTTTCTATAAGGCAATAAAATTCATATAATCATATATTTTTTTTTCTTTTTTGAAAATGTAGAACCGAGCTTGGTAATTAAAAAGTACAAGACAATTTCAGCTCTCGTTTTTGCTGGGATTAATCGACTTTTGAATTGCAAAATCTAAACATTTTTGACAAGATATCATTTATTATTCAAATTTAATTTATCTACAAGTAAATTTAAACTCAGTCATATTCATGGCTACTTTCCCTTTTAGAGAGAAGGACTTCTTTTTCCACTTCATCTCCGGAATCATTGGCGGAGGAAGGGGCTTTCATTCTAGATAGATTTATCAGGCCTTCTGTCAAACCACTCTGCGTCACACTGAAATTTTAGAAGGTAATGCAATATTAAAAAAGTCCATTTTTTTGTTGATTAATAATTACACAATATCGACATCTTCATCATCATCATCATCGTCAAACTGAACTTGGAAGTAAGGATTTGCTGACGCTGGCCTGAATTTGTATCCAGTAAGGACGAAAAACACATAAGTAGCCATTTCTCGAAACATCTCATCCAGCCACTCGTATTGGAATGGAACAGTTATCTACCAAAAATAAAGTACTTCTAGAGAAAACAATGGGTTTTTAAGTCAATTTCTTACCTTAAGAAGGTACACAATTATCCTAGTGAAATAAATATAGCAGACTATCATAATGTAGAAATGGCGGAAAACTTTCAGCTTCCGCAAGTTAATGGCGGCCTTTCCATCTGTCTCAGATGCTTCTTGCAAGTGTCGAATAGACCTAAAAAAATTTGCTACAATTTAACGATAGGCATGATTGATTGTTTACCAAACAACAGGGAACAGGATTGCTCCACAGCACAGAAGGTCAACAAAGATAAAAATGTCTCTCCAAGTGTGATACTCCAGGTCACCCTCTTCAGACTCCTCTATAATTATTTCGGCAATATTTGCCAACACCTGTAATTTTGAAAATTATAATCAATACTTAAGAATTTCATTACTACGTACCTGCAGAGGAATAACAATCATGAAGATTCTTTTGTCCTTGTCAGATAAAATGTGTTTGATGAATGTCCAACCAGTTCCGATTAAGATAATGGTTATAAAAAGAACGGCGCCTTTCAACCTAAAATTGTTTTAATTAGCGTTGAAATTATTTTGTATAAAAAGAAATGTACAGATGAGTAACGTAAAAGAGAACTGCCCAGGTTGCAACATGGGTGCCGGAAATTTCAATGAAGTGGAAGTTGATGCTGTGGAACAGCAGCGAAAGTGACTTTAAATACACGAGGACAGCCATCAGATAATGGATTTTAAAAACTGGATGCCTGGAAAAAAACAAGAAGTGCAATTAATATAATGGACAAAATAATTCAAAGATTCTATTTCATACTTGCTCTTGCTGAGAATGAAGACCCAAAAACTTCCAGAAAGGAAAAACAGCAGAGACATCATGAAGAAAAGGGCAGGAAGAGGCATTTCCCCAGCAGAGAGATAGTTGTTTCTGTTTGTTTCTTGAATGTCAATCTAAAAATTAAAATATGGGCTCAGTTCAATCTGCATGTATTTTATATATGGATGTGAACGAGATAAATGAATTGAAAAAAAAATAGTGTCTCTTAGTAAAAATACATACCAAAAAGTTGCTTGCTGTAGAAAACTCTGCACCTGATGGACACATGTGGTAGTAGAAATTATAGAGTCCTTCATCCTGTTCAGTGGCAATGCTGATGATGAACTATGAAACCAAAATGAATTTGATAAAATAGTTTCATAAAAATTTAAATTTAAACTTTCATATTAAATTATTGGTTATTATTGTTCTTAAATGAGGAAAAATTGAAATAAATACAAAAAGATTACTTACGTTGATATTGTATGTGTTTCCGTTGGGGTCTTTCATAATTTTAATTTCTGAAGCTGAGCACAGGTTGCTGCTGCTGGCACTAGCAGGCACTTTTATCGGATGAGATGTACTGTTAGATCCTGCAAAAATACTTTTCATTAAAACGATTTAAATTCAATTGCCAGCTAAAAATTTCTATCGGCTTGCAACATAACTGAACCTGTAAGGAATTTAGCCAAGATTTAAAAGATTACAAAAAAAAATATTAAAAAATGATTAAAAACTAAAACTGTCGTTAGCTACGGTTAAATTTTGTCAAAGCGTGTTGGTGCCGATACCAATAGGAGTGCATTTGCAAGCACCCAGTCCTTTGCACAGTATAAAAAAATGCCAAATAAAATTTTTATTAAACACAACTGACCAATATCTACGCCCCGCCTGCTTCTTGGGTTGAAAAGAGTGGAGTCGCTTGTATGTCCCTTCATAACTGGAATGTCTTTCTTGTCTTTGTAAATCCGAATGTTCTGCAGAGTGCTGCTACAATTCACTCTTAACCTAAAAAAATAATTAGAGAACAAATCCACTACATCAATTCAAAATTTATTAACAAGTTTGAGTTGAAGTCCATGATAAAAGTGACCGTGTCTTGACTAGGACCTTCCCTTTCCCTCAAAGGGCACCGTTCCAAGTGGTTCTCCAAGTAGGGATTCATCGCGTCACTCACAGTTCGGTCAAATGTGAAGCCGAACTGTAAAAACAAAGAAATTTGCTAAATATATATGAGATCAGAAAGTATGATCGGCTTACCAGAGACTTGCTGGGATCCTGCTGATTGACATGGAAATTTCCTATTTTCACTTCCAACTGGCCACCTTTGTAGAAACCAAATGTACTCAGGGGGATAAATCGACGGTAGTCATCCTGAAACAAGTAACACGAAAATTGTAAGTTTCCTATTACAGCAAATCGCACCCTTTCTATGAGAAAGAGCTTCTATTTTTCAAATATTTAATTTCCTTTAATTTCCTTTAATAATATAACTAATCTAGGAGCAAAACTATATTGTCGTTCTTTTAAATTAAAAAATCTCTTAGTTTTAAACAGGTCTGCGTAGAGGATTTGCGTAGCTCTGAGCTAACTCGACATTGAAATAATATATAATTCTCTTTAAAAATTCTTCTATTTCTTTAATTAAATAATATGGTGCTAAAATCTAAGGAATTAACAAATTTCATTTCAGATAATAAAAACAAAAAACAACAAAAAACTAGGGAATAATTAATATCAGGTAAAAAATCTCAAGAATATTCACCAAGGCCCCTCCCATCGCACTATAAATATATTGAGGCTTGAGCCTTTAACGTTGAATTTATTAATTCATAATTAATCATTGTTTATTACGGAGCTTTTGCTCGCTGAAGCTTTTATAGCCGTGCCGTGCGTTCTCCATAATAATTACAATAGGCTGAAACCGTGTCTGTTTGTTTTTGCAAATTAATGCAAACGTGTCAAATGCATGAAAATGGTCGAAGAACAAAATCGATGACAAAAACTTTGCCTGAACTTTAAAAAAAAATGATTGTGGCCTTCTATTCTAAGTATTAAGTGCAATATTTATTTATCATTTGACTGCATTGTGTATCTGGAGATATTTTAATTGTGATAAAATCATGGCTTGAGTCAATAAACCTGAATTGAATTAACAACACCCCGGCATTCGTGGTTCTTTTGATTTTTTATCTTCATTTTCGAATCAGAATACATATATTTCCGGTTGGGATTTGCGATCGCTCTCATTATCATAAACTTACGATAATTTCTAGTCTGTGTTTCCTGGCTTCAGCGGCGAATGAGAGGAATAATGTAAAAAATAGAACCCGGAGAAGTTTGCAACACCAGATATTCCTCGCCATTTTTGTTGTGTTTTGGTTCTTTTGACTTCTGTCACTTGTCACCTCACGAGCGAGGGTGCTGCCATCTCTCTACGACTGCAGTGTTGTTTGAAATTTGAAAATGGGCGCAGGGCGATCGTGGATTTAATGGATTATATTATAATAATATATTATAATTTATAATTGTATAGAATATACATAAGGCTAAATACCGCAATCTGCCACAAGAAGAACTATTCACACTATTATTTACCCAGTAAAGTAATACATTTTTTAGTTAGAAAGAAGACTTCCAATTCCAAATTAATAATCTTTAAAATGCGAGTTTAATGGAATATATTCCCAAAATCAAAGTAACAGCTCATTTTTATTCTTGAAAATGTGCCCATTAATTAATTTGTTGATCATGCAAATACATAGGAAGGATTAAGGAAAGAGCCGAGATGGAATATTTATAAAAAAAAAACACAAACCTTTAACAAACACAAATTATTATTAGTTTTTGTATTTAAATACATGATTTGAAAAATTGACATTTAGTGATTTTATCTCAAAGTTAATTTGAGAAAATACAATTTTTTTATATTTGACGCATCAGTAGCTGAGTAACTGGGAATTAAAAATATTCATCATGGGTTAGATAAATACGACCAAATACTTAAGTATTTTAATAAAAATGACCATGAGAGCACATTCACTATGAATAAAAGCTCTGTAAATATCTTGAATTAAATTTAAAAATTTAATCTGGTATCAGTCTGCCATATCTAGAAGGCGCTGCTGCTTTTCTCGTTACTTCCATCAGTGCTTGTTTTTCTCCTCTTCCTGAAATTAAACAGATGATAAACTTTTTAGACTCAAGATTGTGAAAAAATAATGATGATGGCTGGATAAATAAAAGCAGAAAAAAAATTAAAAAGGAGCTTGCCTTCCGGAATCTGAAATCTCAAAGTGGAATATTATATATAATGGCGCAAACCTATAGGGTAAAACATGAACGCAGAAATGGCCTCAAAATATCAGCTTAAAAATTAGAAACTCTATCTCGTCTAACAATGAAGAGACAAAGCGCCTATAATTTCAGATAGAACTGAAAGTGAAGTCAACGATGATCTCGATCTTAAGATCCATTTAATCATAATGGTCTACCACGCCGCCGCCGCCGGACGGTCGGTAGATCTAAATCTGGCAAATTAAAGTAAAATAGGTCGATTGTTTAAACATTTTTCTTTTTTTATTTTCTCTGTATAATTAGAAAACACCAATACTCGCCACCTTCAGGTAAACATATCCCAATGGGAAGGCAGTCAGATTTTGCATAAAAAACATCAATTTCTAAAGTGCAAATCTGCGGTGAGCTTGCAAATGTAAGTCACATGTTTAAGTTCTCATATGTTTCATTCTATATATCAATATTTCAATATATTTTCTTTAAAAAAGAAAAACAGTCAATTAGCCACTTCAAAACCCAACAAAATATTAAGCAATTATACTTTGTTGCATCAAAAACAGAAATTTAAAGCCTTGCTCGCTTGCAAATTATTATTAATATTTATTATAATTACCGTTTTATAATTAAAATTACAAATTTGGCAGAATAAGAAAAGGAATTTTTAATACTAAACTTGTGTATTGTTTTCATTATTATTCTTTATGATATTGTTAATTCATTTACTCATAACTGTTTGTTGAAGTCACTGGAAGTGGCCCCAACATTTGAAATTAACAGGATAGTAATTATTTTTCCTGATGTTTTCAATAAAAAAAAAATATTATGTTGAATTTGATTTTGAAGTGGCTAATTTGTGATTTTTAATTTAAACATGGTGTAAATTATTAGTGAGCCCAAAGATACCTCCGGCACCTGGTAACTAAGGTCACGTCACTAACTGACCCGCTTTGTCACAGTTCAAAACTTTTACCAAGTTTTAGCATGTTGTATTGAGACAGTTTTAAAATTATTGGAATGTATTTTGATTTTACACTTCCGCTTATAAATCAACTGAACTGTTTTTAAAACTAAATTTTCTTGGTACACTGCAGTGTAATAAAATAAACTAGCCAAATTAAAATAGTGAGTCATCAACCCATAACTAGAATTTGGCCTAGAACTAAAAAGGTTATTCATATTATATTAGTTTATTTTTGCCCAATTTTATTATAATAATTATATATTTACATATGTGCCTTGAAAATAGGTGCAACGAGATGCAATTCATTCGATCTGACAATAATTGGACCTGTTTAACTTGTGGCAAACAATCTGTAGTAGAGGTATGCACCTCCCCCAAAGAGCAAAACTCCCACCCCTAGCCTCAGGGGTTGCAAAATAGATTTCTTCAGCTCCTGCCACGACTCTGCTTCCTGCCGTTTGCGTTTTATTTCCCTGACCTGCTCAGCCAAACGCTCCTGTCTTCGTCGACGACGAAGTACACTCCCCTCGCTGCAAACACAGTGGCGTTGCATTTTAAAATAATTTCTTAGGTTGGATGCGCTTATCATAAAAATAGGAAAAAATTATACTTTCATATTCAAAAATGTATTCAAGCAAGAAAAATTCTAAGACATAAATCGGTCCAGAGATATAATATACTTTATTAACTAATGTACCATAAACTACAAACTAAAGTAGCGCTGAGTGGCGGATCTTTAAAATAAATCCTCATTTCATTCATGGTTTACTTCATTTTTAAATTTAAATTAAAAATCAAACCCTCTTTCAATTTTTATCTCCTGAATTAAGTTAAATGTCCCGAGAATAAAATAATTTCAACTAGTTTCCTTATTAATAAAATTCAGGAATATTAGCTGCATTTTTTAGAACATGTCAGACCAAATGCTCCCGTTGTAGAAAAATGTTAAGAATTTTTAGGGCGTTTGCTTTGAGTTTGATAAAGTGTAGTTCTATTATGCTTTTGGAATGTTACTGGTGTTAAAAATTCAACAGAAAGGGAAAAATCAATGCGTTTTTGCTTTTATTTCTGGAATTTCAGAATTTTAATTGCAGAAATAGTTTCGAAAAGGGAGTTTCAATATGATCATATTTTAAGACTATGTCAGGAAGTTTAAGAAATATTTGTAGTTTTTAATAAATGTCTACTTTTAATATATTGGCCGCCTAGTTTACTATACATGGGCAATTAAAACAGATTTAAGAAATGTTTGCACCCAAAAGTTTTGTTTTCTGAGCCTTAATGTAAAAAAAGATATACCCTTTGAACTGAACGACCAGAAGCAGAGCTTTTACACCCGATCCCAGTTAGAATAGAACCAGAAACTCTAAATCTTGAGGACTAACAAACGTGGCAAGTTTTTTTAATTCTTTAAATGTGACAAATTGTTTGATATAATTATGCATATAACCCTTTGTTTAAACCCTTCAGCAACTTCCCTTCACCCTTTTTCGAGCGGATTGCATACCTCTAGCTTATAAAACTGGCAATGACATAATGGTCGATTCCAGGTCAATTCCTTATTGGCCCCAAACAATCCGGTAAAAATGCTGGCGTAGAAAAAATACTGCACTTTTCACTTCATCTCGAAAATATTGCAAATCAGGAAAATAAAATTTAATTTATAAAGCACTTGAATTCACATTAATAATTCAGGTGGCTATTTTGAACAATTCCACTAACCTATTATACTTGTATGGTACATAATATCTACTTTACTTCTAATATAGCACCTTCTCTCGACCTCTGTCCAACATGTCATTGACTAATACCAGTCTTAGATGCGACCTTTTCTTTCTCTGCACATGGACTTCATTATGTGCCAATTATATATTTTTTTAATTGTTTCAGTTGAAATATTTTTTGCTTATTTCATAATTAGATTATTTCATGTGTGTTTAATTCCATGCTGATTGCAGATTTTGTTAAATTTTTTATGGAGAATAAATTACAACTTGTAGAAAAAAAAAGAAAAAAGCAGCTTTAACAGAACATAAAAATAAAATCACTTGCCTGTTGGGTTCTTCGTCACTGAACTGGTTAGAATTATTCTGCGGCTCGTGTGGTAAAGGCATGTCAGGAGGCAGTTCTGGAAGAATTTGTGGTCTCGGCGCATCTCCAGGAACTAATATAAAACAAAACAATATTTTTTTAATATGGCTTTTTCTTAAATTCATGATAAGAATTTATAAAATTTAGGATAAAGACAGGGCAAAGATCTATTTTACTTTATTGCTAAAGATTGTACGCTCAAATATTTCATTTTCTAGATTGCTGTTTGTTCTCCTGCACTGCTTGTATTTTGAGGCATAAACTAAATTACGGAAATCAGGGCAACAGAAAACTGAAAATGGGATCACTGATCTGCCTTGATTGTTTGCTTAATTAAATCTTAAGACGTAAGATTTTGAGCAGTGGGAAGTTTTTGCCAGAGCTCCTCGAAATTTAAAAAGTCGAAGACACTAATCCTGGAAAAACAGATTATAAAGCATTGCTGTTTCTTACCCAGGTTATTAATGTTATGTCTGAGAGATTCCCCTCTTGGAGGAGGCTTTGGCGGAGGGGTGTCTTCATCTTCCTCCTCGGCATCCTCGACTCTAAAAATCTCCAACTCAGACAGAGTTGGATCTCGAATCAGTAGTCTTTTAGCGCCTTCGAGTATGGCCAAGTATGAGAATCGGAGTTGGTCCATTGTTTGGATGAGACCCATTCGGTGCTTGCGCATTTCCATTAGGACGTCCCGGACATTTACTTCTTTTTCACCTCCTTCCATCTGTTGGTTAAAATACCATTATTATTGTTATTTACATTTTTCATTTATGGAGCTTTGATTTAAAAATAACTACTCTACTAACAAGTCAAGTTGAAAAATTGATAAAACTTACCAAAAGAAGGCACAAATCTACAAGGCAAAAAGTTCCAGATCTGCCAATTCCAGCCGAGCAATGCACGACAGGAGGCCCAACATTTTCATCTAATGCCCCACTTCGTCTAACCACCATGAGAAAATGGAGAAATGCTAGTGGACTCTGCGGCACTCCGAAATCAGGCCAGGTGGTATAATGAAAGTGGTGCACTTCACGACTTATGCCAGTGTCCAAGTTGGTTAATCTAAATACATTTAATTTATTAAAAAACATATAATTTTTCCATCTTCTATTTGACATACTTGAAAATTCTTGTTGTATAATAATCCATTTGCGTTTCAGTCACATTTTCTACTTTCAAATTCACATCAGGGAAATGCATCTCCTTGTTTTCCAAATGCCCCAGAGGCCAATATTGGTGACACTTGATCTAGGTTAGATAAATGATTGAAATTAATGGTTTGGAAGGATATAATTATTTAATAAAAATTTCAAGAGTCTAATCAGATCACGGGTCGTCAAAAGGTTTTCCATGAATGTTAATCTATTTTATTTACCAGACTTTAGTAATAATAAAATTTCAAGTCTGAATGCCGTTTTCCATGCATGTTATTTATCATGAATTAATTTTCACCAAAAACACTAGAAATTTCTGAAGAAATTGACTCATATGTATAATATGTCTGTCGGCGCCCAACCGGTTTACTTGGTTTCCAACTAATTTGGGTTGGCTCAATTCAAATACATATTTTTTTTGCAAATATTGATTTTGTTAGTACAGTTGCTTGTAAACATCTCAATTATCCCAAATATATAATTGTATGTACCACCGCAAGTCACATAAAGCTTTGAATAATTATATCTATCTGATAAGCCATGGAATAGTTCATTGTGAAACTTTTGATTGTAAGCTGTTATAGTCACCTGATTTTTTTCAATAACTCTATTAAGCATGACAACAGCCTTGCAGTTTTGCTCCCAGATCATCAACCAAAAGTGATCCGTTGTGTGCGGTAGAGGCCCTTGGGCCAAGATGTACCGTCGGTGAGCATTTGGCATCTGAAAAATTGTTAAGATTATTTTATTAAATGTAATAATATCTGGAATATTCAAAGAATTTTAAAACTTGTCAGATGTCATACTTGAATCAGACTGGCATTGATATAATCAGAGCGTTGCTTATCCTGATCAGAGGTGCCTTTCACAAGCACTACTCGGCTGTGATCATAAGGGTTGACATCCCGGTATCGGTTCAAGCTCTTATTTTCACGCTTTTTGGCTTCCTCAAAGGTGTACTCATAGTTGTTGCTTTCATTGCGGATACGCTGGAAAAGGCAAGGAATTTAAGTATGCGCAGAATACCAATAGCATTGTTGTTATTTTGGGATATTTTCCTTAGTGATCTATAGATCGAATTTAATGCGGACTTAATATTATCTTCCCAATTATTATTATTTATTTCAGAGTTTTTTTGCAAACATTTATTTTCTTTCTGTCAAATTTCTCATGACCCTAATCATAGTGTGTTGACCAGCAAGGTGCGGCACTTACATACCTGATAAAAACTAGCCCATTCGGTTTTGCAGTCAATTTTCTGAAACTGCTCCTCGATATTTTTGATCGCCTCTGCAGCCCACTCTTTGTCAATCATCCTGCCTGGACTGTTATAAGCATCAATAGCAATCAAATCACCAAAAGACCATTTGGGAAATGAAACACGGAAGCAGTCGTCAAATTGGAAGCAGCCAGAAAACGAGCGGCCCGATTCTCCTAAGGGCACGAAGCTCCTCTTGATTGCTTCGGCTTGTCTTTACGTATCACTTTGCCGAATCCTGGTTGGTCCAGGATGTTGATTTTCTTGATCTGGCTGCAGTTTTTTATTGAATGGGTATGCTCTAGCTAGAGCAGACTGGCGTCCGTCACTGGCGATGGTGGTGGGTTGCGGTCTCTTAGCCTCTGGCTACAACAAAGGGTTTGAACATTAAGGAGGCCGGTTTGCTTCGTTTTCTGGGGGGCGAATTGTACTTCAATTATCTAGTCTTCTACTTGGTTACAGGGTTTTTGGGATTTTTAATGAAAGTTGGTGGAACAGCGGTGCAAAGATGCCCACGTTCATTTGACATTTTTATGCTTCTTGTCGGATGTACCTCAGTTCCAGAGCCCAGGAGATTATCTGCTCAATAATTATGCTTAAGGACAACCAGAGAAATCTCAAAATGCGTAGACTGGCGTAGATTAGGTTGATTTTGGCTTTCTTTGTTGGCGTAGCCGTAGCCCGCTGACGACCAACAAGACAAGTATGTACAACTCGACTCAAAAGCGTTTGTTGTTGTTCGTTCAGTTCGTTCAGAAAGCCACGAAGCCACCAACTCCAATCCCCACCCATTTCCCCTTTGCTGTTGGATGTGGCGCGAATTCAATAAACATGAGATAACAAGTAGTTGTTCGCAGGCGCGTTTAATAAAAGAATAAATTATTTATAATATTATTAACAGAAATAAATTCTGCAATCTCTATAAAATAAAACAGGTAATACACAATAATGATATAAAATTTTTAGTTTTTACATAAAAACGGAAAAAAGTCATTTTATTTTGTTGTCAGTTTTAATTTATGTGTTCTTTCATAATATATGACTTAAAGTAATAAATTGCAATTGCATTTTTTTATGAAACTCATATCAAGAAAATGAACAAAAAATTAAGATCATTAAAATTTCAGGGCTGCAACCCGCAAACTCAAAACAGTTTTGTGTAGAGAAATAAAAGGAAAATTTATATTTCAATTCAAAATGCATGTGAAAATTTTTTCAAAATTTTTATTCAACAAGTACAATCCATGAGTCAAATTTACTCTGCCAGTCTGCCTCTTTTATTTATATAAGCTGAACTTGATATAGAGATAAAACAATCTGGCTTACTCGTCGATTAAAAAAAAAAAATTCTGGATAAAAGTGCGATTTTATTTGATTTTATCGTAACCATACAAACGCATAAAAAGAAAAAAATAGGAGAGAGGTGGGGCAGAAACCCCTGCAACATTTCAGGCAACTATAAGTAATAATAAAATTGGGTGCGTTCTATTTTTACGCTTAACCTGCGCCAAATTCGTTTTATCGAACTCATTCGGGTGCTTGTATCGTTTGTTTACTCGCCAAATTCCACTATACCCCGCTTGGCGTCCACATAGAGGCGGCGCTGATTAAATAACCTCCCATTCGAGAACTAATTTTTTTAAGAGCACATTTAAAATATGGATTTTGAGTGTTCGCAAATAATAGATATCATAATACTAATTTTTTATGCGAGAATTTCAAGAATTTTTGCTCCACACATAATGGATATCATTTAATTTTGTGTATTAACTAAACTACAGGACACATCAAAAAAATAAATATGACGTGCACTTTTCCGCAGTGTTCGCCTATAGGTTCACATTTCGCACAGTCTTTTTAATCGCGAGACGCATTCCTTACACTACACACTTCAAAAATCCATGCTGGAAAAAAAATCGAAAAAAATACCGCAAATTAAAAAATTATAGTAAAATGAGTTAAATAATATAAATAAATTTTGGACTTTTTTGCTGTGCCAATTTTTTTTTAATTATTGTTTTTTTATCGACTTAAAATTTTTGATGAAGTAGCACAACCATCAGCAAAATTGTGATAAAACATAAAACCTTTTTTCTAGCTTCTTGAATAATTCATAATTTTCTGGCCCATCTTTTATTTGCATCTTTTAAAGGAAAAATAAATTGAATCGATCATTTTCACGGTAAAAAAGTGTTCTTTTTTGTCATAAATATATCTTGTTGTGTTCTTGCGTGTGTTTTAAATTTTAATTTAATACATAATTACATCCGCTGTTGGAGGCGCATTGCAATAAAGCAATGTTTCGCGGCAAAACTGCAAAGAACGCTCTCCGCTGCTCAACTGTTAGGTAAACCCCTATTTCCGGTTCTACTTTTTCGGCCATTGTGAAACCTCGTACGTGTGGCGTGTTCGAGCCGTATTGTCGTATTTATGATAATAACTCGACAGTAGCTCAGGTAATAGATTTTCGGCTTCAATTTTGCAAATTAGTTTTGTTAGAAAATCGCTTGAATACAAATATGCTTTTCCTGAGAGCCTGAAAATATCTTGCACGCTCAGACACGTGAGCACGCTGCCTGCAATGGCTGACCCAATGTTATTCTCATGGGCCTAGCTTTCTAAAGATTGTTGACAGATATACTTACTAAGATTTTCGCACGTTTAAATTGCAGAATGGACGTCGTAGAAGCTGATTACCAGGATGAGAACCAGGTGGTGAACCTGCCCCCAACAGCAGAACTGCCCGAAATCAAACTGTTCGGCAGATGGTCGTGTGATGATGTCCAAGTGCCGGACATGTCGCTGCAGGTCAGTTTCTGACTATTAAAACCACTAATAATTTATCAGTTAAATTAATACGGTTTATATCCTCTCTAGGACTACATCGCAGTGAAGGAAAAGAATGCTAAATACCTGCCACATTCTGCTGGTCGTTACGCAGCCAAGAGATTCAGGAAGGCTCAGTGCCCCATCGTGGAGCGCTTGACAAACTCCTTGATGATGCACGGCCGCAACAATGGCAAGAAGTTGATGGCTGTCAGGATTGTCAAACATGCGTTTGAAATCATGCATTTACTGACGGGCGAGAACCCCCTCCAGATCTTGGTGACTGCCATCATCAACTCTGGGCCCCGAGAAGACTCCACCCGTATTGGACGTGCTGGAACTGTTCGCCGACAGGCTGTTGATGTCTCACCACTTCGACGAGTGAACCAGGTAAAATTTTCTGAGACATTTTATTCGTGAAATTAATTTAATTTTTTCAAGGCTATCTGGCTTTTGTGCACTGGAGCTCGAGAGGCCGCCTTTAGAAATATCAAGACCATTGCTGAGTGTCTGGCTGATGAACTCATCAATGCGGCTAAGGTTGGTTACTTTGCTTTCAATATCTGCATAATACTAATCTATCAAAATTTTAGGGCTCATCAAATTCCTATGCCATCAAGAAGAAAGACGAATTGGAGAGAGTGGCCAAGTCGAACCGTTAAATTCCACATACCTTTGTGTTTTGTACTAATAAAACACTTCAATATGCTAAATACCATATATTTTTAATTATAATAGACCTTGCAGATGATAAAATGATAGAAAATTAATTTTCAAAGCTTCCTGCTCTCTGTGTGGAGTAACGATTGTGCGAAAAATGCTTTCGTTCAGAAAATCCACTAACGCAATTTTTCATTTTGTTAACTGGAAGGGCCAAAACAAGACAACATTAAACTTAATTTATTTTCGATGTTAAGGGCCGTTTTGGCCCAGGATGCTTTTTTTAATTCCTTATATCAGCCTTATTCAGGATTAACTTTTATTTATTGAATTTATCCACGCCCGATCCATCTGCAGCATAATAATGATAAATATGATTTATGTTCTACTTTATTCCTAAATCTTGCAATTGATTTAGGATTCGGAATAATGTTTACCAATGAAACTGCTCATAAGCCAATTTGAAGTTTTCTTTTTATTACCACTAAATTACATATTTATAAATCTTAACCGAGTTTTTGTATCAATACGTACAAAAGATCAAACTATTTGCAGTGAAAATCAATTTATCACCTTGACAGTACTAAATTAGCTCTATAAATCTTGTAATGTACAAACATTCCTTGTTACTTTCTTCAACCAATAAAAAATATTTCCTGCTTCATTTTGTGTATGAAATTCCCTCTCATAATCACATAGTCAAATGAAAGCACACATGCTGTCCTGTAAATATTCATCTTTTGTACATTGCTAAGATTCTGCTTTTTGTTGTTCAAGTACCAGATGAAAGAGTACTTGGGAACACTAAGGCTTACAAAAAATCAAAACTACATTCTACCAGTGGTTTATTTAATCCAAATAAAAAAAGTAAATGTAACCACAAAATGCTTCATCTTAAGATCCCCACTCTCGTGGCGCATAAACGATTTTTTGAAAATGATTTGACTCATGTTGAGAGAAGATCATGTTTGCATATTTATAGTTATTACTCTCCAGTAATCTCAATCTCGGAGTTCTGCTGAACTTTCTGCACCATGCAGGACCGAGCGACTGACTCGAACAATCTGTTGACACAAAAGATTTAATGTGCAAAGTGCATCAATAATTTCAAACACATACTTCTCAATTTCTGGGGCGCAGTGCACAAACTCATGATTCCAAAACTTGTACACCGGATTCTTGATGAGTTCGATGAAGGTGATGAGCAAGCCCCACGGATGAGGTCGGTTTACGATGAGCCTCTCGAGCAGCACACGAGTAATTTGCTCCTGAATTGCTTCGGAATTTGCTTCAGCAAACAGGTACAACAACGTGCAACTGAAGTAGTGAGTGTGGCTGTTTGGGTACCGCAACTGGTTTGCAATTGCATTCAAGAAGAGATATCGACCTGTTAAGATGTGAAAATTTAGTTAAAAATTAAAAATTATTTAAATAATTAATCATAATTTAATACAAAAGAGTATCACACCTAACAAGCGTATGCGAAATTCATCAAAAGCTGCTATCTTTTTTAATTTAAGCTTTCTTACCTTCAGTGTCAAGGTCGACAGCCAAGTTTTGGAAAATGTCCATATGTGCCGAGTGTGCAATTGTGGTCATGTTTGGCTGTAGGTTCTTGGAGCGAATGTGCGCAATGGCTTGGGTTCCAACGTATAGTACCAGGGCGTTCATCAGCTTGATAAAGTATCGAAGGCCGGGTTCGTTGCTTATCTGTAGGTGACTTCTGAGCTCAGAGAGGAATGTGACAGGTGCCCTGGCTTTTAAGTACGAGTCCAAATCCTTCTTGAAAGAGATCGGCTGAATTAGCGAGGCAATATTGGAAAGCACTCTGGGCGCATGGTTGATCTCAGGGAGCATGTCCACCTTCAGGTTAGGGGTGAATGGATCAGGCAAACGCATGTTCCTTGGGAATGCTGACAGAATCAAGTTCCTCATCTGCAAAGTTAGTGAAATTCAAAATAGTTTTGTCCAGTAAAATATAATAATATTTGTCGAAGAAGTATTTATTTTTTCTTAAATTTACCTGAATGCAGTTAGGAGGAATGACGTCGCAAAAACTGTAGTGGTAGTCGCACAGGAATTCAGGGAAGTCATGCAACAAAACCAATAGAACTCTGAGAGTTCCCTTGTAGAAAAGAGCTACAGGCTTTGACAACTCAGCATTGCGTAGGAACGGCGCAAGGAATTTGAAGAGGTCAATCAGCAGCTGAGCATACATTCCCCAACCCTGCAAAAAAGTGGATTTAATCGAAATGTACACAGCGCACATCTACATTACACTTTCCCTGTTTTTTAATGTCAAAATGTAAATAAAATAAGAAAGATTTCAATTCAATTAAAAGTTATACCTTCTGCTGAGGAGTAATGGCAAGCATTCTGCCAATGAAGACTCTGTGAGAAACTAGCTCGAGCCATGCATACGCAAATCCAGGAGCGTGAGTTGGTCTGAGGATGTGCAGAGTGTGACAAAATGCGGTCAGCACTTGGAAGTTGATAACCTCCAATACAGGCTCTGGTGTGTTGAGCTCAAGGAAAAGAATGACAAAAATCCGATGATATGGCAACTGTTGGAACTCGATCAGATGGACTTCATGGTCTTGCAACAAAACGCCAGCAACAATGCCCAGGACCTAATACAAAATTTTTTTATTAACATAAGCAAAACCTTGCATGAAAAAACTAAAAAAATTTATTGTAATAAATTGACAAGCACATTACTGTAATTACCTTGTTGAGTAGATTGACTTTAGTGGCAGTGTTAGAAGCGTCGCCAGAGTGTTTGACAAGCAGAGCAATGAGCCGAACAAAAGCATCCAATGTGTGGAAACATTTGGTACGCACTAAGACTGGAGATGAGCTGCTCTGTTCAGCGAGAGCACGATAACACAAATCAACGCACATCTGTGTGCTCAGACGGAAGAATCGTGTGATCAGATCATCTGTCTTTAGAATACCATGGACATTCATCTGGAATAATATTTAAAAAATTGAGTTATTCCTCTGAAAATCCCAACTTGAGAAAAATAAAAAATAAGAAATAATTCAACTATTCATAAAGAACAACTGCTGCAGTCGTTTATGATTATATTTCATTGTGTGTTTCAAAATTTGAAAGATAAACTTAATAAAAATAAACTCACTTGATGAACAAAAACACTGAAAGCCTTGGTGGGATCACGGCTGGCAGTTGGTGAGTGATAGATGTTAACCCATTCTCGCAGGAGGTACTCAGTCTTCTCCAGCAGACCTTGAGGGTCGTCATATTCTCTCGCCTGAAGAATTCCAGAATGGATGTGAGCAGTGGGACCACCTGTTGCCCGATCGGAGAAAAGGTTGTGATCCTGATTAGCTCTGAGAGTCTCGATCATGGAGCTGAGGCCGTCAGGCACTTGTCGCCCTGAAAGGTTGATCCTAAAAAGCATCTCAATTGTGTTGTACAGGTCACTCTCCGTGACAGAAACGCTGCGTTCGTCAATGAGGTAAAGCTGCACCAGCTGCATCCCAAAGGACACGGCTAGGAAGTTGCTTCCGTTGTCCATTGCCTGGGCAATAGGGGTATCCAGCTGGGCTATGTTGAGCAGATGCGCATGCACAAGCAGGCTAACAACGTCCACACTGTAGCGAACATCTTCGCGGCCCTCAAGCAAGCTTCTAGCAATCTGCTTATTGGTCCACTGAGTGCCGAATGCGGCTGGATCTTGCATCGCCTTCAGGATGCACAGATTAAAGTCACGGAACCTGTTAGTCGCATCCTGCTCCAGGCCTTGCGCCTGTGTATATTCATGCAGGTTTTCCAAGGCACGCTGGACAAGCGAGTTGGCAAAAGTGGGGTCTCGAGAGTTTCTCACTAAGAGCATGTTGTCATGAAGAGAGTGCAGTTGACTGGCATGTGTATTGCTGAGCCCAATGAAGCCGGATTGCATCCACTGCTCCAAGTCAACTCTGACTTTTTCAAACTGGGGGCCAAGCGCGTCAACAGCAATTTGTTCGGTCGTTCGAGAAACCATGGGCGAAACAACGTTTTCTGTTCCATAGGTCTGTGAAAGGATTTTTTAGATTTTTGTCAACCACTTTTTAATATAATTACTAAGGGTGGCATCAAAGTCATGGAAGTAACGTCACAGTCATTCAGTGGTTGGAAGCCAGGAATGTTTCGGACGAATTCTTCGTAAACAGCCATCTGTTGTTGAGTGACCATTCCAACCTTGAGGCGTATTTGTTCTGGCATTCTTTCAGCCTGGTATTTGAGGGCCAAGGAGTCACAGTATCGTCTTCCCTCATTCTGGGCAAGTTTGCGCATTTCAAGTTCCTATAAAATTATTTTTGTTGTTAGGAATTAAAATAAAAAGTTTTTCTTCTTCTTACATTTAAGAGTCTTTTGTCAATTTCGAGAATCGCCTTCTCGATGGCAGTTTTCTGGATGAAGGCGCAGGCAAGTTCTATGTTTTCTTGGGCAACCACGCTAGCAGCCTGTTCAGCAAGCTCCTTGTGAGTTGCGCTGGCTCCCTAAAAAAAGAAAATAATAAATAAAAAAGTTGTCCATCTTATTACTTAAGAAAGAAAAAGCGGTGGCAGTAAAAAAAATGCATGAATTAATGGATTGTATTTAAAATATATTATGATTATTTCAAAATCCAAGGTACTCATTTAACAAGAAAAATAAAGAGGGTAAAATTCTTACCAGAATCTGTGTTCCGAAAGCAGTCTTCAGATTAGTATTGATTGCCATTAGAAGACTATCTCTGCATGTAATCATAGCCATTCCAGCAGTCAAGTTTCGAACCATGTGATGTGCTGCTGTTCTCACTCTGTCTGCATCCGGATCAAGGGCAAAGTCCTGAATTCACAAATAAATTGTTAAGTTTACAAAACATTTCAACTACTAGAAAAAACCAACCTTTTTAACAATCTGTTCACACGTTGTTAGTGCAATTTTGATGGATCTTTCAAGGACGGGAGCCATCCACTCCTGGACAGCCCGATCAATGGATGTCTTGATGTATTGCTTTAGGTTTGGTTGAGCTTGGAAAATTGGCAAAGGGGGCACAACAATGTGAGACGCCAATGCAGCAATGTTGTTGGCTTGAATGTCATGGTAGGCAAACCTTGGCTCAGGTGGGCTTACTGGTAAGGTTGGTGTGCCAGCAGTAGCAGTGCTTCCTGTGCTAGTAATGGCTGTTGAGCTTGTTGCTGCCGACGACACTAGCTGCTGAGGCAGTTCCTCGCTTGTTGCTACAAAGAAAATCAAGGAAAAGTTTAATTTTTAAGTTACATTTTATATCATATTTTCAATTACTTGTCAGTGGTTGAGACACAGGCTTGGAAGTTGGAGTTGGAATTGTGACAACACTGCCTATGGAAATTTGAGGTTCAGTCTTTGTTGGGTGGGACAGTTGAATTTCAAGCAAGCGCAGTTTATCTTGGTCTTTCAGATACACTGTGGGCTTCAGCTCCTAAAACATTAAGCGTCAAAGATATTCGTCCAATCATTTTATTTTTGCAGTACTTACAAAAACATCAATATTTAGGTTTTTACACAAGACTTCAATCTCAAACTTCAGGTTAAGTTTTAAGTCTGGTTCTTGGTGGAGTTCGGCCAGCACATTCATGAGTGCCATGGTCCATGGATTTGGAGCTCTGAACACCTATAGAGGAAAAGAGCTAGATTACTACAAGCCGAGTTATCACTTTGCAGAAATTACTTTGCTCTTTGCACAAGCCTCCAAAACTTTTGCAACAAAGGGGACCACGTATAGAAGCTCTTGCTGTCCTTTGTGGTATGCCTCTGCGAGCAGGGCCTTTAAATCCATGTCACTTTGAAGGATCGGCTTGTTGCGTGCCAAAGTTAGCATCCCCAGCCAATGTCCAAGGTTCTTCAATAGAGATCGGTCCGAAAAGTTGGCAATGCCTTTATCACTATGCAGCAGGACTTTAATGTTTCTGAAGGTCTCTCTCACGACCATTTTGTTCAGCTCTGGCACTTTCAGGACATCAAGGAAATTTGAATAGAGAGCATGGAAGTTGAATTCAATGCTAGCTCGCTTCATCACCAAATACTGAGCTATCCAAGGCCAGTATTCTTCCGTAATTATGTCTTTCAAATCATCACACTGAAAAATTATACATTAGCAACATACATAATTAAACAAAATCATCGCACTAAACCATCTTGTATTGTCTTTCCTCACCTTTGATTGCAGATTCAGCTGACTCAGGTTGTTGAAGATAAATGCAATTTTATCCTGCATAGCTTCTGGAGGGGCAATTATTTTATCTTCCTTTTCAGTTGCAACAAGAAGAGTGTCGATGTTGGTGGCCATTGCAATGGAGGGCTACACAAAGAAAGGTTAGGTCAGCAACACATTTTTAGGTTTTTTGGTACCCTCGATGGAATTCCAGATCCTATCGTTGACTTCACTGGGGTTGTTGTTGTGCTTGACCCAGGCGCTGAAAGGTTTCTGATACCTTCACCAATATTAGGTGCTGGTGAATTGCTGGTTGTTGTAATTTTGGGTTCTTCACTCTTCATTCCACTTTCGACGTACTAAAAAATCATCATTGTATCTAGGAAACAACGTGCTGGAAATATATTTACCTCAATCAGGGTTGGAGGGAAATTCTTGAAGTGTGGTAGCTGAGACACATACTCGCAATACTTTTGGTACTCCTTCAATCTTCCTTTGAATCGATCCAAGGCAGTGATGCCAAAGTTGTACATTTTGGATTGATATGGTTGTTTTAAGGCATCTAGGACAAATCTCAATGCGTATCCAAGAGCCATGTAGCTACTACTTGCATAAACGATACAAATTCATTTAATTTACACCTTTTAATGATGTACCTGACAAGTCCTCTTTCAATAATTCCTCCAAACAATTGAGCTGTAATGTAAAGCTCTTTGTCTGGATACTGTGGGAAGAACTTGTATTCTTCAAATAGGTTGCGCAGCATGCATGAGAAAACATCCTAGAATGCCAAGATTAATTTCATTTTTGCATAGATTCGTTTATATTGCAAACATTACTTTTTCTCTTTGGTTTGTTGAGGTTTGGAACTTTTTGAGCATATCCAAAGTCTCGTCAATTGATAGGGTAGGATGTGGAGGATGATTGTAAATTCTCTTGAAGTAGCTGTTAGCTTCCTCTTCAACTTCTTTGGACAGCATGTTTGAATTTTCAGGGAAAATCATAGACTCGCCTGTAAACACAAAAATTTACCACGGTTTGACGGTTTATTTTTTTTTTGCAGCGATGAGGAGCAAAACGATTTTTTTAATGATGCTCCCCCCCCCCCCCCCTCCCAACATCCATTTATTTGTAAATTATTTTGCTGCCTCTTACTTTTTTTGATGGTTTTTAAAAACTTTGACATATTTAAAATAAAAAGAAAGAACATATTTCATTTTGTCTACCTTTTTCAGGCTGAGATTCTGATCTAGGCAATCCACCGATTGGATTCAAGGGTGCCTGTCCTAAGGCTTGAGAGGTGGCAGAAGTCAACTGCGAACCAACAGGCCCCCCAGTATGCAACTGAGAGCCTAGGGGCAGCATTGGGTTAAACGGACTAGTCGATGCAACACCAGCACCAATAATCCTTGATGGAGAGGCCGGCGTTGTTACTTGAGAGGCAAGTGTCGATGACAGTAGAGGACCAAGGTTTGTCGACACCAATGGCCCAGGGGAGCCTGGTAGATTGAAGGCAGATGTCGAGTGCCCTCCCAAGGCACCACTTACACTGCCTCCTAACGACAGGCTGCTCAAACTAGATCCAATACTGGCCAAATTGTCAACTTGGGAAGTTGTGAACAACTGCAATAAAGAACAAGATAAAGATTATGAAAAATCATTGTTTTTTTATCATACCTGTGCATTGATGCTGGAAGGGTTGAAAGTGCCATCAATACTGTGTCGTGATCTAATGGTACCAGGGATGGGTTGACGAAGGTTGCTAAGAAGTATCTTGCAGTTGTTAACTGTAGAACTGATAGCCTCAGCCAAGTCGTGGGAAACACTCCTTAAAATCAAATGTAGCTCAATATTTTCAAAATATTAATAAAAAAAGAAAAAACTCACTTTTCGTAATTCTGTAAACATAAGATTATCTGAGTGAGCTGCTCCTGAGGAAGTTGAGCAGCCTTGGCAACTGTGTCCTCTTTCCCAATACCGCCAATGATGTGCGGGCTGCGTCTCTGTGGTAAAAAGGAACAAATATTTAGACATTCATTGCAATCGGTATTTATCTTATTTAAAAACAATAAAATACCTGGAGGAATTTCACACAGGCAGAAATGAATGGTTCTCCCTGCTGAAGCATCTTGTCATTTAGCCATTTGTCGAGCTTCAGGAAGCCTCGTCTGGAAGCTAGACATGCTAAGTCAATCACAAAAGGGTAAGTTTGTTCTGCCAGCAGCATTGAAAGGCCTTTCAAGTCTTGTGCAACATCAAGAATTCTAGTAAGTCTTGTTTGATCGCTATCACCTCTGATGTACCAGTCAGCCATTGCTGCCATTACCACAGGCTGAAAGGCGTTGTTCTAAAGGTTTGGATTGTTTTTAACAACAAATTAATTAATGCATTCAGTGAGACAAACCTGAGCATGCCAGGCATGATGTAGGATGATTGCCGAGTTGGGGTGATTGCCTAGGAATGTAGGTAACAATGCAGAAAGGAAGTCTTTGCGCAGCTGCTTAGAGTTTTTCTGTGCGCTCTGGGTGCTGGCTTGCAGCAGTCCGAGTGCTAGGATGTCCGGGTATTGACTCACTACCGGCTTCAAAATTTCCATGACTTGGGACAAAAGTCCACGATCACAAAGATACAACAAAGTCTCAATCAGATCCAAGGAGCGCCTGTTGTTTTAAGATTTGTGTGAAATATCGTAGCTTTGAAAAAGTAATGACGAGTATTTACCAGGTGTTCACATCCTTATTGTCAGAGTCTGGAGGCACCTTCAAGGTGTCAACAGCCACTGGACGGAAGGTGTAGTCAGCAAAGCTGAATACGTCTGGATTCTTCAGTATTTGTTGCACTAGCGAAAGCTGTGGAGAATTAATTTAGCTTTCAAGATGACAAAAGCTATGGCAATTGATTACTTGTCCATCTGCATTCTCCCATGCTCTATATATGTGCTCTACGGGGAATAAATCTGGATGGAAACCCTGGACCTGCAGGCCCAATCTGAGTGCAGTCATCAGAAGGGTCAGGCCCTGCCTGTCCTTCAGAACAAAGTCTTGGTGGTCAAGTTCTCTAACCACATCGTCCCATCTCAAGTTGGGCGCCATTTCCTTGATAGCCTGGACAAAGATATCCACATTCCAAGTCACTGGAATCGATTCGGGCTTCTCTTTGTCTGCATAGAAATTGGCTGTTTTGTCTAGTCCACTGTGAGTGCGCACCATGGCACCCAGGACCCTGGCAATGGCTGATGGAGTGATTTCCCTTCCGAGGCTGGACAGTTGCCTTCGGCATTCCGCAACGGAGGCACAACAGCCATAGCCAAGCTCTACTATCAGTTCTGCTAACGAGTTGTCCATCTGCAAAAGATTACGAGCACCACCAATCAACTCGAATTCAAGAATGTGAAACATGAACATGATCAAGAAATGCAATAAAAGAAAATCAGCTTAAAGTTTAAATTGCACGAATTTTTCAAGTTTTAACCTACGCCATGTTAGACTTTAGAAATCACCCCCGTTATTATTATTGTGATTAAATCTGATTTAGAAATACAGTTTTAATGTTTCATAGGAACAACATAAAAATACTACTCACCATTTTGACAGATGGATCTATTGGCATATCAATGGATATGTTAAGGGCTTGTTTGTACAAGAATATTGAAAGAATTTCTGGTACAGTTTCTTGTCTAAAATTCTTGCACAGATGTTCCAGGAAGATATCAAAGGATTCCGAAGAAGCGCCTGAAAAGAATGGTCTGATTGGAGAATGCTGGATAGTTTTTTTAATGCTGAGCTCTTACCAAAGCAATTGCCGAACGTTGTGTTGGCAAGGACAAAATGAAGTTCTTCTGTACTTATTGAGTCGCCACTTGGAGCTTTGTTATCTAAATAACACGAGAAAGGCAAATTCAAAATGTTGAATAAAGTCGTTTGATAAAACAAATATAATTATTTTCTGGCGGTAACAAAAGGAACCCCCCTTCCTTTGTAATTATTTTGCATTTCAAATTCCGTTTAAATTGTAGCAGATTATTTAAAACACCACATTAATGTTATTTCTTAGAGGAATGTGACAAAAATAATGAAATCACACCTTTTTCTGTGTCAGTTCGCAGAAACTCTGGTAATTTCTGCTGAAGATACCCCAAGGCCTGACTTTTGGTGTCGGCGCTTAGAGAATGCAGGAGGGATAGGCCAAGCGCAATTTCTTGGACAGGGGTGCAGCGCAGCACTCGGCTCAACAGCAACAGCAGCTGCTGGGGCGTCTTATTGCTCTGGAAGGTACGATGATGGTAATTGAAAATATCAACCCAGTTATTTTCTGTAATACTTTATGCAGTTGCGCTGTGCACTCGAATGCGTGGCAAAAGTTGGTGACCACTTGAGCTTTTGAAAGCAGTGAAACACACTCTTGCTGCAGCAGCTGGATTTGCAGACTTCCCTTGTCAGGTCCAACTTCTACGTAAGATAAGAGACTACGCAACAGATGTCGATCCGCCTCCTCACCGTGCAAGGCTATCAACTGCAAGCACATAAATTTCAGATCATTTAACTTCATTTAACACTTATAGTATCATTTTTCTTCATGTCAATCTCAATACAATAAATAGTCGATTTACTTCTTTGGATTACACATGAATGAGATTTGGACGAATTAATTTTATTAATTGACTAAGGTTTGCGATCATCACGCTCCATGGAGTGGTTTTCTTATAGGATAAGGAATAAATTTAAATATTTGTTAGATATGTCTATTAAAAATTCCATTGAAATTTTGCGTAATTCTGTCTGTAGGTCAATTTAAATTTCTCGTTTAATGTTTTTGATGCTGAGCAATCCGTATGAACCTTAAATGTAATATAGCAAAAATATATACATGGGCAAAATTTAACTTTATAATAATGATAGATATTCTGTTGAATGATTCCAAATTATGATTATGCGTTTTAAAATATAATTGCAATAATAATATTAGCATTATTGCATTTCAGAAAATGTCAACATACATAAATATGCATGTATTTGTGCTAAACACGAATTTATTCTTGTGCAATTGTTCATAAGGTTCATACATAAACAAGAAGAAATTGAAAAAAAAAACATGTGTAATTATGTAGTAGCCTATCAGAAAAACGTAAAACCACAGAAACTTTGAAACTAAAAATCTGAAAAACATAGTTTTACTTGTTTATGAATGGATTTCAAAACCTTGTTTAGATAAATGAAAGCAGAAATGGGAAAACAAAACAAAAATCTTTCATCCATAAGTTACCGCAGGTTTGTCATTAATTTATAATGATTGGACCAAAAAGTTAAATTTTCTTCATTTTTTTCTTTAAAATTTTACTACAAATTAGATCAATCATGAAGGTAGTTGGTGATGCATAATAATGTGGGAATATGATAAAATAATAGAAAAGTATGTCTACAATGTGATGTGGTCAATGCAAATTTTTTTGAATCAAATGAATGCAGGGTTTGCAGATGCATGGGTCACAAATCACACTTCCAAACACGTTGCACACACGATACGTACACAAGATAGTTCTTGAACACTTGATTTGTAATTTTTCTTCGTTAAATTTGCAACCAAATAATTGATTTGTGACAAGGCAAAAGACAACGAATCCAGGTTCATAGTTTCATGAAGACAACTTCGAAAGCTTCAATTAGTCTTGAAGCCTCCTCACTGAGCCGCAAAATTCTCCTTCTTTTGTAGTTAACAATCAGGCAGTTACTACTAAGTCGAAAGAGTCCTTGATGGGTCACCATCGGGACGGTAAATTAATTTTATCACTTTCACAATATTATCATGGCTGCCTATCATCACACAACCGATGCCGATAACTCCATTTCCATTCTCCATTTTCCAACGTTGCCGTTTTCTGCAAGCCACTTTACTTTGAGCATTTGGCCAACACAACAAAAATTAAATCCTGATTTTATTATGGCGAAATTAAAATTTTTTTCTTGCAATTAACTTTAAAGTATTATTTTATATTTTCATTAATTATTCTTAACAGTTCTGAGTGTCGAAAGCATAAAAAATATGCAAATTTCATTAAGGTGCCATTTACCTCGAATTTGCTTAGTTTGGCTTACGTGTTCTGCCTCAAAAAAACGCTACAAGCCGCATCAAATCACGGGATTCACGGGGAACGAGAAACACGGTTTTATTCGATTCTCGTCTCTTATTGGTCACTAAAGTTTCTCATTCCCACACAATTTCTGTCTCCCGTACTAGCCATATTAACGATAACAAACAATAACAGCAGCCTCGCGACAAACACGAACGTCGACTTTAATTGACTTTTATTAAACTTGTGACTCTTTTTCTTCAAGCGAAATGTTAAATGTCTCTTGTTTTTCTGTTCTCCCAAGGTGGAAAGGCCCTTATTCTCTCAGTCAAATTTTTTTACTAAGTTCAAGTAAATTTTTTAACACAAAAAATAATCCATTGTCAACTTAACAGTCACAATTTAATTATCATCTTATTTCTGTCAGTAACTTCAGCCCTTCGTTTCGGTAGCATCAAGTTAGAAAAATCCTTACAGCTTTTTTCAGAACTTTTTGATTGCTGAAATTAGGAAATACCATATCGAATGAAATTAAGAATAAATCTTTTTAATAAAGACTAATTAACTTAATTTATTTGTGGTACCTGTGGACAAAAATACGGGCTGACAAGTCTTTTATTGGCCTAAATAGAACCAACTATAACAACTACAGAATCTTTATTTGATAGGACATGAAATTAAAATTGATTTTCAGATGAATATTGTAGATTAAATTTATTTTGCAAGTTAACAACGGTGACTCAGGGATGCGAGACAAATGCGCTCCATTAAAAATTCTTAAGTAATGATATAAAGATGTAAGTGCAGCAGGAAGGATGTATAGACTACTCACAACAAGGGTTGTAAATTTTTTGAAGGGGTCCAGCCCAAAACAATAATCTTATTGGTGCTCCGTATGGCACAGTCTGAACCAAAAATTTGAGGAATAAAATGAAATTTTTCAGATATTGCAAGCAAGTTGAGTCTTTTACCAAACGGTATACAAACTATAAATTTGTAAGAAAAAACAAATATTTAGGCTGCAAATTTGAATTTATTTCAAAATCTACAACCTCAAATAACTTTTCAATCTGATTTTTAATATCACTGTATTTTTCAATGGACAAGCACGCTTGTTGCAATTGACAAGACTGAATGACCGAAGTCCTAAGCATTTATGATGGCACCAGGACAGGCTGATTACAAATATTTTGATTAAAGTGTCCAGCTGTACGACTTATACTACTTTAATAAATAATTAAAAAGTCTGTCCCTGCCTTCTGCTGCACATCTGCCTATCACAAAGAGTACCAGTCCAAATAATATTGTTTTCCTAGGTCAAAATCAATCAACTGTGAAAAAATTTCATGAGAAAAATGGGCAAATAATATATATAGTTCTGTCTCTAGAACTTCTCATTGATACTCGATTAACTGCTGAAATACAGCATTAAATCATTAGGGGGGAATTTCTTCTGTTAACACTCCTACAAAATGCAAGTCCCTGTCAAGTGGCAGCGTCTCCAATTTAGGGGACAACTGATATTAATCAATTTAGGAACAAAATTTTAGTAAAAAAAAGAGTAAGTAGTAAAAAATGACCTTTTTCTCAACTGGTAATATTCCTACATATCAGTTCTGGGTTCGTTTGAAATCAACCTAATGTCTTTAATTATGCGAGTCAAAGTATGAAAAAAAAAACTACAGACGAAACATTCCCTTTTTGAGACAATTATTCCTAGGTTTGATGAGCACTCAACTGTTGACTTCAGTCCAGCACTTGTGTTCCTGATCGTCTTTTTGGTCGATGGTCGAATCTTCACTAAGAGGCATCATGCTTGTGAGCTCGTAAGATGTTTCAAGCATTCCGCCAGAAAAGTACCGCACGTCTTTGTCTCTGTCCAACTGCAGATCATGGAGGATACCTTCAACCAGGTCGAAACCAGCACCATTCACAGCAAAGTAGGCTGAGAATATAAATAAGGATTATAAAAAAATACTTGTGAGGGTGATTTTAATGACAATATGAAACAAAAAAACAACATAAGTACTTACGATGTGCGAGAACATCTTGGCTGATAGACTTTGCAACTGCTAGTCGAACATTGGGAACAGAGTCCTTGGCAAGATGCTCCAGCATGGGCAGAATGCGGGTGGCAAAAATCTCTGGTTTGATGGGAGGGTTGGGAAGTCGAATGAGGTGTCCACACAACAGAGACAAACTCTGCCGGCGCATCCACCTCTCAGTGGCCACATACAGTTCTTGATATCGAGCGAGCAGTCTGTCAAGCAGTTCTTGTTCTTCACTTAGAGTAGCAGTAACTTTAGCAACCTTAATTAGGATTAGTAAGACATTATTAGTTAATTGCTCTAATGAACCCTTAAAAATAAATTTTAAGATGACAATGCAATGACTTCTTTTTGCTTGCAAATAGTTTGAAATAATGGAGAGTATGTAATCTAAGGAGTAAACTGAAGATAGTAAACATAAGTATTCTAACAATAAGAAATGAAAAATTCATATCAATGAATTAGGGAGGATGGATCCAAATTTTGTAATGTTTTTCCATGTTTAAAAAAAAAAGTTAAATAATCTTAATGATGATCTCACCAAGGGCAAAGCGGCCTCTCGGACAGCAGCAACCCGGTCATCCAGGAGAGCCAAAGCAATTGGGGCCACATGGGAGCGAGCATGTTCCGGTGTACACAAGTCAAGAACACCAATAAGCTGAGTGGCCAATTCCTCCCTGTACCTCCAGTTCGTGTGATGGTCCATTTGCAGAAGGCGAGACAGTTCAGGTAAAAATTTTTCACACTCATCATGCCGTAAAATCTGAAGAAAGGTTGTTAAAAAATTATTAAATTAAAATTTGTGAAAAAAATACCTTTAAAAAACTAGTAAGGTGTTTAAGGACGCCAATGCGAACTTCGTCAAGGTCTTTAACAAACTCCATAAATATGGGCATTAAGTCTGTTGATGCAAGGTCTTCGCCCAAAATTGCCGCAATTTCGTGGATGCTCGAAGCCATTGTCCTGCGCACCTTCCACTGCATATCCAACGCAAGACTCTGATAAGTTTTGCGGAGCAGAGGCCAGTTGTTCCTACCAAGTGTAAGAACAACTGCTGGCAGGCTAAAGGCGCAATGATGGGAAATCTCGTTGTCCACTGTTCGGGCCAAAGGTGTGGCCATGTAAACGAAGTGGTTGATTAACATGGGTGGAACGATTTCTTGCTTGAAACCTTCACAGTGTGATACCCTTTCAAATGAATCTTGGTCTGCACTTCCTTCATGAAAATCTAGAAAAACAGAAGATAAAATATTTAATAATCTGGAATTTATGATTTTATTTTGTATTATTAACTAGAGGATAAAATATGTTATTATTCTAAACCTGAAACAATTGTTTACCTGAGTCAATACTGGTAACCAGAGGACGAGCTTGATTTTCGAGATGATCGGGCATGAGTGAAACCAATGGTGATAAAGGTGGTGTAATGTTATTCTGCAAATGAACATATATTTTTTTTTTTTTAATTTCCATTTCCTCCAAGGATGCCCTACGCAAAACACTGATAGCTCAGTTGCTCTTAATAAGACCAAACGCTTGTGACGTGGCGGACTGGTTAGTTTAGCTAACAGAGTCGTGAGTTTTAACAAGCAACAGTTTTATTTCTATCTAAAATACTGCTTTCAATTTACACCTATTGGCATCAAATTAAAAAAAAAGAGATAAATGCAAATGAAATTCTCCACACACAAAATTTGTATGATTTTTAACTATATTGAGAATGGAAATAAATATAGTATTTTAACGAGAAAATCATTCTAATAAATAAGGACAAAATATGACATGATAAAAGTCTTACATTATAGAAACCACAGTTTCTAAGGGAAGGGGGGTCTGTTGTGGGCAGAGGCGGCGGCATCAGATTTTTTGATAAGCCCAGTTCAGGCAGTGGAGTGCGCCAGAACTGAAAGGTATTGAAGCTTTCCTCAGAGTCCACAGGCCTTTTCTCTGTCAGTTTCATGTTCTCGACCTCTGAGGCGATCGAGTTAAGCAGCAGATTCGCAGTATTGCTGGCTTCCTTGAGCTGCTCAGCCTTTGCGGCTTCCTCTTCCTCCTCCTCCGACACCTCTTCAGCATGTTCTATTATCTCATCTTCCCCTGTGTCAATTTCTTCTTCGTCGTGTCCTACAAGGTTCAGGGTTTCGTTGCGAGGGGCGTAGAGCATCATTGACTTGCAATTGGCCTCGGCTCGCAAAGCCAAAACCACACCCTCGGTGTCCAGCAGCACCTGGTGATCGTGACTTGCGACGTCTTGACCACTGAATGTAGCAATGAAGGACCCAAGTGACTGGAATGAAGCCACTTGCACCCACCTTGACTCGTCGCGAAGAAGTTGATGAAAGGTAGATGCCAAAGTGGACTTTCGCTTGCTGAGGGTGACTGCGTGGGACACTGTGGTGAAAACCTCTGCACACGCTTTGCGAACAGCCCATTCATTGTCTTGGCACAGGTGCAAAAAGCTGACTAACTGCAACGATAAAAGAACGCAAAGTTGAGTATTTTAGTTTGATACAAAGATATCATGAAAGGTATAGGCTAACGACATTCCCAGATTCGCAAGTGGGAAAAAAAAACTTAAAATTGAAAACAAACAAAAATTGCTTTTTACTCTTAAAAAATCTGAATTCATATAAGTAGTACTTCTGAGAAAGGTTGAGAAGGTTAATTTTCATATTGGTTTTACTCACCAGCATTTCTTCAGTCTTGATTGGTCCAAAAACAGCCGCAAAGTCACCAAAATTTGTGGCACAGACTTTTCGTACATATAATTGAGAATCTTCACATAGCTCAGTAAAAGGTTGGAGGAAATGATGAATTGTTGAATCTCGTCCTATCACACATGCCATCTTTGTCATTAACTGAAACACAAAATAAGGAAAATTTATTTTTAAATATTTTTGCGTTCAGTCAATTATAACAAAAGGATATTTTTCTTAAAACTTCACAAGAAAAAGAAAAATGAATAAATAATAATTTAACATTCTTCACTTTACTGCCCTTTTAACAACTTGATTAGTTAAAATAATTGTAAAATAAATGTTTCAAAATTTTGTCTAATAACTATGCTTTTAGCTTGGTAAAAGAGAAGTGAGCAGAATTTTCTGGCAATTTTGCGCTCATCAAAGCTGGCTGTGATAGGAGAAGAAAGCACCAGTCAACAGCCACTTTCACGAGGGCAAAATTACCAAATTTGCACAGCCAAAGGCCCGGTCTCAAGACGAATGTGTGGTCTGGACATTGCTCTTCAAAGCTGGCTGTGATATGAGTTCATTACATGTCACATCCACTTTGAAGAGTAGCGTTTACAGACCCATGGATTACAGTGAGATCATTCCAACCTGTAGAAGAACTAATTGGGGTTAAAAACATATCCCCCAACTCGTCAAATATGGCTGTGATATGAGCATAAAGAGACACACCCCAACCAATCTGACGTGCTGGGCAAATGTTGTCAACAGCGATGAAAATCGACGATGGTGACGGAGGGCCAAGCAAAGCTCATCAAAGTGGCTGTGATATGACTTAGGCCAAACATAATTCACATCCACCTTGACGGCTCTGCAAGACTCTATACAACGTTGCTCGTGCATCCATCGATAAGAAGCTGGAAGTCTTCGGATGCGCTATTTCTGACGTTCTTGCTCATCAAAGCTGGCTGTGATAGCAAAATACACTATAACAAGCCAACGTTAATGAGTAGGACCGAATAGAGAAGCGTCTTTATTCTTCAGAGTGATGATTTAAGCAGCGGCTGCATGAAAGACAAGATAGTGAGACGAGGGGTTAAAAACATCTCACTACCCATGTCTTTCAGGCAGACAATGCTATTCATAATCCTTCGATTGACTCCTTATTTACATAAAATATATAAATATAAATTATATAAATTCACACATTGATAATTGAATTGAATAAAAAAAAAATGGCGATCTCTCCCTTTAAGTAAAGTTACATTGACAAAAAAATATTTAACTGTTTATCTAATAAAAAAAATCTGCAATGATAAATTACATTTCACTGTCAATACAAATTATGTAAAAATCATGCTTTCCTTGCAGATACAAACAGTGATACAAGTTGAAAGAAATAATGTTAAAATCGTAAAAAACGAAATATGTAATGTATATTTAATAATTAATAAACAAATAAAAGTTAACAGTAAAATAGAACATTCGTCCTCTCAACTTTGTTGCACCCATTTGCAAGATTGTGTGCTGCCTTATCACTGTAACGGGCAAATTTGGGAGAAATTGCAAGCATTCAATTTCGGCTATGTACTAATGTACTGTATTCATTAGCACAGTTAAGTAAGCTTGGCTTGTCATATTTGTATGAATGTAAGGAGTGGCGTGCGTATATTACAGGATGTAAAAAGAGTAGAATATTAAGTTCCGAGCAATTTCATTACTTATAAAACAAAGGTGAAAGCTCTACAAGATTGAAGATCGACCAAAACCCCGCCTATAGAACTCGGTGGTGCTAGTGCAAAAATATATTTTACGCAATCGCATTTTGTCAATATTTATAATATAAAGAAATGGTTCAATACTTGTTGAGGCAATTTTTTGAGAGAGAAATCAAGCTTACAAAACCGTAAATTAAGATGGCAAAATAAAATAAATGGTTATTTATCCTTGATATTTGTACATTGACCTTGTGAGAAAGAAACGCTTGTTCCATAAAAATTGAATCAAAAATTTTGTTAAAAAGAATAAATAAAAAAATAAGAATAACAGCAAAATTTGCCTCATATTTCAAGCGCAGTTTTACATTGATAAATATTTTCCCATTCAACTACTAATCCAATGTAACTTCTGCTAACTTCATTGAAATTATCTTCAATTTTGATCTGTCCTTCGTAATGCAATCAAGAGAAGAATACAAAGGTGGAAAAATGTATCTTCGGCTGTTAACACTTGTGGCAAAAAATACAAACAATTCAACACATTTATTTTTGAGAATCGACTTGATTTTTACGTAAAAGCGTAACTTAAAAGATAATGGCTCAAATTAATATCAATTAAATTGTGAATTTCAATTATTATACAAAACAGAAATCAGCAGATTTTTCGAGTTTTCATACATATATCCTACGAGTTGCTTACAATTAGAGCCGAAGTAAATATAAAGAGGCTAGAAAAAGTAAACTACAACTAAACATTGTACTTACCCCAATCGCACTAGTGTTGAGCTCTGCGTCATCGACGGAGCACCATGAAACTACCAGCGGCACTAACTTCTCCTCAACCACCCTGGACGGCAGCAGGCCCTGTTCGAGCAGGGCCAAGAGGGCACCCTGCGCCGTTTTGTGGATCTGCAACAGAAACCAAGGCGATAATTGCGACCTGGCTCCAAAGAAATTGATAAACAAACCATCTTGTTGGGGTCTCCGAGCAGGGTGGTGATGATGGGCAGGATGTGCGACGAGATGAGCGGGTCCAAAGTGCGGCCATCCGGTTCGTGGGCGGTGTGACACGCGAGGGCCAGGTGCGGTATTTGGTCGGCCACATCGCACCGAATGTCCTCCACTGCAAGTCAACAATCATCTCACAACAATGCAATGTTTTTTGGCGGCGGCAATGCCGATGCCGCCTAGATCGTGGTCGGTGGGCGTGGCGCCCCCCCAAAGCTGCGGGCTCGTTGCCTCTCAGAAGGTGTACGCATTCATTGATACACACTCACACAGAGGCAGCGCGCTCTGGCCGTGCCGTGACGAGGGAGCCGCCACGACCACGATCAATACCCTGTCCCAACGAAAGTCTCTCCCTCTCACCACCACCGCGCGATTTCAAGAGCATGACAGTCCGGTGACGTCACCAAGGATGGGGAGCGGCGAGGGGTGATTAGAGATTAAAAACAAGTATGCACGAAGGAGAAACATACACACTCGCTCGCTCCACTCATACATTTTACTACATCCCCCATTGAAAGTCAGCCGTGGATGCATTCAACATTCCAAAAGACAAAAGCGGCTGCAAAATGATCAGACATGGATAGGTGCAATTGCAATCAAGATGCTGCATTCGCTCAAATATTGTCAAAATTTTTGGCACTGATCACATCGTGGATTGTACTTTTATAGTCTGAATGCAGCAAAAACGCTCTAAGCAGTTGGCTCGATTTGCCCCTGCTGTGGATACTCTACAGTAAAATTGCAATCACTGCTTTTTATATATGATATTAGAACGAATTTTAAGAAAATAAATTTCATCCCTTAAATTTAATCTGCTACATGGAAATTATTATTACTCTTCCAGCAGCTGTCAAACATCATGCGCCGAATCACAGAATTGTTGAATTCCTTAATTTTGCAATGTATAGTAAGAAATCTTCAGCTCTTAATTTCTCGGGAATATATTTTTAATGGAAGTTTTAATGAAATGGAAAAAATATCTCATATTAATATAGAAAAATGATTTTTTTTAAAAATATAATTATGGAGTTTTGTGAATCATTTTGTTGCTCAGAATAATTATAACAGAGGAAGCAACAGGCAAAACGAGTTCAGACCGTGAATTTTTATTGCCTATGCCGTCGTTTGAGAATTTTATTATAGTCGGCATCCACGGCAAAAATGCGAAAAAAATTATTGCGTTGTGCGTTGTTGATCAGGCCACCCGCATTGAAGGACAGTGCCGCGGCACAGTTTCCCACCTCAGGCGTACCAGAGACTGACAATAAATTTTATCGCGTAATTGCAGTGATATGAAGGCTCGAATGGCCGGCACAAATAAGTGAGTGCCGAGTTTGTTGCTAAAAGTAATTCCTCCATTCCTAAAATGTTTTCAAATCGACCGACTTGATAATAAAATTGTAAATAAATAAATTTTTAGTTCACCAGCAAATGGGTAAAACAGAACAACATGACGTAATAAAAAGATGCAATGAGGGGTTTTGGGGGTGGTTTTCCCATGCGTCAACGGAATAGGGATTGCCCACCGGAACCGATATTTTTGCGTGTGGGCCTTAGAAATTTTATCTTATTTCTTAAATCATCTTTCCTTTGACTTGTCCAAAAGACGCAACTACGTAAATGTTTGTTTTCAGTTGAACACTTTAATTTTGGACCGAATTTGAATTTGAATCCCTTGACAACTTCATCCCTGTTTGATTGTAAACTTTAGGGCCTTGTAACTATTGAACCCACTCACCAACATCTTGTGAGAGCAGCGTGGCTACACACAGAAGTCGTTCTGCCTCTTCTCTTGCTCCGCCGACTGCCCGCAGCGAGCTCTGCAAAGTTCGCACCACGGCCTGCCTGAAAACAAAATGCAACAAAATGCTTATGGCGATCAAAAAGCATAATCCAAATAGGAGCGATTCTTGGCTCCAGGGTATGTTGACGTTTATGTCAATAAATATAAAAATGATAAAAAAAAAACTTCAGCATACAATTTACAATATGTCAAGTAAAATATTCTACTAATTCGCTATCAAGGGTGTTGCCAATTTTCGCGAAAATGGCTTAGGGGGTTTGACATTGATTGATTTTACATCCCCATCACGAAAAGTCCATAACGAAGCTTTGCCTCGCCCCAATTTTGAGGTATTAACATCTTGAATTTTAGTTTTTAAGGCATTAATCGTTTTAAAATCGTATTTTTTATATTTTCAAAACTGCAAAATACCATTTCTATGGTCACACGGGTGTGCATATTGATCATCTAGTTTGACTCTGACAAAATTTACCAAATCAACTAACAAATTTGACATAGTAGAGAACACAAATTATTTTCAAACAATAATCCCTTTGATCAAATTTTAGCATGCAAATATTTATTTATTTATTCTCTGCTCATTAAAAAAATTAAAATGTTGATATATGTGTACATATCACATTTACAGAGTTAAATATTCAAATTTTGAGTGCAAACATTTGTTGTTATCATTTCCTTTTTATCCATATTTTATGGCAGGATTGGTTTGCAAAAAATGGTTGACGAAATTTACTAAATGAAGAATTGTGCGTACTATAATTCTGTGATGAGTTATGAATTGATATTTTGTAACAGATGAATGAATTTTTCTGGCTCAGCAAAAAAATAGTGGCGAGAGCTTTGGCTGGTGAGCGCTATTGGCGCTTTGTTCCGTGCGGTCGATCTCCGCTCGATACGACTTTCCGCTGATTTTCTCGGTTATTTGAAGCTTGCAAATTTTTAAGGAAAATACTGAATTCCAAAAGATCAGGGCCAAAATTGACTGGAATACAACAAAATAACAATAATTTTGTAAATCTTTCTCCGCAGCAATTGAATGAAATAATGCAAAAATCAGTGAAGTGGGGGGCAGAGGAAATTTTTGATGTGATCAAATGAAATTTAACAGGTTGCGAATGCAAACATTTTTTGCCGAATGCAGAAGAATGCTTGTTTTTAAAAATGAGTTAGCAAGCTTTAACAAAGATTTTCAAAAGCTCAGACTTTCAGAGAAAACTACTTCACCTGAAAATTAAATTGGCATTTTCTTTCCCTTCTTTACAACGGGTATTTTATTTTACAATAAAGAGTTTCGAATTCAATCAAATATTCTCCATTTACACCTCTGCTTGGTAAAAATGGGAATAACACACCGCGTTTCTTTTTACGCTTTTAATTCAGAACTTCCCGATTTTGTTGTGGAATCAGAAGATGAAGTAGAAGCCCTAGAAATATTGCGTTCACTGCATTAAGGAATAATTGATAAAAATGTTTTTGCACTATAATTCACTCATATACTTTGATCTTTAATCTAAATACGGAACGAAAAAAAATCATCTCAAAATGTTTCAATTTTAAGTCTTGATTTCTAAAAATTTGCCAGGGGCAATTCGTATGTATCTATTTATAGACGTCCACAAAAAGCCGTTAATATAGTTTTTTTTCACTACATAATTTATTTGTAGCAATTTTTAAGGCTCGGGCGTAATAATGGAAGCCTAGAAAAACTTTAGGTTTTCAATCATTAAAATTACTTGGCGATTTTGGCACGGTGCCGAAACAGAACGATTTGTAAATTTATTAAATACGTATAATACAGGAAACAAAAATCATAAAATTAGGGGGTAATGCAAGAGGCGAAAAGTTTCAAGACACAACGCACACCATCTCAGCGCGGTCAACCGGCAAAGAGCACGCTGGTGGAACTGGCAGTAACGTGCTTGCTCTTGTAAATTGGTGGGAAGAAGCGAAAATTCCGAAGCACGCGTTTATATCGTACCACGCTTCGATCTTCTCCATCGCAATGGATCTGCTTCGAAAAATGCCACCCACTGAAAAACTTCACCCTCGATTCATTTTCAACGCAAATGCGACTCTTACCTTCGGCGTGAGCATGACAAACGTCAAAAAGGTTCCCGCCAAACGCGAATTGTCGTCAACGCGGCCTTTTCAGGGTAGCGTCGGTTTCAGGTTCGGAGGCGCATTTTGCATTTGGGCGTCACAGGAAGCTCCGCAGACCGAATGGGGTGGTCTGCCCCCGAAGTGTCCCGCGGGATAGAGGAGCACAGGCGTCGACGGGACAAATGCATGGTGGAAGGTGCACGCGCCACACTGATGAGGAAACCGAGACGACTGACAAGTCCGAAGGGCTGGAATTTTGGGCTGTTTTTTCCACTTGATCCCGGCGTTATCGCATCTCGGCATAAAATATCATTCGCTACTCTTGGCGCTAGCTCGGGCTCGGGACTCGGAAACCGGGAACAATGTGCTCCCACCCCTGCGCAATGCCCCCCTCCCCCCGGCAGTCGTCACATCCGGCCGAAAGTGTGGTGGGGGCGCGTATTGCGCGTACAATTCACTGAGAGTTGGCGCTGTTCGCTCAGTAGTCACTCGGCTACGAACGACTCTTGCATGGATCTTCGGGAATACTCTCGCGAGTCGCGTGGCGCCACCGTACACGCAAGATTCCGCCTCTTCGGTACGGCACAGCCCTTTTCCACCGGTTCCACTCTGCACGGCGTGGAATAATAAAGGAGGCTTTCGAGGGGTGGGGCTGCCAGGCAGGGGCCCAACAAACCTGACCGACACCACGCTGCTTTTGGTCGCGCTGCTGCTGCTGCCTGCGCTTTATTCTTCATTTCGCTTTCCCCCTAAGCGCGGCCAAAATGCACAGCAGAAAAAAATATTATGAGAGAATAATTGTCCGAGATCGCAAACCAAATTTGGCAGCGCAATTATTCCTGTCTAGAGGAAGTTTACAGAAATAAATGCCTTAAATTCCTTAAAACAATTATTTTGTTTTAAAAAGTAATTAAAATTGAAATGAGACAAAATTTTTAGAACGGAAATTTGTATAGCGTTTAAAAGCGCAGACTAAAATTAGACGGGGGATTCGGGAGGAAGTGAACAAGTTGGCCTCCATAAATAGAATTTTCCGATAGTGTGGGTGCGTTCGCTGCGGCGGCCGTGTCACTTTATTTTGAAGTTGGGCGTTTTAGCAGACTTCTGCTCGTTGCGAGACCCCTTCGAGATTATTTTTTCCGTGCGTTCAATAGCAGAAATGACAATTACTTATTCATCTTTAATTTTAATATAGGCCGATCTAGTTTAAATGCAAAAGCTGGCAAAAAAAATCAGAGCAATGTTTTTTCTCCAATAATGAGAACATTTAATTTTCCTACAAGTATTACCTGACTAATTTTCCTTGTGAATGGAGAATAAATAAGTAAATAAATTTTCAAATTTCACTATAATTATCTCAATCATTGGAATCACATCCTAATATCACAATTGATTTTGTTGTTTCAATGTCAGCTATGTATGAATTGTTAGTAATAAATGAATAAATAAATAATGAAAATAAATGTATAGATATACATTTTATAAATATATTTGTTAAATTGAGAATGTCCGTCCTTTCCATGGTCGGAATTATCTGCTCAATTGTAATATGGAGAAGATCGCTCATATTAAAATATTTCGTCAAGAAAAAAAACGAGTTACGTGAAAGCAATTAGTACCAATAGAATGAAGATGCCTACCTCTATTTAAAGATAGTTGGTTTATGAATGTTTTGACGTTTAGTTTATATCGGTGACATGTGTAATTATATTGATTTGATCAACTATCCAAATATATCAATATAGGGCAATACTAATTTTATGATATTGTCTACTTTCTCCATCTACATGACTGTAGAATGTGATAAATTTATTGAAAAAAATCATGAGCCGCTGTTTAAAAAGGCCCAGAGAGTCAGGTATGTCAGGTTCGTAGCAATGAAAATTAGCCGATTGCAATTCAGGACCTGTTTGTTAAACCAGTCCGCTGAACCTGACTTCACAGTGCCGAGAAATTATAATTGCAAAAATCCACTTCCTGAAGTAAATATTGCATTTTACAAGGTGACACTGTTTACAATGCTCTTGTTAAATAAAATAAAAATATTTCAAATCAAATTATGAAAGAGATTTGTATCTTCTCATTTCAATTAATTTCCCGCCCTCTGCGCTTCTCTTTTAGATGAATAATTATTCAAATTGTTGATTTTTTTCCAAGCTAAATATATTCAAAATCGTGTCAATTTTGGTGATTTGATAATTTAAATTCAGCAAATCTTTTGAGCGACTTCCTAGAATTTAAATCATTTTCCCCAAGTTGTAATTAAAATTTTTCTCAACAGACTTTCTTAAGTGAGGGCTGGCAAAATTTGCAATTTTGCAGAACATGGCAGTTTCTCGTTGACTATTCTTTTACAAAATGAAAAAAAAATTTTAAATAAAAAAACTTTTGTCCTACCTGTGGTAGGGGTTGTCGGAGTGTTGGTGCTCCTCAAGCAGGTCAAGCCTTGCCCCCTGACAAATATCGTCCAAAACAGATGAAGGGTCGTCACAGATGTCATCCTCGGCATCACCACTCATGCCCTCTGAACTGCTTCCCAGTCCTGCTCAAAAGAATAAAAATTTAAGAAAAAAGAAGTCACTTTGTTGGTGATTGATGTTCCAGCTTTGGATGTGAGCTTAAGTTTATAATAAATATTATGGTGTCGAACTTAAATTTACAACCTTTTTGACTATATAATAGTTCAAAATGAAAATTGCAGTAAAAAGTCCACTATGAACTTGAGATCGAAATTTAAAATTTTTGGGTTTATGTTTGCGCACACGATCAAAATTTTCTGCATAATATTCCACAATAAGAGAAAATCCGTAAGGAGTAAAATCCGCATTGCAGCTTAGGTTTTGAAGACGAATTGCGAACCAGAAATATCACAATTGTATCAAAAGCCCGTCAAATCCATAAATAATAATGAACAGGTGCATTGCTGGGCATGCAAAACACGCTTTGTTTCGGGTAGAAACGACGTTTTTGAGCAAAAATACAAATGCTTCGCTGATCACATGGCTTAATAAACACATTTGTTTGCAAAAAATGCATCGCGCGAGCACGAAGCACGCCAGTGAAACCAAAACAGAGTGACATTTGGGCCTGTTTTGTCGAGACCGACGCTTCGGCGCCTTCCTTCAGCCTACAACTCACCCTCGTCCGAATTAACCGAGTCTTCGCCATAGTTTGAAAACAAATCTGTAAACATGAATTAACAATTATGGTCAATATCCTGGGTTTAGGGTGCGTTTTGGCCTCGAAACACTCACCAGCCATGTTGAAACAAACACAATATTATACATACATATGGTTTGATTGGTACGGTAGTGTGTACACAACACAACGTCTAGTTTCGGAGTTCTTCGGACTCTTCGGAGGTGAACTTCAAATTGTCTTGCCATTGGTCGGTTCTCCAAAGCGGGAGTCGGTCATAGGCTGCGAAGATTTCCCCACCATATTTGTTGGCTACTTGGCTGACAAGCAAGAACACACGGGAAGGATACAACTCGACCGCAGCGTCATCTCGTGTCACTCAGAGATATCCATACAGGACAAGCTTTCGTCCAATCACTGACAGGCGTGATGAGCGGCGAGTTTTAAAAATAGCTAAGTGAGCCAGAGGATTTAAAAAAAAAAGTACTTAAAAAGTATCTTCAATAAAGTGGATACAAAAATCTCCAGTTTCAAATAATATAACAGATGAAGAGGAATTTAATTTTTAGTTATATGCAAAATAAATTCTGGAATTCAATAAAGAAATGTCTTGGAAGATTTTTCCTTCCTAATTATGTTCTTTGGTATTCCGTGATTTTTTAAAATATAATCTGATTGCTTTGCTTTAATGAACTCATCTAAAAAAAATTCAAAATCATCGTCTCAACAAAATATTTTCATGTTCGCAGGTCTACTGTCTTAAATTTATCAAAAATATAAAATAATTAAAATATTGTTAGTTCAATAAAATAGATTAACTTATAATTTATTGCAGGGAGGAATCTCCTACGTGTAATTTAATTATTTTAGAACATAATTTGCATTTTGGTTCAATTGCTTAGCATGACCAGAAGATGACACCAATGTGTGTGCATCCCATTACATTTTATCAAGAGCGACCCAGCCGACATAGGATTACATGTATATCGATGCTTCTGCGCAGATTTTACAACTTTCAAACTTGCAATTTTTATAAATAATTAAGCCTTAGAATAAGAAAAAACCTGAAATTGAGGGTAATATTGTTGATTCAAAATATCAAAATCCGGTTATATCAACCAAAAATGCATGTTGAGTGGAGGTCATGTTTCTCCAGCCCTCTTTTCAGCCTCTCTCTCTGAATCACAATGCTGTTTCTCCTTGATTGTTGCTCTGCACATTGGGCACTCTGACAACTGATTGGCACAGTTTTTACAAAATCCCCTAAATTATATAGCACGTTAATATGTTTATTCATCAAAATTTTAAAAGTTGAGCATGCTAAAAAAGTTACCTGTGGCCACAAGGAGTCAGCTGAACAGTAGCAAAATCATCAAAACACAAGGTACAAGAGTCATCACGTACACTCAGTTTGCAAAGCTGTTCTAAGCGTATATGTCTGAAAAATAAAGTTTTATAATATTAACAATTCTGCACTAGGACATTTCGATCTCAGAAAACTATCTGAGATTCGAATGCTTAAGTAGGTGTCATTATTATTACTGCCCAATAGACCACATTCGTTTTGAAGTGAAAGGCAATTTTCCCGAATTTTTCCTTATTTCAACTCCATTGCATACCTAGGTAAAATCTTTTTATCCTCAGCATCCAAGTGAGCATGATCATTAAATTTTGCAAATTTTCTATCCTTTGGCGGGTATTTAAAGGGACTACTGCCAAAGTTGAACTTGCACTGCTGGAATGACATGAAACTAGCAGCAGCAAAAAATCCAGACCTAAAAGCAAAAGAACTGTAAACATATCTTTATTGAGACGGACTTATTTATTTACCTAGATGACTTAAATATACTATTGTTGGATGTAACCTGGGTGCTAGAGCCAAGACGTTGTCCATTGACATAAAAACAAATCTCTGGCTTATCAAGATCAAGAAGACATCCTAATATATCGCCTGGCCTCCAGCATTGTCGCGACTGAGCCTCACAACGGGCATTGTGCCAGAAGAGTTGACGGCAACCATCATAGGCCAAGGAATATTCATCGTCTCCAATTCCATAGCCCTCCTAATAGTAAATCAATAAATTAAAGCCACTGTCATAAATGGCACTGGGATGTATCATACATGATTCAAGAATGTGCTGTCTCTAGTGGCCCAGCCGATCTGCATTACACCAGGAGTTATTATTTCAGCCTCATAGTACCAAATGCCTTTGTCAACTTGAAAGGTGCAGCGGACACTTTCGAAAGAGAAAGCATCACAACGAGCCTAGAATTTAAATTGTAGCAAAATAAATTTTATTAAAAATTTTTATTACCTCCAGTCCATTGGGTGAAATTTTCAAATACTCGCTGACATCCTTTGTGTTGAGCATGACATTGATGTTAGATAAATCAATACAGTTGTATGAGAACGGACGTCCCTCAACCAAAACTGAAATTTTAATTATAGTAAACAGAGGTTTTATTATTTTAGTGACGGTGAGTGACGGCATGAACCATCTAGATCTTCTCGAAGGAAACTTAGACTTATCCTGTAGTTGTATAAATTTTTGTTTATCGGAAAACCAGTCTTAACCAAATCTTGCAACACAAGAAAAAGTCTAAAAAAATAAATAATAATTAGCATATTTCCTAGATTTTTTACAACAACTACAAGGGCGTTCTTTTTAAATAATCTTTTAATAGTAAAGAGTGTCTGTCATCAAGATGAAAATTAATTCATTATAAGAAAGGAATAAGAAAGGAAAAAATGATAAACTATGCTTTTCCGCTAAACAAAACTTGTGACAGTAGATCAGATGATTTTAGTTTTCCTTATAAACAAATATTTTCCAACTAAGATAAACCTGTTTTTCTTCAACAAGTATAATGTTTGTTAAGTAAGTGAAGCGTCATACACAAATTGTCCAAACACCACTGAGCACAGAAGCCAACTTGCCGTTTTACATGGTCAGGGTGGTCGATCCATTGCTCCAGTCTCAACAGTGGATTTGTAGGGCAATCTTTCAGATATCGCTGAATTGTCATTTTATTTTCAGCTGCGATGAAGAAAAAAGGCGTGTTTAGCATTGCAACCAGAAGAATGAAGTTAAATAAATAAGGATATTGATATACATAAAAGTGGAAAAGGTTACAGTGATGCTGAAAAAATGTGAGACTTACTTGTCTGGGCAAATTTCTCAAGCGCCACAAGGGAAAATAGTGTAACAGATGGATTGATTTCCTCTCTCTGTAAATTTAAAGTATTTATTAATGGAACAATAATCCTCATGGGATTTCTTCTTACAAGATTGGCTATCAAGTAGTCTAGAGTTCCTTTAGTTAAAATTGCAATACTGTTTGATCCAGCCATCTTCTCAGCAATGCAGCCCAGCACGACACAGATGTTCCTTTGCTGCATAGGAAACTTACATCCCAATTCGGATTGCTCAGCTGACAGGTTAAACAGCAAAGCCAGCCTTAAAACCGACTCCTGCAGAGTCAAATAAAAAAAAATTATAGATGCGACATCCTTTTCCAATGGAGCCCGAGCAGAGCATTGAGCCGCTTTCAAATCGGCAAATCAATATTTTTTTTATTAATAATAGCAATAAAGAAAAAAATTACTCTTGTCGGCAAAGGGCAGTCATCCAGAAGCAGGGTGATAACAGCAGGCCCAAGAGGGTCCTCCAGAGGAATGACTCTAACCATGGAAGTTACCAGCGCCAACCATCCTTCCTCTTTGTCAGCTATCACGTGAAGTTTGACCATGGAGGCTGGTGGTTCTTGCTCACTGTGATACCATAATATATTAATTAAAAATATTGCTAGTTGTGCTTTAACAGGAAATATTAAAAATGAGATATTTTCCTACTTGAAATGATAAATGACAATGAATATTGAATTTATAATTTTAAAACCATTAATTTCTCCATAAAAAAACCATTGAAAAGCATTTTACATACTTTTCAACCAGTGTTCGAATAACGGAGAGCGTTTCAAGGACTAGATCATCGATGACGATTGGACAAGATGTACTGGCTGTTTGCACTGTTCGAGCAGAAAGGGATGGCCCTGATACGGACAGCGCAGGACGACCATCATATTCCTGCTGCAAAGCATCTTGCCGCTCTGCCAAGCTTCGCTGCCGCTTCTTCTCCTTACACAAACACGAGCCCATCGGCAACTACCTGTCCATCACAGATTCTGCAAAAAAGGGAACAAAATTAATTATTGGTCTTTGTTGAAAAACTTCTTACGTCAGTCAACTATTCGTACATACATACCTCTTCTGAGTTGAGACTAGACGTTCAAGGTAGGAATCAAGCCACGTTTTTCAGAGTCTGGACGTGCATAGTAGATTTGTGTAATGCTAGGAACCTGCACAGAGATTTGCTCCTTTTGGGCCAGCAAATTGGAATGTACTGTCTCAACTTTTGAAAAAATTAGATGTCAGTAAAATTATTGCCACTATGATCGTAAGTAACCTTGATAAACACAATCCCGGACTGTAACAAGCAAGACTGTAAACAAGATATGTACAGATAATCTATAAGCAGAGTGTAATAATAATTTAAAGTTTACTTGTCTTATACTTATTCTTGATAGTAAACAATCAGATGATTCAGCTCTCCTCTCCCCTCTTCTGTCTTTTGTGCACCTTGGGTATATGGGTGCGTTTGAAAAACGTTCGTAGACATGTAAGTTTAGTGTAGTTTACCAAGGAGCAGTTTACTGTCCAAAAAAACGACGTGTGACGTCTATTGTCAACTCAGATCTCAGATATTCACGATTTTCGATTGTATGTCAAAATGAAATCGCGACAGCAACGTGAATTGCATTTCATGATGGGTATGGTTGCAATGATTTTTATCTTCGTCGTCGAAGGGTTAAACGGGTTAAACTAAACTTTTTGAAGAATTGCTTCATTTGCTTCTCAAAGGAAAACAAAACACAAAACCAATCACAAAACAAACGCACTTCTTGAACGCACCCACTCCCATCCCCACTGCCTTCCTGTCCATCCCACTGCCATTGTCACCAACACAATATAATATAATGTAACATGGCGTTTTTTATATATTTATAATATAACAATTACATATTTAACTATAATTTTTTTAATTCAAAATAATATCAATATTATTTTGTCAAGTTAAAAAAGTTCCACGTACATAATATAAAAGATATGTTATTTTATTGTAAATACTGTAATGTTGGTATCTTGACCTTGTCGACGGTCTGCAGTCTGCATTTTTTGCAACATGGGAAATTTGAGAAACATCTTTATGGTTACAGTGGGTAGGAGTAACTTTTATCTTTAAAAATACCGGAAGTGACGGCTGGAAACAACAAAGATATTACGTTTTTTGCTATGACAACACAATAGCTACTTATTGTTGTAATTATTAGACGTCACTTCCGTATTGAAATATTGTTTTATCCTCCTTGTAAATATCTTCAAACCCAAGAAGGCAGATTCAACCATCGGCTGCAAAATCGGCTGTTTTCTTCACCGCACCAAATTCGGTGTGGATAATTGCTAAGGTTATGCGTTATGCACCCTAGCACGGACTCGAGACGTCGACCAAATCACTTATCTTAGTGCATAAATAAGTTCAGCTCTTGTAGACTTTAAACTTCAGAAAGGTGAATTTACAATTTACTGCGTTCGTCTTAATTTTTGGCCCTACCCATGTTTATGTTTATGAGAAGACCAGTGAAAAGCAGGAACAGGGCCAAAATTTTGATTCTGTTGTATTTTAGCTTTGTTTTTCTGTTTACATTCATTTGTCTCTTTACGGCTTCCAGTTCCCGACTTGTAATGTCAATTGTCTCTTAAAGAAAATCGTTTCTTTTTTTTTTATCACCGCAATCTGCAAACAAGCACACTGCGCGTCGGACCAAAGTGTCGAGAAGGACACAGCCTATACCGTAAAGGCTAACCACAAATTTAATGTTTTATTTGCAGGTTGCAGTCGCAGGCCATGTTGATTAAAGCCGACCAGGAATTGACGCCAGTCAAGTTGATGAACTCGATTGCATTCAGTGCTACAAACGGACGTTTGACAACACCTGACGCGAAAAACTTTTTCTAGTGATTTTCTTGCGGAGATATAAAATTAAATAGGAAAAGTGTCAGCACATAATATTCACAGACAGAGACACCATGGACGTTGCCCAAGCTTCAGCGTTATTTAAGCGACTTGAGTCGCACGAGCCTCTTGTCGTTGATGAAGCCAAGCAGACGTTTCATATGTTCTTTAATAAAAGTAAGAAAAATTTATTTCCCCTGAGTTGGAATTTATTTATATGTTGGTTAATTTTTTTAGCTAAAGACAGTTGGCTAGTGAATGGAATGTTCGACTACTATTTAAACACAAATTCCAACCGTGTAATAGATGTGCTAGTTGGCGTCCGAGAGCCTCACGACATGTATTTATTCGAAAGGTCTTAATTTTTATTTTAACTGTCACATATCAAAGTACTTATTTTTTCAGACTTGCTGATTCATTGAAAGGGCCAAATAAACTGCAAGGAGTTACTCTTCTTGGATATATTGTTAGGAAGCAACCATTTTGGCTGTACAGAATTGCCCAACACCCCCTACTGAAGGAATTGCTGAAGTTGCTTAAGGTAGTTTGTAAAATAAAAACTGGAGCCATATATTGATATCTATTCTAGATTGAGACAGAGATTGTGCTAATGATGAGTGCTTTGCTGGTTTTGATTATTCTGCTGCCAATAATTCCTGGCTACGTCAAACCTGTTCTGCCAGACATTTTTGAAATTCTGAGCCGACTAGCTTCCTGGAAGTCAAACCAAGCAAAGTTGTCTGACGAGCACTTGAACCACCTACAAATTGGCCTCTACTTCCTGTTCCAACGACTCTACGGAATGTTCCCGTGCAGCACTTTTCATTTCCTCAAAGTTCACTACTGCAAGAAAGAAAACTTGGGGATCTTCAAACACACTATCAAGGTAACTATTAATTAAACCACAGGGTTCGAAACTCCAAATAAGTAAAATAATTAATTTTGGAAGGCCGTTTTTGGTTGGCTAAATCTTTAAACCAAATATCAAATATTATTATCATTTCTCATCCCTGTATATGATTTCAGCCTATGCTTGAGACAGTTCGATTCCACACATTATTGGTTACAGCAAATCCCGAATCGGAAACCATGCAAGAAAGGTGATATTTGTGATGTTGCGACAGCCTGTTACTTAATAAGATTTCCATAGGTGGATGAACAAAGGCCACCATGATGTTATCATGGAGTGCGCCGAATTTGCACTGGAGCGATTACACGCACCTTTGAACAGAGAGACAGATGGAGCAACACAAGTCTTGGCTCGACAGCATGAACAACCACACAAAATTTTGGAGGAGCACCTCATTAGCTCTTTTGCAAGTCCAGTCAGTGCTTTGAGTCAGCAGTCAGAACTATGGTCTCCAAGTTTGTCTTGTGGATTTGAGACACCACCAGCTAGCAAAATTTCCCAACCTCACACTCCTATTAATCATAATATGGTTGGTAATGAACTTGACTTAAAATTTTTCACATAAAAAATTATTCGTGCAGTCGTACAATATTGGCTATGGTCAAGATGGTTCCTCTCCTCCTGAGGCTGGGGTTGAAGCAACCCCAGAAAACACTCCAGTCAAGGTAATTTATTGCAATTCATATTATTTGCTATATGTTATTTTTTAATCATTTTAAATGTGTTTAGGATATGATCCCTTTGCCTAAAAAAATGACCAGTTCTGGGTCAACGGCTGTTCGGGCCATCAATCTGTTAGCAAACAAACCAAATTTGTCTCACAGCACAAGTCCCAATCAATCAATACCAGTCTCGCCATTAAGAAAAGAACCAAGCCCCTTTCAGTAAGCTTTTGCTGTTATTATCAATAGCACACTGATTGTATCCACTTAAAGTTTTGCAGTGGAAGAGAAAGTGACCAGCACTGTATTTCAAAAGGTTTTATCTGAACGACAAAACTCGAGCGAAGGACCTAAGAAGAATGGCGTTGCTAGTTTGGAGGATCACCTAGCATTGTCTAGAACAGCTCCTGTAGTGGTAATACACATTTTTTGAGTGGCCCTAAGTTTATGCCATGCTTAGGTTGAACTGTTGAGCCATGAACATAACAACGCAAAAGACTTTAATGAGTCTGGCGAGTATGAAGAGTGCCAGTACACTCAGGGTTCACCGTGTACGTCTGAGGGGCTCCATATGCCCAACAGTCAGTCTTTGATTAATTTTACAAGGAAGGTACGGTCGCAAGCGCGAATGAGGTACAGCAGTTTGTGCTCCCCGTTCCCAGTTCTTAGCGCTGGCACGAGTCCTAGCGAGGGACCTTTATTTCCTCTGCCTTCCAAGATGCGCCGCATTAGTTCTTGCCCAAATATGAAGAGACTTGACGAGAAAGATGAGCACAATAACTACGAGAGTGACAATAAAGTGAGTTTACGGTATAAAATAAGCAGCATTTCCATGATTTCCATGATTTTGAATATTGAAAATCAGGAACAGAAAACAAGAAATTTAAATTTAAAGGAATTATAGGAATTATTACAATTAATAATTTAGATTTCTTTTAAGTTAATACTTTAAATTTCAAGATTTTTCAACATCGATGAAATTTTTGCTGAAGAAGAAAAATTTAATGACCATTTGTTCTAACTGTAAATTTGGCATTGCAGGTTGTAGCTGTGAATGGGAAAATAGGGGGCTTGCTTCCTGTTAAGGAGTGTCTCTCATTAGGGACCCAGACGTCTCTTGATCAGTGGCCTAACCAACCCTACGAGCATTTAATACCAGTTATCCACCCAATCAATAACCAAGATGTAAGCTTTAAAAGCCAAGGCATTTGTCCTTACGAGCTCCTAGAAGAAAGCATCTCAATTGCAATTACTGACCATTCAATGTTGCAACAGAAGTATGAAAACAGAAAGGAATTGACAGGTGAATTAATTAGCAATATCACTCTTTTGAAAATTACTTAAAAATGAAATAACAGAATCTGAGATGAGTGAGGTTAAGTCACTTCGCTTGCAATTAAAGTTGACGTTCCTGCAACTACAGTTTGAGAGATACAGGAGAGAAGTACATGCTGAGAGGAATAGAAGGTTGGCTGGAAAATCGCGGTCAAGCAGAGCTCTAGAAGAGCACAATGTTGCCCTGGTACATTAAGAATTACATTTTCTCACACATGATAAAATTTAACTTTTTGTATTTTAGAAAGAGCAAATTAATTTGCTTCAAAAAGACATTGATAGACTTCAGACGGAGCTTGACGCAAAACGCAAAAAAATAGAACAAATGAACGAGGAGCATGCTGATAATACCAACTTCTGGCAAACCAAATTTTCTTCATTAGACAAAGAAAACCAGGCGCTCCAGCTTGCCAGCAAAAGTCTTCAGCATCAGCTGACTCAGCAGAACATGCACATTGACGAGATCAAAAAGGTATGGGTTCTCGAATATTTTCATTTTGCAAGTAATTGTTTTTTTGGTTTGCGCTATAGTGGGCACTAATTTTATGAATTTTTTCCTCCATTCTGTTACTATTCCAATGTTTTCTTGATTAGTGTTAACATATTTTTTTCTTTCCAGAGTGTCGAAAAAGCTCATGCAACTATATTCGACTTGAACAGTGAACTGAAAAATCTACAAGAAAGTGCCAGTACCAGTGAGAGATTATTAAGCCAGCTTAGCCAGTTGCAGAGACAGACGGTGCTGATGGGAGAGACCTTCATGCGCCACAAAAAGCAGCTGGAAAAATTTCCAATTATCGTTCAAAGAGAGGAAGAGGCTGTCAGACTGGATGAATCATGCAAGAAGGAAATCTCTAGTATGAAAATTTTTAAATAAGAGGAGTGAGCCTCACAGTTATATTTACAGGTGCTAAATTAATGCTGGAAGCACGGAGTTCCAACCTAGAAGCGCTGAAAGCCAGAGTTTTGGATTTGGAAACAGCAAATGGCCGAAAAGAAAATCATATATCCGAGCAAAAGAGACTTCTGAAAGCCACTAAAGAGGAAGCTGCTTCAAACCAAGAGGTTCGCTATCACCATTTTTTTTTTAAATGCTTATGGCTCAAATAATTTTAGGCTGTTGAAAATAAGTATCACTTGCTGCGAAGCTTAAACCAAAAATTTGAAGAGGAAATCCTAGCACTGGCAGAAAAGGTGGAGAATTATGAAATTCAGTTGGAGGAGTCGAGAGCCAAGCTCTTAAAAGAGAAGTCTGGAAAGTCAAGTGCCCCAAGTCCTCTAGTTGAAACCCGTACCATAAGTTCGTCTTTGGCCTCCTCTTCAGTTACCACGACAACCGTTGACATCTTAGACTTGCATTCACTGGTGGACTCAAGACCTGGCCACCCCACTCCCTCCCCAGCATCTCCTCTTCTGCGCGCAACAAGACAAGGTGATTTTTGTTTTTGAATTACATCACAAAGTAACTGTTCCTTGTTCCTTATTTATATTTAATTTTTTTAAACATATCTAGCTAAAAATCTCATCTTGAATTCCAGATCTGGCAGCAACCAATTCTACAGCCAGCCAAAGGAACTAATATTGCAGCTACTTTAGTGAATGATATTCCTGTAAAAAAATCACACACCATATTATATATTGTGCACTTTTAAGTTGTCACTGTCATTTCCGTTTTTACAAAAATGATCTTGCGACTGCATATGAATAGTTTCTTTTACAGAACAGAGCAGCCTTGCTTTTAAAATTTGGAGTGATTTCTGTAGATTTAGACACAACAAAAAAAAGCGAATTAAAAATTATAGAAAAAAGTGAAAATAATGATGAAAAAGTTTCAAAATGCGCAAAATAAATAATAAAATGAAAGATATAATGAACAACCGAGCACCTGCAACTATTATCAATAAAACATATTGTGGCATGAACACCTAACACCTGAATGATGAAAAACAAAACAAAAAACTTGTAGGATTAATTTTACTTGGCAAAAGGAAAAAGAACCGTGGACTGCAGTGATAGGTCAAGAAAAAGCTTTAAAAATTATGCATTTTAAGTTTTGGCTGCTGTTGCCGTCAGCGCCTCCTATGCGTGAACGCAGGGAGGGGAGAGCAAATTTCATTAAATTAGCAGTATTTTTGCATCTTAGGTTTCCCCCACACTCAGGCACACACAATATGCAAAAGTGAATGAACGGTTGTGTGGGCGTGGCATCGTGAGTCACACCAGAGACAAGAGAAAAATCATCTCCTTGGTCCTTGGTCACAAAACAACTTGATGGGGGATGGACCATGGACGGACATGGATCTATTTTGAAAGAGCTTTTATAATTTAAAATGATACGCAGTTCAATTGTCGCAAGCACAAACTTCAGACAGTGGTAAGGAGATCAACAAACTGCGAAGCAATTCTTTGTTTTGGATATTGTGTTGGCCGGTCACGCACGCAGGATCACCTTTTGGTGGTTTTTAATTAAGGAGAAGAAGACTTCGCAAAATCATGATGAATGTATGGGTATAATATGATAATATTTATTTATATTTGTTCTGATAAGACGTCATAAACAGGGATCATTGACGTCTTTGTGATGATTATTGTCAGTGGTCATTATTAAAAAAATTGATGCTGCCTTGAACAGCAGAAAGTTCTCATAAAATTCCAATGGCTGGAATAAGCTGGTATGAATACAAAACATGAACATAAATTTTAAACAATCATAAGGATTAAATTAAAAATATTTTTTCAGGTACTCCTGTGAGTACACTCGATCAAGTCCTGTCCCATTGTGCAGCCTAGCAAATCTGCAGCTTAGGTTTTTGTGCCCTGCTGATTTAGAGGAGGTATGTATTTACCACAGACTAACTGTTAGTCTGTGGTATTTACTAAATTACTTGATTTTGTTGTGCGTGTCTTAAACACAAGTCAAAGACAACCCTTTTATTATAGCTCATCACTAAAATCAACTAAAATATTTATGGAAACACTCACAAATCCACCTAACCTATGTATTTAAAGTTTTTATTATTTAAGAAAACAATTAAGGTTAATTAAATTTTTTACAATTCAATTTTTTTTAATTATTGACAGCTGTTGGATTTGATAAAAAATTATGAATGTAGGTTGGGTAAGCTGACTATTTTTTTTAAAGGCGCACTTCTTTTATATTTTGTTTTACGTTTAAATTTTGACTGAAATTTAATATTTTCCTTTAAAACATTACAAATGATTGAGGCTTGAATTTTATCTGGATTAATAGATTTTATTTTATTATTTAAGGTTCGTCATTTATGCCAGGACTGGTTTCCAATTGAATACCCAGACTCTTGGTATCATGATATCACATCTGATCCACGATTTTACTCTTTGGCTGCGATCTATGGTGGGATAATTATTGGACTAATTGTAGCAGAAATAAAGTCATACAGCAAGTTAAGCAATGAGGTAATTGCATTAATTTTGTTAATAAATTTAATTTAAAATAACTTAATTTTTTCTGAAGGACGGAACCATTTTATCAGTATCTCCCCATGAAAGGGTGGAAGTAGGCTACATTCTAAGTTTAGGTGTAAGCAAAGTGTATCGAAGAAATGGGATTGCATCGCTGTTGCTAGAAAATCTCATCTTCTATTTGACTACAAGTGAAAACATTCAATGCAAAGCTTTGTTCTTGCATGTTTTAACCACTAACACGGCTGCGATTCATTTTTACGAGCAACGACGATTCAAGTAAGAAATAATTTTTTATAACTTCTTATACTGAAAATTTAAAAAAAAACTTCTAATTTTCAGACTTCATTCATTCCTGCCTTACTACTACTCAATACAAGGCAAAAGCAAAGACGGTTTCATGTACGTTCTCTATATAAATGGAGGTCATCCACCATGGAATTTAGTGTATCCTTTTCTTTCACAAATAATATTAATGTGAGCATAAAAATAATTGGTATTTTATGTGGCGGCACTTATTTATGTGGGGACCCATTATTTTATACTTTTGGACATATTTATAATATAATTAATATATATATCATTTCACGCCCCGTTGAGCCCCTGAACTGCCCTGAGCACCCTCAGCTCCTGATGCTCCCGCTGTTTACAAATTATTTTATCCTTTTGACTGTAGAATTTGCTGTGCCAATAAGTCAAATAATTGGAGTTAATTACGGGCAACATAAAATTTATCAATGTTAATATCTGCCAATAATTTCCTTGACAAAATACACAGGGATTACGTCAAACATTATTGTGAAGTTCTGGTTCAAGCAGACCCTTGTTCGGTGCCAATGTGGATTTGGGGTCAAATGCAAGCACTAACCGATTGGATATGGCCCAGGGTCGGCCGAGCAGCACACAGTACCTCAACCTTATTCTGGTAGACTGACTGTACACATTATTGAGATATATGATCAAGTTTTATTCATGTTTCCTATTTGTGTTGTTTCTTAAGTAATACAATTATGTTTCTTGAAACAACGCTAGTTCCATGCATTTCATTGTGCCCCATTATAAATTATAGTTCAAAAATATATTCAACGTATTTACATGAGTATTATTAAAATATATCAGCTTTTTTTCTTCATTCCAACACATGCTTAGCAATGGAGGGGGTCGACCAATTGGGATGGAAATCGGTAAGTTGCTATTTTAGGGCGTAATCTGGAAGGATATTTAGATATTCTCAAAATTGCTTAGCATAGGAGCTAAAAAAACTCATCTTACCATCAACGCCAACGAGTGATATAGTGGCAGGACTGGCAGGAAGTTGCAGAGATTGCAATGATTAAGAATACTTGTTGGGTGTGACTTTGGAATCTGACGTTATGTGCTTGCGAGTTGGTGAGAAACGGTTGTGCCGCACGATTTTGTTATTGCATTAGAAAACCCATATAAACATTAGTTTATTGATTGAGCTTTTTTAAATGTAAAAAATAATGAATTTAGATCATTAAAAATATAATGTTCAAATCACGTAGCATACTTTACTATGTTTGCAGGCATAGCCTGAGCCCAGGGAGTTTTAATCACAAATGCCGTAAGCGTACAGGCAGCCGTCATGCAAATTTTGGCACAGGCCAATGACGGCGCTTCTACAATAGAGTGGGAAACTAGTTTCTTAGCTTCTCTCCTAAAATAAAGGCTGCAATAATCAAATCAGCACTTTATTGACTCAAGGCATGTCCTTATATACATTTTTTCGTAAGACAAATTTTCTAAATAGTGAGTGATTTCAAATGATCAATTTTACCGTCCAATTAATTTTCTAAATGTTTTGACAAAAAAATGAGGCAGAGCTTTTTGGATCATTAACTATATGTGGCACATAAAAGCTAAAATTGTAGCAAAATGAAATTCTACACATTTAAGATATACATGCTCTGCATTCTATTGATTTTCCTGTGCAAGCTGCTGTAGGAGCAAAAGACGCTTTTTTTCTAATTCTTCCTCACTGAGATCACCATCAGTGTTTACACTGCCAGCAGATATGCTGTTTGGTGAGTCTGGTTGCTCCAAACTTGCTTCCGATGCATCTGATGAGTGCTGAAATTCAACATTGTGATTCTCAATAGAGCCTAGTTAGAGTTATATAAATCAAACTCACCGAGTCGCTTCTAACGCCTTTCTTTTTCTTCTTGTGCTTTTTCATTTTGATGGCAGACTGCTCGCTCTCAGATGTAGAGTCTTCCTTTTTCTTTCTGCGAGATGATTCATCTTCCGACTCGGAACGCTGGGATAGATGAAAAATTGTAAGAGTACTTATTTAATGCCACAAAATATAATTACAGAGTGCGATCGAGATCGTCTCCTTTGCTTTTTATTTTTCTTTGACTTCTTAGTGCGGGAGTGGTGATGAGAACACATTTCTTCAGTTTCCTGTTGGTATTCCTATAAAAATAATTGTTATGCATTTCCATTTTTTTCATGACGCTGTCAAATTTTACCTTAAATATTCTGATCCTTTCCGATTCTAGGGTGACCGAGTCAAACATTGGATCGTTTTCAATTAAAGGTCGTATTTCATCCCAGGAAGTGTCAATGTTGACGGTCTTTTCTCTTAGAAGAGTTTTAAATGCAATTTCAATCTTTCTTGATTTCCTGTTTTCTTCCTTCTGCCGCTCTTTCTCACGAGCTTCAGCCTAAAAAAAAGATACGGTCTTGAAAATCATCTTGAATTATAAAAACTCTTAATAATAACCTTCTCAAGCAATGCATTATAGGTTAACTTCACATTTCCAGCATCAAGGGTAGCTGACCGCCCATCTTCACAAACAACGATAGCAAATTCCTCAAAAGTAGTGCCCACCTTGTGATAAGACAAATACTTAGTAATTAATGAAACTGAAACTTAAGACAATAATACCTGGACTTCAAAGTTCTTTGCTTTGAGAATTTCCTTGATGATTTTCTTTTCATCGTGGAAACGTGACTTCAGTTCCTCAACAAAGAATTTAAAGAGATCCAGAGGCGTGGAACCCGATTGTCCCAGCATAGCTGAGAATCGTATATCTGAAGAAATTATAGGGTACAGCTCCACCCACAGCGACATTGAGGTTAATTTTCCTTGTTCATGGAGTTCATCAAGCAAATTCTAATTAGCACAGGAATTAAAACGTAGCTCAAAATGAAATAAGCTTTTTTAACTTACACCAAATCTTTCTCTGTTTTTTCTTTGTTGTCTCTTAGTTCTTTTCTTTTCCCGTTCCTTTTCTTCTTCTTCCTCTTTTTCAAGCTCTCTTATATGATCCTCGAACACAATTAGTGCGTCTTCTTTGTCCATTGCTGATAAACAGTCGATTGTTTACATGGCTCTCAATATCAGGCACAATATTACCAAGCAAATTTGCATTTTCTGCAAAATGGTGGTTGTCAAGCAACATCTGCTGAGCTTCTTGCCATGTAGTACGATATGTTATATTAGGCATGGCATCTAATACATTTGCAAGTCCTCTCATGTTCTCCTTTTTTAAAACCTTGGCTTCTTCCTTTTCTCTCTTTATCAAATTAAAGACAACATCCTCGTGAATATCACGCCGGTCAGATTCATTTACGACTTTCCAAAACTGAAAGAAATTTGTAAGTTTATTTTATTATGTCATGTTATAAAATTTACCTCCATATGTCCGAACAATTCTTCGCATTTATAATACTTTGTCGTCGAAGACATTCTCTCATTACTCAAAAGGAACTGTTCCAAATCTTCTTTTGCCTTTTTTATTCGTAGGCGTTGCTCCTCCCTTTCCTCTTTTACTCTTTGTGTTTTATATCCATTGAAGGCCTGTTTCTTTTCATTAAACTTGGTGAACGCCAAATACTTTGGATCATTTTGGATTATCCGCAAGCACTGGTCCCAGGAGCTATTGCTGGGCACTTCCTGAAAGCAATTAATAATTACAAAAATAGGACAAATTTTCAACTATTGAAGAGGAATTCTTACTTTCTCTTTTAAGAATTCCTTAAACGCTTCCATAGCTTCCTTCTTATCTCGGAAAATTTTGTTTGGCTCGGGAGTGCCTGTTCGACTGCTAGGTAATGAAGTGTGAGAGTTGCTGTCTTCATCTGAAAAGAACAACATATTTAGAAAAATTTATTTGAATAATTAATTAACAAACCATTTTTCGTTGTTGGCGTTGGAACTTCAATGGCCGCTAGCGTTGCAGCCATGGCTTGATCTAATGCAGAGCCTTTGGGTTTTTCTTGCACTTTAATTGCTGGGGCCACTGCTTGTTTCACCACAGCAGGAGTAGTTGGGGCAACAGCAGGTGTTCTGGCAATTAATTTATTATTTAAATTACACATGCAAATCAATAAGGGAAAGAAATTTACATTGCTTGTTCTTCTTCGACTGTAACTTTCCTCTTGAGTTCTTCAAGTTCCGGTGGTATGGTCCACCTGGTTTCTTTAGTGTTCACATTGTGGTAGTATGTTTTCCCTGTCTCTGTTTTGTATTCTTTCCATGGGCTTTGGGACAGCAGAAGCTGGGTGAATTAAAATACATTTTGCTTTTACTAGGCAACATTATAAATACACATTTTCTACCTCTCCAGCTGTTTTTAGGTCGTCGGGCTTTTCCCAGCTACTTTGTTTAGTCTTGTTGTTGTAATAGTATGTGCGGCCATCAGGAGCTTTATGTTCGGTCCAAACTGCATTATTTTTTGCTTTGGACATGCTGGAACCAGAGTTTGTTTTTGAGAATGTCTTATATTTATATAAACATTTTTACTTAGCCTTTTCAGCATTACTGGCTGCCAAATCAGAAAGTTTTGGTTTCGCACTAATCGTGGCACTTTCCTTTGGCTTTTCTGGAAATCCAAGAGGAAAAAACAATTTTTATAAATCAACTTTTTGTCGTTCAGTTCAAAAACAAGTCTGAAAATAAATTAAATTGTAATTATTGCTCTGAACTGAAATAATGTGTGTAGCGCAGTGGCTTAAGATTAGCCAATAAAGAGAAATAATAATAATAATTGGGCAAGAAATCCCAGACAGATAAATTAAACAACGCACTAAAACTCAAAATTGACAGAAAGTGTTTACAAATTTAACCCCAATTGCTTAAGTATACATACATATATAGCAAAAAATAGGGAGGAAGTTAAATTAATTAAAAACATTAAAATATTCTTTACAGGTAATTTTAGTGACAAAAAATCAATATTATAAGGATATAAAAATGGTAAAAAATCACCTGAAAAAACAGTCCTCGAAACAGACGAGCCGATGCTTAACGACACAGTTGCCGCGGCAAAACCTCTTTGGTTGTCAGACATCACGAAACAGATTGACCGCAAAAGAAGAGTTCTCAGTCTTGGCAATCGCCATTGACGGAAAAGTCTGCCAGTTTGTAGCAGTATTCACAGGAAAAGAGTTAAAAGACACTTTTTTTGAAAAAAGTGCTCCACGCTCCTGTCCTGGAAGCTGCCGGCTGCGCTGTTTTCTTTTTCCACCTGACTTGCACGCCCTCAGCCCTCACGTCCCAGAACGTCTGAACTAACTCTGAGCATGCGCGTTGCTTCTTGAGCGCAGACGCACGGGAAAGTGAGCCTTACAAAAGGGAGCCCAAAAATTGTTTTCCGAACCAACAAAAGGGCAGAACCGCAGCACCGTCTAGTGACATTGCCTGAAGCTCCAATCCTCTCCGTTTTGTTTTGATTGCTTGATTTGCTCGTCAGCCAAAGGCAACGCCAAAGGGTTTGCCCTACGCTGCCCTACGCCCTTTTCTCGTCTCTAGTCCAAATTCCCATTTTCAATTCAAAAATGGCAGAGCACGCGTTTGACGCTGCAGCTAGCGCTTCGGCTTCTTCAAATCTGCCGCCTGGTTGGGACTGTAAATTCGATGCACGGACTGGAAGATTGTGAGTTAACTTGGTTCAAATTTGATTTTTGTTTATGTTTACAATAAAAAACTTCCTCTCTACCTTATATCGGATGCCCCTTTTGTCACGTATGCACGTATGAAACATTTGTAAAAATATTATATTTTTAATTATTTTGTAGTTTTTGTATTATGCATTGTCCATTCGAATTTTTCGAATGGAAATCTGATTTTTCAGATTGCATTTAATTGTTTTTATTTCTCGTTGAGTATATCACTGAGAAATAAATTTTTCATTACATGATAACTAATTGTGTGGCGTACTCGCAGCTCAGCAAATTTAATAATAAGTATTCTTTCAATTGCAATTAGGTTCATTAATTGAGTGGAATATACTTTTTTGCGGTTTATATATTAACTTTTTAACCGGGAGTTGGCGGCTGATTGAGAAGAGCAACTAACTCTCACACTATAGCCAAGTTTTATTAGCTGCTGAACCCATATAGGGTCCCAAATGATAATAATTTAAATTAAGTTAGACAGCATTAAATCCTCGGCACTTTTTTTTAGACTCTTTATTCCTCTTATTCAGTTTAGGTCATCAATTTATAACTAATTTAACAAACTTAACGCAGTTAATTTTTATTAATCGGGCTGTTTTTTTTTTTTTTTTTAAAACAAACTTCCTGCTTACATAAGAGCACACTTAACCGAAAGGGAGGCACCGTTAGTCGTTGTAACTACGCACTAAATTTTTGACAAGTTACGCCTTTCACCAAGGTGATACTGTGCCGCCGAGCAGTCTTTCGATGCGGGTTGCATACGTCAATGATTTTCTTTGAAACGCTAATGAGCTTACCCATGTAAAGCCATGTCACGCGTACAAGGAAAGTGGGAAGTGGGAACTTGAAAGAAGCGAGAAATATGTGTTATATTTTACAGCGGCAAAGTTGTCCCAATTCCAGAAATAACTGCAAAAATTTAATGTGAACCGGTGTGTTAAATAAAGTACACAACTTTTGGAAAATTCCATTAATTGTGAGGAAATGGAAAGTTATTATCACTATTTTTTGGTTTGTCCACATTTTTACAATACAATCATATATTTTTTTTACACAATATTAATTTTGTTTCCAAAGCGAGAAAAAAAGTATTGAATTTTTATGTATCCATCGCTTGTGGCAATTCTTCATTTAAATTTAATGTGCAATTTTTCTTCTCAATGCAAATAGCGCGTAGTCTCTAAATAACGTTAGAAAGGAGGCCTCGCGTGAGGTGTATCACGTGAATTATTTAACAGCGGCTTGTAACGCGTCGGAGTAAATTTTGTAAAATAAAATAGGCAGTGTCCTTTATCTGTTTTCTCTTGACTCAATTTCAAAATGGTAAATAGTGCAAAAGACATTGTTAATTATAATGTCTGCGAAATCGACAATAAAATTAATTAAAAATCTAAGATGATCCATAATAAAAATAATAATTAATTTTGTCTTTGCTTCAGCTATTACTTGAACTATTTCACAAAGACAACAACATGGGAAGACCCTCGTTTACGCTACCGTCCTGCAGCGCCAACACATCAGCACGTCTTTTCGCCAAGCAGCGTCCATAGTTCTGTTGCAGGGGAGGCTATCCCTTTACAGGTAAAAAATCATTTACTCGCCCAAATATGAACGTTGTTAAATTGGTGAATTATGTCATTACAGGACCTAACGAACGTACGTCCGAGTCCTATTCCGAGCCGAGCTTACAGCTCTTCTGGTCCGTCATCGGTCATCTGCAACCAGGGATTCTTACATGGAGGTGGATCCCCGAGCCGAATGCCCACTGGGCCTGGCAGTGATTGCAGCTCATCTCAGGAGACCTCCATGAGCATAGAAACGGAGCAGGCAGTTACGAAAATTGGAGCCATGTTCCCCACTGTCGGGGAAACCCACATTCGTACGCTGCTGAAAAAGTGAGGCCCAAAAATTTTGATCTATACAAACGTGCAAATAATTAACCTAAATAACAACTATATTAATTTTAACTACTAACTAACTTTTGCTTTGATTTGCTTTTTACGAATTTTATAAACAACGCTTTATTTACAACATTAACTTTGTGGCAAAGTTGTAAATAGCCAGACGAGATAATGCAACTTGCGGTGTGGCTTTGACTAATATTTGCAGATACCACAATCGAGAAGCGGTGGTAATCAGCGCGTTGCAGGTTGAAAAACACCCACTCACAACCCCAGGACCTTTCTCCACATCGTCCTTGGCCTGCCATAACACAATAGCAACTAATCAATTTGGCATTTACAATGCCTACCAGCAAATGCTGAGCATGTCTCCCACACTGCGTCGCTTCAGCCCTCCGAGAAGCCCCAATGTCAGGGCCGGCTCGGGAGCCAGTAGCGCTTGCAGTTTTAGTCCTCCAAGAACTGAAGAACTTATTAGGGGCTCGCCCCGTCCACACTCGTCGCCCAAGATGAAACTGAGGTCTTCGCACGCATTTTCTTTTTAGCAGATTTAGTACAGCAAGCAAGCTGTTAATTTTGTGTTGTATTGTGTCACTTAATGTACATCCCAAGAAATTAACATTTGATTTAGTATGAAATGGTTAAATATTATATTTACTAAATATATAATTAAGTAATATTAATTCAGCTTGTTATATATTTGTTGTTAGGCAACGATAATGTTGTATTCTACTCTTGCAACAAATCAAGAGTCATTTGCATGCCACGTTTCTGTTAAAACCCTTTTAGTGTTAGTTTGAAATATACATATAGCTAATACATATAGTAATGTAAATAGTTTAGATTGTAATTTAATTATTCCCTAAATTATTTTTCATCCCTTTTGAGAATGTAACAATTATGAGTTATGATGATACTAATGCCTATTTTTACAACACAGGTACATGAAAGGACTCTTTCCCAATGCCGAAGAAACTTTGCTTCTTGACGTTCTCAGCAATGCCGACAACAATGTGCAGAAAGCATCCGAAAAACTTGCGAGCATGGGCTTTGAAAAACGAGACAGCCCACCACCTAGAGTTGTGCAGAAACACAGAGAGGAGGAACAGAAAGCTCAACTCGAGAAGCAAAGCGCCTCGGCCACTCCGACGCCACCACCTCGTCTGAAAAGCAGCGAAGAGAAGCAGAAAAGTAAGACCGAGCACCCAAAACTGTAAGCAATATTTTAATTTTTTTTCTCCATACAGTGAAGAAGCGATTGCAAGAGCTGTACCCAAACATTCCTGAAAGAGTCGTGACAATTGCACTGGATAGCTCGGACTTTGATGAAGAACGAGCGGGCCATATTTTGCAAGTAATGGTCGAGGATGAGACGTCTTCAAAAAATTCAAGTGCTAAATTAAGCTCCCAGAAAGATGGGTGTGTAAATTAGCATTATTAACAGCAAAATTCTAGCTTTACTTAAAATATGTTTTCGTAACAGAAATACAGGCCAATTGCAGCTTCACATAGCAATAGCACTGTAGTCGCTCTTGTGCAGAGCGATTATAGGACTTTGCGGTTGTTGCTGTGGGCAAAATGTTAGCTGTTTAGTTTTATCATTATTTTTTTCTCTGTTCAAAGGGAGCTTCATCACAAGATCAACATCACCACTGAAAAAGATGAAACACCTGTGCTGGTGGAGTCGTCTCCTGCTCGGTCCCGCAAAAATTCTCCAGCAATAAAAACTGAAAAAGAGAAGGCTTCAATTCACAAACGTGCAAAAGGAAAGAAGGAAGTGACAAAGTAATTATAAATAATAAAATAATGCAATTTACCACTTAATTTATTACTTGGTATTTCAAAGAGGGATTTAAGTTTACCATTCTTTTCAGTGTATACTAAAAAGGGCCAAAGATTCTAGTCCATAATTTTTTTTAGTACCCTTCTTAGAATCAAAAATTTTAACGTCTTAATGATACTCCTCCTAAGGCAATAAGCATATTAAGCTTTTTTGGTCAAATCAAGCTTTAAATTTTAACACTGGCCATAAAATTTTATTTTGAAAATAAATATAAAGGGACTCTTGGAAAAACTTCTTAAAAAGCCAATTGTACTCAAATAATTCCTAATTATTCCATTTTGTATTAAAGAGTTTCACGCGGAACTAGTACAGCAGAGGACAAGGAATATCGTTCCTGCTACTTGCAGAAGGCAAATGGGCCAAATATCAACTTGCTTAATGGACCAAATAATAATATTTTACTGTAAGAACCTTGCAATGAAAAAAAAGCCAGGCATCTCATAATTATAAATCACAGGGTGGATTACGTGACTTGGCAAGGACCAAATTCTGAAAGCCGCGCTGGTCCAAGAAAGGCTCTCGCCAACGGCCCCAATGTGAACCTGCGAGAAGGAAAAACCTACACAGCAAGGGGCCCCAACAAGTCATTATGCTCTGGGCCCAAAAAGGGTCTTGCAATGGGGAGCATTTACTCGGGACTGAAATGCTCGGTTGACACAAGAGGAAAGTAACGTATCATAAATAATTGTTTCTCACATGTCCAAAGGATTATCTGTACCTTATTATAAGTTATTACCATTAATTTTTTTGTAAGGCCAGACAAAGAAAACACAGTTTAGTTGGTTTGTGCCAAGGTGCATAGAAAGATTTTTTCCATGCACCTTGGTTTGTGCCCTATAATGATGTGGTGCCAAAGGCACCGCCTAATTTTATTAATTTTGAGACCTATAATAACAAATATCATCCACACATTTCCTTTGTTCAAGCTTATGCCTAGTCATATAGTGTACGACAAAAAAATTACACTGTTAATTAGAAAAGAAAAAATATTTGTGCCATTATTTCCAAGAAAATGTTTCATCCACTTCAAACGTGAATGCAACTTTTAAAATAACAAATGATATTTTTCTGATATATTGTTCCCAAAAAATACTCATGATTGACATTTTCGAATGAGAAATTCCTCCCAATCATTTTACCCCAGTGTTGAAATTTATTGTTGATGCAGATATATTGCATTCAATAAGTTACAAAGAGAGAGAGAGAGAAAAACAACCAAGTTTCAATGAAAGCTTCAAATTTTCAAAATATGTATATCGTCTCTTCAGGATTGTGTTAGGCTATATTTAATAATCACCAATATGCAGAAAAATATAATTTGGGCAAAGTTTCCATCTATGTCAACATTATTTGCTGTTGTTGTCTATTGTTTTATCTGTTTTATTATGATATTTTTATTTAAATATAGTGACTTGTATTTGTTATGCAAAATTATATGTTTATTCGTGATGTTTCCTTTGACGCAATGATCTGAATTTAAATAAAAATCCCTGAAATATGCTTAAAAATAAAATAGCATTAATTAATGGAACATTCACAGTTTCTATTTAAATTTTTGGGAAAAAAATGACTTAACTGCTAGTATGCATCATGCAGAGAGATAATATAACTTTCAACTAAGTTGCAATTTTTCAGTATAATTCTTATTAATTTTATTTATTCGTCACAAATTAGGTAAAAAATAATAGAAAAATAAAATGTGAAGAAAAGGCATCACTGGGCATCACCTTTGGCTTAAGTTGCTGAAACGTGGGGGGGGGGGGGGGGTGCTCAATATTGGTCCGCGCCGAGATGCGCCACAAAGCAAAATTATTTATTTTTGATGTGCTTCTACCAAAAGCTTTTAGTAAAGAATTGACCTAAAAATTTTAGATTTAACGTTATGAATTATAGTATTGAGAATTATTTGAATTTTTAAATCTCAGATACTCTTAAAAAAAAGACCTAAGAAATTTTTTATAACGAGATATTATTGGGGAAAAAAAATTTGTTCTAAGAAACAAAAATTAAATATTGCACCACAAAAAATACTGCTTGCCTATGGATTAGATGGAAATTGTTTTTCCAAGCAGTTTTTCAAAGAGTTGGTTGCGGTCATTCTTTAGGGGTTTTAAAGCGCTGAAGGGATGGCCGACTGAACCAAACACACTTTGTTCAAATGAATAAAATAATAAAAATAATTCAATATGGATGTTTGCGCGCCTACGAAATTTGTTTGCTGAATAGGGTTGGAAAAGATAATAGGTGCATCGGATCAACGAGTCAGGTACGACCAGCAAATTATTGTTCTTGCAAACTGAGTGGAAATGACAGGCGCGCGTACACTTTTATTCAATTCATTCCTTTTAGGCCCCAAGGTCAGCCCCTGGAAAACAATAGGCAAATGTGATCGCGGGTTTCGTGTTTACAGCGAAGGATGGATCCAATTTCCGCTGAACACTCTACTCTGGCTGATTTTGCATTATTTGTCCACTCTATGCCGATTCTATTCTTTCTTCTGCTCATTATTGAAAATAAATGACATTGGGAAAAGTGCAGCAAAAAAGAATATCACAAAAGTTAGCATGATCTTCTCCTGCTCGTTACTTAAATTGTCGCCGATATTAAAAAATATGAACGGAGAAATGGGCCAGTGAGATGATGTTCATGAACAAAAAACGAGTTTCAGCCATCTCAAAACTATGTTTTCGAAATTGTTTAAAAATCCCAAAAATTCCAGCTGTAACAAAAGTCCAGCAAATTTCATACTTTGCATTACCCTGTTCCTAACCTGTTCTTGAATGAACTTGAACTTGTACCAAAAAGCAATTCGTCAAAGAGAACCCAAAATCAATGTGTTCTTAATAATCTCAATTTTGAAAAGTAGAAAAATTTTAAACAAGGTGTAAAATATTTAAGTTAAAATCCTGGATTGATTTTTTTCATATTTTTTTAATTAAATACAAACAACTATTTCTTTTATATACGCCAAAATATAACACACAAAGAAAATTAAAAATGGTTTGAGATGTCTGTTAATTATTATTACGAACCAACCAGACCACATAACACCATTTTTACGCCTCTCACAATGCAATTGTGTCGCTTGCGTTTCGTAGCCCTGCATTCCAATAAAACTGCCAAAATTATTTTAGCCTTTTAGAGTGCGGATTTTTGTTAGCAAAAAGCCAGAGACTAATGATTTACATTCAGGCACCATAAAGGTAGTCATCCTCTTTTTATCACAATTACATATTATACAAGGTCACAATGGCTATGTTTTTTGTCAATGTTGGTCCTCACAGATCAAGGCTCAAGCAGCAGCGCACGAAGCGCCACAGAACGTTGAACGCAACAGAAGTCGGTAAAGTTAGCAGCGCCAAGAGGCACCCGTTGCGTCGGCAAGCCGGAGGGTCCTTTCACGTACACGTGAGCCACCGGCGAGCGAAGGATCTTCTTGCTCTCGCTTTTTGGCTTGGTCCCCCGAGGGTTGGTCAGGGTGAGAGAGCGCAGGGCGTTTTTCAGTGGTGACCAACGCGAGTTAAAATCTTTTTCAACCACATTATTGGCTTTTTCATTCTGAAACAAAATAAAATTTTCAATTAATACACTGTCAATTTTGATATATAATATTTTTAATAGAAAATTATGCAGACCAAAAACGTCAAATTAACAATTTACCAATATTTAAAGATGATCTAATTGATTTTCATCTTGACAAATAAGCCCAACATATAAAAATTATACCTCTTTAAATTTAATTCAAATGTCTGCAAAATTCAGCTATAGTACTTTTTTTTTTAAAAAAATTTGATATGCTCACCTCATCAATTTCGGCGGCAGCAAGTGCTCGAGAGGTGGTTGTGGAATAATCACTAGAGTCACTGGCGGCGTTACGCGCTGTGTTGCGTCGCTTGACGCGTTGACGCCGCTTGAGACGTTCATCCTGATGCTGACGTTGTGTATCCTCGCTACTGTCCGAGTCGTTGGCGCTACTACTTGCTGACCAGCGCTGCATGGTGAGTGATGGCTCTTCCTCACCGGCGCCGTGTTTTATAGCGCCACACGCGCACAAGCCAAACCTGCGCCCTCCACCCCTAAGCCAGCCACCCCTTGTACTAAATTGGCGAACAATAAAATCATATAATCGAGTTTTGCCGACTGAGTGAGAACTCCTACTGGCATAGTCAAATAAACAAAGGAGACATAATATGCTTGCACTTATTGGAAGACAATTGAAATATAGACAACTAGTTTGAAAAGACTTGATTTGACCATGATTAATAAGAAGTCATGAATATTAGAATAAATAAAAAAAAAATATCCAAAACCAACACTTTTAGCTTAATTAATTTAAAATTCCTTGGCTTTTGGCTCTTTCATTTTACTTGGTTTTTTTATTTTATATTATTAATAATTTACGACAGTTTCATAAAATGAATTGTGTGAAAATGATCATTAATGCTTAAAAATATGCGCGCTTTCAACCATTTTTATTTTAAAATATGAGTACATATTTCACAAAAAAGTAAATCGGCAATCAAGAGTGTTAAAATAGAGTAATAGAAGTTAGCCGACCACAATGAAAAAATTGTAAAAATCAAGCAAGCTTGAGAGGTTGCAAAAATTTATTTTAAATAGGTCGAATGAAAGTTATTTTGTGGAAATTTTAGGCTGATAACTTTTTTTTTGTTCTTTGTTAGAAAAAAAATTTAATAATATATCATGAAAATTTTGCGTGACAAACGATTTAGAATTGCAGTGAAAATAAAATTGGTATAATAATGCACCTTTAAATATGTAAATGGATGAAGTACTTGTACATTTCCCATTATATTTTAAGTCCAATATTTCTTGTTTCGGGGTGCGGTTAGGAATTCTTCAAAAAACACAACGAAACCAACGTAAAGAAAAATAACGACTGTTAACAATAACGCTGTTTAATATAATTTTGGTTAAAATTTCAATATTATTAAGGATTCAATATGAATTTCATCTTATGATTAGTTAGGAATGGAGGCGGAGGTAGCCGATGAACTCTACAAATAAATAATATGACGGTGTTAATCAGCCGAACAATAATCACAATTTTTTGTGTATAATATATAATCAAAATCTAATAGTAACCTTTAGTACATAAACAGATTTTTTTCCTTTATGTAAGCAAAGCTTACACAGGTAGCCAGACTGAATTACATCAAGCTTGTGTTCCCACCACGAACGAGTGCGTGCGCCGTCATAATTGATTTTTTTATGTAACCATTAGTATAATTCATCTGGATCACACGACAGACGTAGAGTAATGCGGCCCACGCTAAACTCTTTGGTGCATCCCACACTTAATAACTGTTATAGATTATTTTGTACAAAATTTTTCCTCAATAGTTGATTTTTCTTTATGGCAAAAAGAGCATTAATCTGCTGACGTTGCAAAAAATTTGATCTACAGCGTTAACTATCTTTGATGGATGGGGTTGAGAAGCATCAAATTGGTCTCTAGCGATCATCTTTTAGGTCAATGGACTAGATCAAAAAGGTCAAATTGTTATTAACTAGCCACAAAAATTGGAGAAAACATCAAATTATGAAATACTTGAAAATTCACGTCAATATCTCACGTTAAATCTAAATAAAAAAATTTTGATTGGCTTTTGAAATCAAGGGGGTAAAAAATAATTTTATATAAATAAATATTATTTTTCGTCTGTCAACAATCCTTTTGCTTGCCTAGGAGCGAGAGACATAAACAATTACTTAATTTTTGCCGAGATTTGTTTCAACTATAAGTAATATTTTGGCAATGCTTTACACGGGTTTCAGAGAACACTTTTTGGGTTCAGAACTCGACGTAGGGAAAATGCATTGATTTTTCTTAAATAGTCGGTTTTTAGTCAAATAGTCAATAATAGCCAGTTTAAAAATGCTTAAAAATGAACCAAATAGTTGTGAAAAATGAAAATAAATCATTCTCATCTGTTATAGACTCAAGAAAAAAATTGTCAAAAAAGTTTTTTGCCCATCCCTATAATTATAGCATTTTACAAATCGCATGATAAGTTCCGACATGGCTCTGAAGGTGCACCCGTGTTTTGACTGATGCAAATCCTCTGCTGTAGTGTCAGTTGCCCTTCCCAGCCCCTGGGCAATGGCACGAAAAATCGCACGCAAGGTTGGCATCGCTCGCGTTGATTGACCCAATTCACTGGATTTGCGACATTTGACACTTGACTGGGGTCTCACAATCAAGATTCGATTGACGCATTAGCATTAAAAATCGCACTTTTTTTAAAGCCGAGACAGACAAGAGAGCCACTTTCACTTCTGAGCATTGACACTGACCGCTCTTGACCTCCAGAATACTAAGTAAGTAATTTGAATATTTTAAATTGAACTGCGGCGGCAAAACTATACATGTTCAAAAACTGCTAAAATTTGCATAGCTGTTTGACATTGATATTAAAATGCCGGACTTCATTAAAATTATAAAATTACGGATCTGGTTTTTGAATGTATAAAATAATTTATTAATTGTTGCTTTTTTTCAAATTATAAGCCGAGCAGCTTGGATTTTTATTCAATAAGAAATTATAAATCTGGGTTTACAATGAGTAAAAATTCCCCTATATTATTTTCAACTTATTCTTCGGTCTTTGACCCAGTTAATTGCAGATGCGTGAGTTGTAATCGATTTGATTGTATATAATTCAAAAAAATTCCTAATTTTCTCTCATTTCCATTTTGAAACACAAATTTAATAGTTGGGCCCTTATTAAGGGACTCTGAAAATGGTTATCAGGCGGAAGTTGTGGCACCGCAGGCGAGGTCTGCGCCATCCATCTCCGCAGATGTATCAATACTGCAAGGTCGATCGTGTCGCACTCCAGAGAGACCTTTCACTGATGCTGGTTGCAAGGTCACGGAGGATCTAGGAGCTGCCCGGTCAATCAATCGGCGCTACTCGCAGACTACTCGTGGCTTTAATATAAAATAATTTCAAAGGTAGTTAAATTGCCATTGCCAAGGAAATAACAAGTTCAATCAAGTTCAAAGTTTCTCACTTCAAATTTTTACCGCACTTTGTCTATAAACAATCAATATATAACAATTAAAAATTGATGCAGTTTATTCCAAAGAAACTCTTTCAAAAATTCTCAGTAAAGATTAAAAAATATTAATTTTGGTCTCATTAAGAGCTACTTAAATATTCAATTCTATAATTTTTTATAAATTTTTTTGAAATTGCAAAAACAATTGACATCAATTTATTCTGTTTAATTATTAGCCGCTTTATTCAATGAAGGTTGATTTAAATGTTAGCAAATAATAAACGGTTGCCAATAAACAGCACAGAACTTGATTCAAGTAGATCATGAATTTGTTACAAGTAACGTAGAAAAGTCGATCAATTACAATGCATAAGCCTATAATAGACATGGTGATCAGCTATCACAAATCGCGACGCACACAGGAGTCACTATTTCCGACCTTGTGAGTTTACGTTAACCTCGCTTCTATGGGGATTTCGCTTCAAACTTTATATCTATATAGACACTCGCCACATGCATAATTCCCCAGCTGACCGCTACAATAACAAGGCAATGCTAATTACCATATTTTAATTATTAAAAAAAAATCAAATTCTAATAAAAAGATGGGCTGAAAATAAATTAGGGTATTTATTTGTCTGCGGTTATTTAAACTGGCGCAAAGTGAAACAAAGAGGCAGGTTTAGGTTTCTACCAAAAAATTATTCATAAAAAAGTAATAAACAAAATGATTAAAACGTTGAATTTTGTCTTTAGCAGTAATTAAGAAAAGAACATGCTAAAGCGTCGAGTTTCTTATAATTTAAGGTCATTACCATTTTTATTGCTTCTAATTAATTATGACGCATCCATTGTATTGAAGAAATACAGAAATTCCTGGGAGAGAATGCTTTAAATTTACAACAAACACAAGAAATATTTATGTCGTTGTGTTTGTTTGTTCCAATTTACTATTAACTAGCCGGCGCCTTTTTTCAATACAAATTTTCTGAATCTATTGACCTGCATTGGTCATGAAAAGAGTATCGGGCAATTGTGCAAGCGTTTTTTTTTTTGCCATTTCTGCGATTGAGGTCACACCTTGGCCTAACCTCCGCACGCCGCCAGTCCGCAAGGTAGACAGACTACTCTTAACACAGCATCTCTCGTTCCCTGCGCCGTTTTTGAAACGCGCGCAAACACCGCGTGCGATGTTTGAAAAAATAATGTTGGATTATTAGGGTGTTTTTTGTTTTTGATGACTTGATGAGGTTGTTGCGATTGACAATCCTCATATTATATACCCTTTCACGCCGATCCATATAATTGTATTCCTGTCAGTCTGCAGTCGATTCGATACATATCTTACTAGTTGCACGTACATACAAACACACACTCGTATCCAACTTTTACGTAATGTGTGCAAATGGGTGCCCTGTCGTAATTCGCAGCGTGTGCGGATAAATAAGCGCGAGTGCGCGCGCGAATGCAAGAATGGTCTGATAAATTGTCACACACAAAACTCGCTCCCACATGCCGTATTTGCACGGTCAGATGAGCAAACTAGTTAAATGGGCAAGAGTTCAAATGCACTTGCAACGCGTGTACACCAACGAGGATTTAGTTTGTGTAATTATGACCTACTTTGATGCACTAAAAATACATAAATTTCAACCGAATCACAAATTTTCAGCAGCTATTTCATTGACAGCACTTTTTGTGTCAATTAACGTCAATCGCACAGTTAATAAATAATATTTTAATATGAGACTATGATCATCATACCTCAAGACTACCTGTGATGAATGTGAAAATAGGAAAACTGAATGAACTTCACATAAAGCAGCTTGGTTAAATTCTACAATAATTTACAATTAAAAATTCTAACATGGTATTATTCCCAAATCCATTTAAATTAGATCAGTTTTCAATTTTACTGCTGACATGTAAAATCTTTTTCAACTCTGGAAAAACTATAGTAAAGATTTCTATTTTGCACATGCTCTATTCAGATTCAATTTTAAATTCATTTTATTTCCCTCAATAAGTGAAAACAAATTATTAAGATAGTCTTCAATTTTCAGATGAAATCAAAAAGCTATCCTTGGGATAAATTCAGTTCTAAATATATCACCTAGGTTCACTCAGAAAATGTATTCATGCGCATAAAAATGTTTTTTAATAGTGGAAAATTATGTGTACTCGTTAAACGCTCAGGAAGTCTTGCAATAATAATTTCAGGGAACTGGGCAGTTACATTGAGCTCAACTGCTTAAAAATGTTTTGATTGCCGTCGATCCTTAAGATTACTCTAATTATAATACCCTGCATATATTGAAAAATTAACTTTTGACAGTCCTTGTAAAACGCTTTTCTACGTAAAATCGCCTCAAGCTACGTTCAAATTTCTCGTTACGCTCCAAACGCACTTGCACAGTCAAATCATATACAAAATTGACAAACAGCACGTAATTTGTTGTCAGGGATGGAACGTAAAAAAAACCGGGATAAACTGCTCTCGTTTTTATTTTAATGTCTTCACTTCTAATAAAAGCCTTCAGCTTATAACAAATGGAAACCAAACCCAGAACTCTATTCTTTCATGGAATTGCAATTTATTCACTTTTCTGTCGCAACTCTAGTCCTTCCGTGAGTCAAGGCTGAAATAAATGCAGATTCTGCAAACTCAACCCTCCGTACCATCAAGACTCGAATTTCCAAATCGTTCCTGAAACATTCGGTAATTCATAGAAAATCCAGAGTGCCTCTTGCTTAATTTTTAAGTGTAGAATGAGTTTATTTCTGAAAATCACGCATGGCAGCATCAGTGATAATTTGAATTTTGAAATAATTAAGTTGCCGTAAAGATAATAATATAAATAATATTAATATTGAAACACGATTTAAAGTATGCTTTATTGACACTGCGATTAGAAACAATAATGTAATTTCTTCATTTTCTTTTATAATACTCAAATCGCAATAAAATCGAGAATAATTAAGCATTTTATAAATATATATATATATAAAGTAATTTTATTAATAAACAAATTATTTTTATATCCAGTACGAATTATATCATTATCGGATTCTTGAGACTCGTTTTAAATTACTTAACTTGCGTGATCCGCTCTACTAATGAACTGAATGATTATTCTCCTCAATGCCATTTAATTTTGCAAATTTATTAGCCGCGGGATATTCTCGTACGTCGTAGTACGGCCCTTTTCAATTATTAAAAGAATATAATTATTTTCATTATAGTGGAATCGTAATCGAGGACCTGAAAGTTAAATAACCTTTCCTCATCTTGCCGACTCGCACATAGAGGGGAGGGAGACCTCAAAGACGTCTTGCAGCTCCTTCCCTGAGCTCAGGATGCTGGGTATAAAAGGAATCGGTGGCTTGACAGAGGCACGTTTCTATCCCCAGAATCAACCATGTACAAGCTGGTGAGTGTTAAAACCATTCATTCTCATGCGGTATAACATTAGCTGATGAAAAAATCTTCAATCAAAGTTCTTTGAAAGTTTCAATGAAACTATTCATATTTTTCATTTGCTTCCTTTAAAAATATGTTAAGTAAAAACACAAAACTGCAAAGTTTATATTTTAAGTTGATTTGTTTGCAGTGTTTGAATTATTCTTTTTGGCGTTTTAACAAATCTCTGCATTTAACACATCCTAGGACCCTTTTTCAACTTTCATTTGACTTCAAAGGCAATTTTTTTTTTATTAACAATAGTTTAAATTATATCAAACTTAAAAAACAAAAATTAATTAAATAATGAGACCAACTTTACCATTTTAGTCTTTCCTTTCAAAAAGCTCTGATCGTTAGAAATAAATGTAGTTTTAAATTTATTTGAAAATAAATTAGCCTTATGTATACATACACTACATAATTTATTCGATTTTCATTATATCAATTTATTAAAAAAATTAAATTAAATTAAACTCATCAACCTCTTGCAATAATGACAATGATATATGATGCGACAATTGCAATAATTCGTGAAAAAAACTAAAATGTTATGATCGATTATTTACAGAATTTTAATTTGTATTTGTTTCTAGTTCGTCCTCGCTGCCCTCGTGGCCGTTGCCTCCGCCGGAGTCCTCACCCCCGTGGTGCACTCTGTGCCCGTCGTGCACGCCGCCCCCGTTGTGCACCACACCGTGCCCGTGGTCCACTCCGTCCCCGTCGTCAAGACCGTCGTGCCTGCCGCCGTCAGCCACTCTTCCATCGTGAGGACCCACTCTGCCATTGTCCACCCCGTCCCCGTTGTCAAGGCTGTGGCTCCCGTTGTCGCTGTCCGCCACCACGTGCCCGTGATCCGCACCCACCACGTCCCCCTTGTGCACCACACCCCTGTCGTGCACACCGGTGTCGCTTATGCCGCCCACGCTCCCGTCGTCCGCGTCCTCTAAGAACCCCAATTTCACAAACTCTGAGTGATAATTTATTGAAAGTCAACCAACAACCCCCTGTTTCGTTATTGCAATATCCACCACCATCGTCAGCGTGAATATCATCTGAGCCGCCGACGTTGATATTTCCTTTGTTACACGCATTGGAATGCAACAATCCTCATTCTGTGAATAAAAATGCCAAATTGCCAAAATACTTAAATTTGGATTTTCCTTTATCACGAGCATGAACAAATATATACTGGGGGTTGCATGTTGATTTCCAATCAATTATCATACATCGTTGAAAATTTCGCACAACAAGTTTTCGATTTCACAATTTGATTGCGAAATGAGAATAGTGAAACTAGCCAGATTTACGCTCTCAACGCTTTTTAAACTAGTATTCAATTTAGTTAAGAAAAGTAAATCCAGATAATTTGTGTATTTATTTTTCATTTTGAAAAAGTTCTAACTTTTGAAATTTGGGCATTCAAAGAGACGTTCATTTTCATTGAAGGTTGGCTTTAATTATTTTTAATAATCAAGCGGCTTTAAAAGTTTCAGTCATAGATTAAAACCATTTTCATGAGCAAACTCAATGCTGTAGTAAAATCAAGAAAGGAGAAAAGCGTTTAAAATAAATTATAGAGATATGGAAATTTTGATAACTTTTCATTTACGGCGTTGAGGATAAAATAATTTCAGCTTTGCCATATATTAGTGGCGCTAAGTTTAAATTTAAAATCTTTCTAAACTTGCTAGGACTAGACCAGACTACACTAATATGTTAATGAGAAAAGCATTGCAAAAAGGGAGTTGCATAATTCCAAACACAGGCGCGTGAGCCAGTTTGAGGTGCGAGATCGGAGTAAATTAATAATCGCAGGCACAAGCATATGGAAGCAATAATTTAGAGATGATTGCCGGTTTTCACTTGCAAGCGCGCGACGCAGCCTTGACAACAATAATCAAGCCCCCCTACCATCGCGTTTGTTTCTGCAAATTTTTGCATAACTCTATGTTGTAGACCAGAGGAAGTTCAAGCAGTTTGTGGACAAGCTTTTGATCTTGACTTCATTAAAAATAAATTATTTTCGCACTCTTCATTACAAAATTTTATATTTTATGTAATAATTTTGAGCATCAAATTTTACAATTTAAACAATTTGTTCCCTTTTAGTTTGCCAAAAGAAAATTTTTTATTACTTTTCATTCGTTTTTTATTTTTATTTTTTTAGAAAATAAAATTAATTTAATAAGGTATAAACCGTCTTTGTTCAATAAGAAACTGCTTCTGTGAATTGCATCCAATCAAAGTTTTTTTGAACGAAAAGTAAATCCTCGTTTCTCTACGTTCTACTTTTCAGGGATTTGCGTGTCTGGGTCGGACTTTGGATGTGCGCGCACGTGGGCACTTATGAGGCATATGATAAATAACTATTTCAGTGTAGCCTAAAAATAGTTATTTGCACGAAGCAACACATTTTGCCACAGTTTATGAAATAATCTATTTCCAACATATTTATATGTCAGGATGTTATTTAGATGAGGGTTTTCACAATTAATTAACTGTCTTGAGGCAGAATGATGAAGGGAAAATGTTTATCCAGATTTACAATTTTTGTAAATTATTCATTGTTAGTATGAAAATGGTATGTGAGCCAATATTTTTCTCCAATTACTATTTTTTGAGAAAATAAATTAACGGAATCAAATGCTCTTTAATCTGAAAAGAACATGCCAATTTATTATATTTTTGACTTGAAAATGATCTTATTTTAATTATTGTTTTGTTATTTACAGGTCCAGACCTACAAAGTGAAGGCTCCTAAAGTGCATCTTCTACCCTCCCTGTCCTTCTTCAAGGTTAAAGCACCCAAGGTCAAAACCGTCCACACTGTTCACCAAGTTCCCGTTGTGGTGCATCATGCGGCCCCTGTTCTTCTAGTTCATTAGTGATTTGTAATGAATGAACAATCTCAGTTGATGACTGATTGACCTATAATTTATTATATTTATTTTGACTTGCTCAAAATACTGCACAAATGTAAAAATATTATTGTGTTTAAATTTAATAAATTCATTTTCAATCAAATTGAATGTTAATCAAATCAAAGTTTTACACCTAAAATATTTTTTCAAAGTTTTTTATAAGAAAAAAATTAAAAAATAAATTTATGTGAAATGTACTTCAACATACAGCAGAACGCAGACAAAACTCAGGCAAGACAATTCGGGACTCCACAAGCCAAAATCAACCCTCGGTCCTCTAAACACATTGGCAGAAAGCAATATTTTCCAAGAAAAGCTACCACAAAAAGGCGTATTGGAAGGCCAGCTGCCGTATTTAATAATAACTTCAATGTAAAAATTTAAAATTTATTAAAAAAATGTATTTATTGTTTTTATTTGTTGCAAAGTTGCGCCAGCCACCGCCGGCCAAATTTGTAAAATATCCCCTAAATTCAAAAATTTTAAAATTCATAAAGCAATTCGGCATGCTTCATGAATAATTTTAGTAAATGATATTTTGCTCTCTTTGATTGTGAAAATTGCAGAACACAGTATAACTTTACTGTTGCTTTGAACTTTCCCTTAAGAATAAATTATAATTGGTGCACATGTCTGAATTCAAATTTCGCTTTTTCTCTGTCTTTTTTTAGTAGTTTATTGTTTCGTAGAAAAATCAATATCCTGCTCACCTGACCTCGGCCGAGAAAGCTCATAAATTATGGCTGCAGCCTGTCTAGCCCAAAACTTAAAAAGCACGATAATGTGTTTTTCTAAGAAACAATAAAGGATTCTAAAAAAAAAAAAAAAAAAAAAAAAAAAAAAAAACACCAAGGAAAAACCAAACTCAAATGCAGACACCCTCGATCGTGAAATTCTTCTACAAAAGAAAATAATTTTTTTTAAACCATGTCGTATTAGAAAGAGTTATGTTAGGCGCTAAACTTGTTTATAATTTAAATTTTGACAAGTTTTAATGGAGAATAATTTTTTTCAATTGAGCAAATTTAAGAAGAGGAAAATGGAAATTAAATACGCCTACATACAAGAGAGGAAAATTAATCTCACAATTTTCAAAGTATTAAGAAAGCTTTTGAAAAAGTCTTTCATTTTATGATTCCCATTACTTTTTCCATGGGCGATGTATTGTTAATATTAAAAAAGTTTCGCCCTTTCTTTCTACAAAACAATAAATAATAATTGGTGTAAATAACATTTTTTGCACAATGATCTTGCATTTTAACACCTTTCACTGCTCGCATGAATTTTCGTCCGTTATATTTATTAAATAAAAAAAGATGTATTATTATCAAATACAAATTAATTTACCTTGACGTAAATTATTAAATTAAATGTAAAAATACTTTGATCTTCGCACATTCCTCATTGCAACAAAACCACTACGGTTGAAATGCAGAGAAGTTTTTTTTAAACGGTTACACTAAATTTAACCTTTTTGCGTGGTTGTTTATCAAAGAGATCAAAATCAAATATAGTAGTAAAAAAAAATACTACGCAATAATTTCCTTTTCCTCCCACAGTGCGGCTTAGCAATGCATAGATGATATGGCGTGAGACAAGTGTGGCCTTGGAAGGCACCGAAAACCACTGCAAGGTCTCGAGATGCTCTGCATCTGTTGGAGAACCACCCGGAAATTCATCCGGAGGTGTATAAAAGGTGGTTCGGCGCGAGTAAACAACATTCTGTCTCTGCAGCCAGACTTCAAAGCACCATGTACAAGCTGGTGAGTAGATAAAAGCGATTTTTTGCCATTGCCAAACATGTCATACATACTATGAGCGCACACGTAACAGGGGCGAATCTGCGAGTGACAGTGACCAGGGTTGTTTTGTAAGTTGCATACAAAGGCGCTGACGCAATTAATTCGCCGTCCGAAACCAACCATTCAGCGGACACAAATCTATAATGTTCGTTGAATATGTCAATTTTTTGCCAGCTAACACAAAAATTACCGAAACATTGCATCATTGTACATCTACAAGGGGGAAATTTACTAAATATTAGCATATTTTTTTTAATTTTTCTAACAAAAAATCTACACGTTTAGCAATTAAGTCATTTTTTTTAAATTAAATCTAATTTTTAAATTTTTTCCAAACATTTTAAAACAATCAATAGTGAAAAATTTACTTTATTTCTTTAATTTTCCAGGTTATTTTCGCCGCCCTGGTCGCCGTGGCCACCGCCGGATTGATTCCTTCCACCATCATCTCGGCCCCCGCCCTGTCCATCCACCCGGCCCCTCTGTTGCGCGCTGCCCCCCTGGCCTACCATGCCCCTCTGCTGCGCACCGCCCCCGTCGTTGCCCCTCTGGCCTACTCGCCCGCCGTCCTGCGCTCCTCCACCGCCTGGGGCAACGCTGCCTGGGCTCCTGGCGTGACCTACGCCTCCGCCGCTCACCCCATTCTGCTGTGAGCTCACCCTGACAGCGCCACCCCTAGTTTGTAAGGGCGCATCCAGACGTAGCCGAGATTGGCATGATTCATGCTAGCTCGGAGTACGTTTTGGTGGCGAAACATCGACCACTTGTCCAACTGGTGCAGTGTCTGACAGCGTGATGACTAGATCACGATTCTCCGATACACCCAAATCTGTACATGATTTTATTGCTCAAATAGTCTGACGCATTATGACATGAATCAAATAAAACACTTTATCAACTGTTAAAATCTCAAAAATTGACTTTTGAACTACTATACCCGTTTATTCTATTTAATTTTAAGTTTAGTGCTGCATTTCCTTCAAAAACAATTATTAATTTTTATGAAACATTTATTGATTTTCTTCTCTCCTAATACTTGAAGACGGTAGCATAGTGAAATAATGATCTATGGTGCTGTATTTTTTTTTTAATTCTCGATTGAACAAAATTATTTATTATTACTTTTTCCCTTTAAATAATTATGAAAGCTAGCCATTAATCCGTGGCCTATATACATGCAAAAATAAGTGCTGCCTAATTCATATGGAGTAAAACCGTTTTTAACTGGTTTTTAATGCCCTTTGATTTATTTATTTATTGTTGTTTATTCTTCACAATGAAGGCAATGGAAAGAAAATAACAAAATAATATAAAGAAACGGAAGGTTGATTGCTAAAAAAAATTGGTCCAATCAAATTTACAATTGAATAATAATTTTAAATTATGGCAAGGAAAAATTTAGCTTACTTGTTCATTGAATTTTGTCTTTTAAGTAAAAAATGTTTAATAATTGAACAATGGATTTCCTCCTTAAATTCCAACTTAAAAAAATGAGATGAATATTTCAACTTTATCCGTGGAGATGAGAAAAGTGAAAAGGTAAGAAAATTATAATTTTTTTTATAATCTTTAAACCCCTGGAACTGACGAGTGCCAATATTTTTTATTGCGTTCTTACAATTTAAAAATTAATGGAATAGAAATAAATTTTTGTATAAGCATGATCTTTCAACTTTTAACCAAACCTTTAGGCAGAAGGGATTTGGCATTTTACAAAAAAAAACCCTCTCTATCAAATCAGTCTTATTTACCAGCCATTTTTTGTAGCAAGAATCATATTGTATTGTCTCAAAATAAGGAAAACGAATTGATTATTTCATATGCAGAGCAGAATTTTAATAAAAATATTTCATTTGACTTTTTTACAATTTTCAGTTTCAAAAACCCAGCTTTCAACAACGAATGTTTAAATTGTGACATTAAACGTAGGTGACGGCGGGGGCGGCGGCAACATAGGGAGCAGCGTAGGGGTTGACGTAGCGGGCAGCGACGGGGGCGGTGTAGACGAGACCGTTGTGGGTGCGGGCGACGTACTGGGAACTGCTGGCCAAGGGCAGGGCGGCAGGGACGGTATAAGCGGCGGCGGCAGGGACAGTGTAAGCGGCGGCGGCAGGGACGGCGTAAGCGCCTCCATAAAGAAGAGCAGGCTTGGGTGCGGGGGCAGGAGCGGCGGAGGCGGCGAGCACCAGGCAGGCGGTGGCGAGGACCTGATTTATTTTTAAAATAAAATTTTTTTAATGAAAAATACCCTGTGGAAATAAATTTCAACTTACGAGCTTGAACATTTTGGAAGGAGGAGGTTTGTTTGCTGCAGTTGGATGAGAACTGATGCTCTTGTCAAAGGTGACAGCCCTTTTTATATTATGATGACCAGATTGCAGACTATGTGGTCAACGCGTTGAACAATAATGGAGAAAGCGCAACTAGGCTTTTTGTCATTCCGTCCACGTGCCAACTTATGTAAGCGATGATACACGCTCGAATCAGGCGCCAATCAATATTTTATCAAGCAATGGCCGGTGTTCAACAGGGACAAATTCATTGCAAAATTGGAAGGCCATGTGAAGTCACTTCTGGTTATACACATTTGACCGATTATAGCTCATCCCAATAAAAACAAATTGCAAATAAAGTAGTTTATTACATTCAAATGAAAATTATTTTTGCTGCAAAATATTTTATTGGTTATGAATATGAGGAATTTTTTTTAAATATATAATTTATTTTTACGTTTGGGTCACCCGTGCCTTTTCTTGAGCTCGAGAAAAACAAGCTCCAATTTTTATCTAGATATGTTTTATTTAAAAATTTATTTCTCAACACCATTTTATAAATAATAATTAGATCAGACATTATCAAAAAAATTCAAGTTTTCAGGGAAAAATTATATGAAATTTATCCACTTTTTTTTACTTTTAATTGATGAGGTAGAGTTAAGCTTTTCCGTTAACTTGCTGTGATTGAAAATTGTGAATATTTGTGGTAATTATTGAATTTTTATTTCTCACTCTGGCTATTTTATCGCAATTATTAGTTTATTTTCAGTACCAAACATTAGCAGATGATTTTAATTCCTGGCTCCAATTTGACGATGAGAGGTAATTAAAAATGAAAGTCTCCTCATTGCCATTCACCACTTACAAAAGCCAAGGCTTGGAAGAGAAAAAGGTGTAATAGACCGGAAACAACAGCTATTATCATCCGCGGTTTTTATTTATTTTTTGTACATAAAAATATGAGTGCGTAAGTTAAAAACAAGGACCCAAACATTTACAAGCTTGAAGAGCTGCAATTTTATTTTATTATTTCATTTCTGTCCCAATTTTGCACTGCCAAGGTTTGTTATTCAATCACAATGCTGGCTGAGATTTCATAGAAAACGCTTTGATAAAAAAAATCACAAATTTTTTAATCTATTTTAATTTATCAATTTGATTCATTTTTAAATAAAAGTGAATTTAAGCTAAGGATTGCATTTTAATTTTTTTTTATTTAACGCGGAATAAAATAATATTCCTTGGATGTGAGGAAATTGTTGCTTCTAACGCATCGCATCACTGCTTTTATAAGGAGCACCCAATGAAAATTAATTAACATTCGAGACGCGCGTGTCTTTCTTTATATTGTCGCGTGCGCGCTTTAAAGAGATAGGGTCGATCTGCGGAGGTTATGCCAATTGTTGGGCCATTCTGGCGCTGTGTGCTGTGAAAAATAAGCAATGCCTTGTGACACACAGGCCACCAATTATGTTATACGCCCCGATAATAAAAATTGATAGTGTACGTATTGATTGCTGGTGGGGAACAACGACTTGCGTTATTTCGCAGAAGCGCTTCATATAAAAGGGTTAGACGAACCTCTTCAGGGCATCAGTCACCTGAAAGCATACCATGGCAGCCAAAGTTGTGAGTACAACCATTTTTACAATCAAATATTTCAATTCAATTAAAATTAGTTTTAATTTAATCAGTAATGAAATCGATTTATTTAAAAAAAATGTTCAGTTATAATTTTTTAATAGCTAAAAAAAATTATATTAAGTCTCAGGAATTCTGAGAATATTTTTTTATTTATATGTTTGCTAATTATTTTTTTAAAATAGATTTTTTATTGAATTTTTATATTAATTTTATTTTCATTTTTTCATTTGTGTGATTTTTAAATTTCAGTTCACAAAAAGTCAATTTATTAAAAAAAATGTTCAGTTAGAATCTTTTAATAGCTCAACATAACATTTCAGTTTTATCAAGTCTCATTGTCAGCACTACAGTGAATAATTTTATTATATTTGTTATTTCTTTTTTTAATAATTTTTTTATTGAATTGTTAATATTAAGTTTATTTTCATTTTTACATTTTTTTTTTTTTTAATTTCAGTTCACCATTTTCGCTCTGTGCGTCACGCTGGCCGTGGCCAAGCCGCAATACTTTGCCGCTGCACCGGCCGTCGTGGCCGCCGCTCCAGTGACCACCGTGTCGCACTCGGCCGCCCTAAGCGCGCACCCTGTTCCCGGCACCAACCTGATCAGCGGCTACAGCCACCAGGCGGTGCACAAGATCTCGAGGTCCGCGGCCCTGCTCGCCGTCCCCGCAGCCTCCTACGTGTCTTCCCCGTACGTCGCCGCCGCTCACCCCTTCAGCCCCTACGTCTCAGCACCCTATGTTTCCGCACCCTACGTTTCTGCCCCCGCATACTACGTCTGAAGGCTGAACCTTGCCAATTTTATTGGAGATGAATCTAATCAGTTAATTCGTGTAAATTATTCTATGTGAAAATAAATTCATTTTCCGTCACAATTTATATCTTTGTCTGGTTATTCGAATTTTATCTGCTGGACTTTTTAACTCTTTCTAATCCAATATAAGTTTGGATAAGAGTTAGAAGTCAGAAGGCCACTGATTTTCATAATTAAATTTTATCAGGATTAACAATTTTCATGGCTTTATGAAGCGTTTGAGTGCCTTTTTTGCAGGTTATCAAAGTATACGCCGCACAAAATTTGTAAGGAAAAATCTCTTTTTATGCTAATTGTAAGAATAATTCCGTAAATAAGTAGTTCATAACAATCCTTCTGTGCCAAAACGCCGATTACTGTGAATCTCCAAGCTATGAAAATATTATAAAACATATTATCTGACATGTTGGACTGAAAAAATTACATTCATTTCTGGACACTCAACCATCTATACGTATGGATGCCTTAAAAATAGATATAAAATTTGATAAAATTACAACAATTATTGCAAGTCTTGTTAAATGCATATTTTTTGCCGCCATAAAATTATATTTTGGATTGAAAATAATAATTCTCGTCCGATCCGCCATAATATTATATTATTAGGGCATGTGGCCGACGATTCATCGCATCTATCTATGTTTCCGTAAAATTGGTGATTGAGATTTCGGCCATTGGAATTTTTATTCCGAACCGATGCTGGGCACTGCGCCAGTCTTCGCGCTAAAATTAGATAATTCGGTTTGGTCCTACCTTTGAGTGCACCAGCGACGCAGTTCCTGGTCGTTTTGGGTTCTCAGCAGGTCGGTAAGGTCCTCCGTCGGCTCCAAATTCTGCGAGATGTCCCGACACCTCGAAAATATGACATTTTTGTTTACGTTTCGTCCCTTTCCTCCGCATGACTCACTCTCCCTCCGTCTATTGCACATCGTCTGTACATTATCACATATTTTGCTTGCTGGAGAGTCGAAGACGAGAATGAACAAGTCAATACGCGCAGGAAGAGAGAGCATGCGAGAGTCGCAGGAGCAATAATTGCCAAAAAGTATAGTTACGTGAGTTTTAAAGCTTCGAACATTCAGCCGTTATATAAAGAAATTTATCTTATTCTATAGTTTATATGAATTTAACAAAAAAAAAAAAATTTATTTAAATTTTGTTTCCATGGATTGAGATTTAATTTTATTGGAGAAATTCAAGCGATTTGATTTAATACAATTTGCAGATGGCAGGCTGGTTATTCGCTTGAAATAAAAGATTATAGGCAGAACTTGATTAGGGATTTTATTTATTATGTAGATCTGTAGATGTAAAAATTATACAGGAGAAACTACCCTGATTTTTTGGCTACAGCTTTCATCAAAATTTAAAAACTATTTTTTTTATCAGCAATAATTAAATCCTGTGCAGGTGTGTATCAAATAATTTATTTTACAAAATTATGCATTATAAAGAATATAATAATATGTCATTGTGAAACAAAATTGATACTTTTTCCAGTACATAATTTACGCTGCAATCTGCAATGCGGAGCTGGATTTTATGTATTTTTTATTGCTTAGATCTTGGTAAATAGCCCAATAATGCGTTTCAGTGAGTTGCTCACTAACACTTATGTGTACCTATTTTACTCGTCCCAATCAATTTTTATTCATACACTTGATTGTTTTGACTTTTTTGGAAAAAAGAATTGAATTAGAATTAATCCTTAATTTTCATAAATTAGCAATGCGTTTTGTTTCATATTTAATGAGATAAAATATTAAATTATTTATTAATGAATAATTTTATGCTCTTCACATTCTCATTAAATAATTATATTTTACTGAGCAGAAATTGTTCTGAATAAATTATGCTGTTTCAATATTTTTTCCAAAATTTTTGCAGATGATTTTAAATCAAAATTATATATTGAATCAAATTTTAATTTTTTTTCTTCCTTATGAGATCTGCGTGATACACAGAATCAAAAACATTAGATTCAGCAAATTAATTTACCTTCATCTTTCACCGTTCCAATGGATGTGGAGCTTATAGTTTTACCTGCAAACGGTAGGTGGTGCATGAATGTAGCTGGATTACATTTTGCTAACAGTGAAGCAACAGTAGTTGGCGCTTTTATTTTATTATAAAACATTTTAAAGCACCTAGTTTCAATCTCAAATATTTTTTTAGCAAAGATATCAACTGTAATCTATGATATTAGAAATTTAAATGGAAAAATAACAAAACTAAAAATAAAACCATTCTGCGACTGAAGTGCGCGTTTGACGAAGGATAAAAACCAAAATAAATTAGTGCGATCGATTTTATTCACTTCACACCCAAAATAAATAATAAGCGTGTTCGCGCGCTTAGGCGTCACGTGGATGGAAGCAAATTTGAAGCCAGGCTGTTTCATTAACTGGCTGTTGACAGGGACAAATCAAGTGAATAAAAAAAAATTAGCGCAAAAACTCACGTTGATTAGATTTGTTTTATTTCTGCATTCTTTTCACAAAAACAGAAGGAACAACCTTGGCCACCAAAACTTCTCTCTGATGACCCCAGAAGACCTGGATCCCGAAAGGAGAATTGAATTGAAGTGAAAAAGTGATTGATTTATAATTTTTTTCCATTTTAATAACTGGTTTGATTGGCTGAAAATTATAGGCGCTTTTGTTAATATTTTAAAAGTAAAATAAGTTTCTAGATCAAATTATTTTAACGTTTCCAACCATCAAAGTGGTGAAATAAAACTATGTGTTTGAATAATTTGTTGCTTGCTGCTCAGAAATCAAGAAATCAATCGATACACCTGATAAAAGAAAACAATTTCATGGTTCATTAAGAACCGCTTAAAAAGTAGTAGATCGTAAAAATCAGGAATATTCATAGAAAAAAAAATATAATTATTTGTAAAATTTGCACATTTACGATGAATGCTTTTCGTTATTGAGTACAATTGCTGTTAAGGTCTTTAAATTTTAATAGTCTTTAATTTATCATAATTCTTAAAGAACCTAAAAATATTCAGGCAGTGCTTAAATGAATGAAATTGGAGTTGAATTTATTGGCTCTATGTGAAAAATATGTTCATTAAAAATTTTGCTTTTATTCGATAACATTGAAGTTCCCCTTAATTCTTACACCGCAGCTTGCAACTCATCAATTTCTCTTTTAATTTCGTCAGACCGTGAGAGCCTCTGGGGGGAGAAGAGATAAAAATAGTGGAGTGTGTCTGAGAGGAACGAAGAAAGGTAAAATTCGAAGATGATGCATGGATAAGCAGCGACGAAGGAAGGTAGTGGAGGAGAGAGATCGTCTCTGTTTGTCGAGTGAGCGAGCGACGGAGCGACTGGTCGGCGTTTAATTTTCTTGAGAGTTTGACACACATCGGGCGGCGGGCGGGCGAGTAGGGGTTCAAGAGTAACGGGACCTTCTGCTGCTGTCGCGCGCAGACACTTTGATAGGGATACCACCTCCATGTCGAGCGAGAGCCGCCCCAAAGTGTCCTACATTGCAGAGAGCCAGCCGGCGACCAACAGGGCCACTTTTTCTCCTCGGCGGCGGCAGTTGTGCAGCGGCGTCCGAGCCCATCGAAGGCATGATCACCTGACCCTGGGCTCTGCGAACACGTGTGCCATCAGTTGGTTTCGTATATACAGTGTGAGCACCGAGCAGCACCCCAAAGAGAAGCAGCGCCATTGAAATGCAACCCTCTCTGTTGGCTTCGGCCAAGTTCGCCATCCACCTTGTGAGTACCTGGATTATTTTTTACTTTTCCCTCGAGTCGCGCAATTTGAAGGTTTAAAATCATTTTTATTTTTTTCCGGTTAAACAACAGAAAAAAGACGGGATAATTATTTGTAAAGTTACTTGTTAATAACTTAAAAAAAAACAGTTTTTGTTTACTTTAATAAGTCTTTTCAAACTTTTCAACTTGTATATATCTTTTAATTAAACTTTGACTAGTAATAATCGCATGAAATTAACTTTTTGGTTTAATTATTTTATATTTTTAGTCTCCACCTTATTTTTTTTTACATTTTATTTGTTCAAGCACGTATCTCCAAAATTAAGGTGCATAATATAATTTTTATTTACACTCCAACTCCTCTCTCTTTTTAAATCTTTATAAAAATTTGACCCCACCTGCTGGTTCACCTTTTCCAGCACGTGTGTTAATTTTGTTTTAATTTTAAACACTAGAAATTCAAAGATTTCAAAAGTTTAAACGTATCCATGCTATGCTCGATAATTAATTCAATTTTAACAAGTAAGAATAAACAAAATTTAATCTAATTTCAATTTAAAAGTTTTAACCTTGTTGGTTATAATCAAAAAATTTATTCTTAATTCATTTTTACATAGAATTTTATATAAAATTGATAGGCTGTAAGAAAATTCCGAAATTGCATAGAATTCTCTATATTTAGATGCTCATCTTTCACTTGTAACAAAATAAAAATAGTTTCAAAATTGCTCACGCCGCATTCTGACGCGGGCATCAATAAAACTCAAGCGGCGTTAGCGCGGCACATAACACTAGATCACTAGGTCAGTTATCGGATGGAATGGCTCTCACACCAACTTGCGGACTTATTACTATTACCATGTAAAAAAAAATCAACTTAAAATTTATAAGCTTCTCTGAAAATAAGAACAATATATTTGCACGCATTCAAGTCTCCATGGTGGTTATTTTGAAACTAGAAATTATATTTTCAATTTAAATGTTTATATTTCTAAAACGGAAAAAAATATTCAAATGGAAACCTAATTTTTACCATGATTGTGTATTTTAAATTTAAATTGCTTGATTGATAGAGAAGAAAATTAATATTTCTCGTCGGAGAGAGTATGCCGCGCGGCATTCCCAAAAGTATTTAAATACTACTGCCTATATTATTTGTTTGTACGTACATGTGTATGTGTACATATATGTGCATATTGAGGAGGTGTATATGCACCGTTAAGCCTTCTGGTGGATATATTGGATCAGTAGCTAGCTGTGGTCGAGGCGTCGAAATTTGATGAGCCGAGCGTCTCACCTTAACGCCGCCAATAAATCTAAGCGTGAATCAAACAGCTGAGAGAGGCACTCCCGTCGCACGACTTGGCTCAAAAAAGACTGTTACCATTTACTATATTAAAAAATTTATCAGGCAGAAAAAACTTTAAAATTTCAATTTAAAATTTTCATCATTTGACACTAAAGTCGTAAAATCAAATTCAATAATTGTTATTTGAAAAAATATTAATTAGTGTCCAAAATTATTTTCTAAATAACTGATATTGACTTGCACAATATTTAGTATTATGAATCTTTGTGTTGAATGTTCACTCGAGTTGCAGCCAAGATGCAGTTGCCACGTAAGAGAGAAAAGTTTTATAATTTTATCTCGCGCATTACCGTTAACCCATGCACGCAGGGAAATGATGAAGTTTGCATCCTGGCAAGTGACGCGATGGAAAATTGAATAATCATAATAGTCCAATAATCGCAAATTACTGAACTGATCATCAGAGCGGCCGCTCTTGGCAATGCTTACTTACCTATATTTTGAGCGCCTCGAGACACACACGAGCGTGCGCGCTTTGAAAAATATAGCTCCGAAATATTGAGATGTAAAATATTTGATCGTCGGTGACCACACTCGCTAATTAACCGGCCAGTTCTATTGACATACATATTATAAAATATTACTGTCAACTCGCTCGGACTCGTTTACTTTCTACTTTGTAAATGTATCTTTTTAATTAAAAACAACAAATCATTAAATAAATAATTTTCTGCAATTTAAAAAAAGGTTAATGACTGCCACATCGATTGTGAAAAAGCGCTAAAACGTCAATTCAAATTTCCAAAAACGGACACAATTTAATGACTTACAATTAATATTTGCAAGAAATTGATGTGATGCAATGACGATACCGGTTGAGTTTGGCAAAATAGTTTACAGTGAGCAATTAAACCAATCTTTTTTCTCTCCGAATTAAAAACCAGTAGAATTCCCTGCATCTACATTAAAAATTTATTCATTTTTAATCAAGAATATGAAAATATGAAAAAATAGTAACACTCCTCTTATTTGGCACTTGCATGGCGAGCAGCTTCAGAATTTAGAACCTTTTTTGCCTTTTCAAAATTAACTATTGAGTAAGCTTTTATCAGCAATTTCATACTATAGAGCAAAATAAGAAACAGGCTTTTTTAAATTTCTGTTATGAATGAATATATAAAAATTTACTGATTAATTAAAAAAACAGCAAATTTGTTTTTGCAACAAAAAGGATTTCCGACATCTTTGAGCTAAACCTAAGGTCGAAAGTTGCGGAAAGCTGAACCATTGATTATTGAGCAACTTCTCAATAATTCATCTTCTCTAATTTCTTTGTGTAGGAGCGCTTATATCGAATGTTTATATGCTTCCAGTTTCCAGTTTGAAATAAAAGTGCGTATTATACCCACACGTGTATTACGCCGCTAGAGAATTTCAGGGAGCGCGCAAACGAGTTTTACGACTTGGTCTCATTTCTCCGTAAATTAGCTGCTAATCCTCACTGCCACCAGCAAGCATGTAAATTTGTCAGATTAGACCGTGATTTTCACGAAATAATGCTTTTAGTATTGCAAGCAACTTTTTTTACTTACAATTAGATCGGCAAACTTAGATCTTACCAAAGCATTTCTAAGCTTTCTCGCAACACATACACATGCAAGTAACAGTTATATTGATGAAAGTTTCATATTATCATGCAATAATAGCGTGAGAGTAAGATGTTTAGTTAATTTCTTAAGCAGTGACAATTTAATTTTGGCTGTTTAATTTTTTTTCGTATTACAATTGTAATTGATGTGTTTTAATTGAGTCTCAAGTCTCAAAATATTTTATTTAACTAAAAATAAATTTATAGGTCTTAAAATTATATATTGTTCTGTAAATTTTTTAGTACATGCAAAAGAGAAATTGTTATTTTAAGTAAATTTAGTTCAATTAAAGTGATATATCAAACGCAAAATGATACTTAAATTTTTATAAAAATTCGGGTCCCAAGAAAAAAATTTGAAAAACTATTTTATCATTTTAATTGCATTTTTTACGACTCATTTAATTTTTCCTATGAAATGGAGAATAAAATTGAACTTTCTCTGATTCATTTACGTAGAATAATAAGCAAATAAACCAATCAACAGCAATTATTAAATAATATATTTAAAAAAAAATGTTGCAAAAAGTTCGGTAGTGAATTAAAAATAATTATTCAAAACTGGACCGTCGCTATTTTAAAATTAATCTTTGCGAGCACAAAAAAACCGTTTAATCACTTTTGTTGATCTGTATCATTATAAAGCCTTTTGGCAAATACAAGTGGGCATAATCGAATGTGGTGGAGCCAAACGCTCTGTCTGCATTGTGATGCCAATCATGAGAGTGCAGAAATCTGCTTTTGTCGCTCGGGGCCGTAGGCGGCTCGATTGATGCAAACTACAATCGCTGCCGGCGCACTCGCGAGAGAGAATAAAAAGAATGAAGCTCTGCTGCATTTTGATGAAACGTATTGACCCTGTTTCTCGCTGCCCCAGACACCGAGAGATTTTAATTTCGAGAGTGCATCCATCCTCCGATTTCGATATAATAAGGCCGCGCGCCATTGGCCATGCGGAGCGCGTATTCAGCACTCACGTGACTCCAATGACAATTATTTATTTATTTCTACTCTCTGCTTTTTCACTCCACGTCCGCTCCTCGTGTCTTTTTCTGAATGGACGCAGAGGAGAGGATGGCCACGAAATTTACGGCTTGTTATTGACGAGATCGGAAGCGAGCGGGGTCAAATTTGGGTCGAGAAGACGACTTTCCCTGATGGCCACCGAATCGAGGCCGCTGAGCTCCATTCATTAGCGCGGACACTTTGCTGGACTTTTTGCGAGTCAAACCTCTTTCACTGCCTGGGTGGCCAGAAGAATCACAAAGAAGCAGTTAAAAGTAAAACAATTTTTTTTATAATGGCGTAGAAGAAGAAGAAGAGACCTAAAAAGGAGATACAATTTTATCAATGAATAGGAGAATAATCTAATTTAGAATAATTCTTTGCAACTTTAAATTGCATGAAGTTATAATTTAAAATAGTTTTTGTTGTTAAAAATTTGCAACTTTGCTTTTTTTATTTTTACAAATTCTCTTTGAATTTTTATGTCCCGAGTGATCTGGAAAGATAGAGATAAACTACATAATTTATAAAAAATTTCGTTGTTGAAGATGTAGTTAATAAGGCGTAATAATGATAATACATGTTATTATTTAAACAACGACTTTATTCTTAAAAAATCATTTATTTTAATTTTCAAGGAGTAAAGGAAGTGATGCAGATCTAATTTGTTCCTTTAACCCAAAGATTAGTCAGTTTTTAAATCACAATATTGATTTGGATGGAATCAAATGTTTCATAAATTGTGTGCTTAAACGATGCCTCTGAAATCACAAATAGCTATTTTAATTTCAAAATTAATTAGTAATTAGTTTTCCCGAAAACAAGGACATTAGTTTTGATTAATCTATCCTTTTGAAATTAGCTGTCAATCGTAGAAAAATGGATTCTGATTCGACATGGCGGAAAAAAATCAATTAATCGAAAACAAAATTTTAAGCAAAAAATTTCTTCTCTTAACTTAAAAAACCACGAAGATTAAGAAAAAGGAAAACAATATTATTCTACAATTATCTGAAAAAGGTTCTTGCAAGTTAAGAAAAACAGCTCCTCTGTGCGTCGTTTGAAGAAGTGCCAAAGGCGGACGGGAAACAGTGATTGACACAGTTGCAGTTGGGCAAAGCGCGCAGATAAAATCAAAAGGCGCGCACTATGCAGCTGAACAGTTGCTCGTTCATTGCACTGCGCACATACACACATTAAAATAAATTCAGTCAGCAGAATTGGAACGGTGCGTGAAAATCGCTGCTCTCTGTAGAAAGTGTCAATAGAGGTCAAAACGAGGGGAGAAATCGAGCGTGAAATGCTTTCTGATTATTTCGTCGATGGGACCAAAATGAAGACGTGTGCGTTCAGAGAAGAATAATGGTGTGAAAGGAAAAAGCTTTCATGTATGTATGTATAGAGTCAGTTGCCCAGTCGGTTTCTTATGACGCGTGTTTGCTCGTTTTTCGTAGTGAGGCCGACGGGCTAATGAGGATTAGTTTAGTTTAGAAAGGACGCCGCGTGTGTACTTTTCGTCAGTCATTATTTTTTTGTTCCTCAACGCAGGTGTAGAAAAATTTAAGAAAGAAGAATTAAATGTAATAGTCGAACGAAAAAGGTCCAACAATTCTTTCATAATTTTTTAATTTGATACGAATTAATAATGAAAAAATATGATTTTTTTTCAAGCAGTTTATTAAAATTAATTTCCATGGGTGATTTCAATTTAAAAAAATCCATCTGAAAATTTCGAAAAAATAAATAAATGATAAGGGATGCATCTCGACCTAAATAATTCACATGTGGTTGTACTTCGAGTGTAAAATTATTTCTTTCTTTTCTTTTTTACGGGCAACAAAGAAATTCAAGTAAATTGACAATCAGTCCCTTTATTTCATTCACGAAAGCAGCTTCATAAAATTAATGTTAAAATATCATGCCCCTCAAAATGCAGCCGCCTTATATTTTTTTAAAATCCAAGCAATGACAAATGCCACCCGCATTGAACGACTGTTCCGCGGCACAGTTTCCACCCTGTGCAAGGCGCACTCGTTGCTAAATTTTATCTTGAACTCTTCGGCAAGTCAAGTCTGCCAATTCGTGCCTTCCGCATTGTCTGTCAATTCTGTTTTCAAATCTTTATACTTTTCATTTATAATGCAGTAATAATTTTTTCATTACTTGTATTTAATTTTGCGAACTACTACGGCTTTTATTAATGGAAAGCAGTACTACTCCCTAATTTGGGAAAGAAAAACTGCGTAAAAAAATTTATTTTCTTTCAAAATAATATACAATGAATAACTTGAGCTTACTGTAACATATAATTAAAGCGAATTAAAGTGATATTAATGTCAATTAGATAAAAAACTTCGTTCGAAAGGCGTAAAGTATTATTCAATTATTGGCTTTCCAAATTGGAGATGTTTTAGTTTTATCTCTAAAATTATATTTATCAAACAAATATAAAAAAATTAAGTGGCATTTTTTGCTTCTATTTTTCCTAATTTAACGATAAACACAAAATTGGCTTTGTTGATTTAGAAACAGCTTTTTCTAGGCAAAAATTTACTTCAGTGACGGAAAAGTTCATTTTATACATCTCTTTGAAAAAAAAATTACATTTTGCTTCAAAAATTAAACGGTTTTCTCGCTCAGTTTCTGAATCCACGTTAAAATTCTTTTGAAAATTTAATACAGAAACTAGAATACACTTAACAACGCAAACACGACACAACTCTACACTAAAATTTACAAAAAACACACACTCACACTAACAAATTAACAACGTTTACAAGAATTGTGAACATATTCCAAATTACCATGAACAGCTTTTCCATCAAGATGATTGTGATTTTTTCCTCATTATTTTATGACTTTTTTATTTTTAAAATCTTTACCAATCTTAACTTGATTTTGTGGTACACCAGTAAACTTCAAATTAGAATTAAAAAAAAAACTTGAGGTTTGCCATTTTTGCCAATTCAATTAATCAAAACAAACCCTGTTCCAATTTACACAGATTGTGTACAAATAAAATAACACATATAAATTTTCCCACGAACTGCTAGGGCTAAAAAATACAAAAGTCAAATGAAGCGTGCGGTGCGTTAGATGGAATTAAGTAGGTTACCTTGTAGTCCACTTTCGCTCTGGCAGTGAGATCATCTGCTTAATTCTTTTTTCTCTTCTTCCTTCCGCAGGTGCTGGTGTGCGGGGCGGCGTTGTCGGCCTTCGACGAGTACTCGTCCTCATGCATGCGGCCGGGCGGCGGCAGAGCGGCCAAGGCGTGGCCCGACCCGCCGTGTGACTTCTCCAACCAGGCCTGGTGCACGGCCCCTGGCAGCGCTTATCCCTGGTAAGATGCACTTTCTAAATGTCGCCTTCCCATTAATAATTCATCCAAGTCGAAAGGCCCAGACGTGTTTATAGAAAAAAAATTAATGCACGATTCGCTCCAAATCAGAACACTGGGCCACAGAGCAAATAAAAGCCTCTAGTGCGATTTTATTTACAAATACACAAAAATATCTTCTTTCTTAGTTAATTTTTCACGGTGGGAGCATTTATCTAGTTTTGGTAAAATAAACCCTCAATTAGTCGCCCTGATCGATTTTGAATCCAATAAGTTCCTTTCGAAAATTTAAACTTTTATAGAATTCAAACTTGGACTTTGTAAACATAAAATTTAAAAAAAAGTTTGATTATTTAATAATTTAATTTATGCAATGAAGCTCAACTGAATTAAAATGAGTTGAAATTATTTGCAAAATTTAGAAATATAAAAAATATTCTAATTTTTTTACCAGTTTTGAAAAGTTAATTTTGTAAAACTTCCAATCCATTTATAGATATTGAGATTTTGCATCGTTTGTATTATTTTATTCCGAGGTATTTATAGTTTTTTCTTATCAGCAATTAGGATTTTTTTAAATTAAATTAAACTACATCAATTATATCTATTTCAAATTCTTAAATCAGCCCAAATTGTTTTTTTTTAAATAATTTTTTCTATTGTGTTTGTCATTAAAAATTAAATAAGACAATTAAAATGAAATTTTTAATTGATTCCAGGCATGCCGTCCGTCGGTTTGTACAGGAGAACCAAGGGCTGATGCGTCGCATGTACGGCGACATGCGTCAAATTTCCGTGCTGCGGGCCGAGTTTGAGTCAAACGACCTGTACCCTGGCGACGGCGCCGACTTTCAGGTGGTCAGGGACGGCGTCACTAAGCACTACCGTCCCATCGCGGAAGCTTCATCAACGCCGCGCTCGAAACCAGTGGCGACAGCGCCCAAGGTGGCGCCCTCGACCACCACCAGGAAGCCGACCAAGGTGTCTCTGAAGCCGGCTAGCAAGAGCACCACCACCCCTGCGACCACGACGACGACCAGCACCACTGTCCGGACAACAACCACGACGACAACAACGGCTGCGAGTACGACAACGACGACAAGAAACGTGACCTTGGTGCCGTCGACCGTTTCGACGGCGACCGAAGAAGACACCACTGAGGGCAGCACCACTCTGGCCCCGGACACGACGAGCGTGTCCGAGTTGGCGGCAGAGGCGCTGGCCCTCGAGCAGTTGGGCGAGGAGTTGGTCGAGAGCCAGCAGGGTCAGCCCGAAGACCAGCAGGCTGAGGAGTCAGAATTTGAGGAAGAGGCGGCCGAACTCATCGATGAAGAGGACGAGTACGAAGACGAGGGGGTGGAGGAGGACGAGCAGCATCATGACCAGAGCCTAACCAAAGGGCCTCAGATGATGCGCAAGGGAGTGTAAGTTGTCAGAAAATCTTTCAGAATTATTCAGAAAATTTTTTAATATATTTTTTTCCATTTATTACAGAGCTGTAAGATTAACTTCGTTAAAAAATTGCGGTTATTTTGACTGATTTTCACAGTAAATGCATTTTCTACATTAATCTTTGTTTGATGGAAACAAAAATTTAAAATTATCAGCAATTTAAAATTAATAAAATAAAAACAAAATTAATTTCACTATAAATCAAATCAATTTATTTTATAGAATTAAATTTTATAGTGATGATGATTCAACAGTTATCATTTTTAATTTTTATTGTCTGCTTTTAGGAACGCTTGTCCTGTAAAAGAGGAGGTGGTCGCGCCTTTCTGGGCAAACAACACTAGAGGAGAGATTCTTGCCTTGCTGAATTTGTACCCATTCGAGCAGTACGTCCACTGGGAAAAGTGCACGTAAGTGTATATAATTATTCCTTTTTATATAATGAATTAATTTTGTAGAATGAAATAAACTTTATTTGATGATTTGTCAAAAGTAGCTGAATTTAAATTTTCAGTTACGCAAGGCGTTATTGAAATTAAAGTCGAACTGATATATTGAGACCCAGGAGCCCGTGCTAAAAAATAAAAAATTTTAATATTTCTGTATGAAATGTTTCTTTAATTACTTCAATTTTTGAAGAAGATTTAATCTTTTTTAATTTTTAATTAATATTATACTCTAAATATATAATACATTTTTATTTTAATAAAACAAAATTTTAATTTTACTTTGCTCGAATTTCAGTGATGAGCACCAGCAGATGTTCTGTCGGGACGGTTGTCGGTGCGAGCAGCAGTACCGTCTGCACCGGCTGCTTGCGTACGACCCACGCAACGAGTGCCGCGGAATTTTCTCCGACTGGTTCAAGTTCCCGTCGTGCTGCGTGTGCAAGTGCTACGACATCCCTCCCGAGTTCAGGCTGACCTCGCGCAGTCCTCGGCGCAAGCACAAGAAGCAGAAGAAGCCGACCGGACTCGAGCCCAAGTTGCGCACCCCTATTTACATCAACACCCTTGACCAGCGGGTCGAGGGTGGCGGCGAGGTCAGGGAAGACCTCAAAGCCATCGTGCACACGGCGAGGGCGGGCAGGGACTTTCCCGAGACGGCCACAATCGGCACGGTGGACGCAGCCACCCCACACTTCTACTACCAGCCGCCTCCTGTCGCATTAGTGCACCTCAGCAGACGGCCGAGGGACGCCGATTGATACGTCAGACTTGTACATAGATTTTTAAATTTTTAACAATTTTCGGACCGATTTTGTGTGATTGAGTTTCAACCTGATAATATATATTCTGCTGGAAGTGTTGTGAAGTGATCTGATTTATACTAGTCTTACATAATCGAAGGACAAAATGAGATGGGCAACTGAGACGCTATGTTAATTAAATTACGTACGAATGCAATTGTGATTTTTCTTTTAATTTATAATTGCCATACATTAAAATTATATAAAACGTAATTTGTTCCAAGTGTTGATTTTGTAAAATCTTTTGTGTAAATATAATTTTTTAAACTGACTTTGTGTATATTTTACATATTTGCCTGAATCGATTTGACTCATTAAAATAACCATTTTCAAGCATAAAGAAATCTGCAGATTTTTATTTGTCTCTTGTAGATATATTTAATTATATTATTGTTGCTCAGAAGTCATGCGCGCCAATTTTCAACATAAGGGTCAGCGAAGGAAGCAATTTTTCTTATATTTGAGCACGATGATAGTTTTTTCCAGCTTAATTAAATAATTATGTTAAATTGTCTTAGAAATTTTTTTTAATATCTTCAAACTGAATCAAACCACGCAATAATGATTTTTTTTTTGTGTAAAAATATAAATTATATTTAAATTGAAACCATTTTTAGTAAGTAGGGAGCTATTGCTGCAAGTCTCGTAAATGTTATCCTTTTTTCTGTTCACCGATAATGTTATGAAAGTTGAACCCGGAGCCAATTTTATCCAAATTTACGTGCGTCATTCTTTGAAGAAAGTCTCTAAAGGTGCGCATCACTTTCTTCCGTGGATGAATCACCATGGCAGGGCACCCACCAGGCGCCAAGGTGACCCCTTTAGAAAGTAGTAGGTAGTTTTGTCCCTTGAAAGGAAAAGCCGAGATGCGCTTTCAGGATATACCCACAGTCTTTTATTTTTAATAATATGTTCTCGCATATAACATCTCCACATAACATATAACCTTATTTTGTCTCTCGATTGAGGAGCGTTAATTATTTGCCATTCACTTTTTGGAAAACAATCGAAAACAAATAATATTTGATAATTTTGCGAAGTATTATTCATCGCATGTAATATGTATAACAATAGCGGCGGAACGTTGAAATTTATTTATATATATCCAAAAAAACAATCAATTTGGATGGGTTGAGTACAAAAGGTACACAAATCGCTACCACGTGAAAACGTTACTCAATGTAATTGTGCACTCAAGCAACCGATAATCACAGAATAATGATTATTAATTATTAGCCAACATGTTATACCTCGGAAGTAATGCATTAGTTAACAGCTATAAAAAGTTCAAAGAAAGCGAAGGGTGAAAATTTAAATGCAGATGTTGCCAGAGCACCCCTGGCTGTTTTACAAATACTGATATTGAAAGTTGTCGAAAAATCCAAAATGCCAACTCACCAGGGGTACTTCTTAAAATACTTTTTTTATCGCCAGCTTTAACAATTGCCAAGAGTAAGGAAGATAGCCGACATGAAAGTTCTACTTTCTCCATGTAACCCTGCATGAAAAACAACGATGTAATTTTATTCTTACGAAACCTCCATTAATTCTGCATAAAAGCTCGATGTTTCACCGAGAGCGTGTAATATTTAAAAATGGAGCTTCCACGGTTTACAGACTGCGCATCTTTTTCTGTCAAGAAGCCGAAGAGTTTGTATAGGAACAGTTCCTACAGTTAAAGCTACTTTTTCGTTACAACGTCAAGTCACAAAACTTTAAAGCTGCCTAGTAAGATTTCTTGACGCCTCTTTAGGCAGTAGCTGGGCAGTACGACTGCCATTTAAGTTTCCAACTGGGTGGGGTACAAAGTTATTTTGCTCTGCCGCAAAGGTTAAAACGCCTCAAAAATACAGGCCAATTTCAATTCAGGCAGAATTCGGCGGAGTGAAAATTTTCTTTTCAATTTCTTCTCGTAGATATTGAGCTTATTTTGAATTCGCCACAATCAGTATTTTTTTATTATTATTTTTTGCACAAAAATTCTAATGCGGAAGGAGCAAGTCTCTATCACAATTATGTTTTCATCAAGGGAAAATCCTTATAGCTACAATTAATCAACGTTGTTTGTTAATTGCGGAAAGCTCAAAATACTCGGGTCAACAGTGTTTGAGTTGGAAGCTCTAAAAATTTCCAGATAAAAACTACGTACAATTATGCTTCCTCTGCTCTTTTACCTAACCAAAAAGGGTTGGTAGACTAAAATTTAGTTTGGTGTGCTTTCGGTGCTTGGTTACAAACGCTGCCAAGAAGAGTTAGAGGGAGCGCCACCTGAGACTGGCCTCGGCCAGAGATACAAGTCGCTGGGTGGTTGCTCCAGGTGGCAGCTGAGCCGATTGTCAGATGGTTCCTCGAGGTACCCACAGAGTTTTGTTCTGCTCAGCATCTACAGTTGCTTTGGCCTGGGTGCACATGTAGGCTACATTGACTCCGCCTGGTATTACAGCTGCAATAAAAAAAAATTACCATGTTATAATTAAAATTACACAATATATTGTATTTTCTAATTTCTTAATTAAATTTTATTAGAATCTTAATTTATAATTATTAAATTTTGTGGCACGACTATGGCGTTCAATTAATAAACAACACTAGATTCTTATTAAGTCATATTTTCATATTTAAAAACAAAAGAAATATTGTTACCTGTAATGAGGTGACGGTAGTCGGCTTCCAGTTTTACTCCGTGCTCAAACATTTCTTTGGCTGCCTTGGCTGAGACTTTCTCCATAAATCTACTGTCTTTCACCTCTCTGATCTGCTTGGTGGACTTGAAGCGGATGAGCAAAACAATTGGGTAGATTTGGAGACGGTGAAGTCGAGATATGGCGTTCAGAGAAACATCCAAGATGCAATGTGTATTCTGAAAAAAAAAAAAAAAAAATAGGAATAAAATATGTTTCTCAAAAAAAGAACAATTAAAGCCTACTTTATCACAGATTTCTTTCACAGATGCAACAGTTGTGCACTCGAACTGAGAGCCTTTTCGTCGATAGTCAACAAAAATGCTCTCATCGATTCCCTTCTCGAGCATTGCTTGTGAGCAATACATTATCTCTGGCATACACCGGATAAACTTTTCAGGGAAGTCCTGCACAAGTTTGTCTACAACAAATTCCGCCAAAGGTCCCAGGATCAACACTGGCCGGATTACTGGAACTGAAATTTGGAGCCGTTTTGAAAATGGCATATTTATTTTTTTACAGAAAACTCACAATCTAGTCGTTCAACTCGCTGATAAGAGCTGAGGGAAATTTCTTCGTTCAGGGTGCCAGAATCACTGTACCAGCCCACACTGCTGTTAGAGAAGCTTGCGAGTTCCTTTGAGTCTCTTGAAGAAGAGCGCTGGTGCTTCTTGCGCCTAAAAAAGCTTCTCCTGGCGGTTGTTGAGCCTCGGCGTGCGTCACCACTTTCCAAATCGCCCAGGCTGCGACGAAGGAGCAACTCTTCCTCCACTCTGAGCACAAGAATTTATTTCAAAAAGATGTATTGATAAAACAAGAATTCTTACTTGTATTTACTGGGAATAATTCCACACTGCTGGCGGTGGCCATCCTCATCCACCAGCCACGCTCGCCAGTGTCCTGGAGAGCCATTGAACATGGTGTTGTCCACATAAAGCACATCATCTTTCCTGAATCGAAGATAAGGCTCGGTGGTGTCAGAGTTTCGGTCGAACATTGCTCGTATGTAAAAGCTGTCGCACGGCTTGTCTTTTACCTCATTATATCCTGAAAAAAAAGTATAGATATAACTAACAAAAATCTTAACAACCAAAAGGCGTTCTTACGGTCAACATTGAATTGTGTCAGAACAGTGACTTTGTCTGCAGGCTTTGCAAGTTCGTACGCTGCTTCTTCGGCAGTGGCGTGACGAAGGTCACTTCCGTTGTATTCCAAAATCTGGTCGCCCATCCGCAGACCAGCTATGTCAGCAGGACTGTCGGGGGCCACACTGTGAATAAAGATGCCGACGGCGTTTCCGCCAACCAGACTTATCCCCAAATTACTGGATTTCTTTGTCTCCAGGAAAACAAATCTTGGTTCGTGTTGATTTTTTGAGTGGCCGTCATGATTGCTGAAAAATTATCATGTTATGATTTGTCCGTCAAATTTTATGGTTCCGTGAACTTACTTCGACAACGAAGCATTCTGGCGAGTGAGAGTGGACATGGCCTGGGTGACCTGATGCCTGGTAAGGGTCCCGTGTACAGACGGGGGAAGAGGAACCAAAGGTCCTCTCAACTCTGGAGAAGGTTTGTGCTTTGGTTTTGGAGAATTGCAAGGCGTTGGTGAGCCTGACCTCGAGTGTCCTTCACCCTCACTGCTGTTACTGCCAGAGTGGTCCAGAATGTGGTATTCTGATAAAAATAATTATTATTTTGGAGTCACATAATTATATTTTAAAACTCACTATCTGGACTGTACTGGACAAGCATGGTGATAGGAGTTCCACACTGCCGAAGGACGCTAGCAGCAAGTTCATAGGTTGCACTTCTCATATTTATGCCACAAACTTCCAAAAGCTGGTCACCAACCTAAGTAATAACCAGAAGATTTAAATCTTTTCTTTTTGAAAATTTAATAATCTACCTGTAGCCCAACACGAGATGCCAAACTGTGTTCATTGACAGTGGAAACAAAAACACCGCCACTATCTGGGCAGTAGATTTGTATTCCGAGATGAAGAGGCTCCATGGATTTATCTATTGAAACTTTTCTGATCACTCCTGGAGCAAGCCTGATTCAAATTGAAAATCAAATTAATTTATACAAATATTTGTTTGTTTGTAAATATTTACTTGCTGGACCAGTTGCACTCAGGAAGTGTTGTGAATTCTCCGCTGTGCAGAAGAACTTCTACATGTATTGAAGGCATGGGTGAGCCTCTCTCGGAAACTGCCCTTTCAATACTCCCTGTTGACAGCTTTCCTGCACTACTCTTACTAGTCACACTTTGGTTGGATGGGATTCTATGTAAAATAAAAATTAATATCCAAACGCAAAAGACTATAATAAAAACAAAAACAAACCTGATGCGCTGATTTTCCTTTTTTCTTGGAAATGTGCCTCCCTCGTAACCGTGGTACCCAGTGACCAGCATGTCATCACCTCCCCTATAGCTTGAGTGAGAGTGTGCAGACAAAAGGGATCTTGACTTCATGTACTCGACCGAGGGCGAGTGGGAATGATTGAATGGCTGCGGCGAAGGGCTGTACGGCGGTTCAAATGTGTATGGCCGAGAGTCCCCCGACAGCATTGACTCGCCACTTTGAGAGGACTGCAGGTGGTTTGGTGAGTAGTACCTCTGTGTGTGGCTCACATTTGTGACGTGAGGGTGTGGATGTGGATGGCCGACCGAAAATGGAGCAAAGTGAGGCAAAGAGAAAGGAGGCCGGACTAAAGAGGCATGAATGGAGGTAGGGGAGCCGTGCGAGTGAATTCTGCTGTGTGACGGAACTCTTTCGACAGTGTTAGACTTAAGGTAAGTTGGAAGGCTGTCGATGGGGCTCCGGTTAGATTCACTGTCACTCTGAGAGTGTTTGTTTGTCTTCTTTTTCTGCATGTAGTATTCGAGGACCTCCTTCTCAATGTTTCCGGACTTTACAGAGAAGTCAATGCTGGTGTCTGAAGGAGTGAGAGCGCTTAACCTCTCGTTCCTCTCGAGTTCACTGCTTGTCTTGAGGTCGACGTTCAGGGGTTGCGGTGCAGGCAGAAAGGACTTTTGAGTGGCCAAAAGTTGTCCCGACTTGCTGTACTGCATCATTGAAGTGTCGAGGCTTTTGAATGTTGAGCATGGCAACTCCCTCAAGTTGGTGTTGTTGTTGGTGGTGGGAGCACTGTTCTCCTTGTAGTTGTCGGGTGGATATTTCGGAAAGCTATTCAGCAAGACGGAGAGAGGCAACCGACCTTTAGTCTTTCGAGGGTGCAGAATCGTCCCAGTGGCGTGTTCGATGACAGGTCCGCTCCTGCATTTAGGCCACGTGCCCCTGTTTTTCTCCAACTCCTTTTCTCTGCGTTTGCTTCTTTTAACAACGGTGCCTGTGTTTTTGCCTCGGTAAGGATCGTTGTCCATCTCACTGTCAATAACATTATCCAAAACAGCAATAGCGTCATCTTTCTCCCTCTCATATGTGGTCACATGACTTAAGCGCTTTTTGTCATCCCGATTTCTCTCCTTGCTGTTACGACGAACGCCCACCAGCTTCTCCACAAACATGTCCCATGCTTTTACGGACTGACTGTTTGGCTTATCATTGACTTTATAGACAGCACGTTCTCCACCAAAAGCACTGCTAAGTTTTGCTCTTTCAGACAAAGAATCGTCAACAGTGCGGCTGTGGATGAACCTGTCGACACAATATTTAGAGGTTTCAAAAAATTTCTCATGTGGGCATTTACCTTCGGCTCTCCTCCTCCTCAGTCTGAGAGCAGCTGTTGACCATTTTTTGCTTGGCCACCTCTCTGTTAGAGCCTGGACTGGCAGTGTATGAGGCACTGTCCTCTGTGGTAATGTGTCCACTTGAACTTGAGCTCAGCGGAGCACTGGGTGAGTGCATACCCTTCAAGGTGGTTATGGTAAGAACATCAGCAGGCTCTTCCAAAATCATCATAGCCTCAGCCAAGCTTTTCACACCATCCATAGTCTTACTGTTAATCTAAAAATTGTAAAAGACTGTCAACATTACTGAGCCTCATTTCCAAATAATTAGCATACACTTAAAACTCTATCTCCAACCGCAAGATTCCCTTCTTTGGCAGCTAGTGAACCAGGATTTATTTTGCTGATGTAGATTCCCGTCTCCAGCGTGAGGCCGTGGTCTCTATTAGAGCTCAGTTGCAGCTAAAACCAAAAAGTTATTTATTATCCTCTTAACCTGGTAAAATTATATTTACCTGGGTTGTGTAAAGGCATCGAGCGCTGCCTCGGCGACGTCTGACAACAATGTGGGCAATATTCCCCCCTGTTCGCATGGCCTCAAGGACCATGTGTTTGTTGACCGCAGTACAGTCTAAGTTATTTACTCTCAGCATGCAGTCATTCGCTCTAACAAAACCATGAGATAGTTTTAAAAATTTTGTTGAATTGGACAATAAAAATTTACTTTAATTTTCCATCTGCAACACTGCCTTTAACAACCGATGAAATATAAACAGCGCTGTCATTAGGGTATTGGGGGTCATCACGGCCCCCTATTAAGTCAAAGCCCAAATCGTCTTCAGTTGCAAGACCACTCTGTAATAAAAATTAAGAATAATTACCCATATGCAAAAGCTGTTACATTTTTTTTACCAGGTCAATGTCAAAGCTCTCAGTCTCCCACTCTTGCATGTCTGCATCAATAGCAGAGTCCCTGCTGTGATTATGGCCAACCGCATGCAGCTGCTTGAGGCGAGCCTCCTTTTCGAGCTGCGCTTCCATTTTCTCCCTGCGAAACAACATTGTTAGAAGCGCAATTATTTTTAACAGTTGTTAGTCACAACGTACTTGAGCTCCTTGAGTTCCTTTGATGCCTCATTGCGCTGCTTTTTGATATCATCAGAGTCACGAAGTGCCTCGGCAAGATCAGAGACAGCCCGGTCACGCTCCTTCCGCAGGCGGTCGCAGAGTGTTCGGATGCTCTCTCTCTCCAGCACAATTTTGTCACGCTCACTGAACGCCCAGTCTCGCCTCCTCTTTGAAACCTCCGCCTCTTGAATAGCCTCTGTAACAAGAGATAGTTCAAAAACTGCGCTTGACACCCCTTTTTGGTCTAATTAGGCATGAAGGTTCAAATGGCTCATCCATTTGCATGCAGGGACAATTCATTGACAAAAGCAAACTCCATGCAAACATTGTGAAATGAACACCACCTTTTTTGCTAGGATATATTGTCCACATAACTGACGATGCATTAAGAGAAGATAAACAACATTAGTTGATTAATTTTGTACAGCAGAGTCAAATTCACACTTTTTGATTAATTAAATACAGGCCATATAAACAGACTTGCAAAGTAATTTGGCAATTTTTTTACCTTGTAACTCAGCTTGCAGTTTGTCAACTTGTTTCCTCAGTCTATCAATCTCTTGGTTCGCTTGATCCAAATTGTCCATCCGTTCCCGCTGCGCTTTGCTGTACAGATCTCGAGAGCTGCTCGCACCTTCATTGCTCTCTTTTCTTGAACTAATATTTTGTGTATTGTTAGCGTAAATTTTTTTAAATATTAGGCTTAGGTTACCTTTCTCTGTTGTAGATATCATACTCTAGTCTGCTCTTTAGACTCTCCCTGTTAGACTCTTCCTTTGAGGAGTAACCACCGAATTTCTCCCGCAGGTCATTGCACTCTTTGAGAGCCTTGTCTCTGTCATGCAGAGCTGAAGCAATTTCAATTTTCAGGGTCTCGATTTGGTACGAGAGTGTCTTTTTCTGCAAAAGCAATTCTCTGATTAACGTCTTTGACCCCATCGTAAAAATTGGCAAACACAATTTAAACAGGCGACAAAAATTAACAATGATAATCTTATCACTTCACAGTTGATAAAAAATTTCACCAAGGACGTCTAATTTTGTAATTAAAAAAGAAACATACCTCATCTCCGAAATCCTTGTTTTCGACTTCCAACGCTTTGATTTTCTTTGCTGCCTGTGAGAGGTCGTCAGTGAGTTTCTCTATTTCCTTGTGCACAGTGTCTCTTTCACTCATAATCAGTGTGTACTCTTGCATGGCTGCGTTTCGCTCGTCAGCCAAGCGTTTCAGATCCTTACTAGCTTTCATGCGTACGGCCATCGCTTGGTTCACTTCTTTCACAGCTTCCTCATGCTGCTGCTGAACCTGGATGCATAAAAAATTAATAGTTGAAAGTTCAAATTTATCTAGGAGAAAGAGCAAACCTTTGATAACGCGTCTCTGTACTCATTCCTCTCTCGCAGCGCAATGTCCCATTGCCTAATGGCAGCGGTGCACTGCTGCTTTAGTCCATTTCTCTCTCTTATTGCCGCATTCAGTTCTTGAGCAATATCCTCACACTGTTTCTTATAACGAGTGGTCTCCTCCTTTTAAGTGTAAGAGGAAAAATTAAAGTGTCTACAAAAAAAAATTAAATTAAATCTACCTGGGAGGCTTCCAGTTTGTTGACAACCAAGGAGTGAGTGCCGATCAGATCGTCGTACCTCTTCCTTAGCGAGTCATAGTCGTCTTTGACAACCTCGTACTTGCGCAAAGTGGACATGTAATGCTGGTTTAGGGCTTCATTGACCCCCATGTCGGTGCTGATGGCCTCTTGCTGGGCGCGCCGCAGCTCCAGAATCTCTTTGCGCTGTTCCTCGAGGAACTTCTGCAGGTTTTGGGCCTCGCGCTCGGCCCGCTGCTTTTCAGCCATCAACTCGGCGCACTTTCCACGTAAATTAGTTGACTCCTGAGTCATGCTCTCAAGCTGGGTGACGGCCCCTCGGTGCTCGCCGCGATAGTACTCGAGTTCTTTCATAGTGTGGTCGCACCGCCGGATGGTCTCGTTGTTCTGCCGCTTCAGCGATTGCAGTTCGTGCATTGCCTTCTCGCACTGCTGCTTCAGCCCATCGTAGTCTTTGGCTGTTGACGAAGACAGACTGCGGTCGCTTGTCGAGGAATTGTAGTTGCGGGTCAGACTGCCTCCTGTGAAAAAAGGTCAAATAGTGGGATTTTATCATTCACAAAATTAATTGATCAAAATAAAAATAAAATAAAATCTTTCTATTTTTGAGGCTTTAAATTTTAAAAAAGTAAACCAATGAACTGAAAAAGTCTTAAAAACAAATTTTACTTTTTGCTCCATACAAAAACTATCATATTATCATATTTCTTGTGTGGCAATGTATTTCTTTTTCTCGCCTCATGATAATTGCAGAAATTCAATTAGCCGACTTAACTTGTTATAGAAAGCTGAAAGCGTAAATTAATTGGGCATGTCGCATTGTGAATTGCGGAAAAAAGAAAACATTAAAACAGCAGGTTGAACATCATAATGAGATAATTATTTAATTTACACTGATTTACACCTGAACATTTTATTAACTTCGTTCATTTCCTATTTTAAGTTAAGTTTTAGTTATAACTAAATATTCTCCTGGGGACAAAAAAGGCTAAAAATTTTCACCTAAATAACCTAGAGCCATTTTTATTTTAAATATTCACAATCTAATTAAAGCTGTTTAAAACTTTATTGTATTTAGACTAAATATCTATAATTTAAATAAATTCTGGCCTACTGAATGTTTTTTGTTTTAAAATGCATTAATACAATTTTTTGTTGAGGTTGTATTTAGAGCAAATCTAAAACTGAGAATTTGCCAAATTTCCTTGCCTCTTTCAAATTTTGATAAAAAATATTTAATAAAAATTATATAAATAATATATATAAAATAAAAAAAAAATTAAAATAAAAATTTAGAGCAATTTTTAAAGCGCAGAAAAACATTTATTTTACTAACCAGTGGGTTGACTGCTGTCCAGTGAAGACCCTGCCGAGGCAAGGGCGAGCTGCTTGAAGGCACCGTCGCGTTCGGTGCTCACCCTCTGCAGCTCCTTCTTCAGGCTCTCCCTGTCGTGGGCTGCCAACTTGAGCTCAGCCTTGAGCACCTTCAGGCTGCTCTGCTGCAACTCGTACTCGTGTCCACTCATCATGGAGGTCACCGGGCTCGGGGTTGGAAACGGCCGCTCCAGGGTGGCTGCCTTATCCTCCATTGCGTCCACGTCCGACGGGCCGCCGCCAGCGACTGAAAAAACGATGCAAAATTTAGTTTGACAGTTCGGTTGCTTCCACGCTCCAGTTCGCCGCTCCGAAACAATAAAAGAAAGAGGCCCTGCTTTTTTATGCTGACGGAGGACGGAGAGTATAAAAGGGGTAGGCGATTTCGTCGCGCCCCTGTCTAGCTCGGTGCTTTGAATTTTCGCGTGTCAATATTTGAACAATCGATCCGTCGTCAGCCGAGGACCAGCAGATTTTCAAGATTTATTTTTTTGTCCTCTGCCAACCTGTCAATCCCCACCCCCTCGACCCCGTGTGGTACCGGAGCACCGCAGGCCGTCGGGACGCTCGCCGAGAATTTTCCGCGAACGTCGCGGGCGGGCTCAAGATTCTCCAGACACGCAGAGACACTTTGAGAAAAGGGACGGACAGTAATTTGTTTACTAACCTGCCAAAAAGTTTACATCTTTGCGCTCCGCCATTTTGAATTGGTGATCGGCTAAGAAGATTTTGCCTGTTTTCTCGTGCTGCTCGCAGTAATCGAGGTGAACAGTAGGAAGGACATGATCTGCATTAACTGGGCCAGAGGTCGGTGCAAAAAATTAAAAGATTCGGTGGAAAAGTCGCACGGAATTGCAAAAATTAGTGCGCTCCATGTAAGAACCATTGAACCAGCAGGTTCACCATGTTTATGGAAACAAGGGTGGGGGAAGAGGTGCCGGACGTTGCCACAGGCTGGCGCTGATGTCATATCAATGGCATGTAAAGTAAATTTAGTAAATAACACGACCACATGTTCAGCGTGCATCGTGTTATCAAACATCAAAGCTGTGAGTCCAGAAAGAACAATTTTCTTTTCATTTTTTGGCTCATTTAAGACATTTTCGTTCGGTAATTTTCATCAATTAAGCTTCATAAATTTTATTTTTTATCCTATCAATTTATTCGTAGGTCAAATATGAAGAAATCTCAAATAAAGCGCAAGCCTGAGTCGGATGCCTCTTCCGCTTCTGAGGAAAGTGAAGAAGAACAGCCTTCTGAGGAAAGTGAGGGAGAACAGCCTTCTGAGCCTTCAGATATTGAAGAGGAAAATGAATTGGACACACAGGAAAGCCCTGAGAAAAGGGCAAGGGTTGATGACAACTCCGAGAGCGAAAGCGACGATGGATCAGTGACGGGCAACGCAGGTTGGGCGGACGCAATTTCAAATGTGCTCCGAACAAACAAGCCAAAGAAACAAAAGACTTTGATTCTGTCACGAGCCAAAAAACTGAACAGTGGTTCTGTAGTGAAGGAAGAACCTGAAGAAGTAGGATTTGAAATTGATGGGGAAGGGAAAGAAGAAAAGGAGGATGAGGATAAGAAAGAGGAGAAGCCAGACGTGAAGCCAATTTTGACTGCTGCTCAGCTTCGAGATCAAAAATTAAAGGTACGGAAATTTAATGGAGAATGGCAGAATTTGTGTAGAAAAAAATTGACTCTTAAAAATCAAATAATAAACTTATAAATTATGTACTTAATTTTCTGTTTTGATTGCAGAAAAAAACTTGGGACACGATGTGTAGGAGCAAACCCAACGTTCTAGGAATGAACAGAGAAAAGGCTCTTGGAAAAATTGCAACTCGGTTAGTTTTAAATCTATTTTTTCCTCCTTCCATTTTATATTGTGTTTATTCAAATATTTCTCAGAGGTGTCATCCAACTGTTGAACGCAGTCAGGAAGCAACAGAAAGATGTTGAAAGTCAACTTGAGGAAGCTGGAAGTTCTGAGAGGAAGAGGGACAAGGTCCTGAAATCGGTAGATAAAAACAGTTTTCTAGATATTTTGATGGGAACAAGCAAGAGCGTTCACCTTGGAAGAAACAAACTTGAAAAAGACGAAGAAGTTGATAATTTTGATTTGAGCTAATAAAATACTAAGGTTATAATACTAATTTGACGAGATTGTTGTTTTGTCGATAACATAATTAATTATTTATCAACCTTGTATTAAAAATCAACGTTAACCTATTTGCTTTCTTTTTTAAATAATAATTTAATTTGCAATTAATATTAGTGAAAGGTTGCACATTGCTCTATAAAATCTTTGCAAATTTAATTTATTTAATTTTCAGAAAGGCTGACTTATTTTAAGGGAATAATTAAACACGCCATTATTCTCTTTTAGTATTTCAATTTATGAATATTTATTTTATTATGGATATTATAAATCATATTCTTGACATTTACTCCATATACACATGATTATATATACTGGCAAGAAATACAAAACCAAGAAAGGGTACAATTCAAAGATGACCAGATAAAGAGGTCGTCGACTTCTTAGCATCACTTGTGTTTATAGCTAAAGTTCTAAAATAAGAATGCATTTAACTCAAAATATCTTATTAGACGATTCAACTCCATGATTATTTTCTGTTCTCTCAAAATGTGTTTACACGATAGAAACTGACTAGTGAGTCCAGCGTATACTCTCTTTTTATTACATCCGCTCTTAATAGCAGAGGTCTTCGATGCTGGTGAGTCTCTTGCCGAAAATCTCTGCCTCGAGCTTGGCCAGCGCCTGCAGCATTACGTCTGAGGGCTGGACGGTGGGTCGACACGCCTTGACATGGTAAAAGGCGTCTTCGAGGGAGCACGAGCATTGCTGCATCAGCAGGGCCATCACCAGGGCGGCGCTCCTGTCCACGCCCAGCTCGCCGTGCACCAGAACCTTTCCTCCGGCAGCAAAGGCCTCGCGGACAAACTGAACCATTTCTGACATTTTGTCCGTCAGCAGGTTGCTGGTGACCGCCGGGTCGTCCAGAGTGTCCGTGGACGCGTGACTCAGACAGGAGGGGCCGCGCGACTTGCGTTTGAACTTTGCCTCTAGGTGCGATGGTGGCGCCAACAGTGTCCGTACTTTGTCCGACGTGTCCCGCGGACTGCTGGGTGCTTTAGTGGTGCAGATGACGTGGGAAACTCCTAGATCGTGGAGCACGGTAGGGTCAGACGCTTGGTCGTTTCGGCCGAGGAAGAGTCGTCCGTCCAGAATGATGGAGGGGAACCAGGATAGCAACCGGAAGCCGCCCTGGTCAGACGTTTCTGTTCGGTTGGATCGTCGGTTCAGCAAGTATGGACACTTTTCCCGAATGGCCCTGAGACCGCCCTCCAAGCAACAGGGCTCCAGTTTGCGGTCTCGGAGGCTTCGGAAGAGGCGCCTCATGTCCGATTCAGGACGTCCGAGGGAAGACCCATCCGCGTCGTACAGAATGATGTGCCAGTAACGCTGTAGAGGGTCTTTCTCAGCATCCGGAGGCAGTTTCAGATTGTCCACGTTTCCGTGCCACTTGGCCGTGAGGATGTGCTCCTGTTTGAAAAGGTTTTCGTCCGCTCGCATGTCCACGATAAGCAGGTAGTCCGGGTTGCGCACGTACGGCGCATAAAAGCCGTCGTAGAAGATGTTGTGCAGCGTCTTCACTGGCATCAATTCTGTCTGAGCGTCCAGATCATCTTCCAGCGGCATTGGCGATTTCACCAGTCCCTCCGACTCTTCCATTGCCGCTGAAACAAAAATCAAAAGAAATTTGAATTATTTGTATTGTGCTTAGTTTGCACTATCGCCAAAAATTAACTAAAGTAAACTTAGTGTTGAATAATTTAAATAATGATTGGGTACATATGTGCAGATATTTTTTTTACGGATTTCTCATTGGTTTCCCAGACTTCTATTTAATAACTATTTTATGATAAATGGTTGCAATTTATTTCCTAAAATACAGCCCAGATTTTGAGAAAGTTTCTTTTTCATTATTTTCTATTCACTTTTTTATTTAGTTTTAAATATATAATTATTGAAAATTTTATTTGTGAAAAAATCAAATGATAGGCAGCTTTTTATTTTCATATTTCCGGATTCTTTTGACTTGCGTGTAGATCGGACAGGTGCCTGCTGATGGGGAACAGGGAGTTTCTGGAACATTTCGAAGAAAAGTAGATCGATAGTATGTTCCGAAGGGGGAAATGTTTTGCCGCGTATTTTTCTATACATAATATTAATGGGAGATTTTCCAAAGATATTTTGACTTTTTCAAGCATAGGGAGAAACTATGCTGTTGAACTCAATTAGTAAGATTGCCCTAGAAAAATAACGCAGCTCGCATTTCAGATCCCAATCTGTTCGGCCGAGCTTTTATATCTCGTGATCAAAAAAGAAAAGCAGGCATAATTTTGGTATGCGGCACGAAATTCTCATGTTCATTTTTATGACGGGTGAGGTGTAGAATCTATAAACTCGCAATTTAAATTTTTCTACGGACATTGACGTTTTCACTATAGAAAATGCAATCGCTATAAAAACCAACAAAAACAATAAATGGAAAGTAATTTTTTCCATCAATTTCTTATTTTAAAGTTAAAATTTTTTTCTCACAATTTCAGTAAAAAAAAAGAACAAAATTAGTAAAATTCAATAAAAGTTTTAATTAAGTTTAAAAATGATGTAAAAAAAATTGGAAGATAATCTTGGCGCTGATACAGTGCATTCTTAAATGGTGCGTGACCTCTGGATGGTTGGAAGAGGCGCCGAGTGTTTATTATTTTTCGACTCCAAAGTATTTTTAATGTCCGCATCGCTGCGATGATGATGAGCATGTTGATTGAGCCGTGCACGTCGGACGCGGCGAGAAAATAAAACGCCGCGCTCGTTATAAATTCGGACCCAAAATAGAATATTATTACAGGCACACGCACACCCGCTTTTAAAATGCAGAAAGTGGGCAAAAAGAAGAGACTGTTTCTGCTCTCCGCCTAGAGCTCTTGTTTATATCTCTCAAAGACAGATAAAGATTGGAGGGACCTCGGCGCTCTCTCGCTCCGCCGAACGCTGACATCATCCGAGAAATAAAACGCTCTTAAATTCATCCCGCAGCCTTGGATCTTATGTTACGCACTTCGCATGTACACACGTATAAAAAACCCAGCAGCAACCTGCTGTCTGAATATGAAAGTCTTTTCACGTAAAAATCGATAAATAAACATACATGGGCAGAGCGCACTTTGCGCTCTGCGATCTGCGCTCGCGCTCTGCGCTCATGAGCGCGAGCGCAGAGCGCGATCGCACGATTTTCAAAATCGTGAGCGCGAGCGCAGAGCGCGAGCGCATTGGTCGCTGAGCGCAGCGCTCAATTGCGCTCATTTTGCGCTCAAACCAAAAGTAAAAATTCCCGAATTTGATCAAAAATTGTAACGAAAAACAGTGTTTTTATACCAAAAACTAAAAAACTGATCCCAATTTTGGTAATTTAACTTCAACTTTATCTTTTCCAATTGCCGATGTATTTTTTGTTATATTAAAAAATTGTCTAAAAAGTCGCACTTTTTCTTCGGATAAAAATATTTTTGAGCGCAACGCGTGAGCGCAAGACTTTTAAAAAATTTGAGCGCGAGCGCAGAGCGCGAGCGCAACATTTTCAAAATCTTGATCGCGAGCGCAGAGCGCGAGCGCACTGTTGCCAGTGATCGCGAGCGCGAGCGCGAGCGCAAAATTGTTGAGCGCACCCATGTATGTAAATAAATAATACATACAATAGGAGCCCACGAGGGAATGGCACCGCAGACGGAGGCACGCGCCATTTATCGAGGCGAATGCATGCATGTGGATTTGTCGTGCAAACGCAGGATGAAAAGCGGTTTTGGCGAAAAAGGTTACGGGCCACGCTAAGAGGGCTGAAAAATGAGCTTATGCCGAGCAATATTTTAGGCGCAGAGGGCGTCTCTTTACCTCAAAGGGGGCTTTTCCAGTTATTAAAAAAGAGACGAAAAAGCAAAAGATATGAAAAGCTAGAGGCAATTTATTTACAAATGTTAAAATAAATTATAGTGCTGCAAGACAAAATAATATATTCTTATATTTCATATAAAAATGGAATTTTTTTCTATGTTCTGCTGATGATTTTTATCTTCTTTTTTAATTGTTTCATATCATTTTCTGTTTAAAAAATATACTTGCAGCCTCTAAAAAAGTTAAATAAACTCAAAATTTTTGATATTTATTAGTTCAGAAAATCAAGTTTTGCCCGTTTTTTGTGTGTATGTGTTATTTTTATAAAGCAGGGAATTTTTTATAATTTTATTTAATAAAATATTTATCCTGAATGTAAAAATAAAAAATTGTCCAGAGCAAATATTTGACCTGATTGAAGCCCCGCAATATTTATAGGTAATTAAAGTTCGTCGAGCAATAGGATTTGTTTGTTTTTTTCATTTAACACCGGCGTGTATAGCAGCGAACCGAACACAGTCGCATTTCAATCAGCTTACGCAACACGGGCGTCGGTATATAAATTATAATCCGGAGCGACCGCCAACTTCGCACCCCCGCATGCACGTCAATAACGCAATCATCGAATTACACGCGACACACACCTCAACCCCGACGGCGCCGAATCCCCCTGGTTCATGGTTTATAAAAAAGAAGTCGGTAAGCATTAGGGTGCGTTTCGCAGCAAACTTGTGAGAGAATTGCGTGCACTCAAAAATAATATCAAAATTAAGCTGGTGGTGTGTCAGCAGCAATTTACGGCTTTCGATTTATTAAGAGAGAGGTGCTGGGAAAGATGATCTCCGGCTCGTAATTTTGCTTCTAGGAGCTTAGCTGGGTCGAAATTAACGCAGGTTGTAGTAGGTGGAGAAAGAGTGAGCGTGGATTTGCCAGCTGTGTTGAATCGTAAATCACAAAAGCGGGCTAGAGATGAAATTTGGGGACTCCTGAGGTGCCGAGAATATGAAATATATTTTACAACCTGCATGTTTTGCGGAATTAACTGAAAAATGTTTTCGGTAACGCTAAAAAAGCTAATGAACATTAAATTAAATTAATTAATTCATAAATAAAGAACGTGAAGGAATAACAGGCAATTCAATTCAAAAGCAAATTTCAAAATATAACTTAAATTATTATTTTACGCTGAAAATGCAGTAAAATAATGAAATTGCGAATTAATTCATTAAAAATTTTCAATTTATTTTTTAAGAGGGAATGAGAGGTAGACAAATCTCAACCTTAATACTCAAAACTTCAATTTTTGGTCTAATAAACAAACTAAAAATAAATAAATTCTGGATGAAAGAACCGCTTTTTAAAATTAGAAGTTGGTGAGAAATTTTCTGCCGTATGTGAAAAACACGGCATACAAAGGGGGCATTAAGGGTGCGTGCCACACTCCTTCGCTTCCGAGTTTGATACATAATGGTAACAAATCCAGCAGCGTCATTAAGGTCAGCAAAAGTTTCGAAACAAATTTTTGTGTGTATGCGCAGGTGGAGAAGAATGACTGTCAGCGAGAAGGGCTCAAAGATGGATGGTTGGGTGTCACGCTCGCGGCGCTTTTATGCGCGTATTGTGGCGTACAAATGTCATCACTCACTCTAACTCTAAATCCCATTCTGGCAATTCTCCTTTTCGATTTTTTCCGGCAACCATATAAAAAAATCAGAACAGAAACATCAAAGAAGTCGTATCAAATTATGTGAGTAGAAATTTTTAGAATTAAAACCCAGGAGACGAACGAGATTATAAATGCTTTTGGGCGGTTTTTTTCCTTCTGCCGTTTTTTCCTTTTCGCTTGTTACAAAAAAGGCACAGAGGAAATTGACAGCCACAAGCATTCTCGTGTGCGAACAAAGGAACCTACGAGAGCACTTCAACTTCTTTGTGTGTTTGCTGCCAGCGTCTATATGTGTTAAGCACATCTATTTGCATGCACGAAAAGCCGGCTGGCTGTTTGAGCTCGAGAGTAGATGCACTCGTCAGACATCATCAGCAGTGCATGTACTTCTCAAATGCAATGCGTGCCGAACTTCAAAAAGTTCTGGTTGTCGATCCCCGTCAGTGATTACAGCTCTTCACAAATGGGAGCATTGTTGCTCCCCGCGTGCACGTCGGAATTAAAATGCTGATGAGAGCCCTCGCTTACTTTTTGAATTCAAAATGCATCATCTATGTGACAGGGGGGTATGCATGGCGTGGAAAACAAGAACACCTATCATTATCAACAGACGGCAAACGAGGAAGAAAAATCAGAAATGTTTTGAAACGATGTCAGCTCGTAAAAGAATCTTCAGTAACTTAACTGATTTCAAATTTATGAGTCCGCCTCTTAATTTTTTGTGGAGGGGCTGCATGAATTTTTTAATCATTAAAAATATGAGTTTAAGAAAAAAAATTATTAATTTTGTTATTAAATTAGCTAAATTTAAGTAAAAAAAATACGTTAAAAAGAGATGTAATAATTGGAAGATTAAGCTTTAAAACTCTATCTTGTTAGATTCAGGAGTTGGAAAAAATTATCATTGTTCGATTCAGAATAAAATTGGTCGCTCCGACTATTTTGGCAAGGCTTCAATTTCAGCAAAACATACATTATCACTATGCGACAAACAGAATAATTTCAATTGCATTATTATGTATTAAACAACCGTTCCAATTAAGTGTATGTCGCGTGTAAACTCGAAATGTTTTCAGATTGGAATGCGAGATAGAGGTAATAAACAGAAGGCACGCTCAGTTTTAATTATTCATTTTCCTTCCGGCCAGCAGAAAACAGCTTAAAAACAGATATTTGAATTAATCAGCTTTAAAATAAGCAAATTTATTAAATTATGATCTTGCAAAAAGAGATCTAAACTGTTTGAATTTTTAAAGATTATTACTTATTTTCGTACAGAGGAAATACCGCAACAAAATTGATTTTACCAAAGAGCGTTGTATACAGAAAATTATAAATTTCAAATCGGCTTTTGCGTTGACAGCGAGCGCCGCAGTAAGCTGAGGTATGCAAATCACGCATTAGTGAGAAACTGGGGCCGAAAAAATGCGCCACGATTCGGCCGCAATGCCGTCGAGTTTGCGGCAAACTGGCCGGCGTCTCATCGGGACAACCACTCACCCAAATGGTATTGCGACAGCCGGTTGAGGGTGGCTTTGTTCTTGCTCTTGCTGTTTGAGCACCCCATGTTGTTTTCCGTTTTTTATTCACGCGGACGAGCAGCAGGTCTTCGCAGCATCGTTCGGCGCCATCGACTGAAGCCGGCGCCGCCGAGACACCGAGAGAGAGAGATGCTGAGCTGCTTGCTGACGACGGGCCACTGCCGGCCAGAAGTGTGCGTGCATCATCCGAGGGTGGTTAGTTGCAGCACAGGCAGGGGTGCCTCGCGCCACGAGGGACCACGAAGTCGGCCGACGCGAACTCGCGCGCACGCACTCCCTTTTTTCTTCTCGCGCCGGCGATGCAATGATTTATCTCCGAGAACCACCCCTTTCCACCCCCCGACTGACAGACGATCTCGGTTGGGACCGTCTGCTCTCTCGTCTCGTGCAAAAGCAGATTATTAAAAATATAAATAAAATGTCGTGCAGCTTTCGTTTGTCGTCTCGGGGTCAATTAAAGTCATTTTCCACCGTGTCACTTTGAGTCGTTAATTTATTTTTGTGATGCGGCAGCTGTATGTACATATTTTAATAACTTGGTGATGGGGGTGTGCTTTTAGAGGGGTGTGGGAAAATTTGTTGCGTCGTTTAAAGAGGGTTTACATGAGATTTAATTTTTAATAATGAGTGTTTTAAGCTTTAGAGCAGCTTTGAAAAACGATTCAAAAATTTAATATTATTGAGGGAGTAATTTAATTTTATTAAATAACAACTCTTAAAGCCTTTTTAAACAGTAAAAACATTGCAAGAATTTAAAGGCAATTTACATAATTAATATTTTATAAAAAAAAAAATGTTGAAACCTTTAATATTTTCGTATATTTGCTTCGTTTTTCTGATATTGTGTGTTTTGCCGTAGTAATTAACTTCATTATTATTATTATTTCAAATCCATAATTTAATTTATTTCATAGAACTGTGTGAAAATTTAATCAATTTTTTTTTTGTTAACATCAATTTCTTTATTTGCTTAGATTTTTCCTTGATGTGACGCAAATAAAAATTAAATTAAATCTCTAGATCAACCTAAACTACCATTGTATTAACAAGTCGTAAATTCAATAAAATTTTCAAAATTTCATTAACTCTGTATTGTGAATTACAACATTGGTTTGAATTAAACAAAGAACAAAATTAAATTGTTGATTAAATTTTTTCTTTGGATTTTTTTATTCACTTGGCACCGCTCCAACTGAAAAAACCGCACTCTCTCAGGTTAGTGCAATAAGTCTCTCCCCTAAACAAGACGCAATTCGTCTCCTTAATTGAAAATAATTCCCGTCTCGCAGTTCTCTCTGCCTTTCCAGCTCTACGACGCACTTGGAAACTGCGCTATACTCGCGATCGTTTCCAGCGCGGTTAGTAACAAACGCGGCGGCCGGATCAGATCTGCTCTCTGAGGGTTTGCTTCGTGTCGCAACCAATCGGATTGGATTGCACGGGCATAAAATATGCATCGCAATAAAAATATATGAAACTGGCCGTCAATGTGAATCTGTCAGAAAGCGGCGTTTGATTTATGCGTATTTGCGAAAGGGAATAGGCGCGAGGAACAGACACGTGGCACAAGTCAAATGAAACTAATTGGATTTATTGGACGGGAATTTATTATTTCATCTGCACAGCCCCCGTGTGTGTATATTCTGGTCATCGCTTTTGGATTTTTTTCTGAAGAGCCTCATATCCTGTCCAGTTATCGCACTTGAGTGTTCCAGATGCGAAAGAGTCGGACGAGAGGAATTTTTATTATATTCTCGTCTGGTGGTTTTGAAAGCGCGCGCTCGAGTCGTCGGGAAAAATAATGAGAGGCCTTGTGCACACATATACCTCCCGTTGGCTTTGGAGGGTAATCGGAGAGAGCAAATGTAAAAATCATTTCCTCCCCAGTGACGGCAGAGTTTTCATCAATCTGATGCACACATAACGCGATACGGGCTGGCTGTTTTTTGTGTCATTATTGTTATTATTTCTGTCGTCGTCGACTTCTGGTTGAGCAAAGTCTTTTTCACCGTAGCCAGACTGGGAAAACGGAGAGAAAGCCCCCATTTGATTGGAAACTGCGCCGGGTAGACAGAGAGTGCGGTGAACAAAAGCGCATTTCACGGAGAATAAAGAGAGGCCGGAGAGTTGCCACAGGGCTCAAGTTTTGCGCGCAATGTGATGGCGGCTTTGGAAAAAAGCCAGACTTGAGTGAAAGGCGGAAAATGCATCTGCATTACTGATATGTGCAGTGACAGAGAGGAATTTTGAACCCTTTTTGTAGGTTAAATTTTAATATTAAATACATTAAAAAAAAAAAAATAAAGCAAACATTAACCCCGAAGTATGTTTGATGAAAAACAAAATGGTTTTTTGATTATAACCTGGAAAATTTTTCTCAAACTTTTTATATTGTTTAAGAAATGCAGAAAAATCCAGTAAAATTAAGCCCCATTCCATCAAAATTATAGACACTCCCCTGCAAACATGAGAACGCAACCTGCGCGCTGCAAATGTCGAGCCGGTTGCATATCTCGCATGGTGCCGTAGGTAGAAGAGCCACGCCCCCATGTGCGAGAGGCGAGAGAGGGTAAAGAGGAAAACATAAACAAAGAATGCTTAGATTAGTTCAGAACCTCAACTTTTAAGCTAGAATAATTTATCATGGAGCAGGACGAAGGTGCGACAAGCGTAGCTGATGAAGATTCCTTGGATCTGGTATTATTACATACATATGATTATTTAAATTTTAGGAAAATGTATTTTGTTATTTGCATTTGTCGCTAAAACAGCAAGAGACCGTAGCCGAAGCAGAGTACATTGACATAAGTGATGATGACGATGAAAGTCTTGAAGAATTTCCTTCAAGTACGAAAAGACAGTCAGAGAAATTGCTGGGACGTTACGGTAAAAATAAACGATTGAAATTAAAAGCGTCCAGCAGATTGTTAGCCAAGGAGCGGAAAACCGACGACGATAACCTACCAATAGGTAATAATTTTAATCACTGCGGACTCAAAATAGAATTTTAACTGTTTATTATATTAATTTAAATATTTTACAGATAGATTTTTGGCCAGCCAGCCCGGTTTTACCACAGAAGAACAAATTATTCTCTTGAAAGCTGTCAACGAGCACCGCAATGATGTGGCATCAATTCAGAAAATGCTCCCGCACAGGAGTCTGTCCGAGATCGCATTATATCTGCAACGCAGAAAATCTGTGGGAATGAAACTTCCATACAAGAAAAAATCTACACGCGACCTTCCAAGCCTTTCCAACATTGACAGTTGGGTTTCGGCTCTGTCAAAAACCAGATCTCAACTTGTAAAAATGGAACTGTCTTGGGTAACGTATTAACCAATTAGGAATATATTTCCGTTTTATATGTAGAAATTTTTAAAGGCTCTGCAGATGATTGCCCAGCATGAGAAACACCCACCGCCGGAAAAGTGCGGAGGGATTGACTTTAAAAAAATGTACCTCTACCTATCACAAGTTGTAAATGGAGATGCCCCCTCGTAAGTAATATTTGTTTCCAAATTAAAGATTGACTTTGAATTTGCATTAGGGAGCTATCCCCTCAAAACATGGCGTTGCTGGCTGCGTCCGTCAACATGGTTCAAAGTCACACAACCCAACTTGAATTTGGTCCTGCCCTTCACAAAGTCATCAAGGATTTAAAAGCTCGTGACATGGAAAACATTAAAAAGAAAGTGAAAACTTATAGTGGAATAAAGAATACACAGGCTGAAAATGTAAAAATGTTTTGCTGATTATTATGATCATTATTAATTATATATTCTCAAAATTTTCAATTAGGTTTGCTGGGAAGATGAAACTGGTTTTAACCCTTTGAAGATCAAAAACGACCTGCTTTCCATGGATCCAGACAAGGTTCATCAGTTGCCTTTGACCACCGAAGTTTCCGAACCCATTCCCAGGTCTACAAATGAGAAGATATTCTTTGACAAGAATGGTGTTCCGTTTGAAAGTGATTTAGTTTTTAATGCTTTAAGGCTCGAGGAAAGGCCAACCATAACAAGCATCAGGTAAAATATTTTGCATCATTTTTTAATGATTTTGACATTGGAACGACCAGGTGCAACGGAGACGACATTTACATTCAAATGCCCAATGTGACGAGCGAGAGTCTGAAGAAGGTGCACTTCACCTGTGATGATGCCTACCCAAAACCTCTGTCCACGATCCACATCGACGTTGAAAGGGATTCCAGCAACTTGCTGACGTCGGTTATTCCTAAGGACATGATTACTGTTGCTTCTTGTGGGCCAGACAAAGAAACAAAAATCATCAACCTTGAACAATGCAAAGTGGCCATTTCCAGGTCCAGAATCGTGCACAAGCTGCCTAAAGATGAATCTACTGCTACTGACATTCAATTTTTCCCCAAATACACACCTAAAGGAGATTTGAATCCAAGTTTCCAACACTACAGTGTCCCTGTGACCGTTCGCAAAGAATAAAATAATAAAATTTCTCTTTTGATGACATTGATTTTTAATTGGGTCAATATTATTTTATTTAAATACAGTAGCATTATCTTCCTTAGAAGTTTTGTTTTGAGGAAATTACGAGGCGTCTCCGCTATCCATTTTTGTTCCGCACCGGGTGAGATCCCTGATGAGATTCAGAACGGATTTGCGTTGATTGTCGATGACTCGCTGGTCCAGGATGGGACATACGCCAACCTTTTCGTAGATGCACGCGTGGTTGGCAATATTCTCGGCGTTGCACAGGACGTGGATGCCACAGTCGTAAGAATTTTCCTGTCTCAGGCAAATGAATTCTTCAAGTTCTGCTCCGTCAGGAGCTAAATACGGCGCAAGCTTCATCACAATTTTCCCGGCAGATGAATAATTGGTCCTTGACATGGAGTCAAAGTGGAAAAAGGTGTTGCTCTCTGGCCGACTGTACACAAGCAGACTCCAGTGAGAGCCGCCGGATTCGTCCGAAACCATCGAGTCGTTGACAGGGAAGAAGATAAATTTCTTGTCCTTGGCATTGAGTGGGCCCAGGAATCCGTCCAAGTCTTCTTTGCTGCTGCCCTTGATGCACTGCGTCACCTCTGGGCTGACAAAGAGTAAATCGTTGAAGTCCTTATATTTGAGCTTCTGCAGATACTCGAAGAAAAAGCCGATGAGGGAGTCGTTGAGCCAGTGTTGCCCTTTGAGCAGGTCGACATCGGACACTCGGAGGACAGTGTCGAAAAAGCTCAGAACGACAGGATCGGAAGCCGGCATTGCGGCAACTTCTTACTCGATCAATATATAATTCAAAGCCGGCTAGGTAGATTGGCAGGAGTTTGCTGTGAGACAGAAAAACAACGGTGTGTGAGCTGGATTTATTATTGAAATTTAAAATAAGCAATACCTCAAGAAGGAAAAAGAGACGATGAATATAATTAAATGAGCAAATTTAATATAAAACCAACAGACTTGTTATTAAAACTGTTGAAAGTTCGCAGCAATGCGGCTTCTTTTGACCCTTTTCTTTGCGGAATTTTCAGTGCGGATATCAACAAACAACAAATAAGCGCAGGACCAATCAGCGCAAGGAGAATCAGCGCCTCCTAACAACGGGTCAAACGGGTGGCGGCAAACGGGCGGTTCGCTTAACGCAAACGCGTTTAATAAAAGCATTATTATTAAACTATGAATCACGAGAGTTCGCACATTTACACTATATCAAAGTAAAAATATGGAAATAAAAATATGAATTTTTTCACACCTTTTAAAGAAAAAGTCTCCAAGATTCCAAGATTTTTTGTGATAATTTTTTAAGAAAACTAATAATAAGAAAAATTTTCTGCTGAAAATAAAATTTATTTCAAATATATAAATATTTTGAGACCCAATTCAATGAACATTATTTACCTCATCTATACGCCTTTTTTAAGGTCAACAAGAACTTGCTAGTTAAGTTAATCAGTTTTTTGCACCAAAATTTCTTTCAGCGCCTCTGCAGTCTTGAGAGAAGAGCTTATGCATCCATCGAGATTAGAGTGGACAAAACCATCACCGGCTGCCAGCAAGGGTGGGGACTTGCTGATGAAAACGTATCCTGGCGTTTCAGGGTATGCCTCAAGAACCTGAGCACAGAAAAGTGGTCATAAAAATATTTTATTGATTGGCAAGTTGTGAATAAATATATACCTGAGAATAACGCCACTTCTGGCATTTAACAGACTTAGGCTCAGGCCACTGTGGAAAAAGCTTCTTCACTTCGGACAGCAGCTGAATTTTCACTTCGTCACCGTTTTTATCAATGTTTTCCTCGCCAAAAGTAATTGATGTGTGAAAAACAGCTGCAACGGGCTGATCTCCTATGAAAGAAGAAACAATCTAAAATTACAATTCTTTTTGAATAAATTTATAAATTACCCAACTGCCGTTTTCGACTGTCCAGAGAAACAAATCTGAACACGCCATGATCACTTAAGTATTTAGAATCCCAGTCTATGTTGCGTAATGCTGTGTTGTTGTCGAAAAATAATCCAAGTGCATATCGAGAGCTGTATTTTACCGATTTCAGATTTTTAGTCAGCTCGCTGTTTTTGTCTAAAAAAAATCATACAATTTAAAAATATGCAATCCCTCTCTTTGGCAATCTTTTTTACTTAATAAGTCTTGGACGTCACCTTCCAGTTGGAATATCTGCGGCACTGGCATGGTGAGGATGATAGCGTCAAAGACCTCCTCGCGCCCAGACTTTGTCCTCACCAGCCACTTGTTATCTGGCTGCAGGTCAATGGCACTGACATGCTGTTCAAAGTGCAGCTGATGTCCACCCTCGGCAAAGAAGTGCTTGACGATGGCATTGGTCCCAGCTGGTGCCACATAGTGTTTCGTTCCCTCAGGAAAATCTTTCAGTCCTTCAACTTTACAGGTCATGTTCTCCAGTACTTTTGACGATAATAGACTGTTGTAGAAACTGTACAGAACGTGTTATAAATTAATTGTACTGCAAACCAAACATTAAGTTTTATTTACTCATGATGTTTGGATTGGTAAGTAGGAGTTGCTGTAATGTATTGAGCTCCTAAGTCTGCAGTGCAATTACTGTTTGTCGGACTCCTTGTTGTGCTCATTCGGCCACCTGTTAATTTATAATGATGAAGTTAATTACCATACAATTAAGCTCAATGGGAAAAATCACTTGCCTGCTCCACGAGCTTTGTCCCACACTTGACAAGCGACTGGCACTTTTTTCAGCAAGGAACTGATCAAAGCGCTGGTGAGGCCACCTCCAACAAGCAGTACTTTTAAAGACATCTCTGGCGAGTTCTTCAGAATGACATTTAAATTTAAAAGTTCTCAATCAAGTCATCAACAGTCTAGTGGCAGTACATAGATGGGCAGAAAGGAGGTGTGGTCATTTGCCCATAGGCGGTTCTTTTCAAAATAAGCTCGTCTTCATAATTTCTACGAGTTGTCACAGATAGCCTGAAAATAAATATAATTCATTGTGTATACTCATAATAACAAACAGGACTTTGATTTTATCATTATTAAAATAGTTTTGATTTTCTTTATTTTTGGACACAGCCATAAAAATATATTATTTAATTACCTTTCTTTCTTTCGAGATTGCTATTACTTTACTTTGCTCCTGGCTTTAACGAGGCTAGCAGTCTGTTGCCCCGCAATTGTGCTGCAGTTTCCAATAAAAAGGACGTTGCCATTGTTTCCTTGTCGGACTTTTTCCCATTAAAAACGGCTGCCAGCGTCAGTCGAGGATCAAAATTTATCATAAAAACTGAGCACTGCTCCTTTAAATTAAAAATATTATAAATAAGAATCATATTCTATCCTTGAAAAATGGTTTTGTACTCTTTGATTGAAGTGGATGACAACTTTATCGAGAGTCGAAAGCTCGGCTGCCTTCTCGAGAATTAGTTTCGTTACTTCAATAAAGTTGATCTGCCCAGCCTGAAGTCAAAATATTATTGATTTAAGAGTTAAAACTCTAATTAATTCATGAATTAACCTGCGGAATGCATAAAACTTGTGCAAATCGTGGGTCGCTTAATGGAGATTCAATAGCTGCTGGGGAAACTTGTGCCGGAGAGAGTCTAGTAGGGGTACTTTGCAGTTTGGGAATTTTGTATCCAGGCCCTTCGTGGTCTGGCAAACCGAACATATCAAACACAATGCAGACAGCTACTGCTCCTGACTTGTGTTGGAAGCTTTGAAGCCTAAACACATTATTATAAAATTTGGCCACTACAAATAATTTAGTAAAATTACCTCTGTGAAAAATCCACTGCAGGGGCTAACTTGGAGCAGAGTGCCTTCATCTCAGACGTAACCGTTTGCTGCAGGAGAGTGTTGTAAAAAAGGAGGGCAAATTTTGCACCGAGTCCACTTTTCATTTTAACCAGCCATTGGTGCAGTAAGGGGAGTCTCGTCGAAGTTAAAAAAGAGCCCAGTCGCCAGGACTAGACAGAATAAGAGATAAAAGTATTTTGACATAAAAAAGGAAGAAATCTCTAACTTCAGACGATCTAGCTCCTAATGAAGTCTCCCAAGCTACAAGTCTGGTGTGGGCTCCATGTAAGAGCATCAAGGAGGGCAAAAATCTCCATTCTGCCAGTTCGGCTCCTGCTCGCACCAAATGGAGTAATACCTGTGCAGAGAAATTTCAAATTAAATAATGCCTACGTTGTGAAAAATAGCGTGGAGTTTACCTCACATTCCAAGCTGAGCGCAGCTTTGAGCCAAGTCAGTGAGAGGTGTGGACAGGCAAGAGCATGTTTTTCAACAATTTGTTCCAGGAAACCCCAGAGCTCGCAGAATTTTACAGGCTTGCTAGAACCAACTCCCTGCATCAATTCATAGCTACGAAAATTCTATTTTAGTATGATTAGTGCAACTAAGTAGTTTTGATTAAAATACAATTCGATCAGCTCAATCCTGGCCTTCATGAAGTCCTCCAACTGACTAGAGACTGAAGCAATAGTTTTGTTGCCAGAGTCCTTGGCAAGAGCGTCTACCCGTTTCATTTCAACAGACCTCAAATGTTCGTAAACAGATCTCAGAGAATTCTGAAAAATTATTGAAGAATCTCAACCACTGAAAGAAATTTAAAATGATTCACTCACATCTTTAATTTTAAAAAGGCTTTTCTGTCTGGCGAAAAAACCAAGTTCAACGTAGGATTTCTCAGCAGCCGCGAACTGCGAAAGAGCGCAAATTAGCAAATTCCAGGCCGGCGACTGCAGCATACTGTCCTCTTTTCCACGTTCCTAAAATTATGTTTGTTAGCAAGGAACGGACTAAATACATACGCTAATAAAAAGCTTCAATTTACCAGACATTCTTTTGCTTTGTCGAAACTGAGATGTGAAACAGAGTTGAAGAAGTTACTCAGAAATTCCTCTTCACGATCCATCATAGCCATCATTAGTAATAATGGGCAGTCAAAATTTAAGTTTAAAAATTGATTAGTATTTGAGCATCTGATAATTCTTCATTTTCCTTGGATTTGACCAGATTTTTCTTGCGAGAGATGAAAAACAACTTTGTTTACTTTCACCTTTTGTCACGTGATTCACCAACCAATCAGCGTCGATTATTGGAAGGCGGCAAAGAAGATTTCCACCAATCAGCAATCGCAAACAATCATGGCGTCTGTAAGTACATTGCATGCTTGTTTTGATTTACTTTTTATCCAATTTTTCATTTTTCCGTTTACGTTACGGTCAATCGATACTAAGAATTTAAATATTTAATATATTATCAAGATATCACAAGCATAAACAACCTTGCACATTCCGAAATTCAGCCCCAAAACGCCTTTTACTTTTCTCGCATTAGCAATCGTGCACCATTCATACCGGCAAACGTTTTGCACCCACGTCTTTATCGTCCTGTTAAAATGTTTCAGAACGCGGACAAGCAAGAAAAGAAACGAAAAGAGAGCATTCTCGATTTGACGAAGTACCTCGAGAAAAACATTCGCGTCAAATTCGCTGGCGGCCGGGAAGCGTATGGGGTGTTGAAGGGTTTTGACCCTTTGCTCAACCTCGTCTTAGACAACACAACTGAATTCCTCAGAGGTATGGGAGTTATTAAGCAAAAAATTACTTAACAGTTCATTTTAAGCTGCGTTTAGAAGAAATTTTGATCGTGTTATTAAATTTGCGCAGATCCGGATGATCCATACAAACTGACCGACGACACTCGACAGTTGGGCCTTGTTGTTTGCCGAGGGACGGCCGTGGTATTGATCTGTCCGATGGACGGGATGGAGTCTATTACGAATCCTTTTGTGCAGTCTGAGTGATTCCGTGGCATTTATGAACTAATTCTGCTCTCATTTTGACCTCAGTTAAAATAATCATTATGTTCCATGTAAAAACTTAAAGTGAAATAAATAAAAAAGCTAAATTGAAGAAAAAAAAAAGTTTAAAAATACCTAAAAACTTTCAATGTTAAAATATTCAAGTGAAATGATTTTGAATATCACGACTTTAAGTTTGAAACATTTGTTTTTTTGATGAGTATTTTTAGACTAAAAAAACGTTTACAACTAAATCACTAGAGTGCTGAAAATTATCTAAGTATTCTCTTATGTTAATCGTTGATTTTGTTGCAATCAGAGCTAAACCTATTTGCTGCTATCACATTAAAAATATATATTTTGTTATTAATTATAAATTTTAAATACAATTAAATTTAAAATGAAGACGTGCAACATTAATTTTGTGTGCCTTTGAACAAATTTTTTCCAGTGAAAGGGACATTTATATTTTTTTAAACTGTGCCAGTTCTTTTGGCATTAATTATCTTGGCAGTCACGCAAGCCCAGTCCCCATTATATTGCAACGACGCTCCCCACACACTCGCAGTCTTTTTTCAGTCATTCGTCGCGTAACAAGTTATGTAGCTACGCTGAGGAAATGTTTGAGATTTGCTCAGAACCAAAAGCTGGCATAATTAAAGAGGCGGTACTGATGGAAGTGGTGAGAAAATTTGATTCCTACGAGGACTATTTGGATTCGCTAATCACAACCCTAGACGTTTACTATTTGGAGGTAAATCGCGCACGTTAATTCAGAGATTTTTCTTTTAGTATTATGAAAGAAGCAGTTTTTACACACAAAAATGTCATGTTAAATACAAAATTTTGGAAACATACAAATACAAAATCAGTATTAAAATATATATTTTTTTTCAAATTTTATTTTATAATAAACAATTTATTATATTGCATATTCTTATTCTAATGAAGGTAAAAGGTAATGAAGCATGAATTATTTAAATATTTTATTCAAATTAGAATTTATGGTCGTGCTTTTTTTATTCTAATGACTCAATCCCCGTTTTGAAATGAGCTCGTCCTGGAGATGTTACGGTGCCTGTCTTTGCTTGGGTCTTTTTTGAAGGCACAAAGACAGCCAATTTATTTGTCTTTGTATTTTACGAGAAGTTGTTCTAATCGAAGAAAGACCGACATCAAAACGGCACGCGGCTCCCCCGCCCGAAATACATAATGACGGAGCTTTTGTCTCCCGCGGCACACAAAGATTGCACCCAGCACGTGGATGCACGGTGGAAGAAATTAATTAGCGAGCAAACGGCAATCGCGTGATTGCAGGACATACGCGTGGCACGCCAACTTGTGGAGCTCGGAGTCATAAATCACTTGTTCAGCGCAATCATCCCGAGGAAATTGTTCTGCGCGAGGAAAAAATTGGGACGCCGCCACCATCGTCAGATAAACGAATAATCAAGAACTGAAATTTCAAATTTGAACAATGCAATATTGCGCTTCTTTGGAATTGAAATTTTTTTGGGAAAAATAAATACCCGTTATATTTATATGTGTATGACTTTGGAATATTAATTTGGTGACCTTACATTGCCAAATGTTTAATATTTTTTTTTTCAGTTAACAAAAGCCAACTATTTTTAGTCATATTTGCATACTAAAATCAATAAAACCATATTTTCCTATTTCTTATATTAGACTTTGGCAAGATTTGAAATGTGAATTAACTTGCTTATTTAGTACATATTTCCAACTCAATCCCGTGTGCATTATAATAAAATTTATGTATAAAAATAAATACAACTATCTGTTCAATTATGTAAGAGTTGGCAAGGCCGCATGCAAATGCTTTAGTTTGATGACAGAGAAATCGCAAAGGATCATTAGAGAAAATATTTTCTGGAACTTTTGTGCTTGTTGAACAAAATTGCCTTTACAAATTATCTAATTTTCCTTGGAGGAACATTTCTCCCTCATTTTTTTATGACTTGCGTGCTTCAAGGTATTATAATTTTTTTGCCATCATTTAAATTCTTACTGGCAGAAGCAATCATGAAAGTAAAACGTAGATTGTAAAATCCATTTTATTTAGTAATCAAACTCGCATGTAAATAAACATAATTATATTTCATGAATGTTTACTTGGAACCTTAATACAATTTCAATTTTTGTACTTTTCTGTGCGTTGGGAGTAAAATCATTTTGGAATTATTATGATTTGACAATGGGCCGCATGGGTCTGGAAGCCTCCTTGTCGCGTTGGTCTGACAAATCGTTCCACGATTGCACTCTCCCGGTGTATGTGCTCAAAAATAATAAAGAAGAACTGGCAAATATCACCGCCGACAGAGCAAACGAAATTCGCCAACCAACAACACTTGCCTAAAAAAGCAATAAATTATTTTATAATACATTTTTTTCCAAGTTGTAAAAAGAATGAAATTTAAAGGAGATTAAAAGAAATTTCAAATAGGCTTTTATAATAGTTAAAATTAAATTTAGAACTCACGTCGTGCTCGAGAATGGCTCCAATGATTAACGGTGACAAGAGACCTGCCAAAGAACAAAAACCGTTTTGCAGACCGCCAAGTGTTCCTGTAACAATCGTTAATATTTAATTGTTCAAGACTATAGAAAATTATTAATATTTATACTTTTAAACTGACGATTAAAAACTTTGTTAAGTGCAAATTGAACTTTAAATTGTGTGAAAACTACCCGCGAAATTTGGTGCTACGTCCATGTAGGACTGGAGGTGTCCAGAAGTCAGGGCTCCATTGCAGCCCATAGCAATGCAAATGATGGCCACGGCCAACGTCATGTTGCATCCGGCAAGTGGAAAGGCCAAAAGTGCCACGGCGGGAAATAGGTGCGCTTAAGAATTAAAAATTTATTTCCCATTTTTGCCATTTCATTTTAAATTACAAACGCAAACAGCCACCTTTCTCAAATTGGCCAACGCCATCCACCGTCTTCGGAGGCACAGGTCAAAGAACTGGCCAAAAATTATTCCGAAAATGTACCGAAAGAGAAAGGGAAGCGCCGATAACACGCCATTCTATGCGATCATATGCGATGGACAAAAAAATCAATACCAGTCAAAGAATAGCAGATGAGACATCACACCTGTTTAATGTCAACCCCCAAAATGCTGGCCATGTATTTTGGGCCCAGGGTGAGGAAGGTGTAGAAACCCCAGTCGCTGCCGAAGGAAGTCAGAAACGGGCCCCAAAATTGCAATGACGTCAAAACTAGAACCCATGGAATTGGCAGTTTCTTTAGAAACAAAATTATCATTTTTTTTATTATTTTTTTTCTCTGAATGAATTTCAAACTTTGACAGGTCCTTTGACCAATCCAAGTTCGATGTGCCTCTTTTCAAACTGCGTGATTCTGGGGTGTTTGTCTGGCGAATCATGGACCAGGAGAAACCAGCAAATGGAAAAAAGCACGCCGTGTCCTGCCGTGATGTAGTAAAGGGCCGGCCAACCAAGCCAATCGATGATCAGCCCGCAAACCGGCATCATCACAGCCAGTCCCAATGTTCCTCCTATTTTTATAATTTTATTTCATACAAATTGCTTATTTTGTTATACCCATGGTGAAGGTCGACATAAATCTGGCACGTTCCTCCAACGGTACCCATTTGGTAACGAGAACAGCAGCCGATGGAAACTTAGCTCCCTGCAAGTTTATTTTGGATGTTAATTTTTTTACAAGTAATTGAATTAAATTACAAAAAAGAGACCCTGGCCTATTCGCAAGGCGATGAGAAATCCGTAATGAACGCGCGTCAGTAGGGGAATGAGCGCTGCAAGAAGTGACGGAATCAAAATCGTGGATCCGTAAACCAATGTTCCGCCATAGAGTTCTGCAAGTCTTCCTCCAGGTAGTTGGAAAAATAAGTAGCCAAGGAAAAAAGAGCTGAGAATCGTTCCTTGAAGTTGTTCGCTCCAATCAAATTCGCCTTCCTCGTCCTTGAACGCATAAGCCATATTCATAAAAAAAAATGTTAGTTTTTTGCTACTTAGTTAATTTATGTTGCTGGGAATTCATCTTATTGTGAGTTCAAATTTGAAAATTATTGTAATCAGGTTTTTGTGAAATGTGATTACTTTTTCGCGAAATAGGCAAAAGTTATATTAGATAATGCAGGAGTCTGATTGTGAGCCAGCCGCGCCGCGCCAGCCGGCATTTTACGGCCCACGTGTCAGCCGCCAGCCGCCGATTTTTTAAACATCTTGAGCCGGTCGCGCCACGCCAGCCGATGTAGTCCTGAGCCGTTCAATTTTTTTTTAATTAATTTTTTTCCTGAGAAATTCACAAATATTTTGCATTCACATTGATGTGGTGAAATATCGGAAATATCGCAACACGTATTATGTGGTGAAATATCCCAATACATTGATGTGGTGAAATATCTCAACACATTGATGTGGTGAAATATCCCAAAACATTGATCAGCATTGATGTGGAGAAATATTCCGGCAGGAGGGAAAACAAGGTCAAAATTTAATAATAAAAAAGAAAATAGTAAATTTTTTGAATTAAAAAAAAAAAAATGCATTATATGTGAAAAATTTTTATAAATATAACATAAATAGAATTAATTTTTAATTAGTACCTTTTTATCTAAATAAATAAATAAAAATAAATATTTTTTTTATATTACATTGTAAAGAAATATTTTTGGTGATTTATTCTAGTCCTAATTTTCATTATTTTATTTTTCAACTTGCCTGGATATATTCACTGGAAAGATCCGAGGCGTTCATGAACAAAGTTGATACATTTTGCCATTCAGGAACGGTCAAACAACCAGTTGATGACGAAGTAAAGTTGGATGTTGAATTTTGCGTAACCCGACGCTTTCCAACCATGGTGACAATGCTGAGGCTCAAACTTCCTCTGAGAACGAACCCCGTCAGCGCTCCCCAAAAGATCATGATCCCCAAAACGAATCTGGTCGGCACGTTTTCTGAAAAAGATTCCCAGAACATTCAATACTGTTTAATTTGAAAGTAAATTATTTTTGTCAGCTAATACATAATTAAAATTAAAAAATAATAAGAGGATCAATAAATAAATTTGAATAAAAAAAATTTCTTTAAAATTATTAATTTTGGCGATTCTGACTCACCGGTACACGCCATGGTCTAATGTTGGTCCAATAAGTATTGCTTTCAAAAAATTTATTAAGGCGGAATTGGGTCGTTTGGGATGTGCGTTGCGCGTGACCCGTCGCGCGACTTGCATAAATCTCCGCTATTTGTGTTAAAGATGATAAGATTTTTTTTAAAGAGAGAGAAAGATGCGTTTGGCAAACATGATGTTCGCGGTGGTGAAATATTTTGTGAAACGAGTTTGCAGCAGTTTGGCTGCTCGATTCTGAATGCAACAAATTATTTCGAGTCGCCCGCACAAGGCTGTGATTGTGAATATGCTGAGGGTAGGGGCGAATTATTTCATTGAGAGACCGCACTCTTGTATAATAGTGGTCCATTATGACGTCGTTAGCGAAAACTTTAGAAGTTGGTCATAGATTTTTGGACCAATCCGTTACTTTTTCTCCACATTAAAATTGTACATATCAGTGGCCACAAATCTTTTATTGGATTTTTGTTGCACAAGAGTAAAAATAATTTAACTTATCATCAATCCCAATTTACATTTTTTAGACAAACATAGGCAACACGCAGCACTCGCCAGTCACGCGAAATACATATCAGCGAAAAATTTGTTTCATTTACCTAGAAAAGAAAATGTATCTTAAACAATAGAGTTTTTTTTACAATAGAAGAAAAGTTTCTTACAATATTTTTCATATTTATTAAAAAACTGAATATTAAGCAAATTTTGAAAGTTCTCTCTTGCCCGTTTAGCGATTTCAGAGGCTTTTTCAATTCTTGCTCGTTATTGAAACCTTTGAGACAGTGCACAATTTTCTCTGTAGGCCCTTCATTGACTGCACTTTTCCACTCCCGAAAACTGAGAAAATCACCATCGCTACAGTTGCGGTTATTTGAAACAGTTTTGGAATTATTATGATTTGACAATGGGCCGCATGGGTCTGGAAGCCTCCTTGTCGCGTTGGTCTGACAAATCGTTCCACGATTGCACTCTCCCGGTGTATGTGCTCAAAAATAAGACAGAAGAACTGGCAAATATCACCGCCGACAAAGCAAACGAAATTCGCCAACCAACAACACTCGCCTATAAACAAAAAAATATTATATTAACTCTTTAAAAATATTATAAATTGAATCAAAAATAATATTTCGATTATTAAATTTTAAAAAAAATCACAAAAATTAGTTTAAGTTCAGTTACAATGAAATTTTATATTTTAAAAATAAGAGGAAAAATAAATATGTAAGTAAAATAAATTACAAATTAATTTATAACAGAAAGAAGGTATTACAATTAACTTTTTAAACTCACGTCATGCTCGAGAATGGATCCAATGATAATTGGGGACAAAAGACCTGCCAGAGAACACAAACCGTTCTTCAGACCCCCAAGTGTCCCTGTAAAAATTAAAATTTAAATTTAAATTTAAAAATTAAATTTAATATAAATAACAAATGAAAAAATAATGTGAACAATAACTTATAGAACGTGTTTCTCCTTCAATAAATGATTAATTAAAAGAAAAATACCCGCAAAATTTGGTGCAACGTCCATGTAGGCCTGTACGTGTCCCGAAGTCAGGGCTCCATTGCAGCCCATAGCAATGCAAATGATGGCCACGGCCAACGTCATGTTGCACCCGGAAAGCGGAAAGGCCAGAAGTGCCACGGCGGGAAAGAGGTGCGCTTAAATTTTACAATTATAAAAATTTCATTTGCCCACTTGTTTCTACTCTCGATTAATTACAAACACAAACAGCCACTTTTCTCAAATGGACCAACGCCATCCATCTTCTTCGGAGGCAGAGGTCAAAGAACTGGCCAAAAATTATTCCGAAAATGTACCGAAAAAGAAAGGGAAGCGCTGATAACACGCCATTCTATGCAATGGAAAAAAAAATCAATACCAGTCAAAGATAAAGCAGAAGAGACATCAAACCTGTTTAATGTCAACCCCCAAAATGCTGGCCATGTATTTTGGGCCCAGGGTGAGGAAAGTGTAGAAACCCCAGTCGCTGCCAAAGGAAGTCAGAAACGGGCCCCAAAATTGCAATGACGTCAAAACTCGAACCCATGGAATCGGCAGTTTCTTTAGAAACAAAATTATCATTTTTTTTTTATTATTTTTTTTCTCCGAATGAATTTCAAACTTTGACAGGTCCTTTGACCAATCCAAGTTCGATGTGCCTCTTTTCAAACTGCGTGATTCTGGGGTGTTTGTCTGGCGAATCGTGGACCAGGAGAAACCAGCAAATGGAAAAAAGCACGCCGTGTCCTGCCGTGATGTAGTAAAGGGCCGGCCAACCAAGCCAGTCGATGATCAGCCCGCAAACCGGCATCATCACAGCCAGTCCCAACGTTCCTCCTATTTTTAAAATTTTATTTCATACAAATTGCTTATTTTGTTATACCCATGGTGAAGGTCGACATAAATCTGGCTCGTTCTTGCAATGGTACCCATTTGGTGACAAGAACTGACGCCGTTGGAAACATTGCTCCCTGTAAAATTTGTTTCTAACAAAATAGTTGTAATTTTTACTAAATTTTTATCACCAAAAAGAGGCCCTGGCCTATTCGCAAGGCGATGAGAAATCCGTAATGAACGCGCGTCAATAGGGGAATGAGCGCTGCCAGAAGCGACGGAATCAAAATCGTGAATCCGTAAACTAATCTTCCACCAATCAGTTCCGCAAGTCTTCCTCCAGGTAGTTGGAAAAATAAATAGCCAAGGAAAAAAGAGCTGAGAATCGTTCCTTGCAGTTGTTCGTTCCAATCAAATTCACCTTCCTCGTCCTTGAACGTAAAAGCATAAGTCATGAAAATTTTTTTTATTTTCATGAACCAGGATAAAAATATTAGACAAGTATAAATTGCAAGGTAAAAAAATTATGTTATAGCTCAAAATAAGAATTCGCTATATAATATTTTGTAAATAAAAAATTAAGTTATTCCTACATAATTGCTATAAATTCTCCTTAATATTAATGTACTTGGATAAGTTTATTAAATAATTAGATTAAACCAAGCGATATTGAATATCCAAAAAAAATGGTTAAATCATGGGTTGAAAATTAATTGCCCAACTGTGTCCAACAAATCTTATAGTAAAATTAGTTGTATTTAGTGGTCTTATTACAGCAACTAAAGGATATTAAGGTGATTAAACCTAATTATTTTTTTCATTTTTATTCTAATTTTCAATTTACCTGGACATCTTCACTGGAAAGCTCCGAGCCATTCATAAACGAAGTTGATATATTATGCCATTCAGGAACGTTCAGACAGCCAGTTGATGACGACGTGAAGTTGGATGTTGAATTTTGCGTAACCCGACGCTTTCCGACCATGGTGACGATGCTGAGGCTCAAACTTCCTCTGAGAACGAACCCCGTCAGCGCCCCCCAAAAGATCATGATTCCCAGAACGAATCTGGTCGGTACGTTTTCTGAAAAATTATCAGTCCAACTTAAATTTACAAAAAAAAAATTATATTCAAAAATAGAATATTATAGATTCGATTGATTGAAAAATCAAGAAAAAAATAACATAATTTAAAAAATATGTAAAATTTTGACTCACCCGCACACGCCATGTTCCAGTAATTGTTGTCCTGAAATTGTTTATGGACGAGTTGGGACGTTTGGGAAGTGCGTTGCGCGCGAGCCGTCGCGCGATTCGCATAAATCTCCGCTATTTGTGTTGAAGCCGATAAGGTTTTTGAGAGAGAGGGATGCCTTTGGCAAACACAATGTTCGCGGTGGCGAAATATTGTGTGAAACGAGTGTGCAGCAGATCGGTGGCTTGGCTCCGAAAATAATTTCAAGTCGCCCGCACAAGTCTCATGTGATTGTGAATAAAAGGGAAGGGGGCGAATTATGCCATTGATGGACCGCACTTGTGTCAAATCATATTTTTTATCATTACTTATATCATATAGTGGTCCATTATGCGATCAAAGAGTACTGTCGTACTTTTTATCCTGGTCCTTTTAATTTTTTAGTGGCCAAGGTCTTTAGTTTGGCACACTTTATTTTTTAATGTTTCTTTTCCACAAAAGTGTCAATTAAAGAAAAGCTCTATATTTCCAAGTTTCTTAGAGATAATAATTTAAACTAGATTATTTTTGTTTAAAGGCAGACAAAGGCAATCCGCAGCACTCGCCAGTCATGCGATTTGCATATCAGCAAAAAAAAATTAGGTTTAATCTCTAAAAAATGATGGAAACGTGTTTACAATTGAGTAATTAATTTTAGAGTGAAAAAGTGCTATAAAATTTTTTTATTCGTTTCAAATACTTAAGGACTCCTTATTGCAATGCTAAGAGTACCAAGGAGGTTTTTTTTGATCGCACATATGCCCAATGTTATTTTTTTGCCCCATGAACCCTCAAATTTTTTTCTGCTAATCTGTTTAGGGTCATTCGCTTATCATTTTGTGAAATTTTGAGCAAAAAATTTTGGGCAGTTTTTTTTTAATCACCAAAAACAAAAATTTCCATAAGACGCAATGTAAAAATTCAAAAAATCATATTTCAAGAATAATCGGCGCTACCCCCCATTTTTCTTTGTGCAATCAACTCTACTGATAGGTAGGAATCTATAAAAAAATCTGGGTCCAAAAATTTCGGGCCGATTTGCCGCAAACAGGAGTTGTAGATGTCAATAAGCAGGCCTTAAAATTCAGCAAATTTTGTTAGTTTCTCTCTCGCCCGTTCTGCGATCTCAGAGGCTCTTTCAGTTCTTGCTCATTTTCAAAACCGTTACAGCCTCGCGCAATCTTTTCTCTTGGTTCATTCCATGACTGAACTTTTCCACTTCCAAAAACTGAGAAAATCACTGTTGCTACAAAACCCAGAGCTGCTGTGATTTGAAAAACGATGCTCCACCTCTCCATCGATTGCTAAAATTTCAAAGCAAGTTGCTTTTTTAATACAAAATATAAAACCGATTTTAGACTCACGTCTTCTTTGATAATAAACCCGACAAACATCGGCACCAAAAATCCGCTGCTCATTCCTGCCAAACTCATCAGTCCCATGATTGACCCTTTTTCAGAAAGCAAAAATTATTTAAAAAAAAATCTTTTTTAAACTTTATATAGATTTTGTTCATTCTTTAAACCTGAAAAGTTCGGGGCGAGATCGACGCTGTTCACTATTGGCCCAGAGGACGCACAGCCACCTAGTAATGAAGCCGCCGTCAAAACAATAACCTCTGCGGTGTAATTGCAACCGACGGCCCCCATCAACATGAACAGAATTGAGGGAATTAGTTGTGCTGAAAAAGTTAAAAAAAGTAATAATAATGTAAAATAAAATAATAATTATGTAGACATACAAATGGCATTCGCGACTTTCCGAGCTGAAGTAATTGAGCAGTGCTTGAGCGAAATCATCTTGTCAAAAAGCCAGGAGAAAAACAAGGAGCCTGTGAATCTGCTGATGTTTGGCAACCCAGATAAAAATCCGTTCTAAAATAAAAAATTAGTTTCAAAGGAAGTTCATTTGGCTTCAAAATTCAGGGCAAAATTAAAATAGGAGAGTAAAAAAATTGTACTTTTTTAACGTTGATGTCGTAAACCATTTTTAGATAGGTCGGGCCGTAAGTTGTGACTGTCATGAAGGCCCACATCGAGCCGAGATTGGCAACCAAAAGGGCCCAAAACGGTGCCGACTTTAAAATTTCCATCACCGGCAAAGCCAACTGCGGATTTTCTTTTCAAATTAGCCAAATAATAATTTAATTTACTCGCGAACCTTTTTCTTAGAAATGATGACGTTCTTTTCGAGATAATCCAATTCTTCTTTCGAGATCCGCGGGTGTTGGGACGGCGAGTCGAACGCGCAATACCACCACCAGACGCACCAGAGTAGACAAATTAGAGCTGGAACGTGGAAAGCCCATTCCCATCCGAAGGCTTCGATTAAAATTCCACACAGGGGAAAAGTCAGGGCGACTCCAACTGAATTGCCTGAAATTGATAATTTTCCAAATTTTGAATTATTTAAAATTGTTCATTTCTTAGAATTTAACTTCAAAAATTTGGAATCGTACCCATGTAAGTGGAGATGAATTTGCTGCGTTCATCAGGTGGAATCCACCTGCTAGCCATAACGTTCATCGCTGGCCACGTGACCCCCTTCAAACAAATTTATTTTAATTTACAAGTCCCACGGCTAACAATAAACAATATTTAAATTTGAATATCAATTGAAAAATTTGCACTCTTCGTTGTCGAAAAAATTTCGCCGCCAAATTGATTTATTTTTAAGTTTTTTTTTTCGAAAAATTTTTGACAAAAATTTCTTATATAAAATTACAAAATTATTGCCATTGAAATTTTTACAGTCAAATATATAATCAAGGATTAATTTTTGCAAACAAATCTTCTGCATCCTCACAAAAGTCGTGCAAATTTAATTTAAAAATAATAAACAACAACTTTTTAATTTTTAACTGAACTCACGGCGGCAAACCCTTGGAAAAATCTGACGCCGAGGAGCGCGTTGAGGTGCATTCTGGCGGCTGCAGGAATTAAAAAGCCCATGAGGCTGCAGATGAGGTTGCTGCCGCCGTAAATTAGTTTGGCGCCGTAGTTGTCGGCCAACATGCCGCCGGGCACCATGGACAAGACGTAGCCCCAGTAGAAGGAGCCGTGGATCAGGCCTTGCTCGTAGTTGTCCCAGTCAAACTCGGCGACACTCTTTGCGTCAGATTAAATAATTAATTAATTCAAATTGATCACGACGACGGCTGCGCTTGTAAATTACTTTCGCAGGTGACTCGTCCAATTCAAATCCGGTGATGTTGACTTTGCACTCGGCCAAGGTGCGATTGGCGTCCGTCGAGTTGGCGGCGCCCGTCATTGAGACGATCGCGATGTTCAGGTTGACCCTGAGCATGTAGTTGGTCAGAAATCCAGAGAACGAGAGAAACCCCAAAACCACCCTGGCCGGAATGTTTCTTGGATGGAGCCATGATCCAGAGGCTGAAATTTAATTTTTGGCGTTTATTTTAAATGAAATTTGGAAATAATAATTAAAAAAATATAATTTAAATTTTTTTTTGTAGTGAAAGAATATAAAATTCTGTATATTAATTTTTGTAATTTTTATATTCATTATAATAATTATACATTTTTCCTAGTTAAATAATTGATAATTTTTATCCAGTTGAACCGGGCTTGTTGTTTTGCTGTACCAATGTTTCTCTTTTGTAAGCTAGTAAGCTTGTGAAATAGGGCTGCACAGAAGCCGAACTTGTGAAGCTATTTTTTAGTAAAAAAAATAACATTGCTTCAGCTAGGGAAACTCTTCATTACAACATAAATACCAGCTAAGGCGGTAATTTCTCCAAAATAATAATAATAAAATTTAATTGCTTGTAAATTAAAAAAAAACCTAAATATCAGTTGATTTTTTAATAAGAAAGGAAAGAAGTTAAAAGAATTTAAATATTTTATTGCCTATTTTTTAAAATCAATTGAACAACTTTCATAAGTTCTTATTAGTGAGCTGGATTCTACTCAAAAGTTTGAAAATTATGACTTTCAAATTTTTTTTACTTATCCAAATTTTCATTTAAATTCACGAAAAACTGCGTATATCAAATTTGGATTGATTTGATGAGACGTCTCACCTGCTGATGCGGCGTCCCTTGTCTCTGGCGGGCTGCTCATGTCTCGCGCCGAAATGCAAACAAACGGTGTTGACTGCGGGCGAGCATCGACTCCCAGCAGATGCCACTTTCCAGCATCGCGACGCCGATAACATTTTAACCCCACTCTGCTCTCAGTCAGTGTTAAATGAAGTGCATTGTGTCATTGCAACTTGCATTAATTTGCGCGCAACGCAATTTTATATATAATGTGCTACAAGCTTGAACTTGGCACAAGTCCAGAACGGCCGGTTTAATGCCAACTGCAATAAATCGCTATTTTTTCCCACGAAAAGTGTTACGTAATTAATAATTAATTTTTCTCAAATTTATATAAAAACCAATTCGTAAATTTCGTAATATTAAAAGAAATGCTATATTTTCATTTGATAATCAATGAAGAATTCGCGATTGAAAAATGCGCACCCCTAATTGAAAGTTTCTAATCAGAGGGAATGTTTCGATTGCGATTTTGACGTTGGTCATGAAAAATTAATCTTCTTTACCCTTAACTTTGAGGATTAAAAAAAATACCGGTGTCCCTCTTTAAGAAAAAAATCGGTGCCTTTTGAATCTTTCTGTTATCGGCCAAACAAGTGTAATCACTCATGTTGTTTCTCAGTTTGTAATGTTGACGGAGTAAATATTCTGATAAAATCATAAACACGTGCCCGCACCAACGAGTGCTGATTTCCTATGTAAAAAGAGGGAACTTTCATTGTATTTTTGAATCGAAATTTATTTCCATTTTTCGATATAATTTACTAAACTAGGCCACACCGCTCTGCTTCAGAGGCTCGGCGGCACTCGAGTCGTTTTCGTTCGCTACTTTTAAAATCTTGCGGTTCTTTTTCTGCGCCTTGAGAACGTCGGGCTCGTTCCACGACTGCACGTCGCCGCTGCCGAAAATCGCGAATATGATCATGGTGAACACGTTGAGCACCGCCGAAATGATGAACACAAACCTCCACTGCGCCATCGATTGCTAAAATCGTGCAGACATGAGATTATTCGATGTTATTATAATTTTATGATTTGTTGCTCACGTTCTCCCTGATGATCATGCCAACGACCAGGGGCACCACAAACCCACTGCTCATGCCGATTATACTGATCAGACCCAGCAGTGATCCTGCAAATCACAATTAATTCATTTAAAAACTTTCATTTTTTTATTGTTATTATGGTTAAATTTAACATTTTCAAAATTTCTAATGTCTTTAAGACAAAATTATGCCATTTCAAAATCGATTTATGTTTTAAATTCTTAATAAGAAGACAATGCAAAATGATATACCTTTCAAATTAATTAAAACTCTATGCATTTTCGAAAGAAGTTACCTGAGAAGTTGGGAGCGAGATCGACGCTGTTGACAAGAGTGCCTGACGAGGCGCTTCCCGAAATCATAGACGCAATTGTCAGAACAGCCACTTCCATGTTTGCATTGCAGCCCATATTGCCCATTAGGAAGAACAGACCTGCAGGGATGCCCTGAGCTAAAATCAAGCAAAAAATAGATTAATTTGGACAAAACTCTGAATGGGAATTACATAATGTTGTTGGGATCAATTTAAATATTTAAACATACTATTTTTTTATAAAACGGTTACACAAATATTATTCTGTTGACGTGTTTGAAAAAATATTATGTAACAAATTTACAGAATCAATGTATACTTTTCAAGCAACAGAAAAAACCTTAATGGCTCTTTTCAATAATTATTATTTATTCCTCTCCTCGGTCGAAACAATTACAAATATTTTCCTGCATTGAAATTTAGAAACAAAAATGTCCTGCTTCTAAGATGTAGCTTATTGCGCGAGGAAAATATTCTGTTTGTTTTTTTCGTAAGTGGATCGTTAAAAAAAAAGAAATTTTCATATAAAAGAACCCTTAAATTTGTGAGTGTTTACGGAAAAAGTTTAAATTTGGGTCTGAAGTGCGCAGGAAATTTTATATGTTGTAATTTTTAATTTTTATTAAAAGATTGATTTTTACCAGCAAGTTTGTTAAAAAAATTCAATTTTCAATTCGGAAAACATAAATAGTAAGATCTTGGTGATTTCTTTTTAACATGCTGCCCAATGAATCTAATAGCAAATATTTTATTACAATTAACACAATTAAATGTGCATATTGTATTATAAATAACAATCAAAGTAAAACAAACTGTTTATTGGGTCTTTTCTCTTTTGCAAGCTATTGTTTTACTTACCAATGACTGTTGCAAGTTTTCTGGCAAACGTTATTGTCATTTTCTTTGACGTGATCATGGAGTCAATAACCCACGAGAAGAACAATGACCCTAGGAACCTGCTCAAGTTCGGTAAACCAGAGAGCAAACCGTTCTGGAAATTTCTAAATAAATAAATAAATTCTTCAATTAATTGCAATTCACTTCTCTGATGCTGAGTCCGTGCACCATTTTTAGATAGGTAGGGCCGTAGGTGATGATGGTCATGAAAGCCCAAATCGTGCCCACGTTGGCCACGACCAAAGCCCAAAACGGAATTGACGTCAGAATACATTTTAGCGGAAGTTTCAGCTGCAAGAAAAGAATTTGAATTAATACTCTAAAAAAAAAAATTATTTTTAAATTATCATTTTACTTTTCTTTTTGAAATAACGACGTTTCTATCAAGATAAGTGAGTTCTTCTTTGGTGATTCGAGGGTGGGACGCGGGCGAATCGAACGCGCAAAACCACCACCACACGCACCAGAAGAGGCACAAAACGCCTGGCACGTAAAACGCCGACTCCCAGCCAAACGCGTCGATTAGGACTCCGCACAGTGGATAAGTCACCGCGATACCTACAGAATTGCCTGTGGAAAAATTTTTATTTTAATCATTTGCAACACATTTCAAATATTTGCTGCTCATTACAATAAATTAAATTTAATTATAAATATCTTTACGGATTTAGGGGTATTTTCCGAGTCAATATCTCACAGAAGTGAGTGTTTTAATCACAATTATTTTTATTTTCTAACAATTAAACAGAACTGAAACACAACTTACCCATATAAGTTGATACAAATTTACTTCGTTCGTGGGGAGGAAACCACTGACTTGCCATAACATGCATTGCCGGCCAAGTTACTCCCTAAAAATTAATATTGGTTAATTAATTTATTTCATTGTCAACAAATTTTGGAAAAATAACTTTTTAAGATTTCTTATTGAAATCTAGAAAAAATTATACTCAATTATTCAAAGTATAAAAACTAATCAACAGCTCACTTATCGGAAATGATGTTTTTTTTTAGCAGAATTCATTGAACGAGAAAAATTAATTAAAAGACCTTCCCAGATTGCATCAACGCAACACAAATCATATTTCTAATAACAGCATGAGGCAGGCTAATTATTCACAAGTTGCAAGGTCAAACGGTATAAACAAGAAAAGTGTGCTGCCATTCATCTGCTGTTATGCAGATCGATATCGCTTCAATTGCATGCAGACGAGTTTGAAATTATTACAAATAATGAGCCGGTTTAATAATTATATTATATTTTAATTATACTAGGACGATCCTTGTACTTATTTTCTCCATTTTCGATTGGAAATTTTCACTCACTGCCGCGAGTCCTTGAATGAGCCTGACCAAAATGAGGGCGGAAATGTGCATTCTGGCTGCGACGGGGATGGCCAGGGCCATGAGGCAGAGCAAAAGGTTGCCGCCGCCGTACACCAATTTGCCGCCGTACTTTTCGGCCACCATTCCGCCGGGCACCATGATCACAATGTAGCTCCAGTAGAAGGAGCCGAGGACCAGACCTTGCTGCCGCGTGTCCCAGTCAAATTCCGCCTCATCCTCCTAATAACATAATTGCAAATAAATTAAAAAGAAACGTCTGTTTTTTATTCAAATGCATAAAAATATTTTAGGTACAAAAATGAAATATTTTAAAATGTAATTTAAAAAAAAAGTTAAATTTATGTTTTGAAGATGGTCTAGTTTTTCACATTTGCACACACAAAAATCTAGATAAAATAAAAAACGACTTTTAAATTTTTTTCCGAGAATCTTTCGAAAGAGGCGCTCACATTTAGCAACGGTGGAAAACACTTCAGTTTAGATTTTACTGATTTATCACCTGGGAATCGGCGAGCGACGAGTGTTTACTCGAATTCGCGAGGCACTCGCTCAGCACCAACGTCTTGTTTTGCGACCAAGAGGCGTTAGTAGGCGCGGCCGTCATCGACACAATTGCGATGTTGAGATTCACCCTGAGCATGTAATTGGTGAAGAAGCCGAAGAAACTGAGAATCCCTAGCACACCTCGCGCCGGGATGCGACTCGGTCGCAGCCAAGACGTCCAGCCTTAAACACAAAATGACAAGAAAAAATTCAATTAAAAATTAATTGCAAAATAAAAACCAGGGTTCAACATCGTTTAAATTTTAGAACACAGGAAAAAATCGTATTAGAATTTTAAATAAATATTGAGTACAAATTATGAGAAATAAAAATGTAAGATTCTAATTCTGAATTGCTGTTACTTTTCATTATTCAATATTAAAAGTTAATTTAACAATTAGAAACTATTTATTTTTAAAATTACTTTATTTATCTTTATTTGTTCCGCAATTAAATTTCATCAAAGGGAACAAATTGAATTAAATTTTTTATGAAATTCAGTCATGACTTTAAATTTTGGAAACCTTGGAAAATAACAAAAGGATAATTTTTTTTTCATTTGACCACAATTTTAATAAAAAAATCTTCAGTATTTTTTTTTTTAAATTAACGTGATAATTAAAAAAAATGGAATTAAATCAAAATCTTATCAAATTGTTTACCTGCACTTTTTTCACTTTCGCTTTCAATGTCAGTCTTGCTCATTTCGCTGCTGCAGACAGGTGCTCTGTGGCTTAATGTTTTTCTCCGCTGCCCTCTCGTTTGCGAAACGCGGCGCTGCGACAACGGCAAAGTTATTAGGCGCTCGCTCGCTCGCTAGCCCGCCTAGCTGGACCAATCTCACCACCCCCCTTCCTCCTGGAGCGCCACGTGACCTCCGTCTGTCCATTCACGCACTTTTGACCGCGAGAGGTATGAGCGCATTATTATCAAATGATGAGAAAAGAAGACCTTCGCTGATTGCGAGCTGGCCCTGCTGCTATTGTTATTATTGTGATGCGAAATACAAGCAGCTCTGGTTCATCCGTCGAGCACGGTCTTTTCTTCGCGAGCCTCCAATTTATTAATTGCAAACTAAGTAAGGCATTATTATGTAACAAGGACGCCACTTATCGGACCAAAACACACATCAATTTGGCTGCAGGCAAAATGAAAACAAATCGTCTGTTGTATTCTTTGGGCAAATAGCCTAATTGATGATAGAAGGAATCACAAGATTTTGAAATAACATCTGACTAATCGCAAATAGAAGTCATACTTAACTTCAAAATCCCAAGGGCACAATTTCGTTGCACAAAAATTTGTAAAGCGCCTGCAAAATTAAGCGTTATGCAACCCGTGACACTTAGAGGCTGGCACAGTTGCATAAAAACCAACTATTTCTATTTGAAAATTCTCTAAAAAATGTGCCTAAATAATTATGTAATCAATATTAAGCTAATGTTTATTGCCATGCTTTTGCTTATATCATAGAAATTCTTAAAATTTGTTGTTCATTACGACAGTTAAAATTCTGCAAGAAAGAAATAATTATTTTTGGTTTGATTTTTTTAAACCTGCAGATGATCAGGTAATTTTTCATAGTAAAAACTCATACAATAAATTGAGGAGATATGATTTTTTATTCAATTTCGTATTTTTCTTAAAATAAGAATTATCTGTTAAGTCCAATAATGTCATCAAACAAAAACAATTTCAAGAAAAATGTACAAAAATACATTATGTTAATAACAAAGAGAGAGCCAAAATTTGTACAATTCGTAACTGTTTCAAGGGAACAAACTCACAAGTGATTTTCACTTCCAAAGTTTTTATTTTATTTTATTTGTTTTTGAAGCACACGACACTAGATATGCAGATCACACGACACAGAAAGGCGATTCACGTGACTGATTTGAGAGGCGTGCTGGGCGCTTCAGACGATTCCTCGTCGGTTTTCTTGGGGTCGTTCCAAGACTGGACCTCGCCGCTGCCCCACACGGAGAACACAATGGTGCAAAACACGTTCAGAACGGACGCGATTAAGAACACAATCCGCCACTGGGCCATAGATTGCTGACAATTAAAAAAATAATTAAAAATAATCTATTTAATTTTTTTTAAATTTTTTTATTACGTTTTCTCTGATGATGGCGCCAACCATCAGAGGGACTAAAAATCCACCACTCATGGAAGCGATGCTGATGAGGCCAAGGATGGAGCCTGAAAAATTAGGCGCCAGGTCGACACTGTTGACTATGGGCCCTGACGAGGCGCATCCGCCAAACAGGGAGGCCAGGGTCAGGATAGCAACTTCGGCGGTCGCGTTGCACCCCACGTTGCCCATCAACAAGAATAAAATGGCGGGAAGAACCTCGGCTTTGATAAAAATTAATAAATTTTATTTTTTTTAGCAAAAAAAAATATAATTTGTACCTGTGGCCGTCGCGACCTTTCTGGCGACGGTGATTGTCAATTTTTTGGTTGCAATCATCGAATCGATTATCCAGGAGAAAAAAAGCGAGCCCAAAAATCGTGACACATTTGGCAATCCAGACACCAGCCCATTCTAAAAATATCAAAATAAAATTGTGCTGAATCAGAATTGAATAATTTTGATGATGTAGCAAGTGAGGCAGGAAATGGAATTCTGCGTCACTAATTGTATCAGCAAAAAGCACTTAACACACTCACTTCTCTGATGTTGAAACCGTGCACCACTTTGAGGTAGGTTGGCCCGTAAGTGATTACGGTCATGAAAGCCCAGATCGAGCCGGTGTTTGCCACCATGAGGGCCCAGAACGGTGGTGATTTCAACACCTCCCTTAGAGGGAGCTTCAGCTGAAATTTTAGGATTTTTTGTGTGCAAATTATGGAAACAGTAATTTATTCGTAAAAAATTAAAGCATTTCGCTGAATGATTTTTTTAAGTTATGAAAATTTAAGCCTCAGTAGAGGAGGATTGAAATTTAATCAAAACGGTTTTTAAATTTGATATAAAAAAGATTAAGATTTTTAAATTCTCTTAAACTAAATTGTCATTCACCTTTTCTTTGGACGTGGTGACATTTTTCTGCAGGAAAGCGAGTTCTTTTGGTGAGATTCTGGGGTGCTGGGCCGGCGAGTCGAACGCGCAGAACCACCACCAGACGCACCACGAGATGCAAATCAAGGCCGGGACGTAAAAGGCAGACTCCCAGCCAAAGGCGTCGATCAGAATGCCGCACAGTGGATAGGTCACCGCAGTGCCCACCGCGTTGCCTAACAAGACACACACGTCATGAATTTTTGCTCTAGGCAATCTCAGATCAGAGATGAAATCCTATAATTAATACATTTTCTCGAGCGAGCGAAAATAAAGATTATAATAAGCCTTGATGCTTTTTTTCCCTCAGACCATTACTCGCAAACTCACTCGTGCACTGGACAAACCTGTTTGAGAAATGCGTGCCAAGAAAATCCTGTGAATTGTGAAGAAGAAAAGGAAGAGCGCTCGACAGTAATCAAAAGGGCAGACCATCTCAGTAAAACGTATTTTTTTTTTTAAAATTTTTCTTGAAAAATAAAATTTCCATAGGTCACTCAATCAAATTTTCCCCTCAATGTTTAAAAATTTTCCTTTTTTTTAAATTTAAATTTAACCTAAAATTTCAGAGACCATGAATTTTTATCAACATTGTTTATGCATATTTTCTAATTTCTTAGCAAGTATAAATGATAAAAAATGTGGCCCAAATTTTTAAATAAATTTTTCCTACACCACCTCTAAGTCAACAATTTCAAAAATTTAATTCACTGAGCCAACATCAAGCCCAGCTTCTGAAAAAATAAACGCCACGCCAACTTTGGCTGACTAGATAACTTATCCTTAGCCAGCGATCAAGTTAGGCTTTTTTATTGCCCTCAATAATATGCTAAACTTTTTTTTCTCATTTTTATGACGTAAAGAAGTTTTTTTAAATATTTATTATTATTCATCCTCAGCAATTATCCACGTAAAAGGTTTTGCAAATTTCTAAATAGTATAAAATAAATAGCCGCAATAAAATTTGAAGTTGCCTCACCCATATACGTTGAAACAAATTTGCTGCGTTCGTGCGGCGGAATCCAACGGCTCGTCATCGAATGCATTGCAGGCCAAGTCATGCCCTGCAAAAAAGAAAACAAAAACTGCTAATGCCGTTGCCGTTCGTGTTTTTTTTTTTTAATGCTCGTATTCTTTCATTAATCAGTTTAAGAAACAAGGAGGTGGATTTTTCAACCAACATAAATAATTTTTTCAATGCAGAGGCAAGAAAGCAGCAGGGAAGCGGATCTACACACCGAGTGTAAATTACGACCGGTCAGTATATTTTCTACAACACGTGGGACATTGACAGAGGAGAGAATTTATATGCGTCGTCTACCAGGCGTCTGCGAGAAAAACATGCTTCCGAATACATAAACACCAATTTACTCCTCGAAAATTCAAACTTCTTTGGCTATATAAAAAAATACTCCTTTCTATATATTTTTTTTATATTTGTAAATTTTAAATAATTTGTGATTTTTTTAATCGCGTTGAAAACATTTTGAATTTACATTTTTTAAGGTCATTGCCCTTTGTTCACTTTTATGGTGGTGCAGATAACATCACCAATTTTTATCTGTTTTTCACATTTTTTGCGAGTGCAATCAAAACCTTAATTAGCCAGAAATATAAAACGAGCGTAAGTTAAATTTAGAAATTCGGCAATCCAACTTTCTGATGACGGTGTATTGATGAATAGAAAGTTGGTACAGAGCAATGGTGTATTTTTAAAATTATTCCTTTTCTAATGTAATTATTGGCGCGGCTGGAAGCTTTCATGGAATTAAAATTGTATACCTTTCACGAGAATAATGATTCAATATTATTCCTCTCATTAAAAAAATGGACGATCAAATACAAATTTAGTGCAAATGAACGAAATCTTCAAAATTAATGCAATTTCTATTTTCCTATTTGGTTTAAAACAAATCTAGTTTGAGTAGAGAGATTTTTTAGTTCACAAGCTATTTTCTCTTTGTATATGATCAATCATCATTAATTTCAATAAATTTTATGATTTGTGAGCTTTTATTTCACATAATTATTTTTATATGTTTTTTTTTTGTCTGTTTATCGGATAACCAATTTTTTTTTTTATAATATTTCGTTCTGTAAAAATTGCTCACCGCCGCGAGTCCTTGGATGAGCCTGATGCTGATGAGGAGCCAAAAGTTGAGTCTGGCCGCGACTGGGGTGGCGAGGGTGGTGATTCCGAGGACAAGGTTGGCGCCCCCGTAGACGATTTTGGTGCCGTACCGCTCGGCCAACATGCCCCCGGGCACCAGACTGACGATGTAACTCCAGTAAAAGGAGCCGAGCACGATGCCCTGCAGCTGCGAGTCCCACGCGAACTCGCCGACGTCCGCCTGTGGATAAATTCAAGAGAGCAACAAGACATTAAATCGCACTCTCTTGTGCATGTACATGTTCGAAAAGAACACCAGAATATTCATTCATAAATTAATCATTCAAAACTGGTTTTTCACGTGATTTGCAGAAGAGTTTTTGCAAAAAAAGTTACAGACAACAATCAATTTTCATAAATAATTCTTATTGTAGAAGTTACTTAAGTTTAATTATTTTCAAATTAAAAATTACAAGTGAAATAAAAAAAATTTAGAGTGTGTTAAATAGAATATTTATACATAATTAATAAAAAATATAACAATAAGAGTTCAAAATAAATGTTATTTTTTTTATTTAATTCAAGATACATTTTAAAAGCACATAAGACATAATAAATTGATAGATCTGTGACAAAAATAATTTATGGCATGCCTGTCTCGCTGTGATGGGAGTCTCTGTTAAAAATCAATCAGTGCATGCCATCTTAAAACACGTCTATGAAATTTAATTAATTCCAAAGTCGACGCGTGAAAATCGGCTTGATCGTTTTCGGATCGAGATAAAGCTCCACCCCAGACACTCACTAAATTTCAATTAGCTGATTTATAGTCGCGAGACGCGGACGTGAATGAGCAGTGCAGAAAGAGTAAGTTTATGCGAAAACTCCAGATATAATAACCATTAATGGGCGCGCGAACAGGTTTTCCATCTGAAAATAGACGCGGCAATTTTGTCGATTGGTTCGCGCCTTATAATAAATAATTATATATTTATAGGTGCGAGCATCGACTAACCTGTTTGGCGTCGTCAGTGGCGGTGGTGTTGCTTCGGAAACTGCTGCTGTTCGAAATGCACTCGTTGGGGACGAAGTCGTCGGAGGCGGCGGCCGTCCCCGCGCCTCCGGTCATGGATACGATGGCGATGTTCATGTTGACCCGCAGCATGTAGTTGACAAAGAAGCCGAAAAAGGAAATTACGCCGAGCACTCCACGTGCCGGAATGCGGTTCGGATTCGCCCATGCCAACCACCCTGCAAAACCAAAACAATTTTTACAAAACCGCGCAAAAATAATGACTTATGTGTGTGGCCAGACGTCCTCATATTGGAAAACTTTTAAGAAACAGTGCAACTGTTTTTTTATTTTTCATTCGAACCGGTTTTTAATAATTTTTCAACAGAAATTCTCACGTTTACTTCAACATATTTCAAGAGGAAAAGTTTTTTTAAAATACTTGTAAAAATTAAACACATTGGTCAAACGGGATAATAAATAGGATTTGACCACTTACTTGCTACTGATTTTTATTTTAATTCTATACGCAACGATCAAGTGCCAACATTTAATCCAATATTTATTGCGAATAATTTGCACATAAAAGTAATTTAGGCTTGAGAAACGTTCAATTGCTAGCAGACGAATAAAAGAACCACATTTTGATCATGAATTTTATAGCCAGAGAAACCAATGCTAAAAAAATAATAATCTCTACTGAACTCAACCTTGGCAGACTTAATTATAGAAAAGCCGCTTACAAAGACTAAATCGCATGAGCAAAAAGCAGCTTCTAAGGTAATTTTTTTTTTAAATTTTTCTTATGAGATATTATTTGGCGCAAAAACCCACTCATTCGCAGCACTTCTTCAAGAACGACCATAAAAAATGAACTAAATTCACACAAAATTATAATCATTTGATTATGTCTTGGTTCTCAATTTTAAAAATCTTTTGAAATTATTATCTTGTTTATTTTTCCCATTATTGCATCACATTGTTTACTTTTAATATTTGCAATTTTTGATAACAATTTATTTGAAAAAGGAGAAGTTTTTAAACTATTTTAGTATCCACAACAATTATTAAGAAAACATAGGCCAACGAAAATACATGCCACTTTTTTGACAAAGTAACAGACAAGAATATTTCATATATTGCATTTTTAAATCCGTTGGCAGTTCAAGTCAACCAGAAAAATTAAAGCTCATTTTCTTTAGTAAAATTCCATACTCAATGACAACGTTATTATTCATACTCACTGAATCTGATCTTAATTCAAGTAAATTGAGTCGAGTCCAATTTTCCGCCTAACCGATTTCTCGCCGTCTCTTTTTCGTAATAAATGTTATGGCACGAGGACAAAAACCAGTCCTCAAATCACGTGACTGCATTATTTGCCGCGCGCGTCCACTATTATAACAAAACGCGGGTTCGGTGCTCGCGATGCTCAAGTCAGCGTTCATCGAAATTGATGTTGACAATCATTGTCATTAATGCGCTCGATTGCAAATTCCGTTTTTCTTTCACGTCACCTCGCGCGCTAGTAGATTTTACTCCGGAGACTGATTTAGCTGTCAAAGAAGATTTAATAATTTCCTCAAACACTCATGTTGAAGCTCTTAAGGTGATAGACTAATAGACCTTGACGTCATTTATATTTATTTTTTATGCAAGTTGAATTGACATATATTTTATCTATCATAATTATTGCATGTAAGTTCAACGAAAAAAAAAATGACTGTGTATTAAAATTAATTTTGTTATAAATATATTATCCACAATATGACATAGTTTAAAATAGCGCTGAAGTCTCCTGAATTTTGGCCGAAAGAACTCAATTCTTGATAAATACCCCAATTTGACAGAATGGAATATCAATTTTTGTTTCTTAATTTTGTTAAATAGAAAATGTAGTAGGTTTTAACTGAACTTTTACAAAATAAAAATAAAAACCAGCTGAAAGACGATCAGAAGAGAAGGGCACTTTCAGAAACATCCATAAAATTAAAAACGGCCTTGTCCTATCCTAGTGGAAGAAGTTTATAAATATTCAATTTTCAAAGCGGTCAAAGACCATTTTCCACTTAATTTATTTTTCAGTTTCTGATAGATTGTAAGCATTTCAGGGAAAATTACAGTTAATAATTAACAGTTATAAAACACCATTGAACCTCTATTTAGTAAATTATTTACTTCAACTCTTTACTTTAAAGTACCAATTCAATTGGTTTGACATCAATTTTCTATGATGGTATTAATTGAAATGCAAAATATAATACGACATAAAACTAGTTAAAAAAAATTAACCAAAGGAAAGAGTGAAATATAAAAATGCCTAACAGAGGTTTTATACTTGCAGGTTTCAATCAAAAGAAAATCGAGGAAAATTTTATAAATTAATTATTAGAGCTCATATTTTTGTATGATATTTAAATGTACAGATTCTACCTTTGAAATTGATGTTTCAGTTTCAAAATAAAAGTTATGAGTCAAAGTTCAAAATTAGCGTCTGGTAATCAAAATAATTCTCTTACCTTTGCTTCCCAACGCCATGCCTGGTCAACACCTTCAGCCCGACTGATTATTTCATTCGCTCTCCTCGCCAGCTAGAGCTCTCCGAAAAACGACTCCGCGTGGTGGTATTATCCATATTCCGTTCGTTGCAAGGTTTCCCACTCGATATATGTGCCGGACGTGCGAACGGCACACATTATGTAAGACCCATCTTGCTCCCTTTCGGCATAACACGCCTTTCCCCCTAAAAACACGTGATTCGCATCACTGACCGTCAATAATTTTCGTTTTCGGCCAGGGCGGGTTACGTAATTTGCAATATCCTGAGAAAACAGCGCAGCCTCTCCCATGAGCTGGCCGTGTATCAACTTGATTTGCATTTTTTAATTTTGCTCCAATGTCACGAAAACAAAACAACACTGTTCGTTATGCAAGTGGCGTTGGACAATTTTTGGGTGCAGTGTTAATAAATAAAAGTTCCATGTTCCGAGCTTGGCTTCATCTTCACGTTCGGCATCTCAACACTTTGTTTTGACTGTGTGTATGGAATAATTTCAATACTTGACACTGTCCGGTCGTAAAAATTATAAATTGATATTGTCCATTTTGACGATGTAACAATAAAAATTCAAATATTGTCCATCTTCGACCCTGAATAAAATGCCTGCTTTTTCTCAGAACGATTCAGTTTTATTTTTATTGTTTATTCTTCGCAGTATGTACAAATTTTTGATTTCATTTGAACTTATTGCGCGGCCAATCGTCTGGTTTGCTGGGAAACGAGAAACAAGAAAACACAGTTAAACATTCTTCCAACTGTTTTTCATGTGTTGTGTGCGGAGATAAAAGAGTTTACGCCTTAATGTGGTCCTCTCTCCAGAGCAAGAAAGATGTGTCAAGCCGGTATTAAAAAAGTCCTGTTCGGTAATCAAAACATAAACCTCTCCTCTCTCGAATAAGAAGCGGGATAAGGAAAGTCTTCCATTAACGCCGATGGCTTACTGCGCGCCATGCATGTGTCGAGGGTCACGTGTCACGTGCATATAAACAATATTAAGATTAAGTTACAAAAACGTCGCTACAAAAGAAATCGAAAATAATTTAATTATCTTTTATGATTGTATAAAACGAAAATCTCTAACAATTAATTATAAAAAAAATTAATTCAACGACTTTTGAAGAGAATTTATAAAGGGATATTTTTAAAATTAAAAGCCAGTTTAGATGATTACCAGAATTTATGTTTTTTTGTAAGATTAGTTTCTTATTTTGCCTCAACTAGACTATCATTTATGCAGACATATTTTCAAGATTATATTTTTTTAGAAAAAGCCTTCCAAAAATTCAATTTCAGAATTTGGCATTTTTTTTTTAAACTAAATCTTCAATTTTGCAGAAAACGAATAAATTATTTATTTGGAGGGACGCGTTATTCTGTTCACTTTTTCTTGCCCTTGCCCTTCTTGTCCTTGGCAGGAGGCGCCCGCTTGTTCCAAAGCTCCCTCATATCCGCCTTTGCTTTGTCCACCTTCTCGCGGAACTCCACCTGAGCAAGGAATGCGATTGCACCAGAGATAAGATTTTAATTCATTTTTTCATACCTGGGCGTTTTGCAAGTAGTCCCTGCATAGGCGGGCGCACCTGGCCTGATCCTCGAGGTCTCTTTGGCCGCCGCCGATTTCACCTTCGACCACGTTGGACATGTTTTCCGTTTGCTTTTCAAAGCCAACAATGCGGCTTTCGTCCAACAATCAAAATTTATGGAGCTGTCAACAAGGCATTTGGTGGCACGTGCTTTGCGAATTTTGCTTTTACCCAACGTGTTTGCCAGCGTTTAATAAAAATCTTTTATCGCCATTCTTATGCTAATGCATCCGTGGGTGTAGTTGGCACAATTATTTGCACGTGGAGACGCGGGGAAATAAAATAGCACCCGTCTCTTTGCATTGCAACTAATTTTTACAATAAATACGCCTTCAAGAATTTTTTGTAACTAAACTTCAACAGAATTTCTTCTTTTCTTTAAACCTCAATCCTGTTACCGTACAACATGAAAGTTGAATGATTTTTGAATTAAACATATCTGTATCAAATTTTAAAAATTTCATATAATAACTCGGATACAGATTTTTTGGATTTTTTAATATCAATAATTTAAATTAACAATTAACTGCTGATTTTAGAATAAAATTTAATAATTCTAAAATAATTGACCATCTAATAGTAATGTTAAATTATTTTTTTTGTAATTCATAGAAGTCTTTTTTTAAACTAATTTAATTTATATATTGCTAACTAAATTTGTATTATACAAACATCACTAGCCATTTAAAATAATTGTATTGCAACATAGTAAAAATTTAATATAAAAGCAGCAAAATAAACATAATAGTTCTTCACCAATTTAATTTACTTCTTAAAAATAATTAAAAGTCGCTTTTTTATTCCACTAATCAAGCTACAATTTTATTTCTCAATAACAGGATACACAGTGAAGTACGTCAAAAAGAATAAGATACAATGCATTGCCTACAGCAAAAACGCACAGACAAGTATGTTTCTTGACATTCTTCGTTACACTGCTTAAATATCTAAACTCTTTGAAAAATACCTTCTCCTACAAAAATTGAACTCATTTTTAACTCGCAATAAAAGCTTACTTTGAATAAAATCACAGACACTGCAGTGGTTTTGACAAGAACTGCTTCCGATGTGTCTGCGATGGTTAGCGCGCCTTTCAGCTTTTTATTGCTGCAGATTCCTTGAGATTGACATTACAATTAGGATTGTTTATCAAAAGTTTTTCACCACTTCTTTGGCAGCCCAACGAGCCGGTCGAGGGCCGTTGATCAAAATCTCACTAAGTTAAACTCTACAATCGACGCAGCTCCTCTTACTTAAACATTAAGTTTTCTCTTTCATAAAAATATGCACTCGCTCCGACACTTGTAAAATAAATTCTTATATTTCCATTCAAACCGAGTAAAACGCGTCAGACATGCTCACAACCACCAGATGATTTCGTACAATAAACGTTCAAATGGTCATTCACATTTATTTTCAGCACCTCGATCTCATAAGACTTTTTTCAACTGGACGAAAAACACAGTGAACAGTTTTAATTGGTAAAAAGCAGTTTTTGTGCTTTACGACTTAACATGATAAAATTGATTAGCTACCTTGGATGGCACATTCGCTCCCATTTGCGTGTCAAAGATTCAGAAAAGCGGTAAAATGTATATAATGGAATATAATAAAAACGCGCTCTTAAGACACTTTGAATATTATGTACTTCAGGATTGTTCAGCGTGGTTCGGAATTTTAAAATAAACTTGCTTGAAAAGAGCAGGTCAGTCGGCCGAAGAGGTAAATTTATATTATGTACAGTTCGCGCCGCACCACTCTCGGCTCCGAATCAACCCGCTTTTTGTAAATATTGCAGAGAGATGGACAAACATTTCGGTGCTCTCACTATAGCTTAATTGACGAATAAATTACTTAAGAGTTGTGATGGTAGCGAATATAGGAAGCAGACCTTGCAGTTATTGTTCTCAATTAAATTTAAAAATTTAAAAAGAATTTTTTAGTGCTTGGTGCGCACCGGCAGCATTTCCTGCTGCGCCTCGGGGTCTTCCTTGGTTTCCTTTTTGGAGCTGCTGTTCCACTCCTGCAGCTCTCCTGAGCCAAAGATGATAAAGGTCAGAGCGCCTGTGAAGTACGTACACGCCAACACCCCGAACACTTTGCTCCATTGGGCAAAAGTTTGCTGCCAAATCAAAAAAGGATTATTTAAATTTATGGAAAATACAAATTAAATGAGATTATTATTACGTTGTTGTTGGTGAAGACGCCGACCATGAAAGTGGAAATGTAGCCACCGGAGGAGGACAAAGTGTTGGCCAAGCCAAAGATGGTGCCTGAGAAATTGGGTGCAATGTCAAGGCCGTTGCCTAAGTAACCGGCGGTGACGGCGCCGTTGATGGTTAGAGCGGAAGTGAAGAAGAAGACGGACCAGAAACGGTCGCAGCCAAAGAAGACCAGTGAGAGCATGAAAAGTCCGGGAACACCAACAGCTGAAATGGCACAAATAATTAAATTCATAGATTGCAAATTAAAATAATATTTTTGAATGAAAATTTTAGCAAACAATTGTTTTAATCTGATTGATTATATGACATTTTCAATACAGTGAGAGACAAAGTTATTTTCACACTTAACCTCTCAAGTCTCGATGGAAAGTTATTAAAGTTAATGATAACAAGGACTAATTTTGAGTTCATTTTGGATCATACCGAATCCAGTGAAGATCTTCCTAGCAGCAGTGGTGCTGAGTTTTCCGGAACGGCGCAAGTAGTCGGCCAAGTAGCTGGTGGAAATGGCGAAGAAGTACTTTCCAAAGTAGGGCAAACTGGACAGCAGACCGTTCTGGAAATTAGTACAATTTTAATTATTTGTTAAGTCAATCAACTAAGAAAGTGGCTCTCACCTCCTTGATATTAAACCCTAGAATGTTCTTCATATAAGTGGGCAGTTGGTTAACAACAGTGAAGTAGCCGAAGACGCTGGCACCGTGAGTTATGATGATGGCCCACACAGGCAGAGAGGTCAGCATCTTGCCCCAAGGCACACTTGGAGGCTGTAATAAAAAAGTTTTGTCAATATAGAATAAATAAAAAAATAACATTCCTGAAGGTTCTCACCTTGCCGTCCTTTATTTGATAGCAAGAATTGAATGGAAATTTAAATTTCAGACAAACTTGCTTTTATTTTTTATTTTTCAAAAATTATTAGAAACTGACCTTGCCCTTGGCAGTTCCTGTTCCAATGGCATTCTCAATGAACCGCCTTTCCTCGTCAGCAATCCTGGGGTGCTCGGCAGGTGTGTCGAAGACCAACAAGAACCAAAGAATGCTCCACACAATGGATATCGCTCCTGTGACGTAGAACACAGATTCCCAGCCAAGGTGGGCGATCAGAAAACCACACATGGGCATTGTCAATGCGGCGCCCAGCGATGAAGCTGAAGAACAAACGAAAATATGTAAAAAATTTAAATTTGGAAAAAAATATATAATTACCCATCATATTGGCAATGAACTTGCTCCTGTCCATAGGAGGAATCCACTTGGATGCCATAGGTTGGATGGCAGGCCATGTTGCACCCTTAAAATATCAAAAAATATTTTTTCGAATTAAAAATTAACAAAAATTAATTGTTTTAATTAAGCACGCATATATATTATATTTGACTTACAAGAGTGAAGCCGATGACCACTCGAAGGGCCACCACGGCCAGGTGGCTTATGTTAGCTGCCAGAGGGGTGGCAAGGGTCATGATAGAGGCTATCAACATAGAGTATCCGAAAATCCTGCGGGCGCCGAAGACCTCAGCCATTCGGCCACCAGGCAATTCTGTGAGCACGTAGCCCCAGAAGAAGCAGCCCAAGATCAAGTTTTGGGTTGGCTCGTCCCAGTCGAATCGGGTCTGCTCAATATCCTGGAAAATAATAAATGATTTAGTTTAATGGACTTTTTATAGGCTCTAGAAAATATTAGTGTGATAAAATTTTGAGGTATGTCTTTTTTTACTGTTAGATCATGATTTTTCCAATTTAAATTGAAAAAATTTCATGGATTTTCAAAAATGTTATCATTTTAATAAACAGTCACAAATCCATAATCATAACGGCAAAATTAAAATCTAATTAATTTGTTTTTACACAAAGTAATAAATATTATGGGTTTAAATACTTAATTCAATTAAATAAAATTAGTATATTTAAAAATATCTGACAATTGAGTAAATATTAATTTGTAACACAAATATTTTTATACTAATTTTAAATATACATGAGTATTACGATCATTTTATAAATTAACAAAACTTCATAATTTTCTTTTTCAATAATATAATTAAAATTTTTTTTTTCAATCCATGCAACTATTCTTTATTTTTTTTTCCTAATTTTCATTAATTTTTAAGGTAAATAAATTAATTGTTGTTCACTTTTGTTCACTTATTAAGCAAAGAAAGAGGTTGATGGTCTTACCACCGAGGGGGGTTTCATTGTTGCGTCAGTGGTGGCGTTGTCCAAGTACTGCAGGACATCCACCTTTTCCGGCTTGTAGCACTCGTACTCGTGGTGGTAACTAGTGGATGTGTCGTTGTCTGTGTCGACGATTGTCCTGTTGGTCGGGTTGACCATGGCCACGATGGCGATGGTCAGGTTGACGCGCAACATGTAGTTGAACATGAAGCCCGTCAACACCATGAAGTTCAACACTTGCAGACATGTTAGTTTTTCTGCAAATTAGAAAATACGAAAATAATTAATTTTTGCTTCGAGGGAGTAGGAAATAACGGAGACCAAACCACTGTGAAAATTAAGCGTGAAACAAAGCCTCGCCGGCCTGCGTCACGGTGGACCATTTTTAAAATTAGAATCAAACGAGAGTGGAAGGAAAAGAATCTCCGCATTTTTTTTAAAGAATGGATTTTGATACAAAAACAAGAGAGAAAATCAATTAAAAAAATTAAAAGTTAATCTTAGAATAAGCTGCAAATTACTAAATTACTAATGAAATAATTAATGGAGTCAGAAATTTTACGTTTCTTTTTCTTCTTTTTTTTAGCGTTTTTTTTACTACACTGCATTTTATAGAGCTCCGCTGTTTTAATCTGATTTGCGAAATGAAATGTCCGATTCATGTTATACGGCCGGAAAGCATGCAGGGGTCCTGCGAGTCGTCTTTCATCAACTTCACCACACGGCGGCGCCGCAAATAGAAGTTTTAAGCGCGCACGTGGTCGCGGCCGCGGCACCGTGTAAAATTGTCCACGCGAATGACGCAGGGCTCGTGTGACTGTGACGCCCGAATTTCGCCTTTCGCTCGCACGCATTTCGATTCGCCGATTTTCGTCCCAACTTCAAACGCGCGATTCTCACCTCTTTTGCATCGCTTTTTAAGCAGGGGCCCGTCTGTGAACGTTTTTGGCCCTCTGCCAACGGCGAGGGCACTTTTAATTAATACACGCTTTGTCTCCCCTTTGAATTAGGCCTGGCGAGAAAATTTATCTTTTGTTTCTAAGAAAGTAATTTTGGCACCGCCCGAGTAATGAAACGATTGATTATTAATATTTGCAAATTATTGAATCAAATGAAATGGCAATTGTTTATGGAAAACAGAGTGATAAATTATGAGAAAACAACGTGAGCTTGCGAAAGGCGCTTCATTATTATTCTAATCCATGTGCATTTGGAATGAGACAGACGATAGACTATGCAGGTCACCTTTCCTTTTGTTTGTGAATCAGAACGCAGCCATCCTTATTCTATTTAATGATATTTAGTATCGATTGATAAAAATTAAAAAAAAAAAATTTAACCAAAATTTTTACTGTAGAATAAATTGTGCCAGAGAACTATATTTTAAAGTTTAAAATATACTATTTATTTTGTCAAATTTAGTTAAACGGTTTGAGATAAGAAAAAAAAATCTAACTTTATTTAGTAATAAATTGAACTTTGTTAAAAATTTTTGAAATTTTAAAATTAAATTAATTATAATTATATTTTGAATTGAAGCAATAAAAGTTGTGATTAATACACGCCAAAGCCAATTGAGGAGTATTATGGAAATTTACAATTTAAATAATTTTAACTTATTTTTACTCATTTTTTCTACAAAATAAAGGCATCTCTTTTATTCAACAAGTTTCTCGCTTCTTATATTTCAAATCGGACATCGTTGGCCGAGCTCCAAGAAGTATAAACGCCCGCCTATTCCGAAGCAACCGGTGCACAAATTATGCAAACAAACGTTACATCACAAATATTTTTTTCTTTCCTCCCAAGAGTCACATGCTGTTGATTATGGCGAGCGTATTAAAAGGGATCAGCTGCCACTTTGGCCACCCGCAAATTGCTCCAGACAACACGTATGCATATTATTTGTGGCGTTCGTAATTGCCACTAATTTCCACACCGCAGAAGAGGAAAAATGCTCCATCAAATAAGCTCTCTTGATGCCCGAACCAACATTTAGATAAGGCTCTATTACCGAAATTGAGTTGCTGCGCGACAAAAACAGATCGGCTCGCTTGTTTGCATTAATAATTACCTGAGATGGTTGTGAAAATGCCCTTGCCCATGGCTGCTCCTTTCGATCGTCACAGAACCTGCAAAAAAAATTATAAAATTACTTATTTTAAGAAAATGTTTATTTTTCTGATTATGAGAATTAAAGGAAAGAGCCGAGTTGCGTTTTCGTTATTTTGAGCTCAAGTGAAGTAAATTTAAAACCTCTTTGATTCGCATTTTGCAAGCGACTGCGTAAGTTTCCGTGCGTCATTCGCACATTCTGCCGTTCAGTTTTGATCCCTTGATTTTAGGAACACCTGCGTGACCTGCGGCTTTCTACGCGCAAAAAGTTGTTCCACAATTGAAATCAGAACTTGCAAAAATATCATCTGAATCAATTCTGAGCTGATTGTGAGCAAAAAATAGTTAAATTTATGTATGAATTTGAATATTATTTTATTCAGACGATCAAAATTAAAATTGTAGAAAATTTTGAAGTGGTTTTTTGTAAATAAAAATATTGAGGTTTATAAAAATCGAATAAAATAACTTGTTGAAAATTTGAGCCATAAACATTTACAAGAACGGATCTAAAATTACTTTCATTGAGGTTTCAAGTACTATGCGGAACAAATATTTACAATGTTGCTCTGAAAGTCTGAATGTGTTCTACATTTTAACTTATATTGCTTTGGGTAATTTATTACACCATAAAGGAGCATATTTATCAGAATTAATAAGAAAAAAAAATAGTGACTTGATTAATTACGCCAGTCAATTTGCCAAGCTTTCAAAAAATGACCCAAATTACTCTTGATTGCGGCGCCATTAAATTCTATTCAAATTTTCTGCTTTCGGTTTGACGGGATGAAACGCCCTTAATGACCCTTAAACTGGGACGCGTCTCTTGTGGTACTTTTTACATCCTGCATGTGTGCACGTGGGATTCGTGAAATAATTGGAGGGCGTGTATGCCGAAAAATCACCGCGAGGAACGACGGAGGGGACTCGAATGTGCCCTTTCGAGTGGCCACAAAGAAGTGCAGGGGTTAACGCGGCGTTTATGACAAGCTGGGAACGGAAAGAACGCGGGTCAATTCATTGAAAACAATCACGCCGCTTGTTAATTCGCACTACTTGCTGCTAAACTTAACCCCTCGGGTTATTACTTGCGACGTAATAACCCCCTGCGGCTTATTGAGATTAACGCGTCCTTTTTAACACTCTAGTCAGTCACGAGTGTCACGGGGTGTGTAACAAGAATCAACTTGTTGAAGGGTCAAGCATGACAATAATTTTAAATTATCAAAAAATGGTAATATTTTTTTTTTTAGTTAATCTCAAATTAAATTTTATTTATTCATAATTAATTATTTATTTGTTGTCCAACTTATTCTTAAATCAGCGTAAATTATGATTGTTCATTTATATTTATCTCAAATATGCAAAGGAATTTAAAAAGGAAAATTAGTAAATGGGGGTGTTAAATTAATTTAATAATTATGAGAAAAAATACCACAAAAATTACCAAAATTACCCGTTAAATATACAAAATCTAGAACTTCAAGTTTGAACTTTCTTCCCTTTTTCATTTTTTTTTTAAACCATCCACTTTCATTTAAATTTTTAAAAATCCATATCTTTTACTAAGAACTAATACTTGAGTAGGTTTATCAAAATTATTTGCTCCACTTGTAAATTATAATTTTTGCTATCTTCATTCTAGAATGTTGCGAACAAGATAATAATTTCTCTTCTCGAGTGTCGCGACATATATGCGACGGGGAGAAATTGCATAACTAATACAAACCGATATGTACTTAAATTGATAAGAAAACATCGTTCGATACATTTCATTGCTCTTATCAAAATCTGTGTCACTAGAGAGCTCAAATTCCACCGTAACATTTACTCTGCTTCTATAATAAATATTCTATAACCTAGCGCAACAAACACGTGATTTACTAGACTTTGGTGCAGACTTTTGTTTGATAATTTAATCCCACTGCTAGTTTTTTTTTGTGCGTCTGCGAAGACGAGTTTAAAACGCAGACTCATACGAGTTGTGGGCGTTTTTCACCGCTTATTTTCTTTGGCGTCGGATCTGAGATTTTTTTCGGGCGGCCCGTCGAAGGCCGCCAGTCATTATTTTTGCCGGTTGACTTTTAACGCGCGCAGCGGTCGCGCGCGCGCGGTTTCGCAAGAGATGCGCCTGGAGCCGAAAATGCGGCTCATCATCGTTTCTTTCTTTATCACTTTTGATTGATGATTTTCAATTTATTTGCCAAGACTTGCCGCCAGCTCAGACCTTGGTCAGCAAATAATTTGACTTCCAAATAAGCAGCAAGCGGATTTTGTTTTGCATTTTTTACGTTGCAAACGCAGTCGGTGCAAATTGCTTTGTGATTACAGAACAGGTTTCTCAGATTCTTTCAGACACGCAAGGAAAAATCATTGTCTGCAATTAAATTAATTTAAATTTTTCCCATTTTTAAAATAATTTAGTTTATTTATTCTCCATTGGTTAAGATATTTAAATTTTTTGCATCTACAAATAAACACACGCACACTTAACAATTATCTGAGAACTTCATAAGAATTTGTAATACATCGAAAATAAAATATTAAACATAAATGGTTCAGATTTACATCTTCATTGTTTTTCTTGTTCACAAATCAAGTACATAATTTACATCTCCTTCACACTGGAGGGAAAAAACAAGGAAAATTTTTCAGTTTAAATAATAATAAAACAATTTTTTTTAATGCGAGAGCAAATTTAAGTTTTTTAATTGAACATGGTAATAGTCAAGAAAATATGAAGTAAAATGATGTTTTTGGAATAATTTAATGAATAATTAATAAATAAATTAATTCAACGTTTTAAAACTCTCATTGCCGTTTCTTATCTCGTCTGTGATTTTCCCGATCACCACATTAATCTCTTCTCTCAACATGATTAAAATTTAATGTGCCGTCATTCTGTTCATGTCAAATCATTGGAGTTAAATTTTTTTCTTATCTTAATCTGTGAAAAGAATATTAACATTTCTCTCCTACTTAGGTCTGTCAATCTAAATAAGCGAAGGACAGAGACTTAAAAAGCAATGACGTTATCATTTTTAATTTAATTGCACCACATTTAAATTCTCTTTGCGAAGGCGTTTTGACATTCATTCACTAGGCCGGTGCTGCTTTTCGCCCACTTTCGGAGCGAAAATCGATTTTCTGAGCGCGACTCGGGGTTGGTCGGTCGCTCTTCTGCGTCACACGGACGAACCTCCAAAATATTGAATAGGGCGAGCGGCGGCACGCAACCCCTACATCGCGCCGCCGAGAGCAAAAGCTCTTGGCTATTTTTGGAGACTTATAAGTACGCGATCGACCAACAGTAAATCTCTACCTTGCGCCGATCGGTTGCTACTGACAATGAGGTTGAAGATCTGAACCAAAATTGATTTGGTACAAAAGTTAAGATCGAAAGAAGAAAATTAATTAAAAATATTAGACGATTTTCCTGGCCTTATGTTATTATTAGCTCAGATATAAAAGAAATAATAACTTACTATTGTTTAAATTGGAACATATTTTGTTTAATTTTAATTTATGCGTCCTAGTTTGTATTTAACACATTGCGTGCTGTGCTTAGCACTGGCGAGTGCATGCACTTCTTGCAAAAGTCCATAATAATTTTGTGTGGCTGCGCACGAAATCATTTGCATTATGACGCTGGTCTTTGCGTAATGAAAACAAGACCTGATTTTGGGGGTTTCGTTCTGCTCGATCCGATTCCGTACAAGTCACTTTTCGCCGGTAATAACTATCCTTTTACCAGTTCTTGAGTCATCACAGATTTGAACCAGTTATGCTCTGTTGTGGCACCGCGCCTATCTACAAATATTTATTATGTTCCCTCGATAACAAAATCAATTTAGGCCGGCTCTTTTAAAATGCGTCGTTTACAAAAGTTGAAAACAAACCGGCTCTCCTCAAACACGCCAATATGAAATCGATATATTTTAAATAAATTAAAACACGCAAGAAGAAATTCCGAGTGCAAACTTCTAAGATTTATAGCATCTGTCTAGAGTTGCAATGATTATTTTCTAACCGTGTAATTATATTAGAAATTCCAGCACCGGCTCCTTTCAAAGGATAACAGCCGCCGATTAAGTCAAAGTGGCAATAATGACCGCATATTACACACGACCAGGTGCAATGTAATGGTCACCTTATCCCACTTAATAAAACATGATATATCAATTACGGCTATTACCTTTGAATGCTGTGAAAATCGTATACAAAGTAATTGCACAAGACGACGCGTTTGCAGAAATACCGTTTTTCTTTCAAGTCTGAGCTGAAAACTTTTTGAAAATATTAAAAAGTGAAAAAATAAGCAACGATAAGAATGCAAATTCAAAGAAAGGAACCTTGAAGTCGAATAATTTATAAAAGAAAAGAAAAAGAAAAGAGTAAACACAATTTTTTTTTATGTAACATCTCATGTGGTTAATATAGTTTTAAAACTGAAAAACTTATTAGATTTCCGTTGTTTTTTAACAATCATTAATTTTAGATAATATTCTCTGAGCTATTTATTAAAATCAAAACTTTTTCACATGAAGTTTTCTATTTTTTATTTATGTATTGATCTAATCTTTGATATTTAAATAAACATAAAATATTTAAAGCGATATGATATTATTTTTATCTCAATTTATTGCAGTGCAGTTTACAAGTAAAAAATTATAATTATTGTAATTGTATAATATCTATTCAACTTATTTAATCATTTATGTGGGTGCCATTAAGAACGGAAATTGCAAACAAATAATGAAATGTATAAGATGCGACTATACATTTTGGTTGGTATTGTATTTACAAAATTTAAAATTAAACAATTTGCCTCTATAACGTCTCTCTACTTCTTCTTAATGGTTCTTTAGGTTCTTAATTAAGGCATTTAAAAGATGTTGGATGCTTGAAATTTATCAATTTATGGAAACAGTATGCAATCTCTCTTATTTTGGTGCAAAAAAATTTCAAATATTTTTTTATAAATTGATTTATATTCCATTTTATTTGACTGATGTATAGTGTTCTGGGACAAAGCATTTGCTCCGAATTAATTTGTCCAGCCCACGAAACAATGGTATAAACAAGAGCGTGACGTCACTCGATCATCGGGGTCAACCGAGCCAGCCAAAAGACAAGCCCCCGGAATCTGCAGTAAAAAGTTGGAGGCTCGCGCTCTTATTCGCAGCATGATTTACGAGTTGCGCCGCTCAACACACGTGTGCGCCACACACAAATATTTTTTATTGAGCTTTGCAGAATTAAAATAAGTTGAACCCCGCGCTCTCTGCGCCAATCTACACACAGTGGATAAGGGCGGCTGCAAGGGCAAACCGGTTTCGCCGCCGGACCTTGCAACCAATGCGTTCATTCGGCCTTGTTGAAGAAAGAAAATTCGTTCCCAATCGGACTCGAGGAATGTTGATTTTGATTAATCGAGAATCAAGTGTTAATTTATTTAATTCACACACCACTTGCCCGCATGCTTTGCTATAAAGCGGCAAATTGATTTTAACAGGTTGCAATTTATAAAAAAAAAAATTGTTGGGTTCAGTTTCAGCCTGAAAAGTACATTGACCTTTTAATTATTACTCCGCTTCTTTGATTGAAATTCGATCAGCCGTTCTAGAAGAATAAAATTCCTGTTTTCTCAAGTGACAAACATATCAAAAATCTTGACACGCGTGAGACTAAATTGAAGCCTTTAAAAAATACTGTGAAATATGAACAGGTTCTGTATATAAATCAGGCCCTCTTGTTTGAACCTGCTGCTCTCCCCCCAATATTCAAATGACTCAATACGTGCGAGACCGACGTAGAAAGTCTTTTTGAACAAATCGAGAGCAGCTCCACTCTTGACGCGGAGCAGAGAAAGTGACAAAGGAAAAAATATGATTAAAAAGCTTATGGAGGAGATGCAAATCGGAGCGAAGTTTCGTCATAAGGTGTTTTTCCATCTTTTATCACAACAAGGAGTAGAAAATTTCACAGTGATACATAATAAATGTGGTGAAAAAGGGCGTCCGTGTTATCTGGGCTGAACTCTGTGGAGCCGCGTGCGATAACCTTATCCTCGTGTCCTTGATTCTCTCCAAATTATATGTCGCCCGATTACTGTATCCATACGCAGAGGCAGAATCGGTATTTATTTGGGACTATAATTCGTGTCTAGTTTTTTTATAGAATATTCATTCAGGCGTCTAATGAATATAAAAATTCTATATGGTAATTAAAGGCATTACGGAAAAAATTTAAAAGGGTGATGAAATTTTTGCTTCCTAATGCACAATTTTTTAAATCAATAAAAAATTCCAGGCAATAAAACTTGAGTATTTCCAGGTAGAGAAGAGATTGCATAATTATTCGTGCTCAATAAATTTAGTGCGTAATTAGCGACAAGACGTCACGCACGCAGCGCGATAACAAAAAGTGTGTTTAACAAGTTAGTAAGGTGTGCATTTATTTCACATCCACTATAGTTCGTCTCTTGAAAGAACAAACTACAAACTACGCGGGATGTATAAAAAATGTACTGGGAAACACATGGCGCGCGTGCAGCGCAAGAGGAAGCTGACAAAGCGCGATATCGCACTTAACATTTCAGATACATATTTTTCAATTTCAGCATAATTGTTAATAAATAATTCAGAATTAAAGAAATTCGTCATATGTCATATGGCATTTCTGCGGTCTACGAGACTTGAAGCGAGGCGCCAGTAGTTCTTGGAAGTGAGATGAGGTTAGAAAAATTGTGCTCCGATTTTCCTCAACGGTTTATTCTTAGTAATATTTGGTCCAAATGTTAATTTCATATTTTTTTCAGAATAATATTTTGGTAAGGAAACTTCAATTTAATATTTTAATCTTCACAAGTATTGATTTCTATATACCTCACTCAATAATAATATAATTATTAATAAAAATTCCAGGAAATTAACACTGATTTTAAGTAAAATATTGAAATGAACCGTTGGACTAGAAATTTAGGAAAATTTTTCATTAAATTTACAAATAAGTTTCTTTGTTGCTACAAAGTAAAATATAGATATTTAAAAGGAATGAAAAAAACTAATTAATCAAAATCTGTAATTTTTTCAAATCATTACCAAGTAATTAAAAAATTTTATATTTAAGTAGGAATTATAGTTTTGTGAATGTGAATGCACCCCTAAAAAAGCGGATTGCCGCTCAAAAGGCACCCCGGAACGCCCCTTCAACGGCCGGGTCTGCTCGGGAGGCTCGTCTCGGAGGCGCGGGCGCCGATTGGCTTTTGCGCGACGAGCCTTCTCGTCAGCGTGCTAAAATTTTCCAGCTCGGCTTTAAATTTGGAGCGATTTGCCAAACCTGAAATTGCACCCCTGTAAATATTGGGACACTCACCGTGCGAATGGTGGTGAGGCCAGACGGGTGCTGGCCGCGCGAGTCGAGGGCTCAAGAGGGAGGCAGAGAAAGAGTGCGGCTGCTGGCGGCGCGACGGAGGCACTGAACCCGACTGACTGGGAGGCAGGCGCACTGCTCGGTCGCCGCTCGCGAGCGGCCGCCGCGGATATGCGCACTCTGCTCCATTAGCTCACTTCGAGCAGCTCGGCCGTGCTTAATTTAATACAACTTGCATGGCGATGATGCACTCCAAAGCGTCCCAAGATTTCGATTTGTTCACCAGAACAGGACCATTGCAGCTTTTGCGTCGAACCTGAGAGTTATGCAACCTGCGTGACTCAAAATATACGTAAAATCATTTTGCTATATCCTGTGCAAAAATTTTCTTAAAGATTTTTATAATCCACTTTTTTATTTCTTAAAAAAAAAAAACAATGAAAAAAAAAAAAATTATTAAGTAACAATGGCAATCCCAGAAAAATTTGTGCACTTAATGGACCAAAACTGATCTCTGTGACAAATTTCCCAGGTCATTACGTCTTTTGGAAATACCAATGCGGTTTGAAATCAAAAAGGCATGAAAATAAATTTCATAACATGTTTTTGGCAATAAAATGCGCAAAATATAACCAATATGCCACTTATTGAATTGAATTTTTTTTTTTTTTTAGATGAAACACGATACTTTTTTCTTGCCATTGTTTAAATTTATTCGATAAATTTTAAAATCTTGTTAAAAATTGTTTAAAATATTTGTTTATCCGTTAAATGTGTCCTCAAGACTTTATTAAACTACAAAATAAAGATTGTTGCCCATTAGCTACTACAATTACATTGTTCAGAGATGCATACTTTGTTTACGTAGATTGTAAAAAATGATAAAAAATCTTCGCGCGTAATTTAGACGGTATAACAAGATAAATTAATCTGGGCTCAACGCCAAGCTGTGACATTGTCATAAAGAGCTACCAATTTCCAAGAGTCAAACAAAAATAGTGAATTATTCTTACTAACTAGCAATTTAAACTCACTTTCGCTAAAGAATAATTTTTATAAAAAATATCAAAATATGGAAAATAATTTCCCTTAAAAACCCTTTACGCTATGTAAAAACTTAAATACATTTTCATAATTATTTTTTTCGAAACAAGCAAAACCTTTCTATGTCCTCTGCTTCAATTTGGCAGCTCGGCCTCGTCAACGATCAATGCTCTGCGTTCAAGAGCCAAAAATATATTTTTGTTCAAGCGACAAATCTACAACAAAAATAGAAAACTTGCAAGAAGAATTTGGATTTTTCAAAATCTATAAAATATTCTCATTTAAATCAGTTATCATTTATAAAATTTAAGTATATATTAGTTTCCTTGAGCGCGCCGCAAATAATAAATTTCAAGTGTGATGGACTTTCTTGTGCTGATTATTTCATTAATTTGAAAACAAATATTTGCAAACACGCGATCTAGTTAGAGCGCTCCGATTTCAGGCAGTGCCAAATTAGGTGAAGGACGTTGTAAGATTTCCGCAACCATTATAAGCGTGAATGCGAATTCAAAATTGCAATTCTCTATAAGAAAGGCGCACTTATTGGACGGAGAGACAACAAAATATCTTTTTCTGCACATATGTATCACGTGCTGACGCAGGCGAGATTCTTTTTCTGCACGCACTCATGTCCGATGAGCGCGTCTTTGACTTTCGGACGCCTCGAAATAAACTGGCGACACTCGCAAAGCGGCGCGGCGCCCTTGTCACAGCGCTAATTTGCTTCAAACTTGAAGCGCCGGCAGCTTAAACATCTTTCTCGTCCAGCCATTGTGCCATTTATTTATATTTTTTTCAGCCTTGTTATTGTGAAATAAATGCACCGTAAGGATTACAAAAAATGATATTAAAAAAGGAAATTTAACACAAAAGATTAAACTGTTTTTAAAGACGATAATTTTTTATACTCTCTCAACACCGAAACCCAGTTCACTAAAAATTTATATCCTGTTAAACAATACAAATCGTTCTTTTTAAAACGACATTTTTAATAAATTTATAGGAATCCATCACTTGTACTGTTATTTTAAGGCACAATAAGTGTTTGACGTATTCTACTTCAGTCTCGGCGTTCTGTTTTGTGCCTGGTACCAATAGTACTAGAAAGAAGCAGAGGCATTTCGCAAACTTACTTATCAAATTGCGCCTCAGTTTGTCATCAATATAAAAAGCTTCCTTATTTAAAACCATTAAAATTAACCAAACAAATAACAATTTTTGTGCAAAACTGGTGGTTAGATTATATTAATTTCTTATCTGACGCATAATTTAGGATTTTTTTTTAAATTAACCTTAGCATTTTAGAAAAGTTAATTGTTTTACATTGCTTGCTAAAAAATTTCGGCTTGAACATGAAAAACCAGTTATTTAAGTTTTGACCTTAATAAAAATTCCAAATAAACTTTGTTCTTCTCATACTGAATTTTTATGGTTTTCCCATAGAAAATTTGTGTTCTCTGCCAAGGTATTTGGCCCCTCTTGGAGATTAATCACAAGATGGAATAATAATTTGAGTGGCGCCGCAGCTGTTGACTTAGCAGCCGGCAGTTTAGCGTGGCCCTAATAACAGCCGGCTTATCAGTCAATACGTTTCTCTCGGCATAAACATAATATAAATGTGTATTGACACAAACTGCGCGGTTCTAAATCGACATTTTTTTTTTATTAACAATGTTATGGTACAACAGTAGATTGTGCCTAATGAGTGTCAAGCAAAAATGCAGCAGGCAGAATCAATTAAACGTACGGGCAAAGTAATTCGAGAAGTTCAATTGAAGATCGAGCTTACTTGGAGGCTTTGGCAAGCCTGGCGGCCACATCGGCCCAGTTGGCCTTGTTGAAGATGGCTTTGACGTAGTCGGGACGCACGTTTTTGTACTGCAGGTAGTAGGCGTGCTCCCAAACGTCGATACCAAACAAGGGTACCAGACCTGGAACAAAATTAGTATTCAATAGAAAATGGGATAAATTTAAGAACAAAAAATTGTTTAGAAAGATTTAATAAATAGATTATTAAAAGGACCAGAGAGTTTATTTAATATATCATGGATAAGTAAATTAACTCTTCGTTTAAGATATTTTTTATAATAATGGTTTTTATGATAAATGTAGCTCATTAATTTTGTTAAGATTTTTGCTCGAAACGCACAACATGAATTTTTACAGCTATTATTTGATTTAATTTATTTATGATACCAAAATAAATTGGAACAAAAGACACCAAATTTTAAATTTTTAATAATAATAAAATAAACTAAAAATTGTTTGTGTAAATGATCCGAAATAAGGGTTACATTTATTTACTAATATTGATCTTTTCTTTTAAAATCTCATTATGGAATTTATCTCTGTACCTGTGGTAGCTTCCAGAGGGTCTTGGTTGGGGCAAGCGGCAATTTGGAGACGCTTGGTTTGCTTATTGAAACCCAGCCAACCCCAGCCAGAGCCCTGAACAGCCACGGTCGAGGCTGACAACTGCGTCTTCATGGCCTCGAAAGACCCAAAGTCTCTCTTTATGGCGTCCAACAACTCGCCGGAAGGTTCGCCGCCTCCGTTTGGAGACAAATTCTGCCAGAAGATTGAGTGGTTCAGGTGGCCACCCCCGTTAAACCGCAGGGCCGGGGCCAAGCTGATGATGCTGCTGACGTCATCTGAGAAAAATTGAATTATCATTCATCTGCTCAAAGCATTTCTGATTATTGCTCACTTTTGGCCTGAGCCTCAGCAAGCTTTTCTTCGGCGACGTTCAGGTTTGCGACGTAGGTTGCGTGGTGCTTTGAGTGGTGCAGCTGCATGATTTCAGCAGAGATGACAGGCTCAAGGGCGTTGTAGTCGTAGGGCAGGTCAGGAAGGGTGTGCTTCTGACATGCCTGCACCCTTAGGGCGTGGTGAACAACCTGGCGGCCTCTGAAAAATAATTTTTCATTTTAATTTCATTTTAATGGTAATTTAATTGAAATACCACAATAAAAAATATAATCCTTTGAAAATAATTAAATTTACATAAAGTACAATGAATTTTGTTTTGTTTATTACATTTAGCCGTAACCAAACTATGTTTAAAAATTGAACTAAAAATTCCATTTCACACTATGAAATGTAAATCATGTTTTAACCAACAAATTGATTTAAATTAAATCAAAAGTATTTGTAGAAAATACGACGCAACGTGCATAGTGTGTGATACAATTTTACATAACCACACAGTGCAAAGTGCAATCCACTCAGTAATATAGATGGGTTCAAGGACAAGGACAAAAATTTTTGCCGGCTTAATGAGAAAGATCGAGATGGAGACATTGGAGACTTTTTATGTGAGTTTTGAGTAGAATTGTATAATTCTTTATGTAATTCTACTGAAATACGAGCAAAATAATATCTACCTGATGAGAGATGAAATTCCTTTGGAGCTCAACATTTTCAAATTTTCTTTATTTGATTCGAGTTTTTCAAAAGAGCCCTTATGTATCTGATAATTTCTCCAACAGCTGTGTTTTTTAAGTTTTTTTGACAAAACAATCGGTATCAAACCGGTAATGTTTAATAACTAAAGAGGGATAGGCAGTGTAACTGGTTTAAACTACCGGTATGTTCAAGAAAAATCGTCACTTGACGCTCCTGATCCCTCTCGGCCGATTCGGAACTAAAATCTCAGCGGAGACTGCGATTGGAGGAGCACCTGGCGGACAGACGTGAAACAATAACAATTGGTCATTGCAGCAGCTGTCAAGTGGCTCACGACGGGTGGTGGGTTTTTCCTGGATTTTTCGGCGAGCAGGCGACTTTCGGCGAAACAGGTGAGCCGAATCGACCGGCAGACGAACGCTTTACCCTGGGCCGAACGTTTTCAACGCATTCGCGACGCCCACGAAGCGCGAGCGGCGGCCGAAACGCGTGCCACTGGTCTGCCATTTTCCACAAAGCTGGAGATGCATTAACCTTTCCTTCCCGTTTTTTGCCCCACTTCCTCTTACCAAGTGAACGACTGACTGCTCCTTCGGCTGCGATAATAATTCTACTGCTTTTGATTGCAAGATCATTTTTTGAATATTTTTCAGGTCGGCCGTCGACGTATGCGGCGAGGTCTGACGAGCAACAGCACCCTTTGATGCCAAGATGAGCTTCTTCTTGTGAGTACAACTCGAACACGCACCTCATTAGCACTCTTGGCCCATCCTGCCCGCTCTCGATGACATTATACGTTTTGTCAGCCTTGAGAGCCTCGAATAAGACAAAGAGCGGTCGATAAGATGCTGCGATTGATGTCATCCGTCCGCTCGGGTCCATTATTAAATTATTATTATTTGCTCTCGCTCCTTCAGCTTTGACGAGAGCTGCAGCCTTGAACTCTCATTTTCTCATCAAGCTACTGTTTCTTTTTTCCTATGACTTATATTAGTTTGAATTAAAATTTCACTAATTTGTCTCGATCAAAAATATAATTTGAATTCCGGCAACGTACCACTTTGCCAAACTGGGGGTGTCACGTTTATTATTAACGTCTTACAAAGTGGCAGTCAGTGTGACGCGCATCCTTTATCAAATTACTTATTCTTTCATCAGTGAGCTTTGGTATTTATATTTTAATTTTCAGCAGGTACCTTAACCTTCCAAGACATTCTGCGCCAAATTTGCCATTTTTGGCCTTTCGTGATTTGAAAAAATGTCCTTTTTCAATAATTTGGTAAAATTAGTTTGATAATTAATGACAAAAATGGCAATGCCCTTACTTGACAGGGGGTGAAATAAATAAAAAATCTTAAGCAAAAGTAATTTTAATCAGTGTAGTTTTCATAAGAAAAACAGTTTCGTATAGATAACTTAAATAAATAAATGTTAAAAAGTGTCCAATTTCAAATCAAAATCTTCACTTTTCCTGCGTAATTTATTTGGTTATTTTATTTCAGTAATAATAATTTTTCAGTAAGGATAAAGTCCGTTTTTTTTGCTTGATTAATTTTTTTGTTTTTACAACTTTATGCATACAATTTTTCCCATAATGTAAAGGAAGTATTTTAAGATAAAAACACCAAGTTTGAAGTTGTTTTATTTTAACGTCTGTTAATTTAAGAATTAAATGATTTTAGTATTTTTCATTCCTTTTTTATTTTACAATTAATAATAATGCCTGTAAAATTTTAAATTTTTATTATTAATTATTGTTTAATATTTATGATTTTAATAAAAATAATATTTTTTCCAAACACTAACCTTAATAATATCTTTTCTGTTTAATTTTGAACAAGAGACCGTGTGAACACTTTTTTATCACAACCTTCCAAGCTTGCAATCAAAAACGGCCTTCTATTTTCCTCCCGCAGAACTCTTTATCAACCCAAGCTCTTCAAATGAGTCACCCCGCTCTCTCTTTCTCTATCAAAGTCCCACCGGGACCCTCTTTTTTATCTCCAGGGGAGCGGTTTGTGTGCATGTCTGTCGCTTTTAATACTTCACAGATGCGTACAAAATTGATTTCAGTTTTTTTTTGCCAACTTTAAGTAATATTCGCTTTGAGCCTTCCTGTTGGGGAGAAAATAAATTTGCGTCTGCCAGTTTGTGTTTGGGTGCGAAACGCTGCTCAAGGTCGCGGTTTATTGCCGACAGTGCAAAACTCGAACACGACGAAAACAATGCCGAGCTTTGAAAATAATTTCACTTGCGGGAGACGACCGAAATGCACACTGAGTTGGGCACTGTTTACTTTTTTAAGATAAACAAAAATGAGTAGAATTGTTGAATTTGGTCTCAAATTACTAGCAAAATAATTTTTTTTTTGCTCAGTCAATTTCCATTTCCATATTACATTTAAATTTTAGAATAAATATGAAAAAGAGATAAGGAGAATATTAAATACTTAAATAATAATTGAAAATCCATCTCCTGTAAAAAAATTACGTTACTTAATTGAATTTTTTCAGTGGCAATCGATCTTCGAAAACATTCAAGCCGAAGAAGAACATCCCAGAGGGCACCCATCAGTATGACCTGATGAAACATGCAGCGGCCACTCTGGGCTCAGGCAACCTCCGACTGGCCGTTATGCTGCCGGAGGGCGAAGACCTCAACGAGTGGGTCGCTGTCAACAGTAATTTGGATAAAAATATTTGTGCTTGTCAAAACTAAACTTTTTCATTTCAAAAGCTGTGGACTTTTTCAACCAAATCAACATGCTGTATGGGACGATAACCGAGTTCTGCACTGAAGAGAGCTGCGCCATCATGTCCGCCGGTCCCAAGTACGAGTACCACTGGGCAGATGGCCAGTCAGTGAAAAAACCCATCAAGTGCTCAGCGCCCAAATATATTGACTACCTGATGACTTGGGTTCAGGATCAGCTCGACGACGAGGCGCTTTTTCCCTCAAAAATTGGTATTTTCGCGCTCTATTGTAGGGTTTGTGTGTTTATTTTTCTCTCAATTTCAACAGGCGTTCCTTTTCCTAAAAATTTCCTCACCATTGCCAAAACAATCCTGAAAAGGTTGTTCCGGGTGTACGCTCACCTCTATCACCAGCATTTCTCAGAAGTGATGCAGCTCGGTGAGGAGGCTCACCTTAACACTTCTTTCAAGCATTTCATTTTCTTCGTCCAGGTAGGCACAGAGTTTTGGGAGTTACAAATTTCTTATCTTATCACACTTGCTCCCCTGCTCACATTTTTTTTTATTAATCTGCTGATAAACGTCCCCCCATCTTCAACTTTATCTAATTTTCTTTATTCTCACCCTCATACAATTAGCATTAATTACCAAAAATATTTTGTTTAGGAGTTCAGCCTAATAGACCGAAGAGAATTAGCACCACTGATGGAGCTGATTGAGAAGCTTACAAATAAGGAAGGACGCTTGTGAATGCTTTCATATCTTGTGATTTCGTTTACTTCATTGTCGAGTCCACAAAAAAAAAATTATATTTAAGCGGAAGATGACTTTCTCTGTTAGTGATTTGGGCTCTATTCATTTCTCAGCATTATTTTTTAAATCTGCCATCGTTAAGTTTTAAGCACATTTTTTTCACAGTGAACCAAATATTAAATTTTATTCATTTCTAAAGTTTTTAACACTAGAAAGAGCATGTGTAATTTGTAAAGATGTAATCAATGGTAATTGAACCACTTCAAAACAACCTGAACACCCAACTCAAGAATTGATGTTTTTGTACTCAGATATTTTCTGTGGCGAGATGTGTCCTGAGAAAAAAATTATGATAAACTAGTCAAAATTTCACTTAACCAGTGCCTCCTAAAACAATATTCCCTGGAAACATCTCAGAAGCCATGCACAGAATACAATAAGCTGAAAAGTGCCTATTTTTGGTCAATACTTGGAAAAAATCTCTTGATAGCTTGCCGAATTTCGTCAATGTTGTGAACTGTAACTATTGATGTTTCAGGCTACAGTATTAACCTAAACACACCCACTCATCAGCCGAAATGAAATCATTCAATAATAATCCAGCTGTGTATTTTCATAAATCATTCCGTGTTTTGCTAAAAAGTGGTCTCGAAGAAGTGTAAATTTTGTATAAATAACCCATTGAAAATGTTGTCCAGGCAGCATTAGTGCATTATTTATTAGGCCCATTTGTTGGATCTTTTTATGTGTAAATAATTTCATTAAGTTATTTTTCTCTTCCTAGTGACATACTCCTTGATCAAAGGAATTCACTAATTGTTGATTTGTTAGATTAGCTTCATTGGCTAACAAATTTCATTTTTAATGTCTATTTTCCTGCCAAAAATAAAGACGGATTTCTCAAAATATCTTATGCTTGCTTACTTAATTTTTCTCAGGTGTTTTCAAATAAAATATGCAATTCTTATTATTATCCGAATGGTTAGTTGTTTATTGAGAAAGGCTGAAGAGTTCACCAATATAATATAAAATGCCGTGGATTTACATTGTTTTGAATTTTTACATAGTGGTTCTCCTAAGAGCACTAGAGATACTATTAACGCCTAGATTTTCCATACAACCTATCAGTATTCCATATGCTAATCCAAACTAATCTGCCCGGTGCTAAAACGCTAATAGCTGCAGCAAAATGAAAGTGTTGAAATGAAAACTTAATGGCACCACAGTGAAATAAAATGCCACATAAAACCAAAGCAACGACTACACAATCCAAATAAACTTGCTGCAACTTATGAGTGGAAAAATTACATAATTTAGGAGCTCGGAGGCGGCGGAGGAGGAGCGGACAGAATTCCAGCTAGGGCGGCAAAGTCGGGTGGGCCTCCACTTCCCGGTGGAGGCGGCGGTGGATACGCTGCTTGCCAGTTGTACACTCCAGGTGGAGGCGGCACTCCGCCCCCATGTCCTGGAGGAGGTGGCGGGGGTGGAACAGGGCCCGGTCCTGAGCCCTGTTGCCATGGTGGCATCTGCTGATGACTGGGTGGTTGCCAAGGCATCACTCCGGCCCCTGGAGGCGGAGGTGGGGGCGGTTGCATCATATTTGGGGGCGGGACGGCAGTTGATTGCCACGGAGGCGGCTGGTTCATCGGCGGCATCTGCGGCATGGACATCAAACTCGGAGGCTGACCCTTGCCGTTGCTGGGGGCCTGGCTCCACGGAGGCGGCTGAGTCAAGGCCTGGGGCATGCCTCCCACACCTGGAGGTGCAAGAGGAGCTTCAGCAATAGCACGAGGGGGAGTTGGAGTGTCAAACAACGATGCTGCAGTTGCACGTTGGCCAAAGCGGCTGCCTCCTCCATTCTTTGGTGGTGGAGGTGCTTCTCCCAATTCAGCCATCAGAGACATGTACTGAAAAAGTTAATGAAACAATTAAATATAATTTGAAAGTTAATTTTTCATTTCAAATTTGTCTTTTGACAAGACTTTGTTTCTTCTTTATTGCAATTTTTTAAATAACTTATTATTTTGAATTTACCTCTTCGTCAATTTTATTCCTATCTTCCATTCCAATCGGATTGCCAGCCTCGTCATACTGCATTTTAACACGGCAATCTCGGGAAATGTGTCCTGCGCCACCACAAGATGTGCAAATAACATTGTTGGTAATGTTGGGTTTGTCAGGGCACTGAAATTTAGAAAAAATAATCAGTTTTTTATTCACGCATGCACATTCGTTTCACGCCTTGTTACCTGCCACGATTTGTGAGTTGAGGCGCCGCAGTTAGAACATCTTGGTCCGTCATTTTCACGAAGTGTGCCGTTCAAAAGAGCCAGTTCACGCAACTGCATTCGGCGCAAATCATTTTGACCCTCGGGCACTTCAACTCCTTGACGGATTATTTCTTTAATCTGTGAATGAGAATTAAAATATAAATACAGTTTAATTTTCAGGTTTCAAAAAAACCTACTTGATCAACAGCTTTCTTGACCGATTCAGGATTGTTGGCTGTGACATAAGCATGCAGAGGTTCGTCCTCCCCTGGCAGCGGCTGGCCATCCTTGCGTCCCACCTTTCCTTCTTTCACCGATCCTTTGCCCCTGATAATGATCTTAGCGCCAGTTTCCCTTTCCATGGCTATTGTTAAAAAGATTGATATAAATTTTTAAATGGTTAAAATCTCCACTCACATTTCAGCGTGTTTCCGCGAGGACCAATGAGAAGTCCAACGAAGTTAATATCAGGGTGTTCCTCTTGGGGGATCATTACCTTGTCACTGACACGCACCACTGGCGGCCTGCAAATTATTCAATGAGCAAAAGTACCCTTTTCTAGATTTTTTTATGAAGATTTTTTTACTTATAAAGACTCACCAAAGTTACTGAACTATGATTCTACTTATATTTTTTTTTTCATACGTATTTGAATATTATTTTTGTCTTTGGTAAAATTTTACTTGCCATCTCCTTCAAAGTTATATTTAATTAAAAAAAGTTAATTTATATGCCAAATAAAATAGCTGTACATACTTGTAATCAACTGGCGGCTTGTACTCGGGGTTGATCGATTGCAGCTGGTTGATGAGTCTGTGGCGATCTTCTTCCAGGTTTTTACGGGTGCGGTACTCTCTGGTGTTGAGCCTCTTGCCGTCGCTGCTGTAGATGGGTTCCGGCGAAGGAGACCTGTCACGAAAAAGCTTTCTAGGTACCTGACTATTTCCCACACTTTCTGCCTATTGCTACCCACGCCCACAAAAGAATTGAGAAAAGAAAAAATTGCTAATGAGCTGTTCTGGCATTTGGGCACCTGCAAAAGGATTTAAGTAGTTTATTTCAAATAGCCCATGTCAGACTCGTGACGATTTACCTAAGAGAATTGTGAGCTTTGGCGCTGAATTTGGCAGAAAAATTAGGTTAGTGCGAGTTTTATTAAAGAATCGATACACACTGATTCTGACACCTAAACATAGCAGCTGAAAATTGCAAGTATTACAACAGTAAAGATCTTGCATAATTTTTTCGTTACATCAAAATCACATTTCGTCCTTTCTCATTTGGAGATTGCCTTGTGAAATACCAACATTTTCTACAACTGTGCTCAAATATATTTGCATAGTTTGAACCTTGAAGCTGATTTTTTGTAAACTCGTCAGGTTTGGGTAGTAAGAGCAAAGCGATTGATTAAAATAAGTCAGGTAACTGAATTTCCCCTTCCTTATAAGCCTTATCTACGTAATCAAACCTTTCTTCAGGAATTGATGAAATCCCCAAATCCCCCGTGCGAAGTTTCCTGCTGACATCCTCTATCTGCAGTTGCACTGTAAGAAAGGGGGTTAGAAGGGGCACAAAGCCCAAATACAATTAGAATCGCCAGAATAGTCACAAAAACAAGTGAGGCATTAGGAAAAAAGAAAGACTGTGATCATGGAAATTATATAAAAGAGACTGGATAACTTTCTTTTCTGCAAGCATTCCTACAGGGAAATGGCCAAGGGCCGCCTGTTTTGGTTGATTAAAAATTTAACTGGTTAAAGACACATAATATGAGTATTATATTATCAAAATGAGAAGGTGAACAAAATATTTTCAACGATTAAACGCTAAAATAATAAGTAATAATTATCAATCTTCTGTACAAGAGGGAATTAAAGAGCTGATTGTCAAAATCTAGGTAAAGAAAGTAAAAAAATACAGATTTGAAAAACTTACAAAGATAAGCTTTTTCCTGGGATTTGCTCAGGTTACTCGGCAAAATTGTGGGCATGCCAGGAATGAAAGTCTTCTCAAATTCTCCTCCTCCCCAACGAGATTTCTTTCGCCGAGCGCGCCTCTCTTCTCTGGTTTCTTCAGGATAATCTAAAATTCACACAAATATGTAATTATTAAAGATCTGAGGTTCAAATAATAGACAAACCTTCTTCATGCTCGCGTTTTCGGTCCTTCTGACCGCCGCCGTTGTTGGCCATCTGCAGATAGCTCGGGTTTAACAGCGAGGTCGTGTTATTGTCATAGTGGCTATAGCCATAGGGATCGCTCATTTTGGAGCTTTTATCTCGCAGTTGTGCGGCGAATTCGTGTTTTCAGGGCACGGGCACTTACTGCTCTTCACAGGGCCGTCTCAGGTCGGTCAATTTTCGAAAGAGCGGCCTCAAAGTTCGGCTCTTTCTGCAGCCGACAACAAAATCGACGACGTTCTCAGATTCCAAAATGTCTGTTCTAGTCGAATTTTCACCGGAAGCTGCTGGTTTTCTGCTCAGTTTTTTTAATTTGTGAAGAATTAACTGCGCAGAAACATTCGCGCAGAAACTATTCAAAAACCTTTGCTTTTCGAATAGATTGTTGGAACTTCAGCGCCATTTTTCACAACGGCCAATCAAAGAATGTTTTTCTCTAACCTAACTTCCGGTAAACGCCGACCAGTGAAACATTCACCTCTTGATTCAACCTCAGCTTTTCCGGACATCCCTCGCAAAGTATGATTTTCACGGCATTTTTAATACAATATTTCTATTCTTTCTAAAATCTGCTTTGCTTAGAACCTTTGTTCCTTCTACTTTTCATTTTAGTACGTACGTATACGTAAACATAAATTCAATTTGCGACTCGTTGTTGTGAGCGACCCGATTCTCAAACTTAAGAGGCGGATTCATTATAAATTCTTTTGTTTTTCCCCATGAGAGAGATTTTTAATCTTCTTGAAAGCTAACCTATTTTCGCTCTTTCTGTTACATCGAAGATGTCCGACAGCGAGGATCTAAAGATGATGAAGGGCGACGACGAGTATGTAATCAAAGTCCGTGGCTTGCCTTGGTCAACAACAGTGGATGAGATTTTGAAGTTTTTCGGTATTGAAATTGTCCATTATATTATTTTCCATTGACTAATTACGCATTGGGCAAACCATAGGTGATTGCAACATCAAGAATGGAAAACTTGGCATCCAGATGACCATGTCTCGAGAAGGGCGTCCCAGCGGCGAGGCGTACATTGAGATGGAGTCGCAGGAGGACATAGACCAGGGCCTCAAGAAGGACAAAGAGCACATGGGCCACAGATACATTGAAGGTATTGCTGTCAATTTATATTTCTCAAACTTGATTTAGTCATTGGTATTTCGATTAATAAAATAATAAAAATTCTAAAACTTTTTGCAGTTTTTAAGGCCAAGAGGTCTGAAATGGACTGGGTAGTCAAAAGAAGTGGCCTAAATTTGGAGAATGCAATGGACGACGGCTGCGTCCGCCTTCGCGGTTTGCCCTTCGGCTGTTCCAAGGAGGAAATTGCACAGTTCTTCTCAGGTTGGTATGCCCCTCAGGACAAAATGAACGTCCCTCAGGCTCACAGAAAATACTCTCCTGCAAATGATTCGCAAAGAAGGGGTGACTTTGCACTTGAGTATATTTTGCGGCCTGATTTGCCAATGAGATGATGCTGATCCGCCATATCGTGTGTTTATCTGGTTGGGTAGGGATGGAGATAGTACCCAACGGGATTTCGTTACCGACAGACTACCAGGGAAGAAGCACTGGGGAGGCATACGTTCAGTTTATTAACAAGGAGGTGGCTGAGAAAGCTCTACTGAAACACAAGGAGAAAATAGGACACAGGTGGGGTTTGCTGTTCCAACTCGGAGCAAATCGAAAGGGAGAAATTGAGGAACCTGGGTGGTTTACTCGTGACTCCTGTCGCATACATTTGATTTTTTTACCATCTAAAATTACTGAACGCAGTAGAATTGATTTGCATGATTGGTTGAGATAGGGGTGTGTGGTTGGTTAACTCAGTACTCGCTAAGTGCCCACTTTTTGCAGATACATAGAAATATTCCGCAGTAGCTTATCCGAGGTACGAGCTGCGTTGGGCCCCAAGATGCGCCCCATGGGGTTTTCGCAGCGGCCGGCGCCCTATGATAGAGGAGATCGCTACGGGGGTATGAACCGCTATGGAATGGGCCGCGGGTCGCGCAGCTTCAAGGGTTGGTGTTTAACTTTTGCATTTCAGTCACTTTTGCCACAGGCAATGCTGCTAAGTTTTATGAAATTAAAAAAAAAAAGTATTTTTTTTTTTGTAACATATCAATCAAATTCTTGTTTTTTGACTTTTTCAACCCAGGATTTTAATTACTTTTGACTTGAGTGAGCATTGCCTGGGCGTTGGAGGACGAAAAATTACCTCTTGGTGTTATGATCTGTTGCTCCCACAGGGTATGGGGATTATGACGACGGCTGGGGCTACAATGACAACAATTGGGGGGGCCCACGGGGTAGCCGAGGGTCCGCGATGAAACCTGGAGGCGGCAACTATGGAGGCAGGGGTGGTGGTGGTGGTGGGGGAGGCGGTGGCATGTGGCAAAATGACGGAGGCCACTGTGTGCACATGAGGGGTCTCCCCTTCCGGGCCACTGAAAACGACATTGCAGAGGTAGCCAAATCTCCACCTGCGACTACTTCCCACCTATGTTCAGCTCTAATCGCCTTCTGTTGTACAGTTTTTCAGGCCACTTAACCCTGTCAACATTAGGTTGATCCACGACAACTCTGGTAGAGCATCTGGAGAGGCTGATGTCGAGTTCGAGTCCCACGACGACGCTGTCAAAGCCATGAACAAGGTGATTCTGGATCTTAACTTATGTTAAATATTTAATGCAATTTATTTTACAAAACAGGACAAGGCGCACATGCAGCACCGATACATTGAACTGTTCCTCAATTCCACTCCTGGAGGCGGTGGCTCTGGAGGTGGCGGAGGAGGAGGAATGGGCAGTAGCAACGGAAACTACGGAGGTAGTGGTGGAAACAGCTATGGGGGCGGTGGTTACGGAGGTGGAGGCAGCGGCGGTGGAGGAGGTTTGTCTTTAATTATGAAAAATCTTGCTTTTTACTAAGGAGTTAAAAATTTAGGTATGGGCAACAACTTCCGTGGTGGTTTTCCCAGCGGTGGTATGGGCAACAACATGGGATATAATCAGATTGGCGGCAATAACTACAATAACTTCTGAATATACACAAACTCATCAAATTCAAACTGACTCTGTACTAGATCAAATTGACCTCAAAAAGTATTGAATAATTTTGTAAGCAACTGTAAACGCCATATTTTGTTGGCCGAACCACTACTGTGTAATGATTCTGAGACAAATTGTATGTGAGATCTGTACGGTGCCTACGCATCTGTTTTTTCAAAGCCATGCTGCTGATTCATCATTCCCTCGTATAATTGTGCGTCACGTTTCCATCAATTTCATCATTTTATTTAAGAACTAATTTTAAGGTGGGCATTTTATCTGATACCTAACCTTTCGTGTCCTGTGTAGGTATATAACTGCCAACAAATAAAATTTGAATGGTCACCTCTATAATGTGTTTTGCTCCATTTAGTGTTATGAAAATGCATTCGAGATCAGAAAATAGTGTCATAATTTTACTAAAGTTCAAATGATTTATTAAATTATTAAATTTATATGAATACAAACATCTACTTAAGAGCAGTTCTTCAATTTGCAGCCATATTTGTTCACAATCAGAGGTTGTATGAATTGCACTAGCTCTTCGTACTTCGAGTTCCAAATAGCACTTTTCCTTCTTGACACATTCCTGAAAAATAGATGTCTTTAATTTTGTTAATAACAATCTAGGCAGACGCTTACAGTTTTAAAATCCTAAGCACAGCCTCAACCTGAAAAATTTTTCCAGCAACAAGAAGTCGTTCAAGAAAATCCTGCATCATTTCAAAATCCTGATCCAGTGGTTCTGGAGCACTTTTCACCCATTCTTTCACCAAAGTGTGTAGTTCATCTGACTGCATATCAATCCTCAAAATGCTGTCATCCTCAGGCACAATAATGCTGTTAGTAGTGATTGTCTAAATTTTTTTGGAATAAATTAGAATTATATAAAATTGAAAGTTACTTACACTCTATTCCTCTAATATAAAAATTATATTATAAGGAAAATAACTGCGGTTTAAATTACCAATTGGTTTGTTTTTGTTTCGGGCATAGCAAGTTGAACAGCAATTTGACGTTTTAGCTTGGGCGGTTCTTTGAAAGAGCCATTTCTGCTACCCTTTGGTCTACCCCTCTTCTTTTTTAATGGCGAATTAGCCTTTGCAGGACTAACTGGAGCTTTTAAAAGAATTTCCATTAAGAAAAGAAAACTAAGGGATGAGGTTTAATATACCAGATAACAACTTTGCATTTGCCTGTTTTCTATTAGTCCTTAGGTCGGCCTCAATTTCCATCTTCAACTCTTCTGGCAGAGCATCCAAAAATGAAGGGTCAATTTGCGAAAAAGTCAGTTCATTGGCTGGCTTGGAAGTTGTGGTTGCCTCGTGCTGTTTATGCAATCTAGACGTGCTGGGCTGAGGAAGCTTGTATTCTCTCAGCACTTCGTTCCTAATGTCCTCAGGAAGTTCAGCAAGGACAGCTTCATCAATGGCTTCCACAAGCTGAGCCGGTACTGATGCATTGCTGCCCTTTGAAGTTGAGGGCACTGGTTGCGGCTGTGGTTGGTTTTTGCCCTTGAGCAAAAATTGATTGAGACTTCCGTCATCCTTTTTCTTGTCTGTGAGTTTTGTCATTTGCACCCCGATTCCTCGAAAAAGGGCAAAGTTGATTCCAAGTTGATTGACCATTTTCATCGTTTCTCTATTTAAAAATGTTTATTTTATTTTTTAATTTGGTACAAAATTACAAATTTAATTTCACCTTGAAATCACTTTAGAATCTGACGTTTCAGTAGTCAGGTTGACGGATTTTGACAGGCTATCACAAACACCATGGCCCATGAATTTGGCCGTGTCCGTAGGCGCATCCTTTGCTTTGACCATCAGCTTCAAAGTGATGCATCGACCGCGCTTATTGATTCCTTCCAGACGCCTTTGCACTTCCTCGGCCAATTCGTCAATAAACTTTTGACACTCAGCAAAGCTTTTAAAGCGGATTCCATAGTTGACTTCGGCTGATACAGATTTCCGGACGTGCTCCAACTCCAGCGCTCTGTCGTCATCTCCACGGCAATGCCTGAAAAGAGAGGCGCCCAGCTTGTTGCCAAACGTCTCTTGCATCTTTGAGAGTGAATATTTCTGCAGATCAGCACAAGTGCGGAGGTTCAGCGTATCCATTCTGTAAGCTAGATTTCTTCCAACACCTTGCAAAAAAGAAAAAAAAAAAATCAATTATTTTATTTAATAGTTTCAGAAACTCATTTCAATCTCACCTGGCAAATCAGAAACTTTTACTGGTTTCATGTAACCTTCCACATCCCCTTGAAGCAAGTGGAATTGCCCATCTGGTTTGGCTTTCTTTGTAGCCATCCTTGCTTGTAAAATGTTTGAACCAAATCCAGTTGATGCTGGACAATAAGTAATTTCCTAAACAAAGATAAAGATTTTCATTAAATTACTTATCAATATAAACTTTTCCTAATTACCCTAATTTCCTTTCTGATGAATGTTGCAAATTCCATCGGATTTGTTTTAGTTTCCTTCAGCAGCTCGGTGCAATCCACAAACATCTCATCGCAGCTGACTGCTTCAATGTCCAAAGTAAATGAAGCAACTGTGTTGTACAAGGAGTATGAAACTTCCTTGTAACCTTCAAAGTCGTAAGAGATTGTTCTTAGCTCGGGACACAACTTAAGGGCTTGGCCAAGAAACATTCCGTTTTTGAGTCCTGCTGCTCGCGCCTCATAACTGCACGACGCAATCTCCGACATTGAACTCCTGTCATGGCCATCCGACCTCCACTTGAGCCTCTCATTCAAAGCCTTTTCAAAATTTTCACCTTTTTTGTCGATTCCTGAAACATTTTTTTTTTTTTTAATTACGCAAAAGAAAAAAAAGTGTATATCTACTGACCACATTTATTTTCCATTCTTCTTCTATAGACTTCAAACTCTGCTTCTCTGTTAGCGCCTGCACTGCTACTTGCAGGAGGATTGCCTTTAGCATGGGTGACAGCAACAGGTTTACCTCTCAACTCTGGGTGACTTCTCAGTCCAACCGACACAAAGAAACAATCCATATCAATATGCATGATCACTTTTTCTCCACTCCAGTCTGCATCTATCCGATTTTCTCTCTTCCACTGAAGCAACCGGTTTCGACCCGGGAAATTGCCTGAGTGGTTTTTTCGAAGCTCAGTCACATAGGACTTGAAGGTGCTTCCCATAGTTGAAATGTGGTGCAGCCGTGAATTGCTGTAGAACTCTGCAAGAAAATTTGGCTCTCCTGCTCGTCTCATCGGGGCCTTAGAAGGACTTTCAGACTTGGTAGGTGACTTGACCCTGTTGGGCTGCTTGAAACTGGAGTTTTCAACTAAAGCCGTTACTTCTCTTGAATACGACAGGGGTGCATTCTCCTTAGTTGAGCTTGTTTCAATTTCCTCTGAAAGTTCTATCCTGGCTTGGTCCTCAATTGCGTTGAGCTCTTCAGCCACAAGAGTACAATCTAGAAGCTCCTCCAATTCTGCTTCCCCATCATTTTTTTCTGGAGATTTTGTTTTTTGCTCCTCAACTTCTTCCAGCAAACGTTTATCAGGCGTCTTTGCTATTTGTCTATCTTGACTCAAGATATCAGACTCAGAAGAAGCAGGCGTTGGAGTTCTCGAGTTGGAGTCGTCTTCAAACAAAGCCTTGCCTTCGGTACCAGAAATTGCCGAAGTTGACGACTGTTCAAACAAATCTTCTGACACGTCAAGCATTTCTGGAGGGTCCTCATCTTCAACTGCACACTTCTGACGAGTAACCTTGGGCGTTGAGGTCATGTTCTGAACTATGCTTGTTTCTCCAAAGCTGATTTTCAATTTATTTAATTTAGGGGTCTTCACAGGCGATTCAAATTCTGAGACTTGTGGAAAGTGGATTTTTGGCTGCGATTTACTCTGGTTCGAGTACAGAAGGTACGGACGAAAATCGAGCAGTTTCTTTGCAGCCACACAGTCTGCAATCCATTGAGGCTTGACCACTTTTGGCTGGCCTTTGATCTTTTTCAATTTGGCGTCTGCCAAATTGCTGGCGATGATGTATTTGGTCTTTGATGCGCTATAGTAGTGGTGGTATTGGCCACCGTTGATCATCATGGCCAATTTGATTTGATCAGCACTGGGAACTAAAGGAATAAAATTTAATAATTACCTAGAACATTTTGAACGAAAAAATGCACCTGTATATCCATTAACATAAACAGAAATGCCACTGAAGATGTTGGAGCTTGCTTGCAAATCCGACTCTTTTGATGCATCCACATTGAATTGCTCTGCTAGTTTTGCCTTTTTGGCATTCATGTAACCTCCCTAGAATTTATAAAAGTTATTAAACAAAAAGCAAAGTTGTATATATTTTTAATCACAAACCCATTGCTCAAATCCATTCTCTGGGAACTGTTCGTCTCTTCTTCCACGCCTCATTTTGGCCACTCTGTCTTAAATCTAACTTAGCAAATAAAACAATTGACTTGGAGGTAAAAAAGCTAGAGCTCGTCTCTGTAAAATCTTTGGGAAACTATGGCAGTGCCCACCAGAGAGTCAATGTTTTTGCAGCCACTGACTGCAAAGAGGCCAGCACTAGGAGAGTCTGGCTTGGTGAACACGATATGTTCAAGCACTTCCTTAATGATGTTTTCGTCGTTGCCGAAGAACAGTCGTCTCTTGAGCTCAGCCTTAATGCACTCGACAACTTCCTGTTTCTGCAGGGGCAGGAAGGGCACAAAGAAGCTGACCAGGAAACTGTTGATGTTGTCGCTGTGTTGCAGGCCACCGACCTCGTTGAATGCAGCCCTCTGCACGGACTCTTTAAAACTGAGATAATTGAATTTCTCTCTTGGCGTGTTTGCCTTCCACAGCTCGTAGGTTGTTTCTGCAATGACTCGGCCTCCTTTGTTGGACAGGAAAATAAATATGGCGTGTCGAGGGTCGACGCCGTTCACATTATCATGGTAGTCAATGTACGGGTGGATGGCGTCAATCAGCTTTGGGGGCATCATATCGATCTCGTCGAACACAAATATGGATCGATTGCATTTTGAAATCACTGATTTGACGTCTGCTCTCAACTGCTCCTGATACTGAGGCACTTTGCTTGCAACCGGAAAGTTAATTCTGGCGTTGTAGTACTTGTAAAAGTTGCTTTTGGTTCCCTCGGAAAAAACACTGTTCACCAACAGGGATGCAACAAAGTTCTTCCCGACTCCAGGCCAGCCGTGGAAACTCAGGACTAGCGCCTTTTTGGGTTGAGCCTCTCTCAGATGAGAGAAAACGGCTTTTGCAACAATGTTTTCTACCAAGGGCTGCCCAAAAACTTCTTGTCGAAAGTTTGAGTGGAACTGGGTGACGTTTGCTGGAATCCACCAATCATAGCACCATTCTCCAATAATTGAAGGAAATGAGGGCCACCAAGCTCGATTTGTTGGAATCAGGGAAATGATGACGCAGAGTAGAAAGATGGATTTCATCGCACTCCCCAAAAGTTACACCCGCGCATTTGTCACGGACTCATCTGAAAAAGAATAGAATTTTAGCAAAATTGTATTTTATAAAAAAATAATTAAGCTATAATAATATAATTAGCATATAAATGTATAAATAATTGAAAAGATGATTGTTAAATTTAAGCAAATTAATAAGATATCGGTTAAATTGACTTTCAATATGGGCCACTTTCATTTCTAGGATGAGCCTTTGTTTCAACACAAGTACCACAACCTGAACCAAAGGACAAGAGGTTCAGAATCAATACACCAGGTATATTTATTTATTTACTCTGCATTCTTTATATGTTTATTAATCTCTGTTATAAAATACATGATTGATATATTATTGCTATTAAAAAATCACATTAAAAAGTTATCAATGTTATTTGCATACAACCACGTTTCACTCTAATCCCTCTGATGCTAAAATATGTATGTATTTTGAATAAATATTGCTGATGAATAAGATGAATTTACAGGGCCCAGAATTGCAAGTCAACGTCAACACACACACATACATAAAATATAACAGCATCAGTTCAAGTGGCTCTCTCGTCTACGTGTCTTGATAAAAAAAAAATATTGTCAAAATATGTAATTCTTGGACTTATGACTTATTGTGGTAAGCAAGAAAGCCGCAAGTGGCCGCAAGTAACAGAGTGTGTCCGCTTTTAGCCTCTATGCTACATAGATTTAATGCTACATATCAAACTTGGATTACATATTATGCGTCATTATGCGTTTATGTAGCAGAAAAATCTATTTTTTCATTTTGGGGATTAACCAACCTCCTCCTGGGTCCTGCTACTGCTGCTAGTGGTAATAGTATGGCTGGTAATCTTATTTTCGCTTATTTTATCTTATTAATTTATACAAACAAGCAAGGAGAACAACAAACTACGATTTCCCTTCCCACATTGGTTCCTTTCCCATATGTTCGCAATCCAAACAAGATACAAAATATTCTATTTTGATTGGACGGCCAAGATGATCACATACATCACATAGTTCTTATTGGCTCGCATTGACCGCTACATTTGAAATTTGGCGCACTTTGTTAATTTTGTTTTGGTTACGCTACACGCAAATCGGTGAATTGAGAAGTGAGAAAAAGCGATAAAAAAACCATATAAACATTGAAAAACACCCTTGTTAAATCGAAGAGGAGAAATGTAAGCATAGAAAGGAATTTAATAGAGGCATCACTTCATTATTAAATTTTGAAAAATTCTTTTTAGTTTTTAATGAAATCAATGTCGTCGCTGACCACAGAGCAGCTTCAGCGGATCGAGGAAAATCGGAAGAGGGCCCTGGAAAGAAAAGCGGCTGCTGCTTCAAAACCACAACAAAAACCAACCCCTGCACCCCTGCCCCTGCAACGTCAAGCACCGAAACCTGCTCCAAATGTATCAGTCTCATCTTTTTACGGCAGCGGGGTAAAGAAGCCCCTGGACGTCAATGCAAAGTTGCGCAAATTTCAAGAGCCGCAGCTGGGAATGCTTCTGCTCCCAAAAAATTTAAGCAGGACGATCGGTCTAATTCTGCCCTGTTCCGTACATTTGGATCTGAAGTCAAGCTGGACTCATCAAATAATGGAACTTGCAAAATTACTTCTCGCCTTCGCTTCACTGTCAACATAGGATATAACCAGCAGACCATTGAGGTTTTCAAAAAAATTCCATCAAAGCAATATGGTTTGAAATTTACCTAGCAATTTTATCACTGAAATAATTTTATAATTAATGTTACAGATATGAAATCAAAATGCTGGAACTTTCTCCTCAAAGACCACGATACTCTAATTCAATCAATGAAAACAATAACTCCTCCTGTATTTGTGACTCCAATTCCTTCCAAACTCATCAAAGTATAATGAATGTTGTAATTTATGTAAATTTATTATTAAATTTAATAAAAAATATTTCAGCTTTTAATGCTAACCGAAAGATCTGTCGAAGAAATTGACTTGTCACGAATTGATCCAGTTTGCTGGGAAGCCTTGATGCCTTTTCAAATTGAAGGAGTGAAGTGGGTTCATATTAAAAATAGTACCAGACTGAGACTATTTAAGACCAAATATTGCTTTTCCAGATTTTGTATTTCCAAAGGTGGTAGAGCTTTGCTTGCAGACGACATGGGTCTGGGCAAAACGATTCAGGCTCTGGCTGTTGCTAGTTATTACAAAGCAGATTGGCCACTTCTTATTGCTTGTCCTTCCTCAGTAAGGTAAAAAAAGAACACCTTTTAAATATTAAATAAATGTTTAAATTCTTCAATAGATTTTCGTGGGCTGAATCTTTCAGAATGTGGCTACCAAGTGTTCCTTGGCACGAGCTGGTGGTGATGACAAGCGGTAAAGAGTTTATCAGCGATGCCAAAATTTTGGTGGTCTCATATGAATTATTGTCTCGGCACAAGGAAGCATTGGAGAAAATGAAATTTGGAGTGATCATTTTGGTTTGTTACTTGCTTGTTGTCAGTACGCAAGTCTTAATTAATTAATTTCAGGACGAATCACACAGTTTGAAAAACTTTACTACCAAACGCACCAAAGCTGTTAATCCCTTAGTGAAAAAAGCAAAAAGAGTTTTACTCCTCAGTGGCACCCCTGCTCTCTCCAAACCAATTGAACTGTATCCTCAGCTCTGTATCATCTGCCCTGGGGCAATGATGAGGTTTGAAATTTACGACATACTATTATTATTGTATTAATTAAATTTAAAAATATTTTCAGCATTGACGAATATGGAGTTCGATACTGCAATGCGGTTCGTAGACCTTATGGCATGGACTATGGAGGTGCCTGCAACATGGACGAGCTGAACATCATTTTGCAAGAGTGCTTTATGATCAGAAGATTGAAGCAGAATGTGCTCACTCAACTTCCAGGAAAATTTAGGTATGCTCGATTTTTTTAAAATTTAATTGTATTTTTTAATATCTGAATAAAATTTTGTAGGCAATCCATTGTCTTGCCCGCCAGTTCCATTTGCACTGAAAAAAAGGAACTTCAGTTTGCCAAGGAAGCGCTATCCAGTGTGAGCAGTGGTTCAGCAAAACACGGAGCCTTGCTATCTTACTACCACGAAACAAGTTATGTGAAAACCAAAGCCATTTGGTAAGGCCCTTGTAAAATTTAAAGAAAGAAAATACATGTTTCCTTACTTTATTTTTAGTGATTATATAATGGAGCTGCTTGAGGCTGACAAAAAGTTCATCTGCTTCGCTCACCACACTGTAGTTCTCGATGCCATCTGTGATAGACTGATTAGAAACAAGTGCAGGTTAACTTGAATGCTTTAGTAGAGGAACTAAACAACTCACATTCTAAAATATTTTTCAGATATATTCGAATTGATGGTGTTACGTCACCAGCCACCAGGCAAGAATTGTGCCAGACATTCCAGGAGGACGTTATCTGCAAAGTGGCAGTTCTTTCAATCACCGCAGCCAATGCTGGAATTACTCTAACAGCAGCCCACATGGTTGTTTTTGCTGAGCTTTTCTGGAATCCTGGGGTAAACCCTATAAAAAATTTATATTTGATTTAACTGGTCGATTTCATTTATAACTTTTGAATTTTTTAGATCATGCTACAAGCTGAAGATCGAGTTCACAGGATCGGCCAGCAGAACACGGTGGTGGTCCAGTATCTTGTGGCAAAGAACACCTCTGACGATCACATGTGGAATTTACTGCAAAAGAAATTGAGAGTCCTCAACAGAGCGGGGCTAAATCAAGACAACATGACTGCCACAACAAGTACAAGAGTGTTAGAGGTTGTTTATTTTCCTCCCTCACTTTAATAAAATTCTCACAAGAGTGCTTGTGATTGCTTCTCAGGACGAAAAGCACAAGATAACACAGTTCCTTACGAAAAGTCAAGCCGTCTCTGAAGAGAATAAAATTGCCGAAGAGGACCTTTTGCTGGACGAACTCGACTGGGATGCCATTGACGCCGAGTCAGCGCAGCACCAGTAAGTTGCAATTTTAGACTGAGTTCTCGAGGATGGCAAAAAGAGATATTTATATATTTTTCTAGTTTTTGCATTTTATTCAATAGATGAGCTTTTTCAAATGATATAATGTTACAAAAATATACGAGACAACACAATACTTGGCCTGAACCTGCAGTTTCTTTTTTTTTATCAGCGTAAAAGCACGTAATTCAACAGCAAATAATATATTGCTCTTCATAATAGTCATGTTAATAAATAATTTGATAATTAACAGTGCACAGCACAGTTAAATGATTTCAGAATAGAGAACAATAAGATTAAGAGGTTATTATTGCATAGAGGAAACTACTGCAATGACAAGAATGTGCTTCTTTTGCTATGAAGTGCAGGGAAAGCAATGCCACTAAAAGGCAGTGACCAACAATGATTTGATTCCTCGTAAAAATACTCATTTCTTCTTCAACAAATAATGGTGCTTGCCAGCAATTTATCAGGGAAATGCTCAATTAACAACTGGCCAAGGGTAGGTCCTTGGCAATGCATAATTATCGTAGTTGAAGTCGTACATCGTATTTTTCACAAAAGCAATCTTGTCCTTCGGCTCAGGGTACGTGGAAGCCAGCCCTGAAATAACATTTTTTTTTTATTTAATTTACTACTTAAAAATTATCTCTTTGTTACCATTTTGATAGGCGTAGTCTGCAATTTTTTCAGCGATTTTCAATGAACACTCTTTGATCAACCCTAAGGGTGGGTAGAGGTTGCCCTGTGCAAGGTCGGCTTCCGTCACTTGTTCTGACAGGGTCTGAAGAAAAAAGTTAAATTGAATTTCAAGGTATATACAAATTGTCCTTACTTGAGCAGCTATTAGAAATGCGTCTTCGCTGATGTGGTGCATTCCAGTGCAAATGACACCCAGGGCCACACCAGGGAAAATGTATGCATTATTGCCCTGGCCAGGGTTGAATACTTTGCCCTCATATTTGACTGGAGGGAAAGGTGAGCCGCTGGCAAAAATGCACTTTCCCTGAAATTTTCAAAATGTTAGCAATGGTAAAAATTAATTTTTTGCTCATGTTACATTTGTGTTATCGAAAGCCTGTTGAGCGGTGCACTCGGCTTTGCTGGTCGGGTTGCTCAAAGCAAAAATGATTGGCCTTTCGTTGAATGAGCCCATAGCTTGCAGAATCTCAGGGGTAAATGCGCCGCCAGCTGCCGAGGCTCCAATCATAATCGAAGGTTTGATTTCCAGCACCACATCCTTAAGGTTGCGCATCACAGGGTGATCCTTGGCATAGTATGCCTTGTGACCTGTCAATATTTTTGTAGTTTCCCAACTTCAATTATTTGTCAAAAAATTTACCTTCAAGGTGTCCCTCTGGCCGGTTGTTGACTAACAATCCGTGAATGTCCTGCATCCAGATTTTGCTCCTAGCCTCGTCAAGAGGAGTGCCCTCGGCCATCATGGCTCGAACGCAAAGGTCCGCAATACCGATGGCGGCCTTTAATTTATTTTCATTATTTCCAATTGAATTTCTGGGATGTTATTAAATTTATTTACCTCTCCAGCACCTAGGAAGAGGAAGGTGTTTTCTGACAACTTCCTTCCGGTGACTCTTCTTGAGGTTAGCAGTCCAGCTACGGCCACAGAGGCAGTACCTTGAATGTCATCATTGAAAGTGCAATACTTGTTGCGATATTTGTCTAGGAATCGGAAGGCATTGTGATTGCCAAAGTCTTCAAACTATAATAGAAATTTAAATTCAAAAATAATCATATTATGGTGCATTTAGTCGATAGTATCACCTGAATTAAAGTATTTTGTCCGTATCGTTTAACAACAGCCTCCATGAATTCATCAATGAAGTCGTCATATTCTGGTCCGACCACCCTTTCTTGTCGCAAACCGACATAGAGGGGATCTTTCAAAAGTGCCTAAAAATTCAAACTCAATCAAATGCGATTTATTTTGCTTTCTTTCTTACCTGGTTGTTGGTTCCAACGTCAATTGTGACAGGCAGACATTGGTGCGGCTTGATTCCAGCCAGGGCGGTGTAAAGGGCGAGTTTTCCCACAGGAATGCCCATTCCGTAGGCGCCCAGGTCGCCGAGACCAAGAATGCGCTCACCGTCGGTGACCACGATGGCTCGCACGTCTGACTCTGGCCAGTTTTTGACGACCTCGTAGACGTGATTTCGGTCGTGGATTGTGATGAAGAGGCCGCGCGGCCGTCGGTAGATGAGGCCAAATTCCTGGCAGGCCAGACCCACCGTCGGCGTGTAGACAATCGGCATCAGTTGCTCAATGTTTTCAGACAACAGGCGGAAGAAGAGGCGCTCGTTGCGGTCCTTAGGAAAGACAGTCATTTATTTTTTAATTTTTATGTCATTCTATTCATATTTTTATACTCACTTGTAGTCCAACGAGATAAAGATATTTGTTCAGGTCCTCGGTGTACCTTTCAAAGCTGAGTTTGCACAGTTCCAGCTGTTCTTCTTGTGTCTTAAACCTGGGGGGGAAGAGGCCGTGAATGCCCATGGTCTGCCTCTCCTCCAGGGTAAAGGCCATTCCCTGTTTGAAAAAAAGATGATAATTTATAATTTTTACTTTGCTATAGTTATAAATAATAGTTTTTTTTCTTGAAATTCAAAATATACTTAATGTAAATTTAGATTTTTTTAGTTTTATGATTTTAATAGGGTTGGTGATTTGACGATTTGACTGATGATATTTTAAATAGACCCTAGAAAATTTAAAAATTTCACTGCGGTCAATTTCTTCAAAATTAAATTTGAGCCACCTTCCACTTTGCATTTCAATGGAAATGATCTTCTTTGATAATTATGGAAATAAATGTACAAAAAATTCACTCCACATTTTTTAAATTTAACTCATGAGTTAACTTGCAATTTGTTCAATTAAAAACTGAAAGTGTTGTATTTATTTTTTTATTAAATAGACTTGGAAGTGCGTGCATGGCTTGCCAAATTCACCGGTGCGCGAGAGTTATAAATAAAATCCTCTCTCATCTCTCAGTGCATAGCGACTCGGGGGCCCGCCGCCGGAGAATAACAAAAATAAACAGGCGTTATTGTTTTTTTCGCGTTAAAAATAGTACACAGTGGTCGGAAAGGATTAAGTCGCGCGATAATCCTGGCCTTACACTTGTACGGAATCACCAGCCTGATTATAAACTTGTTGAACGACAGACTTCGGTTTAAAATTTTTCACTTTTATTCAAGAGAATTTCAATTTAATTAAACTGTAATATAACATTTGCAAAATGTAGATCACATTTTTTAAGCTTGCAAAGTAAATAAGTGCCAATTTCACGATTTTTATTAACTTAATTATTTGGAGAACAATCTTATTTTAAAGTTTTTTCTTGTTTGTCCTTATATTTTGCATGTAGCAATTAGAAACAATTTTTTTTTCTAGATTCTAAATCAAAAATTTTAAAGAAGTTGCAAGGTAATAGTAAACATTTTGTGGAATAAAAACTTTAACCGGCGCTCATAAAAGATGGTTATGAAAGGGTTCAAGTGAGGAATTCTATAACACAAATTCCGGTATTTTTTGGCCGGGCGTTTCTCAGCTGCGTTGCGACGGCCCGTCCTTGACCCGCATACGCAACGGCAGAGTGCGCACCAGCCGTTCACGCACCCCGCAGACACTGACCTTGTTGAGTCTGGGGTCTCGAATGTGGTCGATTCCCCGAACGTGGGACGGGCAGATGACGTCCCCCGTGACCTCATGGTACTCCCGTCGGTCTCCGATGGGGTACGAGCCGTGCAGCACCCCTAGAATGCGGGCCCCACCGACCCCCTTGCCGGAGAGCACTCCACTGCAAAAAAGAGAAAAAATCACATATCGATCGGAAAATAAGTAAAATTAAACTTGAACGTTCAGCTCGAGACTCTGGATGAACCTCGGAAGGGTTGTTTTGGGGGTGGCAAAGGGAGAAAAGGGCACTTACATGGTGATCCGCGAAAAGCCGAGCATGACTGCTGGTTCGGCTTCTGGACCTCGGCCAAGCTGAAGAAGTGTGGCGAGTGCGCACTCTCGGGGCCACAATGCTTTTTGCACCCCTGTGCTCTCTGCTGCGGCTGCGTCGCCCCAAAGGGTTGACCCCGGCGCCGTCGGGTGGTGCTGCTGTGCGGGTTGGCGAACCACCAGGCGTTTTGTTGACTCGAGTCAGTCGTGCGTGATTGGTGATGGACGAGCGCGGCCGCTGGAGCCGTTAAGCAATGAATAAGTGCCGAGACTAGGATCACTCGCCCTAGCTGGTCTCTCTCTTTCTCTCTCTCTCTCTGCTTGTGATATTTATGCGGCGGATTAAGATTCCTCCGGCACTGCGCCGAGGGTTGTTTGCTCAGCAGATTTCGCGCGCGCCCAATGTTTTGCCGGAGAGCGAAAGCGAGAGACCGTGTTTTCTTTCAGCGCCGACAATGAACACCACTTTTCTAAATTGTTGACTTTGTTGAAAACGAGCTTGTTTGGATTGTTGAGAGTTGCCGCCGCAAATGCTTTCAATGCATTTTACGCTATGAAATGAATTTCCCTTGAAAAATGAAGAACTTAATTAAAACAGTTAATTGAATTTAAGAGCTCGAAAGTCATTTTTATTTCGTTGAATTAAAACACCGCGACAGAAGTTTTCATTGAGATTTTTAATGAATTAGCATCATTCTTGATTTATTTTGCCTAACGATAGTTTTTTCTTTGTGTAAGAAGATTGAAAAAGTAAACACAACAATTAAAAATATCACAGAATAATAGGCGATATTCCATTGTGCATTAATATTCAATAAAGTAGTAAAAAGAATTAAAATAGGAATTAATTGAAAAAAGTTTGTAGCGTCTCTAATGATTTTCGGTTAAAAAATTCAAATGTCTTAATAAAAACATCGCTCTTTGTACGTTTAATAAATAAGGAAAAGTTATAGCAGCATAAAATGGATAATACGCATTGACGATTATCGCTTGGTAGAATTTTTCATCAACGTTTTTCTCTTTCCTTGTAGATAAATGCAGCTCTGATTCAGTTTTTCTTTTCTTTTTAAAATTTTTATCACACTTTATTTAATTTATCGTATGCATATTATTATTTTAGGTTCTTTCTAATGGCGTCGTGTTTTGTTTGAAATTTACTAAAAAAAAACTTTGTTTGCCTTAAGAATTATAAAACGAGAAAGTCTCATCTGTTCATACAAAATTTGCCTTTTTTTATTGTTGACCAACATTATTGAATTTTTTTCCCACTTTTGCGTGGAAATCCCTGCAGACAATAATCAATAGCGTGACTTGATTGTGAAGCGTCTCTTCCCACGCGCGCAGCTCCAATGTAAATTCTCGCAAAAAACACATATCCGCGAGAAGTGTAGCAGCAAACGCTTTCTCTCTCTCTCTCGCTGAAGAGGAAATTGCCCCTATTCATTAGTGCATACAAACACACTTGACGCGCTGGAACAACGAACCCCATTCGCGCTCGTTTCAAAACTTTTCAAAGCGCTCAGCATAATTTCGCCATAACAATAGTCGGGAGAAAGAAAGGGAGAGGAGAATGGCCAAAGAATCTGTAGTTATATTTGTTCCTAACGCGAAGCTGCTCGCTATAATTTCATTAAAAAAAGTTAACTTTTCTTTTATTAATTAACGTATATAACATAAAATGTTCAACTTAATTGTGATATAATTATAATTCAATTTATAAATTTTTAATGCAAATATCTGAGATCTGAAATAAAAAATTTTATGGGGAATGATGAAATTAGAAGAAATCTAAAACAAATCAAGAACAGTTGTTTGCCTGAAAGCAAAGTAGCGAATGATATTTTGGTGCGTGTTAAAGTAAAAATCAATATTCACAGAGCTGGCGGAATATAAAAAACTGGATTTTTTGCTACCCGATAACAATCCGAGGAATTTAATGTAGTGTGTGTTTAAAGCAAAATCCTGCTGATAGGGCGGGCTGTGCTTCTGCAAAGCATGAGGAAAGACGTCCTCTTTTTTCCTCTCAACACAGGAAAGCAGTTAAAATCAATTTCTCGCCGGCGTCTGGCGCCACTCGGGCAAAAAGCTGCGCGACTTTTTTCTTCACCTTGGCACAATCAACCCGACGGGAGCGCTGATCTAATTTCGGAACGAGCGCCTGCACATTATGCAACGCGCTGGTGCAACGTCATTAGCACGCGCACCAGAGTCGCTGAAATTATGTAGTCCCTGCGACTCTCAAGGTTTCCGATATTCTGGCACGTCAAGAGAGAGAGATAAGAGGACCGCGACCGTCGCAATCAATGAGCGCACATTCAGCTTTATTGCTCGCCCTACCTTAATTATTTTCTGATAACGCCTTCATTAAGTTGCATGCAAACAAGAGAGACACGCCAAGGATACTTCAAGTTGTGATTTGCAGAATCTCGATTTGATATTGACACAAATATAGACTTATAGTAATTAAAATAAAAAAAGTAAAATAAAACTGAAAAATAATCTTTTATTGACTCAACTTTACAACTTAATGGTGTGGTTATATATTTTTATATTAAATTATTGGTGTTTATTTGTTGTTTATAGCAAAATTGGATTCTCATAATCCAAAAAAACAAGATTAAAATTATTACAACTTAATATAAATTTTGATTTGATTATAGAACACTGGAAACTTTGTTCATGGCTGAATAAAGAATAATTGCGACCAAAAGATGCATAGCTTTTTTTTCCTGATCCAATATTTTATTGAAATTAAAAAGAACTGTGGATAAATTCTTATTTTCAATAAAAATGTGATGTAACAATTTGGACGAATAAACAAAAAATATAATAAAGTTGAGCTTTAGAAAATAATACAATATATTAAATTTATGACATATAATTTTATAATGGTTCATGTTGAGTAATTTTTATATATTTGTTTTACATTTCAAGATAAGTAAATTTTTAACTATGAAATCAATTAAATGCAATTGAAAATTGAATATAAAGAATTTTTAGGGTCAGGCCAAGACAGTCTTGTCGGCCTGTGCGCCCTTTATTGGTGGTACAGAAGGCACCACCCATTTTTTTTTTTTTTTTTTTTTGTGAAACTTTTAAAGAACTTTAAAAAAATTGGAAAATGTTTTAAGAGGCAAAATTAATAACAAGGTTTTGCCTGAATTAATCTGTTATTTCAAATTTCGTTGTTTGTCTGAAGTTGATTATTCTTCGTTAACATCCAGCCTGTTAAACAACTAAAATTATGTAAATTTTCCTTAACAGGAATACAAAATTGATGTTTCGCAACAAAAGTTTTATCTCATCCGGCGAACATCTTATATACAGCTTCGTCGAGTTCCTTGAATAATTAAATTATTCACTGAACTGCCGTTAATTATGAGATCGGATGATTTTCGCGAGTGTTTCTTTCAACTTCGGGGTGCGGAGAGAGGAACAAAAATTGAGACGTCGAATCTCGCAAACTCGGTGGAGCGGCTGCGTGGGAAATTAAATCATTAATTCGGGCGCGCTCATTGAAATGGAAAACGCGTTCATATTTCATTAAACTCAATTTGCCAGTGGCGGCCGAGGGTGCCGAATTCCCTTTCAAGAATAAATACTAAATTTTCTCTTCAGCGTTCAATTAAAAATCCATCGCACACGTCGTGCCGCTCAAAAGATGCACGCGGCGCTTATTTGCCACAAAAGCCGCAGGCCCGAAAGCTGCTCCTTGCTGCAAAATGAATATTTGATCAGCCGGGCGATAAAAAACGCAAGAAGAGAGAGAAAAAAAGGGCAATTTTTCTTTGATCCCTTTGTCGGCGAGTTTTGAGATTGAGAGCAACAGAGAGAAAAAGCAGCTTTCGGCCCGAAAAATATTCATTGCACGCGAGACGCAAAATAAATTACACACGCCGAACGCAGAATCCCCCGGGCAACTTTGCTGACTTCGACCGCCGGCGCATAACAATATTACAACTCGAGAGGCTCCTCTCTCACCCTCTCTTGTGCACCGCCTTTCGTCCGAAAAGAAAACAAAGACCAAATAGTCTGAAAGTGCATTTCGAACTTGACCTACAAGTTTGAAGCTAAAAAAATAAAGTCAAGAAACTTATTTAAAAATTAAATTCTACGAATTATATTTATTCTATTAAAATATTTGAAGAAGAATTATCTTTATTTGAATAAACTCGTGCTTGGTATCGTTTTGGGCAACCGCAATAATCAAATAATTGATTTTTCATTATTAAATTTAAATTTATAATAATGCTTTTGTAATAATTGGAAGAAAAAATAAACAAGAGCAAAGATCAATTGAAGATGACTTCGGTTTGAGAATATTTACGTGTTGTTTATTATTATTTTTTTTTTTTTACTTTTGACCTCAAATATGGAAGTATTGCACGATTGTGTTTTTCATTTAATATCAGATTTGATTATGATTCCAATTTTGATATAATTCTGAATAATCTTTGACTTTTTGTAAACACTTGGATCGAGTTGGAATTACCTAGTTTTGAACATTTATCATTCGGACGAATTCCGGCGCCCCTTCTCTCTTTTGGCAAAAATAACACGAGGATGGACCGACTGCCTGTCCTGTCGGGAAAGTGTTCCTTGCGCACGTTTAGAGGTATGGCGCGTTTTCTAATCTAATAACACGTCAGTTCTCGCGCGCCATCATTTTGAGATGTCCTCCGGAGCCCGGCCATTAGCTTAAAAGCTGCTGGCAAAATTTCAAAACTTTGCCCCGGTCTGGAAGCGGCCTGGAAATTAATTCATGCATAATTTGCAGCATAATCTGCATCGCGACCGTAAGAGGGCTTTGAATTTCAAGGAGGCAACAAACGCCGCCGCCGCCGCGGATCATCAGCAGCTCACCTTCGCACTGCCACTGCCGCTTTTAATTCGGCTCTTCTCTCTCCCCGTCGGTCTCTCTCCCGCAAAAGCTTTTTAAACTTGAGAGCAAACAGCGCGGCGTGTTGTTGCAAACTCGCTACTCTCGCCCCGAGAGATAAGCCCCACGTGTTGTCGGACGCCCAGACGACGACGCGCAAATTCTAATTCACCCAGAGATTTATTAATTTCCCAACTCGGAAAGGAGAAAGTTTTTCAAGTAATGCCGAAATTCTATTAAAACAAATAATATGTATTCATTTCTGAAGAAAACTACTTATCAAAGCTAAAATGGTGAATGGCAAAATTGTAGTAAAGAATTAAATGATGTTTGGAAAGGTTGAACGTTATTGGTAAAATAATAAAAATTTATTAAAGAATTAAATTGTTTTCTTTTGATGACAAGATTAGAAAATTAAAAATTTAAATATTTTAAATACAATATTAAATTTTCAACGACGTATTCCAAGAAATGAGTTTTAATTTTCCTCGGCAAGCAAAACATTTAATACATAAATAATTTGTGAATGAAAGCCAAATTCTAGTGAAATAAAATGTATCTATAGCGTAAATTACACTTTTGATCATTTTAAATAGGAATTTGAAATTTTTAATTCTAAAGACAAACAGTTAGAAAGATCCAAGGCCAAATTGATTTGATTCCAGAGTGGTTCTTGTTTGCGTTCGGGTTTCATTAAAAAGCTCTAATCGAATTTCACTTTGAGCGTATTCAATTATTTTTGATAAAATGGTTTGAATTGCAAACACTGCTGTTTACTCTGGCAGCGTGCAATTGATCCGATAAAAGCGCAAAAATTAGCACGTCCGCAGTTGGGTGCGCTTGAAAAGGCCGGCTGTGCGCCGCATTGATTAGCATTTGAAATTTATAGTGAGAGGTAAAATAAATAAACACAAAAATCCTTCATCCACAGCAAAATGGAATTTCACAAAATTGACTTTTTTCTGCCAGCAGTCACTGGAAAAACGATTACAGATATGCACACATTTTTGCAGTGTGAACCTGCTCAACGTAATTGAAAATACTGATATTTGTCTTTTATTCTCAACTTAATTCTTAAGTTTTCTTAAAAAGTCTTCTCTATTCCTTCAGACATGGTGGAATCCGGCCAATATGTTAATATTACGGGTTTGGTTAATTGAAAAGCATATTCGCCTTGCAATTAGTGAGTTTTTTTTAACTGTTTAAATTTTTGTAGTTAAAGAAATTATTTCTCCGCTGCATAAATGACGTAATCAAAATTTATCCCCGAGACGACATTCCTTTTTATAAAATAACCATTCGAGCAAAAATATCTAAAAATGTATGTTTTGCCACATTTTAATTTTTATTTTCAATTTTAATTTAAAAGTGAAAAGTAAATAATATTGACTTAACATTTAAGTTTTTAGTGAAGAAGTTGACAGTCAAGGACGTAACTAATAATTTCTTTCAAGAAATTATCTCAATTTGCCTTTATTTTATGATAAATCACTATCATATGATTATTATTGAAAAGTACGAAGCAATATAATGATACATTTGAAAATAAACTTGTATATTCATTCAAATGCTCAATAAATTATTCACGTTGTTTTTATGTGATTGAATTTAAAATATAGGGAAGAATCAATACAACTATAACAATTTTTTACTCCTAACCCCATGTCCTTAAGTGAGAATAAATAATAAAACGGGAGTTCAAAAGGACACATTTTCCTAAATTGAAAAATGTTGTATCAATATTAAAATTTCCACTCTTAAATTTTTGCTTTAATCATCCTCAAAAAATTCACAGCTCTGAAACATGAGCAAACATGAGTAACTAGATTTGCATTAAAACCTCCCATCGATTCGCATTTATCCAAATCAATCCTCAATATAGCGACTTTTTGATGAGAAACTATAAAAAAATGTGACTGAAATCGAGCTGGATAAGCGATTGGTGTACCGGCAAAAAAATGTTGTAGAAAATACCTTGGGACAAGTTTGGTGCAAAGTGGTGTTAGCGATTCAAATAGACGACTTGTCGGGTGCATGACAAACGACTCGGTCGCTGCATAAGCGCGTCACTTTAATGAGCTGCTATCGAAAAAAAAACGCGTGTGCGAGAGCGAGCTGCGCTTATCGCTGACGTGTGTGGCGAAAGATTCGCTGCATGTGACACTCACCAGTGGTGCCTGCACTCGCGGCTCATGGCGAACAGCGGGGGCGGGACGTGACGTCGCTCGCGAGCAATTTGCATGCCCGGGACCCCACGTGACAGGGGCCCTGCTCGCTTTTTATTCGGAATAATTATTTCCAGCTAAATTTATTTTCATCCACCCTTTTGAATTTTTTTAATGAACACCGCAATTTTCCTCAAAATTTGCGGTGAAATTGAGGTTATTTTGGTGGCACAGTGAAGGGCCCTAGTGAGGTAGGAGGTCTCGGAAACATCGTCATCATCGTCGAGGCTAATGGGACTCATCGGATTATCTCACAATGTGCTAATTTTTATTGCCGTTTCACGGAGCGCTGCCGCTTTTTGCCTGCTGAGTGCGCGAATTAATCGAGCAACGCCCGGCAGGCGCAATTCAACGCCTCAATAAGCGTGGAAAAAATACAACTGCATTGGACTTTTGAAACGTATAAATTTTGGGCAATTTCATTTTAGAGTGGAATTTGTTTGAAATTGAAAGGATTTTTAATATAAATTCTTCTTTTTGATTGTAAGAAAAAGAGTTTTGAAATGAAAATGAAGAGAAAGGAATTCCCTTTTTCAAAATATGTTTGAGGGTCAGATTTTGAAACTGAAAACGAAAAGACTTTGTTTTGGCTACTTAATCATGCGCAAGAAGTATTAAAAATATCAGAATATTTGGTAAATTCCTACTCTTTCTCACTAGCTTAAGTCAATTAAATTAAATTTCTGAATATTAACACTGTGAAAATATTCATATTTTACTATAATTTAAAATATATATCATTGCAAGTACAATAAATTTTGTAAAATACAGAAAATGAAATATTTTTATTCATGTACGTATTTTAATGGGATTTTCAACGTGATTTAAAATTCAATACAAAAATTACAATTTCCATGCCGGCGTTAAAATTTTGTATCTCTCTATTTTGATTTTGCAAAAATATTGAAAAAATTTTTGATTAGTTCTTTAACTCCTCTGTACAGATAAATTCGAAGTATAACGAGACTTCATATTTAACTGGCGTTCGCTTTTCCCCGAATGTTGCGAAATTTCCGATCTAATTATGAAGAGAGCGATGTGGAAAGTTAATTGATAAATCGCATATGCGCGCTTCGGACACGCACAATAGTGCACGAGCGAGCGAGCAACGATATTAATTTCGCTGTATTTATCATGGGCTGAGCAGAAAAGTTGCCCAGGGATTCCGCTCGGCGATAAATTAATTTTTCGGCGCCAAATGAAGTGCCGAGGGGCCGTTTCATTATATTGCTCCACGAAATAAAAAAAAAAAAAATGCGCGCATGACTCGTGCGGAAAATTTATAAAAATCGCGTCTCTTTTATTGTTATGCGGAGAAGAAGAGCGGAAAATGGCGCGACGACGGAACTCATCCTTTGCGTCTCTCTTGATTTGAGGAACCCCTTGGTAGGCGAAAATATTTTTTCCATTCAAATCCGGAATATTTGCCTCATTTTGAATAAGAGACTTCATTGAAAGGTAAAAAGGCGTATGTAGAGAAATCAATAAAATACATGGACAAAAATTTCAAAATTTTCTCCTACTTTTGATCTCAATAAAGCTAAATTTGTACGGAAATTTGAAATTTGTGAATTTTAGTATCTAATGAAAGAATAAAAAGTTGATTTTTAGCTATTATTATGAGAGCATTTATTAATATTGCGAAATGAATACATGAAATTTTTTCACTAATATTTGCAAGAGTTTCATTAAAATTAATTAGTGTGTTTTGTACGTTAATTGAAACAAATATTTACTAGAGATTTAATTAAAATATTTTTCCCATTTAGAATTGTGTATTTGTGCCTCCAGTCTAGGATTCAATTCAATTAATTCATTCTCTCAAAATAAAAATAACAATTTGGAAAGTATGCTATTTTCTGCCTATAGAAGAAACAAAGCTCAAATTTTCCTGTTCATGATAAAACTGGTTACTTTTTAATTATATTTAATGAAGTTCTAGAATATAATCTGACCGGAAACCATAAATTTCTATACTTTCTACTTTTTAATTATCAATTTAAAAGATACGAATTATGATCTTATTAAATTTCGCATAAGAAGCTTAAATATTTCGTGCAATTTTACCATAAAATCACCTAAAAGGAAGATTTTTCCAAGCATGCTGCAATTAATTAAGCCTAGAATGATAAAACCAAAGTTCCGTTGCTCTCCTTTTATGCACTGACTTGTGGCCTGTTTCTAAATCGGAAGCAGCAGAGCTTTGAAGTTTTTCGCCCGCAATGCACACAGAGTAGAACATCTCGCTCTTTGCACTTGGCGAGCGGCAGGCGAGCGCGCGAAAAATAATGAGCAACGCTCGCCCGCCCTTCTCTGACTGCGGCGCATCGCCTCCGGGCACAACTCAAGTCATTACTTAAAAACAGGTTGAGTGAACCGTCTAATGAATCTTCCACGGCGCATAACGACACCGCCATTTCTTTCCAAGCAAACCACTCCTCTGCACAATAAAAGCTGAACACGATACGGCCTGATTGTGTTGCATTGAATTCAGTTTTGATCTTTGTTAGTAGCGCAAAAGAAATATTTCTCTTTTAATATTTGTGCAATGTTTATAAAAATAAAATAGTGTATACAAGTACAGATGTTTCATGTTTCTTATTTAGTCTATCTTTAGTTTCCTGATGTTTATTTTTTAGCTTTTTGTACCATAGAGTTTTCATAACTTTTAGTGAACAGATAATTTTAAAAAACTGTTTATTACAATTTTTCAGACAAAAACTGCAAAAGCTGAGATTTTTTCGGAGGAAGGCAAGATATTAAATAACAACACCAGCCGGCTAAAATTGAACATTGTCTCTCGTCCTTTTGTTTTTATTTCTCTCCTTTTACAACAAGTCGCTTACAAAGTTATACAACAAATTGGCATTCCATTATTTTGTCCTTGAATAAGCTTTTTCCGAAACCAACGTCGGAGCTTCCTTCTTCTTCTTATTTTCTACTTTTCCGCTCCGCTTCCAGTTATTTTGGAATGTCACATTGAATGAGTCAGATTGTTTTCCGAGCTTGGTAAAAGTTTCCGCACGTCTCAAAAACTTTATTTTTTTCTCGCGCTACGTCTGGGAAACAAACGATAAATAAAATTGGATTTGCAGCAATAAGGGATTCTTTGCTGCTCTTTTAAATTCTCTACTTTATAAAATTTATTGAAAATGGAAACTTCTCTTCTTATGCTTATCAAAGATCTCTTAATCTTACCGAAGTCCATTGGAAATAGTTTGCGAACAAACACTTGAGATGGGAATAATTTTTCGCTGGAAAAAAATCTTGTTCGCTCTGTTAAGTCTACAAGTTTAAACGAATCGTACACAAAACAGTACATTGACAACCAAGTCGACTAGATAGGAATTTCTATGACATGAAATTTGATTTTGCATTCATCCAGGACCAACCGTGTATCTTAAATTCAAAGTCTGAAAATTAATTTACTTCTTTTTGGCATGAAATGAAAAATTAAAATGTATTCCATTGAAGTTGGCCGCACTCGAAATTTGATTGAGAACCTTTTCGAAAGCCGCTCCGCAGAGAATGAATAATGCAATCAAGTGTGCAAAGGGTTTTGAGCAATTTCCCGCCGCTTAAATTCGAGGCAACGGCCGGCCCTGGCAAGTTGGCTTCAACACACCGAGCTCATCCAAAATCATCGCGCACAGAGAACGCAATTAAAAACGGAGATCGAATTTTCGCGGACAGGCCCGACGAAAAATGGGATTACACGTGAGAGAGTGAGTGAGCTTGAAAAGGGCCTAGTAAATTAACCGGTTAATAATTAAGGGCCGCACGCAGCTCTCGGCCTGCACTCGCGCGCACACGCATTTAATCCCGGTCTTGGTTGACATACGATGGGTGTGGTGGTGGTGCGGTCGGAATTACGCTAACAAAGGACCTCCGTGAGTGAGAGTTGCTGCTGCTGCTGGTTGATTAAATTTTTCCTGCGCGCCATATTTCACCAAGTCACCACGCTCGGCCGCCGCACTGGAGAACAACGATAAGGACCAGCACGAAGCCTGAAACAAAAGTGCAAAATTTAATTCGTGTGCGGCCTCAGGTGTGCGCGCGTCTCACTTGAGGGATTAGCCCTGCGTGTTTAATTAACCCGTCCCCTGGATTATTATTTGCCGGCGGTCGGGATTTGGAAATTTGCACTCGGGGCGACGAGTGCCGGGTCGAATAAACAGGCGCGCGCGTTTGTTTTTGGTAAATAATTAAGCAGAGTTTAATTTGATGCCACCGGCCGTCGCGCTGAAAAATGAGCAATTTTTGCGAGAGGCCGTTGTTTGTTTTGGCGGTGGATTTTTTTCCGGTAGATTATCCTGTAATATTTACTAAAGGGTAAGCCCACCCTGTTGAATATTTCAGAGCCTTTTAAATTGCAACGGGCAAAGGCTTGCTTTTTATCTGGTATTTTTTCATGCACAGACCACAAAAGAGTTTTCCCATGAATTTTAGATTTTAATCAACGAACGCTCACAAACACGTGTTGTGTGGCTGCCGATGATTATGTGAATGACGGAGAGTAAATTATTTAAAATCATAAGGCGAAAAAAATGGGATGTGTCCAGTTTAAAAAGGTGGGTTTTCTTTTCATTAATAACAAAAAAATTATTTATTTTATAAATATTTTTTGAAAGAAGCTTAATTGGCATTAAAAAACCCCGTCAGAATCAAAAAGAAATATTAAAATCTTATTTAAATTATTGTACAGCCAATTTTGTTCTTGTTTTGATTTATTTTAAAACAGATTTCACGCTGAAATAATTTTCTTATTCTTCTTTTTGATTTAAAAAAATCTCATTTTTATCTGGAACAATGCACTCAACTTATGCAACCACGAGCGACACTTGTGGCGAGCAGGTTGCCTACTTTATAAGTCTGCAGGCTCTAGCATGGTCTGAACACACATTCATATATTCAAACAGCTTTATTTTTCAACCAGCTGCGCCTTTCCATGCAGATCGCCAAGTTTTTAAACTCAAGGGGATTATGTGAGAACACGTGCATTACCATAAAAATTGCATACGTCCAGGAATCTCGTTTTAATTTCTTTTTCTCTCCATTAAAATTGTCCAAATTATTACTTTTAAAATGTGATAAAGTAAACAATATTTTTATTTTTTTTACATTTTTTACTTGTGACGAGGAAGAAGATCTTTTGTAACTTTTATTCCTGCGAAGCTCGAGATAATTAACTATTCAAAATCGTGGGCGGTATAAATCTGTTCGCGCCAAAGAGTGTGTAAATGAAAGCGAATTTATCTTGGCCACATCAAAATTCGTTTAGTGTCAAAAACAGCAGCCAGTTGAATATCAAACTGCCGCAGCCGCGCGAACTCGCAAAAGAAACTTTTTCTATTACACACCACGACGGAGCAGGCGGACGATTACACGAGTGAAATTTCAGAGCCCAATGAATAGACACAGAGTCTTTGAACGACGCGCGGCGGCTGCGGGAGAGAGGCGGAAACTTTTCCGCGGCCGGCGCAGTTCAACAGGGTAATTACTCGCGAACTCGCAGCAACCACTCGAAATTCTAGACAAGTTGCAACTCTGAATGGTCCTTAACCGTGCACGGGAATTCGCGAGCAAATCCATTTGCCAATCATCGCAAAGTTCAAGCCAGATCGATAAATATTAATTTGCTTTCCGGCTCGTTCCGCAGAGCAGCTCTGAATTAATTATTGGCCCCGAGTTATTGGCAAAGTTGGGCTTGCAAGACTTAATTGTTGGGAGGAAATGACCTGGCAATAATAAACTTAGGCCAAGTTTCCAATTAACTTATCCCAAGGGCCATTTCTAAACATCCACGTCTAATTAAAGGAACATTTTTAAAATTTTTAATATTTTGGAAAAATATTATAAGACAGGTGAAAAAGATAAAACTTTTCATCCATTATTTTTCTCGTTAAATGATATAATAATTCATACTGAGATTTAAATAGAGAAGACTTTTTTCATCTTTTCTTTTCTTTCAGATTATTAATAGATTTAAATTGTTATTTTTGTTCTTATTTCGTGATGATTTTGAAGATTTGAAGTGATTTGGTTACTATCAAATTTTCTAAAAATAAGAAAAAAAAGTGCATTAAAATTTACTCTGCTATTAAAAAATTTATTCCGATTGGAATTTTGCTTTAATAAATATTTCTGTTCTTGGAATTATTTGCTATCAATTTTTAAAGAAATTTAAGCCAAAAAAATTCAACGCCAAAGAGCATCTCATCAATTTCGTCAAAGGTAATCTGAGCTGGCTGATCTTGTGGCAGGAAAAAACAAACGAAAATAGATTTTGATCGATCGGTGGGGGCTTTATTATTTTTTTATTCTTTGGAGAAAGAAGCGCTCTCGACTCACCACTGCTTGAGGTAATCGCCGCCCTGCTCCTGAACGGCTTCCGCAGATTGGGCTCGCTCTCCGGTCTGAAGTGATAAGTGCCGTGAAATCCAGTTCCGTCGAGCCTGTCGTTCGAGCGGAAGGTGACACGGAAGGTACGCTTGTCAGACTCGACCTCGAAGCCCTTCAGCTGGCCGCAGTAGCGCGAGTACTTGCGGTCGCGGCTCATGTAGTTTGAAAACTCCACGTAGTCGCTCGCCGAAGTTGCCTCGCACCTACCAACAAAATGGGAGAAGGAAACTTTTTATTGCATAGAACTTTCATCACTCAACGACAACTTGGAACACGAAGTTGCTTTTATACTGACACGCTACATTATTTACTTCTTTTATTTGTTTTGTGCCAATTAATTAATTTCACTCTTGTGCTTGCTTTTGCTAAAAGGTGTGCGAAAACTTATTTCTCATTTCAAGATTTGAAATTAAATATTTATTTTGAAAAAAAAAAAATGTTGTTTATGAAGATTTCACGGAAAATTATGCACGCTTTCAAAAATCAGCCAATTTAATGTTTATTTAATGTTTATTTTTCTTACACATTTGCAGAGAAACTCGCAATAAACAAGCAAAACTTCCTCTGCAGGGTAAGTTGAGATTTATTGAGTTAAGTTTTTCTCTTTGAAAACAGACTCTAAAATACCACCAAGCAATTAAGAATGAGGTGATTAAAAGAAATGTTGATTTTCTCCTAAATTATTTACTACAAAAAAATCTCCTATTTCAAATGAAGAATGAAAAGGAGTTGAATGCATTTAGTGGTGTATTTTGATCAAGTCATTATGCTTAAAATTAGAGACATAATTGAGACATGAAAATTTAAAATTTAACCTAATAGCTTAAATAATGGGCGTTTCACAAGCAATCTTAAATTTTATCTATAAAATATGAAAGAAAGTAGTTCCTATTCCGAATTTCCTACAAACATTGACTAGTTTGCCGAGAAAAAATACATAAATTAACAATTTACGCTTATACCATTATTAAATATTGCTGTAATTTATAAAACACTTAAAAAAATAATAAATATATTACTGTAATAAGAGTACATTTTAATTATATATTTTTAAATAATAATAAATACAAAAAATTCAAATTAAAAATAATTTGTACCTGTATTTTTTTTTAATTGTCAAGATAAAGAATAAAATTTAAATTTTTCCCAGACTAAATCTGTTACAAATTATAGACCTAGTTAGGGAAATCGGATTGAAATTCAACTGTTTTTAATTTGAGATAATTTTTTCAAAATGTTGACTGATTTTTGAAATAAAAAATATCTGATCATGCAATGTTTTTTTTTTTTGCATTCAAAGTCTTAAGCAAGTTCAAATAAGGCACAGCTGCGTAACTTTTTTTTATCAGCAAAGGACCTGCGTGTTTTTTATTCAAGGGAAAAAGCGGGCGCGCGCGCGGTCCATTTGGACGATTAAGGGTAAGAGAGAGGCGCGAGCAGTAAATTCCAAGAGTTTTAAACCGCAACACCATAAAACCCGGCAAGGAAAAATAACACAGCGGCAGGCGCTAAATTCGGGTCTGCTTTTTGTTTGGTTTCCAATAAAGAGCGGCCGGCGCCGTAAATTGGCGGCGCGAGGGCGACAAAGCAGGCGTACTTACGGCAGGACACCCTCGACGTCGAAGTAAGTGAAGTGCAGGTGCACTTTCTCACCGGGCCTGCCGTAAAATAGGTAGTGGCACTCGGTGTCCCTCGGGTAGTAGCCAGGGTAGTTGGGCGACGAGAAAGTGCCGTTGGCCGCCTCGGTGCTGTTGAACTCGAAGCCGCACGGGTGGCTAGACAACTGGCGCCCCGACGAGATGCCAAAATCTGCAACCCACGTTCTTTTACAACACACCTCACTTCCTTCCTCCCTTCGCGATTTATTACTCCACTCTGTTAAGATTAAAAACCAGTTTCGCCGCCGCCGGCAAAGGAGGAAAAAACATGCTCCGGAAAATATTATGTATTTTTTTCTTCGAGACTCACTTTCGGTGAAGGAGTAAAACGCCTGGAAACCTCTCACGTGTCGCGACGAAATTTGGCCGCGGAACTCGAGCGACAGTTTTGACCCGCTGGACATCACCGGCAACGGCAGGTTGGTGCCGCAGAAGCTGTCGATCTTCTCCGAACGACCTTCTAGGTGAACATACGCATTCAGGGAGTCAGACGACTCGCAGCTGAAAAAATACAATATTTGCACAAGTTAATGAAATTTCTTATTTATTTCAAACTTTAAAATTGAAATAATTTGAATACATAACATACTTTATGCGTTTAATATGTTTTTGACGTGAAATTTGTTTAAAAAAATTTAATTTATAAAATTATTCAATACTTCATTTGGTCAACAATTTTATAATAAAATTATTTCACTACTTTTAATCTTTATAAAAAGACAAACATGACTTTTGTAGCATTATTTTGATCAAATTTTTATGCTGCTTTATAATTGATTTTAAAACAACATAGAATGAAGTGATCGATTAATCTTTAATATTTGTTGGGAATAAAATTTCAAATGTAAGGAAGTTTTACCTAATATAAATATTTAAATTTTAGCAAGTCTTTTCACTATTTTTATGACAATTCCTGATGCATATGGTCCATGTGATTAAAATACAATTATTTGTGAACAATAAAGTTTTTTTTTCAAATCTCATCTGACTGAGGATGCATGTATTTTGAAATTTTTCTATGTTGAAAAAAAAAAACTAATTTTTACTGAATAAATCATTATTTGCGAATGCTGATCAAAAAACAATTATTTTGGTAAGCAAAATTGTTTGCAAAGATATGACTCTAGAAATATTATATTTCTTTTCTGAAATAGCTTAATTTCATGAAAATTTCTTTCCCAATTATATTAAAGATCGATTTTTGTGCAGAGTTGAAAAATGAATTATGATCCAAATTATTCAGAACTTATTCTGCCTGATATAATTAGAACAATCACTTCGGTTCACTTATTTGCTCTCCGCTTTCACGTATAAAGAGCAGGGAAAAAAATAAATTAATTAATGAAATAACAAACACACATGCAGTAAGGAATAACAAAAAATTAGTTTGAGATATTATCAGTGATATTTGCTGTGATGCAAATATGGGAAAAATAAACACCATCAAAAAGTTAATTAAAAATTGCAAGGGGAATAATTCAAACCTACAGACTTAAGCTCATTATTTTGATGGTGGGCGCGTGTTTATTTTTTGATACTCAATTAGCGGTTTTTCCGAACACACGTAGGCGTTAACACAAATTTGAACCGAATTTTGTTGGCTTCCCACACGGAATCAGCTTTTTGTGCTCGTTTCAAAACGAAAACCCACTGCGAAAGCAATTAGATTTTTGTAGCACGCGTGTTTGTGTTTAGCTGGCAAGGTTGCGCCCGCGGGGAGTTGCGCTGGCAAAAACAGAGAGCCTCATTTCGAGCGACTTCGCGCCCCCCGGCCTTTTGGCCTTTCATTTGCAGAGGGCGCGGGAGAAAGAGCCGGCGAGTGGAAAATGTAGATTCGTGTGTGTGTATGCAACCCGCCGGACACGCTCGCTGCTGATAAATTAATATGGGATTCGCAGTGTGTGTCCGTCCGTCCGTCACGAGCGAGGCGGAAAAAAAAATACAACCGCAAAAAGTTTGTGAGCGGCAGATTAGTCGGCGCCGCCCCGAAATAAGCAAATCCCCCAGAATTAGTTTGCCGACCTGATGGACTCCTCTTTAAACACGGGCCTGAATTCATCCCCGCCGGTATTTGTTGGTTCGCCGAAATTTCGAATCAGCACCGAATTATATATTAATCAGCTCTCATGTGGTTTCGAGCAAATTTCGCCCGTGTTGGCTCAATACACTCCACGTGAAAATTAATGCTTGCGGCTGAGTTCTCTGACGCTTGAGCTCTGTGTTCTCTGTTTTTGATTTACAACCGCTCGCAAAATCCCCTTGATTTATTTGCGTCGAAATCATTAGTGGGTTCAGCAAGTTTACACATCCTCTTATGTTCTTCAATTTGCATATTCTATAAATAAATTTCAGTTTAATCTCAAGTCCCTTAATTCCACACTAGAAATTTAATAACAGGCAATAGAATTTAAAACAAAAATTAAAAATGTAATAAGGTGATTTGAATTTAAAGTCAGTTTTTCCTCGATGGGTTTTGTGAGTTGTTAATTGTTTAAGAAAAACATGTTTCAGGCTGCAATCAGTCTCTTAAAAATCTCTTTCAAAGTAACAAACAAAACAATTTTAACCCAATATTTGACAGTTGAATTAAAAAATTATTTTGTAACAAATTATTATTATTATTTTTTTTTTAATTTTTGTCAGAATATTGAAACGTGTGTTTCGAGCGTACCTTTCTCGGCGGTTTCGAGAGAAGACAAAATTATTTTTCAGTTTTGGTTTTTCTACAACAAAATGTAAAAAGGTGCTGCAAAATTTCGTTGTCTAAAAATTATATCAATTTTCTCTTATAAAAAGAAGTGTTTGGTAACATAAAACGCAAAAATTAATTACCTAGCTTGAACATCTAAATTGGTCCCAAAAATAATGTTTTGAACATTTTTTTCCCAATATGAAATATATATGATTTAGATTTAAAACTTTTTATGCATAACGAATTGTAGAACTGAGTTTGCGTTCACTCAGAATTTATATTTTAATTTTCCAGATTTCTGCTTTATTGTAAAAGTAATTTCAGCTTGGAAATAATAATATTGTGCATGATTATTTGCTTTAGAGTTGAATGAGGTTGTTCACTCGGTAAACGCAACCTATAAATGTGTAGAGTTATTTGACCTGAGAGAGTACAAATAAAGTGAATAAATTATGAGCCTTTCCCAAAGCGTACCGCGGAATCACTCAGGAGGGTTTCCAACCACACCGATAATTTTGACCCAACAGTAACATCGGCGACGAATGATTTTTTCATAAAATATATTTTATCTGAAAAATGAAAAACCAACCGAAAAATAATTTCGTCTTCTATCGACCATCGCCGAGAAAGGTACGCTCAAAACACACGTTTCAATATTCCGAACAATAATTATTTATAAAAATTAAATCGTTAAAATTTTGGAATTTAATCGTCAAAGTTTGTGTTAAAAATTTTTGTGTGTAAAAATGTAACTTTAAATATTTTTTCACGAAAAAGTGTAAATTTGAAAGTAAAATATTTTCCAAAATAATGATTTTTGAAACTAATTCTTGTCAAAATGATTTTACAGCTCATGTAGAGCAGGATATTGTTTTTTTCTTAAGAAATAAACAACTCATAAAAACCATCGAGGAAAAGCCGATTTTAAATTCAAATCACCAAGTAACATCTGACTCTACAGGTCAGCGTTTTTTTATAAATATAATTAATCAAAAGAAAATATTTAGAAACAGATTTTGGAAGGGAAACGTTCTCTGCCGTTATGCATTGATCAAATATTTAAAATAAATAAAAGAAAATAAAAAAAAAATAAATAAATAACTAAATAAAATAAAAGAAATCTCTTTTCATTACAGGTAGGGGAGAGAAGTTGCAACCGATTAGAAAATGACCATTCGCACAAAAATCTCGCCCTCATTATTTTTATTTTGGGCAACGGCCTGATTTGCGGGCGCAGGGCACGTGTGGCGCGGCTCATTTCCGTGCGTACTCACTCGTTCTCGTCGCCTCCCGCGTGGTAAAGGTTGAATTCCTTGAACGTGAGCTGCACCCTCTCCTTGCCGCGGCCCTGGAACTCGTAGCGACACAGCGAGCGGCTCGGGTAGGGTTGAGGGTAGTTGGGTGACGCGATGGTGCCGTTCTTGCCCTCGTCGCTCGTGATAAGCACATCACAGTTGACCGCTGAAAAGAGAAAGAGGGAGATTGATTACGCCATTAGCTTAATTGAAGCGCCGCTCGCTAACTAATTAATTAATCGCGATTAGCGCCCTGGCTGTGTTTTTGGACAAGTGCGAGTCTCGCACTCTCGGAAAAAGTCGGTAATTGGCCGAGCTGGGATTTATTTAGTGCGATTGATTTTCATTGGGAGGCACGGACGCCGGATACGTGTTTAGCAACAACACACGTCGGCCGAAGGCAACTTTTTGCGCTAATTCTCGTCCGCTCGGCTCTCACGTCTCGTGTGAGCCTAATTGAATTAAAAATGTTTGCCGGCTCGGAGAGATTTCGTTATTGTTTCCCTTGACCCCAGGCTGGGGGCAAAAGTTTCTATACCAAAACGTGACAATGTGTAGACTAGGGGTGTGAAATACATTTTTTTTTTATCGCAAAATCGTCAATAGTCTTTGAACTTTCTTGCACAACTAATATTCATAAAAAATGTCAAAATGTAATGAAAATTAAATTTATTATTTTCAACAATTAACAATTTTGTTATCCTCTGAAATGCTGGAAAATTTTATATTTACTTACGCACCAAAATTAACATATAAAGAATAAAAAATCAATTTCATGAACTTCAAAAAATTTGATAGTAAAAAAATCAAGCTTTTAAACTGCAGATTTATTTAATTTTTACGATGCTGTCTTAATAAAATTAGACTCTTAATAACTTTAATCACACATAAATCGTCTAGATTTGAATCAACGAATGTTTTTATTTTATAACACAGGTGTGCTTCTATGCAAATTATAATTAATCATAAAAAATACATTTCTAAATAAAAAAAATACAAAACAAAGAAAAGAAACGTATTAAATTAAAAATCTGCGCTACTTCAATTAAATTCATATTAATTTTTTATATTCATGCATAAATAATAAAGACCGGTTTTTTTGTTGCACTTTTTACCATGACATGAGAATCTTCTTTTTTGCAAAACAAGAAATGAAAGCCAAGTGTAGCGTACCTTGTATGTCTCTTTTTGTGCGGAATTGAGATGCTTTTAATCACTTTTTAACCAATTTTAAAACTCTAAATTTTGTGGTCCTACTTGGGACAAAAAATAACACTTCTGCGAGGTGGATTTTACAGTTTAATTTTTTTTCTCGCGCCCACATTTTTCATCATCAAAAATTTTGCGTCATTTGTAACAGTCGAGGATTAGTTTTTGCGAGTGACATCGGGAGTGAGAAAAAATAAGCCGCTGCTTTTTTTTTTACTGTGTGTTATCGGGACATGCTGTCGTGCTTTTGTTTTTTCCGGCCTTATTAGAGGCCGTATTGAAAAACATAATGAACACGTCAGGAGGATGAACGAGAACGAACGAAAAATTCATGCATGCGAAAAGGAGAGCCGTCGTCATTTCAACAAAGCCCCGACGTTTGTACATTTTTTCCATAACAAGCGAAAGATAAAAATAATTGTGTTGCGAGAATTTATTACAGCGTTACACAGTTCGGAACCGAATTTTGCGGCGCTGTGTGTGTACATATGTGAGAGCAGAGAGAGAGCTCGTTAACAAAAAGCAGAGGGCGGATTCCACGAGGGAAATGCAAAAGATAATGTGAAATTATACTCTTGTGCTGGCGGAACGACGTCATTGTGCTGATGTCAAAACACGTACGCTCGCGTATTGTGTCACAACTCATAATTTGCAGCGATGAAATATCGGCGCAGTGCACACGCAGAGAGATAAATGATGCTCCAAACTAGAGAGAGATGGCCCGGCCGTGAGAGTTAATTGCTCAGCAAGCCGGGAAGAGACGAGCGTCATTTGCATGTCCTCTTGCCGGGGCCCCACGGGGGATTTCTTTTGTGTGCCGAAAGTGCAAAGGGCAAAAAGCGATAGAAAGTTGCGCCGGTGCTCAATGGGGTGGAAATTGCCAGCGAGAAAAATTGCCCGTTTCGACGACAGCCCTTCTCTCTTTTCCACCGCGAGCAGTTAATTCCGAATCTCTTTCTTTCTCTCGCAGGGAAAACTCAATCACGGGAAAGTGCATTTAGGCCTCATTCGGACGAGTCACTCTCGATTGAATTTGCGCCGGTTCTTTGATCTGTAAAAGGATTTGGCTGACAAAAGCGGAGGCTTTTAATTCCGCGCGAGGAGAAGTCACTCTCGCTGCTTTTCTCCGACTTTCTCTTTTCTTTCCGCGGCCGTTTAATTTGCGCGAGAAGAGGCTTTTAATTGAAAACGCCGGCGCCTCCTCCTTTGTCAGGACAAACAAACTCGGAAGGACACACCGGCAGTGTGCAGCACGGGGACGATGTTTATTTATCATTTGCAATTCAATTTCGGCGCCTCGCTCGCCGTCGTTCAAGTGGTACCACGATTGAATTGCAAATTTCCGGCGTCCACCCGCGGGAATTATACTCGAATTCTCATCATATAAATATTTTATCTCGTCATATTTCGCTCCATTAATCAGCGAAGGAAGAAAGAAGACGGAAGGGCAGCTGGTGCCCCTCGAGAGAAAGCGAGGCAACTTTTAATGGTTCATTTTGGAAGCGCGTTGAAAGTGGTCCAAATTACCAAAATAATGGAGGCCTCCGGGGCGTTCGCGAAAGACGAGAACACACTGACTTTGCACTTTCTGCTCTTTCTCAAGGATTCGTGCGGCTCAATCAATTCCTCTTGGAAACGTGCCCGCTCGATCTCGTTTCTCTGGTCGGCGGATTTGGAAGTCAATGATGACTGACGGGGGCTGCTTTGAAATTCGATCAGATGCCGAGAGCATTTTCTGCAGAGGCGTGCGAAACGGTAAAATATGAATTGTTTACGTAAGGTGCAAGTAAGCCGCTTTTATTTATTTCTCTTCCAACTTTCTTCTTCTTCTCCGGCGACGAAAATAAATTTGTTGCGTTGCGTACCCGCCGGCTCTCTCGCTACATCCTGATATATTTCTTACTTTTTTGTGTAAGGTTCGGTTGGAGGGGCTGCAAATCGGGGGCATAAAAGCGCAACGAGAGGCTTATATTTTGAAATACTAAAAGGGAAGTGATACTTGAGCCGAGGGGGAAAATACAGAGGCACTCTACGCGCCGAAACAAAATTTCACAAACAGTTATTCTCCGACCTTTTTCTTTTAGCGTAGATAAGCATGATTTCTTTGAAACTGGGCCGGTGAATTATTTAACAACACCGTACGCAAAATTCCCCTTTGAAGAGAGACAGAGAATTTTAAATTTCGACAGAGGCCAAAAAAGGAGCAACGAAATCTCCGAACAAACTCAATTTCTGCCAATCGGCAAGGGCAATAAAGACGAACGGTTCAGAACCCTAGTCAATTGAAAGGGCAACCAACCACCAGAGACTGAGAATTTAAGCCAGTTTCTCTCTTAGACGCAGAGATCTTTTGCAGTCTCAGTTGCAAAGGCAAACAGTTCGGGCCGGCTTTTCCACTGCAGGCGAGTGTAATCCCGCTGCGAATACGGTCTCTCGCACCCCTGCCCTGTCAAATGGCCTCATTTCGGCCGCCTGCGTGCACGGCCATTGAAAGCGAACCAAGTTGGCGGCGGAAATAACGGGAACCCCATCCATATATGCAATATGCCACCGCACATAACAATGGACCAAACTGCAGACGCGGCGGGGAGATAAAGTTTGCGCCTTGGCTCGCTTGTTAAGCACCGCGATGAGACGCTATTCAAATATTAAAGCACGCTATGCAGAGAGAGAGACACAAAAGACCCGCTGCTGCCTACACGACGAGTATTTGCTCCAGAGTTGTTTACCTTCGTTTTCAGCGACAGAAAGAGAAAGTGCTGCTGCAGCGGTGTGTTTGGCAGGAAAATTGACGCCTGCTGCAAAGAATCGTCGACTGTTTCTCAAATTTGCGCCATCCAGATTGAGAGTTGAACGACTTCTCGATTTATATAGAATGTGTGTGTGTTCAGGAAATCCGAAAGGGAGAGAGAGCTGGGGAGGAGCTTCCGAACAATATACTGCACGTGCCATATTTCATCGCAGTAAAATTTTTTCGGATCGGCATAAAAAAGAAATTTATGCCAAAGAAGCATAAAAAGGAAGAAATTTTAGAAGTTCCATTGGATTTTTAGTTCAGAAAAAATATAAAAAATCTTTTGAATTTATTGATTTAATTATTGAGAAAAATAATCCAGTCTTGATTGCAAAGGTAAGGTAGAAATAATAGAAATATAATAAAATTATCAAAAATGTTTTAATAATCTGCTAGTTCTTTCTTCTCTTTTTCTCCTATTTAATATTTCTGTATTAACTGAGAAGAATAAATGATAATAAAAAAAGTCATTAGAAAATTAACTTGTTTTTTACAAATTAAATTGTATTGAATTGTAGAACTTTTCATAAATTTTATATTAGACGAGAAAAATTCAATTTTAAAATTACTTTTGACTTTAACAAATTTTCCCACGATTGTTTTTACAGCACTTTTTATAAAGATGCAGGTAAAACCATATAATGTATAGCGGAAAATGACGCCTAGTTTTGGTGGCTCCTGTTGAATTTTGAGAAACGCAACGTCACACATAGTCGTCGTTTCCTACTCTACACAGAAACACACGCACGGATCTCTTTCTCTTGGTCGGCTTTTACCATAAAGTGAGAGGCAAAATTTGCTTGATGCTGAATTTCCACGGTCTCCACGTTGAGTGACTGCACGTCGTGCAGCTGTCGGCGCAACATCATATTTACTCGCGAAAAAGAGAAAAATGAGTTTTATTTTTGTATTTTTATTCCGCATTCGTATATATTGCAAGAAAGAAAAAGAGAGCCTTAAATCAACGCAGAAAAAAGTCGCGCGCGAGAGCTGTCGTTTTTCGTCCCAAGCGCGATAAAAACGTGAAAAATCGAGCGGTCATTTTTCTTCGTTGTTTTCGTCTCTCTCTATTTTGTTATCCGAGAGGGTGCTTTCTTTTGTTCCCTGTTTGAGAGATGCGGCCGGCAAAGATAAACTTACAACCCTTGACGGGTGCGCCACTA